ACAACAACAACAACAACAACAACAACAACAACAACAACAACAACAACAACAACAACAACAACAACAACAACAACAACAACAACAACAACAACAACGAGAACGTCCAAGGCAGTATTTGTACAGGCGCTGCCGACGTTCAGCGAAGCATGTCCCCGTTGACAGAAAGGGGGAACAGACCCAAGGGGAATCCATGGTTTCGTTTCAAGCAAGTGAAAAACAGACAGGGAAACTATAAAAATCATAAATCATGTATATACAGTACATCGTGACAAAATGGCTTACCAGTACACTACCCTGGTAAGGTCCACAAGTTGACCACCCTCCCCAAGGGCGATAGTAAGCTGGTAAGCTAGTAATCTTGGTTCGGCAAATGTAACGGACGTACAACCAAGTGACCTGACCTAATGCAAGTGTGACACCTTTTTCCCTTTGTTTTCAACAGCTAATTAGCAGGAATCGGAACGGGCCCGACTGGACCCCTACTCGCCCCCACGTTCGCCTGATGCATGCTTCGAGGCCCGTACTTTTCCAAAGGATAGTCGACGGCCGTGTGGAACGTGCCGTAGTTATCCCACATCACCACGTCACCCTCCTCGACCTCAGGCAGCCAGATGTACTCCGGTCGCAGGACGCGGGTTTGGATGTTGTGGAGGAAAGCGCGGATGGCGACCACGTCGTCGACCACCTTGGCTGGTTCCGAGGTGGATGAGCGCAGAAAGAGCTTGCGTGCGGCGAGACCGTGCACTTGGAATGCTTTCTCTCCCGTGATCGGGTTCACCCAGACAAGGGGGTACTGCAACAAAAGAAAAAAAAGTGTTAGTCACCGTGAGCGGGCTAGGTACGTTTTGAGATGGATCATGTGTGTGTTTGTGTGCTGCAGGATGTGGAAAGTGTTTGTTCGGCAAGGACACACGTAGATAAGCTTACCCTCTTGACATCGCGCTCGTCGTATTCTCCCAACTCCTCAATCGTATGTTCCTTGCCCTCCGACTTGAGGCCCAGTCCGGTCGAAGGGGCTTTGCAGTTCTCGATCCACATGTACGGGTGCGGAGCGTACTCGACCCAGCTGTGGTCGGCGAGTCGTTGTTCCTCGGGACTGAGCATGTCGTAGAGCTGCGACGTGCTGAAGAACGCAGTGAGCCCAGGAGGCGACGTCATGCTCAGTCCCGACCCGTCGTCCCAGCGGATGGTCACGTCTGGGCCACTCGGGAGCTTGACGGCGCGCAGGGTCGTGAACCACGCCGGGTCTCGGGCGTAGAGGGGCGCGTCGATGTGCCACCGTTGGAAGCGCGTGATGCCCTCTGCGAACTCGGCTTCGTTGGGCGGATCGGCGTGGAAGTCGTTGGAAAGGCCCTTGACAGTCAGGTTCTTGAGGCCGTAGTGGTCCTCGCCTTGGTATCCTTTGCCGATAAGCCGGACATTCTCGGCGCCAGGAATACCGTAGACGTCTCGCGATTTCGAGAGGACGCCGCCTTTCTGTTGAAATGTCTTCAAGTCGCCGTGGCTATGGACCTGAGAGGCCTCTGGGTCGAAACGTGTCACTAGCTCCCAGTGTTTTTCTGGCCTGAGATCCTTCTGGTTCTTGACGACAATGACTTTGTGGGTCCATATTGTTTCTTTCAGTCCTTTGACGTCGCTATCTGCGTCGTAGTCTTAGCTGGCTTCTCCTTCGCAAGGAGACAAAGTACAACGTACCAGAGATGTTGTTGAGATCCAACCCTTCTACTGTGGCGCCAAAGTTGAATTTCTGGTCTTTGTGTTTGATGTATGGCAGGACCTGAAATGTCGGTTCTGGTGTAAGTGCTGCGGGAGACATGGTTCTTTGTGGTCCGAGTGCTCTGGCTTACTACTACCAGTCTGAGGTGCAAGTTGGGTTTGATGAGGTCCACTGCTTAACAAGTCGCGAAAAGATGACTTATGAAGCCAACTGGAGTTTCCATCGGATGTACGCGACAAGGTATCGATAAGCAGTGATCGTCGCATTAGGCTCAGGTGAGGTCGAATAATTGGTAGTTGGGCGGGTTTTCTGTGCTCGGCCGAGGACGATGTATGGCCTTATCGCACCCATCGAACACACATTCAGATGGTCGGCCGAAGATACATCAAGCACGGTAGCTGACCTAGTATCTGGCATAGAGCGCAGAGAGGATCCAATAAGGAAGGGTCGGTTGATGTATGTCAGCCTGTGAGTGCCCTGACTAGAATTGAAGGTGTTGACTGTTGTTACTAGTCAGGACGAGCATCTTGTCGAATCGCATCGTAATGATTATTGCTTATCGCAACCTTCTCGTCTTCCCCTATAATCGATTATCGCCTTATCGAACCCAGACGCACGACTAGAACGACGGGACAATTGTGAATGTCGCTGGCTTCTTTCGACACTGTCAACGAGTTCTCGTCAATTCAAGGGCCATGATACTGCGCGCAGCGCTTGATCTCAATGTCCGCTGCACCTCGTAGGAAACTGGCTTGCCGTGTGTGCACCCGTCGCAAAGTTAAGTGCGACAAAAAGATTCCATGCGACAACTGTGTCAAGAGAGGTACTCCTGCACAGTGTGAGCGTGCTGAGAATGATGGGATCCTTGCTCGAGGCAGCTCGGTTTCTGCAGGGCAACACGATGGAGGTGCCGCTTCTCTCAATGCCCTTCAGGCTCGCGTTGCCGAGCTCGAGGCTCTCCTACAAATGCAAAGGGGAACCGATTCACACACTGTGCCTCACTCTTCTACTCCCGCAATTGAAGAAGCCATTCAACGAACTATAACGCAAACCAGATCATCTTCACCAAGTCACGATTCAGATATTGAGGATGCAGTCACCGTTCTGGAATTCCTGGCGTGGGGCCGCATGAAGGATCCCGACAAGGCAATGCTGTCTCCGGAAGCTCTCAGAGTTTCTGAGTATGATGATGGGACTGGTACCAGCCCAGCAGGTGACCTTGAAACTGCTTTGGATCCAGACCCGAATCTCCTGTCGTGGTTGCAGATTATCCTACCCTCGCGGCGACAGGTCTACCAGCTCGTGGAGTATCACAACAATTGTTTGCTCTGGTTTCACGGCTCATATGTTGCCGCATCATTTTCCAGAACACTGGACTCATTCTACACTGAACACAGCGGTAGATTCGACTCGAAAGGTCTCAACCTGCAATGGGTTGCACTGCTGTTCTCCATTATGACTGGAACCATCACTTCCGCACCATCAAGTGAGGCTAGGAGTTGGGGATTCGATGAGAATGAAGCCAAAATACTATCACAAAAATGGCACAAAGCGGTCATTACCTCTTTGAATGCTGCGAACTTTACTGCACACCACTCCTTGTACGCCGTCCAAGCGATAGCCTCGCTGACAAACGCTGCCCACATGCTGGGCCACTCGAATACGCAATCGATCATGCTAGCATCAGTGGTCCGCATCGCACAAAGCTTAGGTCTACATCGTCTGGATGAGGATGCCCGAGGGTCAGACAGTGAGTTGGAAGCCGGCCGCCGGGCGTGGCAGGAGCTCTGCACGCAGGACTGGTTCAGCACTGCCTTTTCCGAGTCATATTCCATCAATCCACTACACTCGACTTCACTCCCTCCCAAGAATTGTGATGACAACATGAATGTCCTTCCGGATGAGGAACCGACCATCACCAGCTTTTGCAAGTTCTTGGCCAAAATTGCGGCAATCATGCCAGCTTTACAAGATGCTATGGCTTTGTCCAGCACTCTATACACTAAACACGAGGCGGTTCTCGTCCATGATAAAAAGATGCGTTCGTTGGCCACAGGGAGGCCTTGTTTCCTTGCGCATACTGCACTCGACAAGAGCTGGCCCTGCTATATTCCCTGGGCACGACGCGCGATCGCGATGAGTTCCGCTCACAAGATCATTATGATCCATAGGTACGCTGCGCCAGACATAACGAAGCACTACTACAGAATTGCTGATATTCTCGCCAGAAAATTTCTGGGCCTAAGCTTCTCCAATCCTGTCTTTGCTTTTACTCGCCGGACATGCTTAGCGGCCTCCAAAACCATTCTGAAAGAATACCAAGCAAGCAGCAACGACGAAACGAGTCCGATGCTGTGGACACATCAAGCGTTTTCGGTAGCTGCCTGCATCATTATATGCTTTGACATCCTACATTCGCGCTCGTCTAGTCACGATGAAGAATACCTAGTAGACCAAACCGTTGAACATCTTCAATCGTGCCGACAAAAGAGCATGATAGCTGCCCGGGGCGTCAAGGTGCTGAAAGCCCTCCAGAAACAAATTGAGAACCGCGGTGAAGTCCGGAGGCGACTTGTCGATAGTCCAAGAGATGAGCCTCCAAGAAAACGACGCCGAGGATTTGATGCTGCAGAGTTTGCCCGATCATTCGTGGACCTCGAAAGTGACTCGCCCGCTGAACATGACACGCAACAACGTCGCGAGAATTCTGCAGCGGCAACGTATGAGAGGCCTCAACGCACGGAAGAGAGCCCCCAGATGGACGACGAGGACGAGCAGGTCACCTTGCCATCAGACTTGAATTGGTTGTGGAATATGCCATCGCATGACCACGATGGCATGCAGACATTTAACAGCTTGCTGTCTTTTGCTAATCAAGGCCTTGGGCTATGAAGCTAGTGATTTTACTCTTAAGGGTGGCGATCGGGCAGAATAGGCGGCCCGCAATACTTGGACGGATATATAAAACACGACACAAAAAGCCTCACCCCGTGGGATGATCAGACGCCGCAATGTTGCACTGATGCATAATCCTTGGGCCGTATGATTCGGGGAATTCGGTCTCGGAGGTGTATCAGTAGATTTGTCTCACGAGCAGGGGCAGTCAGTTTCACTTACGATGCTGTGCCATAACGCACGGTTGTACCAAAGAACAACATCTTGCTCGTCGTGGCGATGTGCGTATATGTTTTCTGGCGAGATGGCCGGCCTCATGATCCTTCAACACACGCGTCAGCGACTCGATCTGTCACAAAATATCGTAAGAGAGACACACTTGTGCATAAACTCCCGGACTTGGTTGAGATCATCAATGATCTCCTCTTCTCCGTCAGGGGTGCTCTTGAGGAAGAGCTTGACGGCTCCTTGTCCGTGGACCTGCAACGACTTTTCGCCGGTCTTGGGGTTCGTCCAAACCATAGGGTAGACGCAAATCTTGCTCTCGTCCACTGGAGGAAGTTTGTCTCGTGGCAGTTCCAGGCCCTCGGTCTCTAATATGTGTCCAAGACGCGCACTGTGGGCTGTTGACATCCACTTGAAGGCGTGCGGGGCGTACTCTATCCTGCTGTGAAGGGCAATCTGCCTTGTTGCCTCATCGAGAAGCTCAAGTGCTCTGGACCCAGCGACGTAAGCAGTCGCTCCGGGTGGAATCTTCATCTCGGTTCCTGTACCGTCTTCCCAGCGAACAGTCACATCTGGGCCTTTTGGGGTACGCACAGCTAACAAGCATCCGACCCGTGGTGGCGGGATGTTGTACAAAGAGCCGTCCCAGTGCCACTGATAGAATCGGCTGGCTCCCTTGTCACGTTCTTCTTGGGGTATGTGAGGCGGAAGATGGAATTCGCGATGGTCTATACCCTTGATCTTGAAGCCGGGAGGGAACTGGTAGTGACCTTCCGGGACCTCGCCTCTTCCTAAGATGTGGACTTGAGGCTGGACTGGGACGGCAGGTCGACTGGGAATCCCGTAGATATTGACGTTGTTGTGAGACGTAAGGAACGGGTCGGCTCCGTGGGCAAATCCTCCCGTCGTCTCTTCAGGGTCAAAGTTCGCCGTCAGCAGATATTGATTTTGGGGTGTGAGCATTTCAGGCTGCTCCTTGAAAATCAAGACTTTGTGTTTGTGTAGTGCATCGGAGATCAGTTCGAAATCGGCGTCGGTGAGGTTATTCAAGTCAATTCCGTAGACCTCGGCGCCAAAGTCTACCTTGCTCTGTTCCGGATGCTTCAGAGGGACAATTCGCCCATCGGTCTTCTCGGCATGCGGGAGCGATATGTCGGCTGTTCTGGTCGCAATTAGTCGCGCTTTGACGCCTTCTGGGGCAATGACTTCTGTGAGGGCTTCGACGACCATTGTTGCGGACAGTGATATCACAAACGATATGAGAACGCTATTGAAAGGGCTCAAGAGCTGCTAGGAAGTCGACATCGAAGACATCTTTTCAATGGTGAGACTTTGGTCTAGAGTCTCCGGCGCCAGCTAGCCATCTTAGCTGGTCTACACTTCCCCAGTTCTCCGAAGCGGACATCGGCCGAAGGAGATCATTGTATGTCGTACAGTGAAGAAGATAGAGCTGCGAAGCCGCGAGGTATTGGGTTAATCGGCTCAAATGTGATGAATTGAATGCCCTCGGCCGAGCCCGATTTCGGTTCCCGGCCGAGGACCCGCAAGTCATGGTGATGACTGAGGCAGGCATGCCATTGTCGTGGGGACTGCCGAAGAATAGATGAGGCTTGAAATCTCTCCTCGTTTTTTCATGTAGACTGGGCTTCTAGACCGCGGAACGGTCAAGAATAAACAAGATGACGAGTGTGTCACGATATTGCCTCACACGAAGCGGCACCAATATTCATTATAGCTGTGCAGGTAGTCAGCAAGGCCGTCTCGCATTATTGCTGCATGGACTAGGCGGCTCGACAGCGACATTTCAACGTCTCCTTCCATCAATCCCGTCGGATTACCAGATCGTCAGCGTTGATATAGAAGGGTTTGGAAAGTCGGCTCTCAATCCAGAAACACCTCTGTCCTTTGCACGATATGTCGCCGACTTACACGATCTCATCACACATTTGCAAGAACATTCTCCGACCCTTGCGATCGAGGATGCCGCTGGTAACAGCAGCAGCAGCAGCAGCAGCAACAGCAGAGCCAGCGACAATGGAAATGTCCTGCTCATCGGACACTCGCTCGGCGGCATTATCAGCCTTCATTACGCCGCCAGTTATCCGGGCAAAGTGGCAGGACTTTTGCTGCTGGGTGTAGGCCGTTCGATCAAAGGGATACCACCTGCTCAGCAGCGGATGCGCGATCTGGCAAAGGCAGCACGAGAAAAGGGCATGAAAGTCGTAGGCGAGATTGCCATCGCGACGAATTTGCCCGCGGATCGAGAGAACGAAGTCGCACACCTACAAGAAGTGCGGGACGCAGTGGCCTCATGCTCGGCTGAAGCCTATGCGGCGACGGCTGAAGTGCTCGCAAGTGATGATCACTTAGATCCGGAGTATGGTCTGATCAAGTGTCCGGCCGTCTTCGTCGCGGGTGACAAGGACGTGATTAGCCCGCCTCAACGGTCGAAAGACATTAGCAGTCTCCTTGGAGGACCGGCAGAGGTGGTAGTTGTCAGGAGTGGTCATCAGATGATCTTACAGGACCTCAAAGGCGTACAGATTGCTTTGACGAGATTGCTCGCCATGCTCTAGAGAGTTTGTCTGAAGCGCTTCGTTACCCCGTAGAAAGGGGACGAATGTGGAAAAGTGCATATAAACGTGTATGCTTCTCCGTATTGATACAGGAAGACCTCATGTAGTTCACCGTACGTACTCGGACGCGTTTCTCGACGCGAACATCCTCGACTTCTCCTTTCTTCGACAACTACTATATGTCTAGGTCTTGACTTCACGTTTCTCCAGTCTACATATTTATCGATCACCTCATCACAGGGCTCTTCTTACCGTGATGTCGACCAGAGATGGGGCCAGGACGAGTAGTGCCGATCTCGGATGTCTACTTGAGTGTGTCTGGACTTCGACATTGGTGTGAACGTGCGCTCGACCTTTCGAGAGGCCTAGACCTCGCTTACGCAAACAATGATATTCTTTGTCCTTCTTGATCGATTCCACCATATGGACGAGGCTCCGTGCAAAGTTCCCCCCTTCCCTTCCTTTGTGTTGTTTGCATTCCACGGCATCTGATCCCGCCGTCACGCCCAACTCAAGAGGTAAGTGGGTTTCGCTATACAATGGCAATCCGGTTTCCCGACTCATCGCGGCCACTTTCTCTTCCCAACGCAGCCGACTGTCTTCTTGACAAAGGCGAGCGAGGACAAAAATCATGCTCTTCCCACTTTCTCCGTTTCTCTCTCCCAAGGTCGCACCTCTGCGTCAAGCTCCCATCAGGTCGCAACGATGACGAGCTTCCCAAGTGCATTGCTGGCAATCTTCCTCAGTTTGACCTTTGACCACGTCGAGGCATTCTGGCGTATGCGATGTGGTACCGTCCAAGTTGGACGAGTTGATCCCATTGTTTCGCCTGGCGGTGTTGCAGGTCACTGCCACACCATCGCCGGGCCTAACAGTGAGTGCTGCGAAACTGTGAAAAAGGTAGATCGTACTGACTCCGTCCAGATATCAATACTACTTCAACATTCGACGACCTCCAAGCCGCCTTCTGCACCTCTTGCGAAGTCCAAGCAGACAAGAGCGCATACTGGACTCCTAATTTGTACTACCGTTACCCTAATGGATCCTTTGCGGAAGTCCCCCATGATGGCACAGTCGCGTATTACTTGGATCGTGGGGTGGATGTCCCCAACATGAAACCTTTCCCGCCTGGTTTCCGAATGCTTTCGGGGGATGCCGCCGCCAGAGTCTACGATCCTAACACTCTTACTTGGGGCAATAAGACTTTCGGTCCGACTCCAATCTCAAAGAGAGCCAGCTTCGCGTGTCTTGACAGCAGTGGTCCTATACCCGAAACTCCAGGCCTCAATATCACATCTTGCGACAATGGTCTCCGAGCGCAGATTCATTTCCAAAGTTGCTGGGACGGTGTCAATTTATACAAATCAGACCAAAGTCATGTTGCTTATTTGTCCGGTATGGACAATGGTGTTTGCCCTCCCGGCTACCCTGTTCTTCTACCTCATATCTTCCTTGAGATCATCTACTTCCCCAACTCTGTCGCAAAGAAGGGCGATGGAGGCATATTTGTCTTCTCCCAAGGCGATACCACTGGCTATGGCTTCCACGGCGACTTCCTGAATGGATGGGACCCCCAGGTTCAGATCGACTCAATCAAGCAATGCATGGGACCTGGGGCTACCAATAACGGCGCCATTGGCGCCTGTCCGCCTCTCGCTGCTTCCGAGGACCCCTTTTTCAACCAGAATTGCCCTGAGCAACCGGCCGTCGTGAACGAGGCTGTCCATGGCTTGATCCCCCTTCTACCAGGCTGTAACCCTCCAACTGGTGGACCTCTCCGCGCCGCTCAGAACATCTGCCCTGTCCAGCCGTCCGTCGATGTCATCGACAATCAAGACTACAAGAACCGATCGGTCGCAACAGTTGGCCAAAAGATCGGCAATTGGCAGTACATGGGGTGCGCGTTTGACAAGTCCACACCTCGTCCCCTGGCCGGCAAATCTTACTATGATACAACCGGCATGACCATAGAAACGTGCACTGCATTCTGCAAGCAAAACGGCTATGCCATGGCTGGAATGGAGGCATCGTCGCAGTGTTACTGTGGTAGTGCCTTGAGCCAGCTCATTCAGGACCCCTTGACTTGCGCCGCGCAGAACTACTACGTGTGCTCGGGCAACTTGTTTGAGTACTGCGGCGGGCAACAGCTGATGCAAATCTGGAACGACACCACTTACACTGGACCTACACTCAAGGGTCTTCCTATCGCAGGCCAATCGAAGTTGCCATTACTCGACGGCAGCACCGCGACGTATCAAGGTTGCTATACAGAAGGCGTGGGTGCAAAGGCACTCCCCGGATCGAAGTACTCGAATAGTACGGGGATGTCGCTGGAAAATTGTGCCGCGTTTTGCCAAAAGGGCAACTACGCGCTGTTTGGGACCGAATATGCGCAAGGTATGTGATTGTCCTGCTTCAACCCTCCTTGTCCTCGCCGGCGTGCTCGTCGACGTCGCTCTGATAGCTAACCCTTGCTCCTTCCAGAGTGCTACTGCGGCAACAGCATCACAACCTCTCAAGTGCTCCAGAGCAACTGTTCGGCCATTTGTACCGGCGACAACACGGAGTTCTGCGGCGGCAACTCTAGACTTTCCGTCTGGGCTCTGTCAAGCTACGTGCCTCCGACGACGTCAAGCGGCGGCCCATCTTCGCCCACGGCGTCAGCGTCTCCGTCCCCTGCAGCGACGGGCATCACGTACCTGAACTGCGTGAGCGAGACATCCCCCAACCGCGCCCTCAACGGAAGCTACACGTCCAGCGGCAGCATGACGGTCGACCAGTGCGCGTTCACCGCGCAGGGTCTGAACCTGGCGTACTTTGGTCTCGAGTACGCAAGCCAGTGTATCGCCGGCAACGTGCTCAACAGCGGCTCTGGCGTTCTCAACCCGAGCAAGTGCAACATGAATTGCGCAGGAAACAACACCCAGACGTGCGGCGGATCGAACGCCATCTCCTTGTACAACAACACACTGTACGTCAAGGCGACGAACCCTGACCCCGTCACCGTCCCCAACCAGCCCGGCACCCAGTACGGGTACGTGGGGTGCTACAGCGAGCCGGCCGGCGCCAGAGCCCTGGGCCCCAATGCGCAGTTCGGCAGTACGCAAACCACGCTGAGTACGCTGACCGTCGAGGCGTGTGCGGCCTACTGTTTCGGCAAGGGCTATTCGTGGATGGGCGTCGAGAACGGCAACCAGTGCTTCTGTAACGGCGCGGGTATCATCAATGGCGCGGCGCAGTCTGCTGGCGGTGACGCGGACTGTGGCACGGGATGTCAGGGCAACCCGAAGGAGAATTGTGGCGGGAATGCAAAGATCAACATCTACCAGTTGAAGAGCGGTAGCAAGAGGAGAGCCAGAAGGACGTGGTAAGGCGGTGAAAAAAATACCCCAAGTTGCATCAGGATGATCGATTGGTTCTTTTTTTGTGAGTACTTTGTAGTCTTTATTTACAGTGCATATCTGGGCTTCTCATACTCCCAATTCCCGATGAAGAAAGACTACTCACGTCGAGATTCATGAAGCCAATGTTACTTGAACGGTGCTGCGATAAGAAAGGGCTCTAACCCAGCTTTGCTAGCTAGTATTTATCGATCAGCATTAAGTGATGGTTTGAGCATTGTGGTTTTTGAAAGTCTTCATTGCCGTCATGAGCGGTGTTCCATCGCAACATGAACTCCTTTCCTAAAGTCGAGACTCGATTCGATACAGGGAATTCATCGAACCATGGGAAGATAACCGCGGTCCCTTGCACAGGGCCGAAGGATTCTAAATTTCTCTTGAAGAACCTGGAAATGCAGGGATCGTCGTACTAGAAGGGTGTCCACCGCACTGCCCATCTGAGTTGGCCATACAGCACTCTTCTGCCTTCCTCCCACACCCGTTTGCAAACCCGGAGGACCTGGGCAGATAGACCAGTACCATCGACGAAGAGAAGTTCATCGTCAAAGTCAGACCAGGACGGAGCCTTGTCGGGGGCCGGCCAAGAGACGGTATCTCTAATAAACCTTTTGAGTCTGATGTCCTCTACCAAAGGATCGGTCGAGCAGAAGAATACGAGGATTTCGCGATGATCCACAAACAGTTCGTGGTATATCTTGTCGAGGATCTCTGGTGGATAGTTCAAATAGCCCATAGTGCCCACCGGGCGACGTTGTTCGCGGTGTTGGAAGGCAACCATTGCCATACCTGCAGCCGTGAACACCGCCGTGGGGCCTGACTTGGTCGTCCTGGTCGAAAAATAAGGAGCAGGATGCAAAGTAGATATGCGCGACGGTCTCTGTGTAGAAGCTGAGGTCCTTGTGGTGGTGCGTCTATGTTGAATGCCGTTATTACTACCATGGAGAGTCGTATGCAGTAAAGTACTAGACGGTGTTGATAGCAATATCGTGAACCTGATCGTCTCCGTAAAGGATGCCGAGACACTGAGAGGCACTTTAACGTGCGGCCGGTGTATATGCGCCTTTAGCTGCCACAGCAGTCGCGACTGCTTCATCGTTTCTTCGCTTTAGAAGCCATTTTCGCCTTCCTTGCTCTTTCAGAAGCAAAGACCATCAAGTTCCTTGGTTTTCTCTTGGACACCTTGTGGACTTTTGCGTTTGACCGGCTCTTCTTCGACCGAGGATTGGTGGACTTTGACTTCGTGCCATCGGCATCGACCTCCATATCTGAGATTTGTGTTAGATGTCGACGGGTGCTGTTCGGGAAAACTCTTACCTTCTGCACCGTCGTTTGTGGGCTCTTCCGCCTCTGCTTGTTCAGTTGTATCGTCAACATCCATAGCCTTCTCCTCATTCGCCTTTGGCTTCGCTGCTAGTTCCTGGAGTTTGGTGGATAATCTTTCTAGCCGGGCATCGTGGGCAGGACCGAAGACTTTGGCACGCAGATTTCGGTGGTTGCGTTTTGTGACAGACGCTCTGGCTGATTTGGCCATGACGAGGGCGACTTGGGAGTTTGAGGATATCCGTGGGGGTCACTGGGGGAATATCTGAATAGCGTCAGCTTGAGAAAATATATCTGGCCTTTGGACCGAAAGTGAAATGAAGTGAGAGATGGTCGAAGACGAAAAAACTGCGGCTGGCCCACCAATCAGTGCCACTTCCGCTGTCGAATGCTGGACTATCACATCACTTTCTACTCCAGATTGACTCTTCGTACTACGACGACCGCATCTCAGCTTCTTCCCAGTTCCCGTCGTGCCTCGTCGAGACCGTTCGGGCCACAGCTGTGCCCATTCACTGTCCTCTATCACCATGTCTGGGTACCTGCGATAGTATTCTCCGGTTCTCCATCTCACAACACCTCCCACCTCGTCAAAGCCGCCTTCCACCATGGCTGGGTATCTGCAGGCGCAGGACCAGGCGCAAGCCATGGTGGCCCAAGTCAAGACTTTGACTGTCGAAAAACTAAAGAACCTGCTTCGGTCCGAATCGCTGCCTGTGTCGGGTGTTAAAAGTGAACTGCAAATCAGGACCATCGCACGTACGCCGCACTTCCTTTGCGTCGTTACCGCTTCACTGCGTCTGTCCGCAGGCTAACCTCGACTTCGCAACAGACATCGAAAAGCTGCGCAATGCTGGCGACATCGCAGGCCTGAATAGGCTTCGAGGGAACATCAGAGGCATTCCTCCGCCTTACAACAACCATTCATACCCTCCGCCTTATTCTGCACACACTCCCGCATCTTCCGCCTCCCCCCAGTTTTCGTCTCCGAATACCCATACGCCATACAACATGTCTTCGACGTCTTCATCCCATCCACCAAGTAAGAATGTGACTCTGTGAGCGAGAAGAGATTCTGATACAAGACAGGCCGCATCAGCTTCAAGAATTCGCCATTCTACACCATTGTCCGACCATTGACCCAGACCTTGGAGTGTAAAGGTGATAACTGTCACCAGACTATCACAACTCTCTCACTGACTGATCGGCTGTAGCACGAGAATCAACCCGAGATACCGCCCGTCTTACAATCACGCTCGGCCAGCAGGTCGCTTCCCAACTAGAGTCGGATTCGTCATACAGAGTCATGGTTTTCTGTGCTGGGGAAGGCTTTACACCATTCACCAGAGAATCAGAAATCGCATTTCCACACAATGTTGAACTGAAATGCAACTCTGATGAAGTGAAGGTGAATCTTCGAGGGCTGAAGAACCGACCTGGATCGACCAAACCAGCAGACGTCACAGATTTCATCAGGAAGAAGCCACCGAATTATCCAAACTCGGTGGAGATGATTTATGCATTGACTACTAAGGTGCGCCAGAAGATGAACTCTCCTTCCTTTCTACCCTTCTGTGTTCGATATCTAAATCAAGAATTATCATGCTAAACAGGCCAAACCTCCTACACAGAAGTTCTACTTGGTTGTCAATTTGGTCCACAAGAAATCAATTGACTCCATGGTGTCCGAGATCCGCCGAGGCAAAACAATCAGCAAAGATCAAGTCCTGCGGGAAAGTAAGTAGGGCACTCTTCAGATATTGACCTCCTCTGACTCTGCTAGTGCGGTCGAAAGCGGACGATCCGGATATTGTGGCAACGTCAAGCGTGTTGTCTCTGAAAGACCCGGTCGCATACACACGCATTGTTACTCCATGTCGGGCCATGTCATGTAATCATAACCAGTGCTTCGATGCGGCGTGCTTTCTCCAGCTCCAGGAACAGGCGCCAACGTGGACATGCCCAATATGCAGCAAATCTGCAGCATGGGAGAATCTGGTGTTGGATCAATATGTTAATGACATTCTGAATTCAACACCGCTTGACACCGAAGCGGTCACCGTTCAGCCGGATGGAAGATGGTCTATTCATACCGAAGGCGACAATACGAACCAACGCAAATCAAACCCCACACCAAGCGATGACGACGATGATGACGACGAAGATCTGGTCGAGCTCGGAGACAAACGCGACGCTCGGCCAAAAGTCGAAACACTAACACCTTACAGCGTTAGAACTCCACCACTTTCTTCCAGAGAGGATTCTAGCGCACCGTCGGCATCAAGATCCAACAAACGCCCGCGCGAGGATGTGATTGACTTGACGCTAAGTGACGACGAGGCGCCAGCGCCAAAAGCACGGAGATTAATAGATCCAGTTGCATCCACTGTACGGCCTCCTGATCGATACCACTTTCAATTACCTCCTAACCCTCCATCTTACACGACCAACAGGTTTAACTCAAATTCTTTATCTTGACACGACGGTTCTAGTATTCGGCATTCGGCATTCAGCATTCAGCGCGGCGTTGGGACGGAGGATCGATCACATGTTAACAAGTTTTTGCATTGGAGGAAAATAGCTACTTAGGTATGATGACAGCACAAGAAGAGTCCAGTCTTTGGACGGGGCCTCAGGAGTTGGGGCGGAGTTGTCGTCGCCAGCAAATTGCGAGATGAGCAGGTTCGGTGTGAGGGCGGAAGAGAAATCAGTTGTTGAAACGGGTATTTCGTACGCGCGGGCGTGCGAGCACAGGGACACGGGTTGAACACTTCATGGCTTGTGCAATTACCGACCAAGTTCTTGTATCTCTTCGAGAACCACGTGTACAGTAACGACGATCAGCATTCCCGACGACATTCAGAAGACCTACGGGATTCTTCTGAGGGTAAGGGAAGACGGTGCTTTACATGGTGGTTTTGCTTTCACGTTATGACGAATTGAGCGGAAAGAACAGTAATGAAATAAAACAGCAAGTTTCTCTCAAGCATTATCCTAGGAGCCGGACGGTGATAAGATAGAGAGTGTCCAGCCGCCTGTGGAATCGATATGCCTCTTGAAAGAAAGTGCATCTTCCCTTTGAACGTGCCGCTAAAGATGCAACGGGGGCCACTTCTTGCCTTGGTGCATTATGAAGAATCTAGACGGTGCACACGAATTGTAAACTCAGCCGGGGAATTTGCCCAATATGCCCCTGAGTTCAGAAGCCTCATTCTTCGTGACGAGGTGTCGGTATTGTCCAGTCTAGATCTAGCCCGTTGAGACCCAACCACGTCACCGTCTGACAAGCACGGCACAAACACACCATCGCATCGCCATGTGTTTATCTTCACCCGGTCGTTTGGAAGCCCAGGGTCTCCGCACGCCGTTCACGTCGATCTCAAACATGTCGACAGCCTTGAGCCTCCCTCTAACAGCGCGAGTCTCTGTGTCGTCATCGTCGTCATCGTCGTCGGCGGCGGCGGCTTTTTCCTCGTTCTGCGCAGCGAGTGTGAATTCCCCCGTCGCGACTTCGAAGAATTGCCTGAGTATCTCTCTCCCCGTGTGGAAACCAGCGACGACGAGCGCGCAGGAGGGGTCACCTTCAGCATCGTCTCCGGAGAGATAGGACAGGATGGTCTTGCAGATGTTCACGTGCTGGTCGGGCATCCAGAGACATTCTGCTATGATGATCCGCTGGAACGAGCCAGGTTGGTCTGGGGTGGGTTTGCCGTATGTGTTGGGGAGGTAGAATGTCGTGGTTCCCCATGTGTAGCCGTATATTGATATTTCGGTGTCTGTTTTTCTTTTTGTCGACGACGATGATGACGAGGCTTCTTCCGCTTGGGATTGCTGCTGCTCTTGACGCCGTGTGTATGTATACCGTGCAGCTGTGTGGGAGGCGACATCGTCGAGGGTCGTCTTGTCGGTGATGGGGGTGGCAGTGTCCGTCCCGGGTTCTTCGCTGGATGTACTAATGACGTGGAGATTGTGGCCGATGCTCTGCTCGATGGCGCCCATTGTTAACGCGGTGCTCGTGGGGTGGTCTGTTATAGCCACGCTCTTTGCTCCGGACAGCGCTGCTATTATGCTCGGTAACGCCGCTCCTGCCGTGCCGTACCTTGATCAGCTCACTCGTTGCTCCGTGGACTTTTGGTGTCGACATACACGCTGTCTTTGTCGATTACGTACCGGCGCCCAACTCGAGTACCGACTTCCCCCGTACGCTCCAGTACCGATTGTTCCAAGTGGCATGGTTCTCTTCATGGGTATCTTGGCCCGTCCCACTTTGACTCGGGGGCAGGGGGCCGTTGCTGCCCTCCTCGATGGCGTCGGCGGCTACCACGCCCCCGTTCCACAAGTTGTACGCGAAAAGGCTGCGACCTTCAGCGGCATCGGGATGTTCGGGGATGCGCAGAGACAGTCTGCCAAAGTGAGGAGAATCATAGTACACCGATTGTCCTGGAACGCCGTGGTGGGTTTGTGTGTCGTCGGTAAACAGGTTCGAGAGGGCTGAAGAGAAGAGATCTTCTGCAGAGGGAACAGCTGGGACGGGAGCGTAGACACGAGACGGATACATGGTGAAGCCTTTGAGGTGTTTGAGGTCGCTAAGAGGCTCGAAAAGTGCCTAGTATTTGAGGTTTGAAGGTGATCTAGATGAGTGGGCCCATGATCTGAAGGCAACTGGCAATGGGTAGCGTGTATATTTTAGATTTGAGAGTCACGGCTCATGGAGACCATGTTCCATAGCTAACAACTCATGTTTGCGAGACAGCTACAGAGAATGGAGGGTCGACCGTTGCGAAAAGTATTCTAGGCAAGGCTGAGCGGTATGCGGGGTGTCTGACGCTCGATAAGATAAGATGAGGAGAAAGATTCTTTTCCTCCCACCACAGGCCAGGAAGAACCTCAGGTGCAGAGAGCGACCCTTGGACAAGTCGTTCTTAAAAACAGAAAAAACAGAAAAATTGACACCGCCATTCTCGTATCTCCAGCGAAGATAATAAAGCCGTTATTGAGCGTCAGAAACCAAGGAGACGGAAAGGATGTCACACCCCACACATCTAGATCCAAGCGAACTAGGGACAAAGGCGTAGTAAGTACGTTCCCTCTCCTCCCGTCCCCCGTTTGATTATACATCTCGTTCCGCCGTTGCGCCATGTATACTCGAAGACATTGTCAATCCTGACACTGCGAAATGCGAAGCTGGGACAACTATTACCAAAATGACCTCGACCAACAGCGCCGAGATCACTCCGAGGGAGACGAAGACTCCAACACAGAGGACGTTGCCGAGTTACCAGACCCATCAGATCTGGAATCGTGGTTCGACGACGTCGGCGCTCCAGCAAAGACACTTGAGTTCCTGACGTCCGAGTCTTTCCCGTTATCACCCAACTACTCCGTCGCCGACGATGACGACGACGACGAAGAAGTAGAAGGAGAAAGTTCTTCGGACCGACGGCCTAGCGTACTGGATCTCGGCACGGGCAACGGCAGTGCCTTGTTCTCCTTGCGCCTCGAAGGAGAGTACACGGGACGCATGGTCGGGGTGGACTACTCGAGCCAAAGCATCGAGCTCGCCAGGAAGCTGTGCAGACAGTACTTCCCACCTTCAAACGCCGAGGGAGGCGGTGATGTGACGTTCGAAGTCCTCGACCTCGTCAACGACGACCCGACGACGAAACCGTGGTGGCCGACGCCACAGGGCGGATTCGATCTCGTATTGGACAAGGGCACATTCGATGCGGTCTCACTGTCCTCTGCGACCGTGACCGACCCTGCGACGGGGACGGAGAGGAGGATGTGCGAGTTCTATCCCGCCAAGATACTCGACATGGTCAGGCCGGGCGGGTTCCTGCTGATCACGAGCTGCAACTGGACGGAGGAGGAGGTTGTTTCGTGGTTCACCGGCGCAGAGGCGAATGGCACCGGCAACTTCGCCGTCTACGACAGAATCAAGTACCCCGTTTTCGAGTTCGGGGGACAAAAAGGCCAAGGTGTGGCGAGCGTGTGTTTTCGAAAATCCCAAAACCCTACGAGTACTCGGTGATAGCTCATTCTTTTATCTTGGTTTATCATTTCATCTGTACCAGGGACGATAATAAACTTCAACCTGGATCAATACACTACGTACCATGTGCCATTTATTGCACCATCACAAGAGGCCGATAGGGCACGACCAGCTAGCTCATCAGCATATTCACAGCCCAAGGAACAGACAGCTGTCTCAAGTCACCGTAGTGCTGTCCAACGCCGATGAACTGTACTGGAACAGCTGTAGCGTGGACCAAACTGATCATGGTGCCGATGCCTGAACCGACAGTATCGATCTTCGACACGATGAATCCGTCAAGCTTTCGGCCTTTCCCTAATGCTTTGGTGAAATTCTGCGCTTGACCGACAGAGTCGTTCCCGACTAGCGCCTCGGCAACTTGCAAGATCAGGTCTGGCCTGGCAAAGTCCACAAGCTTTTCAAGAGATGCCATAAGCTGAGTGTTTGTGTGTGCTCGGCCTGCCGTGTCAATCAGGACGACTTGGTAATCGTTGGCAGCAGCGAACGCAACCGCGTCTTTCGCGACGTTGGCGGCATCCTTGCCGTAGCCTCGTTCGTAGATACTAACTGCGCCGAGGTTTTCTCGTTCGGTGAGCTCCCTGAGATTGCGCACATGAACGTTCAATTGTTCAACCGCACCCGATCTGAAGGTATCACCAGCGGCAATCAAAACTCGATAGTTGTTCTGCAAGAGGAAATAGCAGAGCTTCGAGAGGTTGGTTGACTTGCCGACACCGTTCACTCCAAGGATGGTAATGACAAATGGACGAGGTTGAGCCTTTGATCCAGAAGGGTTCGCGACGGTCTCTATCTGCTGAAGTAGATCCAATGACGACCGTGGTGTGAGAATCTTCCGAAGAGAATTCTCCAGAGCTGGTTTCAAAGCAGCGTCGATCGACTCAAATGCACCCGTCTTCTTCCCCAGCATTTCGGCTTCCACACCCTGGCACAGACGAATCGCAGCATCTCGAGCAACGTTTTTGTTGATCAGGTGTTCTTCCATAGACTTTAGGGGGGTTTCTAGATCCTCTTTAGTGAGGGTCTTGCCTCCGACGATGTTTCTAAAATATCCAGAGATGGCTCCAAATCTCGAAGTACCACTTCCATTCGTTTCTGCTTTATCTGTGTCGACAGACTTCAAGATATTGTCGACTTCATCACCGAGATCCTTCAGCACAAATTGACCTTGCTTGTTCTTCGTGCCCCAGCTTTCCTGGCTGATGGCCTCTGGCGGCGGAGAGCGAAGCCCCGAATTGCCATTTGTGCCATCATCGACTGCTGAGTAGTCCAGAGTCACATCATCTGCCTCATCTGCCATTCCATCCGGACCCCAGACCCTGCCTTTCTTGGCAGCGGCTGTCTTTGGGGTGCGTCTCCTCGCCTCATCGCCGGAAGAGGCATTCGCAGAGGATGTCACTGCATTAGCTGCCTTCCGAGCCCTTCGAGAACCTCGACTGCCCGGTCGGCCCTTTTCTGCCAACAAATGTGGTGCTGCGCCACGGAGAGGGGTGCTTGGTCGAGAAGTGTCTGGTGTCTGAACGGGGGTGAGCTGTGGCGACTCTCCGTTTACAGCTGGCACAGCTCGTGGCTGCGCCTTGAGTAGCTTAGGAGATGGTGGCGGCGGTGGTCCTCCTGTATCTCCTCCTTCAGCACTGAGTTGCTTTCCTTCTTGCACTTCTGCGCGAGGAGGCTGCGCCGTGACTGCGCCACCAGTGCTTTGGTTCAATCTGCGTAGCTCTTCGTCAAAGTACTTGTCGAAAGGATACTTCAAGGCGGCATAGTCCAGCTCTTCCAATTGTCCTCTATAGACCTCGACGAATATTGTTCGGACATCGTCAAGCAGCTTGTCGACCCAGGTGAGGTGAAGGAGGGATTGGTAGACAGCGACAAATATTAGCCCAAGATCTTTGACCAGGGTGTATTTCAACGTGTATTTCTCATGCTTGTAGGTGGGATTGCTTGAGTGCGTGATCGTCGGACGAACTTTCTCTTCGATGAAGACATCGTTGATCAGGTGGTTGACCGCAGTCGCTCCAATACTGGAAGTACTGCGGGACCACAGGACGACACCAGAGGTCGTGAGGATTTCAAACGCGTCTAACATCTCTGAGGGAGGAGATTGCTTGCCTGTGCGCAGACTTAAGAAATGCGTTGCCTGTTGGGACAAGAAGATCGAACATATGATCCCCCACTGCACTTCACATGGAATTTGTGACGCACTGTCTGAATCACTCAAGTGGCTCTGCACTTCACCGTGGATTTTCCATAAATGTCACATAGAGGCAGAAGTTCCAGACAATCAAGAATAAACCAATCTGAAGCATTTCGAAATTGCTTTCGATTAAAACGAGGCCATATCTGGTACATTCTATGACCCTATAAGGAAACAGAAACAGCTAGTAGCAAGCGGACAATCCAGCACTGAAAGGAAAAATGGCACATAGAATTGAGTAAACCAAGTTTGCCATTTGTTATCCATCTCACGCTCCCTCACTTTATCCTGACTCGCTTACACCTTCTGCTCGACCGCAGCTTCGAGTTTCTTCACAGGAGCCACCACGTCCTTCTCCATCTGCTCGATGGCACCTTGCGTGCCCTTCACAGATTGGTTGTACAAGAAAATGCGAGTACACTGGATAGTGCCAACAATGAACAAGCAGAAGTTGACGGCCGCAAGACTAAAAGGAAGAGAGGTAAGTCAGCCATGTGTCTAAGTGAGTTGATCCCGACGAGTTTGGCGCTATTGATAGAATACAAAACAAAGAGCGCAGAAACCTACAGCATGTTTTGTGGCCTGATGATAAAGCACCATCTCGTCCAGATAGAGCCAGTGGCCATGAGAGCGAGATTTTGAGTCAGAGATAACTTCTCCGCAGGTCGAAGGAAGTCCGTCGCGCCGGCAAGGACGACACCCCATTTCATGACAGGAGCCCTATAGTCAGAAGCCTCCAATTAGCCGTTGCCCATCATAATCTGTCTGTGACGAAACGCCACGGGATGGACCTCAAGGGGCAACATATCATACCAGAAGTGAACTGTCTTGATCCCGACCTCACTGGTCCATAATCTTTGGAGCAAGCTCTGCTGCGGTGCGGCGTCAACGGCTGGGTTGGTCGCAGTGCCTTGCCATCTTCGGAAAATAGTGTTTCTGAACTGAAAAGGAGTGCGTGTAGTGAAGGATGAGGTCTGTCGGGCAGAGTTCTGCGCAAAGCGGAGGCCAAAGCGGGCGGACATTGTCGCAGGGACTGAGTCAGAGCGTGCAAGTCGCTTGATAAGTTGTAACTCTAGGGAAAGTCGAGAAGGAGGGAAGGAGACTCTGGGATTCAAGGAGCGGAGATTGTCACTAGGAAGGAAAGACCTGTTTCCTGGCTACAAGAGTGTATGAGTCGCGTGGGTGAAATATGAGTAATGGGGACGACGTTGGGAGGAGAAGATGCGATTAAACTGCAAAGTTGCGGCGACCGTCCGGAGCTTTCCCAATAACCCCGAAGCTATTCTACTCTGGGTTAGTGTATGTCGCTGCTTGAGAGAGGTGATTGATGCACCTGGGCATTTGTTTTCTGTAGGTTGAACGACCTTGAGAGCATCTACAGACTCTAGCAGCCGTCATGGCCACCAAATATGCTTTCACACAAGGGCTCCGAGAGTTGCGTTTTCACTTGTGCAGCTCCGGTCAGGGAAGCGAGGCAACGAGGTCGGCACCGTCGCACATGAGGAGCTCCGGCGCATGTTTGCTAACAAGGTATTACAGATCGTTCCTCAAGCGAGCATATCCTACGATGAAGCATCATAACCCAAACACGCCAATCTTAATACGGGAAGCCGTGGGGGTTGAGCCAAAGGTCTGGGTCAGATATGGTATGCGCAGATATACACGAGTACATGGAAGATGAAGGAAAACTGATACTCTCGAACAGGACTAGGAAAGGAGAAATCAGAAACATTATCGGGTAAGGCAACCACGTCAAGCAGAAAGAAGCATGTAGACTCACGTTATGACATAGGGCTATCAGATAAGGAGATCGAGGAGAAGATCACTACCCTGGTCAAGAGCGAATAGACAACCAGGCGACCGCGAGTTTTACAGCTCTCACGATTCTACATTGCCGCATCTAAAATAGAATCGAAAATACATGGGCTCCTGCTACACCCATCCTAGAGCTGCTTGGAATTGAGAAGCAAAACAGTTGTACATATTGAGCAGCTGAGACCTCAGATGGAAAACAAGAACTTTTAGGCGGCTACATCTCCAAACCTATATTGGGCCCAAGCCATACTCGCTTCTGCCAAAGTCCACAATTGCTTTCCCTGATCCTCACCCGACGCACCAACAGCAATGTGAATCGGAATCAGATGCTCAAACGTGGGATGAGCCTGCCTCGCATCACGCCTTTTCAGCACTTCAACCATAACCTCGTCGCGATGATCCCCTGGCTTCGTCTCGGCTGCGACTTTCAACGCTTCGTCAAAGCTTCTCGCGTAGGGCATCGGCATACCGCCACCTCTGAGCATCATGAAGTCTCGCAGATTATGCACGGACATGCCGCTTGCGACAATCAAAATGTTCTCCTCCCTCAACTTCTGCAATGCCCGTCCTAACTTGATGTGTGCCTCAGCGTCTGTATCATCGTCGAAAAGACTGACTTGCACGATCGGCACGGTCAATGGGTTGTCCTTGGGGTCGAACATGACCTTGAAGGGGACGAAGACGCCATGATCCAGACCTCTTTCTGCGGTCTCGGTTTTGATGCCATTTTCGCGCAGTGTGTTCATGACCTTCTTTGCTAGCTCGGGAGAACCTCTGTTGGGAAACTTCTCTGAGTAGTAGTGTCTTGGGAAGCCATAGAAGTCGTACAGCAGAGGCTCATTCTCTGAGACGTTCACTTCGATTGTGTTGGGTCGTTCAGCCTGCCAGTGCGCCGAGAAGACGACAACTGCAGAAGGTTTGACTTGCTCTGTGATCTCCTTGCCTATGGCCTGCAGTTTGGGATACACGGGGTGTTTCGTGTCGTACATTGTGTTTGGGCCCTTGGTATTGTCAGCATCAATCATTCTTCATTGCTCGGAAGGTGTACTACTTACCCCGTGAGAGACGAAATATACCGGCGTTCTTTTGGCCATGTTGATATTCTTCTCTGCCGAAAATCCTGAGAGACTCCTGCTAAAGTTGACCAAATGCCTAAAGGGGCTCGTCGTTCTCCAGGCCGCCAGCGTGGGAGAATCAACTATCTGATTTGACAAGGCTGCGAGAGTGATACCCAGTATCAGTAGTGCTGTCGCTTTTGATCTGCTACTGCCAAGATATCTAACCATTACCGAAAGCCTTCAGTTCCCTCGTGTACGAATGGCTTTGAGCATATTATATCAAACTCGATCTAAGCTTTAATAGAAGAACAGGGTTCCGAGTTAGAATAGTACATGAGGTAGCGTGAAGACGTTAACAGCCGTGCATAAGTAATCGCCTTACCTAATCCACTACAGGCCTGCGGAATTTGTCCGTTGCCGAGGCTCCTGCCTCACAAATTCACAATCAACAATAGGATCTTTGTTACTAGTTCATCAATCCTATCAATTTTCACTACCTCGTTAGTCATTCAGGTGGTATGACTTCAACCTTGCGCATCTCAATAGTTGACTCAGCCCCAGGGAGGCGCCCCCGACGCGTAGTAGGTATGAGGCACTCCCGAGTCACGCCAAACTTCGCGTTGTCATCATCATCAAACTGGTTGATCTCGACAATGTTCCTTCTCAGCTCACCACATCAAATCCTCGCACCAGAGAGTGCCAACCACTGATTTCCTCTTTTCCAGAGCCTCAGGCCCTCAGAGTTGCGTTTTTGTGGCGTTTGTCGGATGATACGCCTTGTACGTCTGCAATACGCCCTGGACTATCTGTGCGACTGCGAAGATGAAGAGCCATATTGCTACCCAGAAAGTACACCATTGTATCATGTTGCGTCTGTCATACCACAGTTGCGAGATTGTTCTTGGTCGCGTCTCGTCGTACAACTCCTTCACAGCCACCAAGCGCTCGTGCCAGTATTTAAACTCTCGAATTTTCCGATCTGCTGGTTTGAGCCGACGGCATTTTGTCAATTCTGTGTCAAATTTAGGACATTCTGGGTGCTGCCGAACCCATGCTGTCATGGCCGAATCATGGGGTGGAAAGAAAAGAGCCAATGTTCTCAAAGTCTCGTCAATCAATCCAGGCGGAAACAGATTGCTAAATTGGTCAATAGCAGTCTAAAATCAGTTGGGTACGGCGGAATTACCTTTGCTGACATTTCAGGAATGACGCGTGGTGGAATATGGCCAGCCTCTGGTTGTCCTCGTCCAAATGCAGATGATCTATGAGATTGTCGGTCCAATCAATGGAAAATCCAGTAATGCGACAAAAGGTGCTGACGTTGAACTCCTTTTCCAGAGTCACATCATGTCCCAACAAGACTTCCGAGGTGAAATGCATTTCAAGGGAGTCTTGTAATGACCCGTGCTCCCAGGAGAGCACACTCCGGCGGCAGTATACGTTGCGGTTGCGCGGCGGTGGATCCGTACATATCATCGTGAGCAGCGTGGCCGAAAGGTTAATTGAGGCGTCGAGCCGCTTCAACTTCTCTCTCTGGTCCGACATGTCCATATCTCTGCCCAGATCCTCCCGAACGACCTCCTTGGACAACCCTTTTGCTAACTTTTTGGCAATACAGATGATTTCCTCAGCTTTCCCAGTACCTGCGTGAAATCCTCTTTGGTTAGCCGCTGCACGCTCCTTTTCTTGATACCTTTGGTATGCCTCCATCGCAATGGACCTTGATCTCTTTTGACTTGTCCCATTACCCCACAGCGTTAAAAATGCTTCTGCAATATTCTTTGGAGCCTCGGGTTTGCAAAGTTCGATGTTCTCTGAGGCTGCCATCCTGGAATAATTGGACTTCGCGGTTGAGTGCACCGCAGTTATCGTGTCACATATGTACAGGATACAGCACGGCTGCGATTTCCAAACAGTTCTAAATCTTTTGATGAGCTCCTGGTGGGCGATGTGCCTTCTCGAGCCGCAACCGCCTCACTCTCTGTTTTATGCATCGCGGCCAATGGACTACAACACCGCCTCAATATTCAGGCTTGACGTGTTGCCCGTTTTCTGTGGGAGATGTGCAGACATGAATCTCATTGGCCGCGATTGGTGCAGTGATGCCTGACACACAAGCGGTGTCAGCCTCGCAATTCTTGAATATAAGCCTCGCTTCTTCGCTCTACCCTCACCCTCCTACCTCTGCCTTACGCGACAGAGCAGGTTCAGCATTTATGCATCTCGCCCAGCCGTCGGCTCGGGCCAGTGTCACCGCGCCCATGCGATGACCTTTCGCTTCAGTATCAGAAGGGTATTGAACCTCTTTGGTGGAAGTCAGCAGGCAAACTGGCCTGACGCAGCTGCATCTACTGGAGAGTTCCTCAGGCGGATCGACAACGTGAATTATTGGAGTGCCACGGGGCCGGCAAAGAGAGCTTTCGAAGTCTTATCTCAGGACATTGAACACGAATTGGCTCCAATTTTGGACAGTCTGCCTACCGATACAATTTTTTCGTTTGACGTCTACATGAGGGGTGAAGACCCGACAACGACGTATCCTGTGGTCATGGTCATTTGTGACCAATACGAACCTCGCAAGCAGGCGCAGAAGATCATTGATGACAGCAAGATACTTGATGGTTTTCCAGGGATGAAGTCTGATAATGCTGCTGTTCCTCCAGACTTCGATGGTCTGGCACTGTGGGCAGACCCCACTTACCAACACACCGCGGATGCTCCTTCTCCTTCAGATTCGGTATCCATAAACATCTCGGGCAACAAGGTATCCGTCAGTTCGGTAGTAGACGCCGGTCATTTCGTCAAAAGTTCTACAGTTGGAGGTCTTGTACAGCACGGCGAGACTATTTATGCCTACACCGCTGGCCACGTCTTTGACAAGAGGATGGTACGACCAGGTTCTCCAAAATCAGCAACGCTGCAGGACCACAAAAGCCCTTCGATTAATACTCCAAAGAAGGTTGATCTATCAGTATCGTCCATTGATCTCGACTATGCCCTTGTCAGATTGCCTGACACAACATCTATGCTAAGGCCCAATGAGACTGAAAACCCACATGCAGTACAGCCTGCACATGTTATCAGAGCGCCACTAAACGACGTCGCAGTTGTTGCTGAGACTGCATCAGCAGGTGCCGTGAAAGGGATTCTGTCTGGTACTCCTGCTTATACTCGTCTGCCACATAGCAAGTCATTTCAGAAGGTTTTCAAAGCCAGATTTTCACAACCATTGACAAAAGGCGATTCTGGCTCATGGGTCATGGACGAATCAAGTCACGGCCTCTATGGCCACGTTGTCGCAGGCGGTGGTAGAAGTGCATACGTTATGCCAGCACATAGCGTCTTTGAGGATGCGAAGCAGAAGCTTGGAGGCCAACTCAGTCTTCCTCAGACTTCACGCGCCGATGAAAGTGCTACGGAAATTGGGAAAGCAGCGGCGCAGGTTATTGCGACTTCAGAAACGATGCACACATCTCCCCATGTTGCTCATGACAGTGAGATATCATCGAAAGGCCTCCAAAAAGGCGGAAGTGATGGACTAAGCATGATTCGTGCATTCATGCGGGATCACGAGACTCCCGATTATCTTCGTCCTCAAATGGATATCGTCGAGGAATTCTGCCATGGTGCAGAATTCAGTGTACTTCAAAGTGAGCAAGAAGCGGTTTCGTTCAAGAGAACGGCGTGGTTGGGCGAAGGAGGAACTGGCTGGTACTCGTCATACTCAAGCTTGTTGACAGCGCGAGAACTTTACAAAGCCTTGAAGCGACCGGTAATGTTGACAATCTCGAGAACTTGTCATGACTGGCTTGGCTGACAATGCAACTTGCGCAGCGATTTCAGACAGACGGAGATGCTGTAGAGACAACGCTCGACAAGTCGGCGCCGAATGCCAGTAGCGACGTCGCAAGGCGGTTAATGTAGGGCACGGATTGATCATGAACTCAATGGCTGACGCTTTACAGATTCATCAGCGATCTCGATTCCTGGAACATCTATGCACTTGCTGCGACAGCTTCAAAACGACAGATCTCAGCGCTTCGGGGGGCTATTCTCAGATATTTATCCTTCGAAAGCGGTATTGAAGTCACAGTTCCGGTAAGTACAGGTTCTGGAAAGGTTGAAGACAGGCTAAGCGTACAGCAGACAGTAGGGTGGGCAGAATTCCATTTGTCGTTGCATCTGCCGTATTATGCATGGAGGACATCGCCACGTCCATATCGGGATACACGTCGCAACTCGTCGGGACATACGTTGAGGCAATTCAGGGATGTGACACTGCTTGACGGCTTTGACGCTGACAAATCGTACCTTTATGAGGCACAAATCTCCTGTGTAATCGCCGGCATTGATGATTGGAGATGGGTTGCGTATTGCTTTGTCGACACCTATTTCGAAGTCGAGGATGGGGGAAACACCAAGTCCTATCAAGAGACCATGAAGGAAGACCCATCTTGTAATTATTTCTTCACATCAGGGGAGCCGGAGTGCGCAAGCTCCTATTTCTTGAGGGTCACAGCGCCGAGAATCGAACAGGTCACCAAGGAGTTTGGCCTTGTAATGAGCAAACTGGACCGGAGTTCGCGTTCTTGGGTAAGTAGTCCACCCCAGCACAATGAATCCATGAAAGAGCAAACTGACAGCTTAGCAGCAGTACAAAGATAAATCCGGGAAGTCTATCCGGGGGTCCTTGGAACGGCTGGAAGTTGTTTCTTCCGTTCTGGTTGACGTGAGGAAAGCCCTGGGAAAATCACTCCGGGCCTTCTCAACCTTTCTCGATCGCCCCATGAATGGCTTCGTGGACACGCCGGAGTCATCACCGGACGCAACTTCGCAAAAGAACGTTATTCGGATCCACTTCGCCCGATTGCAATGTTTGGAAGAGCGCTTCAAAAGCTTGGAGGACCGTCGCAATGCATGGGAGCGGCAGGTAAGCAAGCTCATGGTCGAGTGCCTTCCTAAGTTTCCACTTCAGTTGAATTGCAAGCTGACATATAGTCAAACTGCACAGCTACAATACGAACTCACCCTAGGTGATCTAGCGGAAAAAGAGGTCTTACAAGAATCAGCTCGGTTGGCCAAGACCAACAAGAGGATTTCGAATACTATAGTATGCCGAGATTGCTTTGCACATATGCCAGGGCCAGACTAACTCGAACAGGCGATGTCTCTACCTATTTCTTTGACCGCTGCTATCTTCTCGATGCAACCTGGAGCGATTCCTATTCCTCTGACTGCCACTTCATTCATGTTCTCCTTCTTGTGCTTTAGCGTCGCGTTTCTCATGATATACAGATATGAAGCTCATTGGAGTAACAAGGGGCAGCTGGCACATTTTCAGACAGCACAAAACTGGTGCCAAAAGCATTGGTCCTGGCCATCGTTCGGAATGCGTCGGCGTCCACAGTTCAGGGAAAACGATCAAGGAACAAAGGACTGGTGGCAAAAGCTGTGGTGTTGGCGTCAGCATCCACTCATACCCATATACTCGTCCAGGGGTCAGACTCGTGACGACGAAAAGGGGCTTCTCATAAATGAGACTAAGTAGTAGACTGCCTTCCTCGTCGTGGGCCGGTTGTTGGAGGAGACGCAGCTCTCTGACAATCTAGCTGGGACACAAGAGTCGGTTCAGGAAGCCAAAGAGGGAGGTCTCGATGCCAAACACGAAAAGACTGGTTTGCAAATTTCTTTGGTCTATGAAGGAATGAATGGATGATCAGCTGAATAAATAATGCTGCCAACTTCTATCCTATGTCTTGGAGTGAATCTATCTAAAAAAGCAAAAACAAGGGGGTATCTATCGCATTTCTTCAACGTGCCGGCCATGATTCATTCACGCATTCCAAGAGAAACAAAAAGACCACCACAAGAGATCTCCTCTCGGACGCCTAGACGTCTTCCACGCTGATGGACGACGAACGGACTTGACCATTCAACAAATATAAGGTGGTGGTGCATACCGGACGTCGTCTTCGACATAGCCCAGTAGTGGGTCGTCAAAAGTACATTGCGTGAGGACGTCTTGTGGCAGCTCAGCCATGCGCAGCGTGACGGGGAGGTTTCGGAAGTCTGCAGTGTACGCGGTCTTGACACCACTGCCGTCGACGAACTCGAATTGTATCGCAAGGTCGAGATCGTGGCTGACGCTCAAGACGTCGGACGAGACGGACGGGACGGTCGACGACTCGGGCAGGAGGACGTTCAGGTCCACGGACGTCGTGTACGTCGAGTCGTCGTCGGGTTCCCTGTACAGGGGCGGCAAGACGAGAGTGGTCTTGTGCGTCGACACGGTGTCGGAAGCGATCGACGGCCCGACGCCGCCGGCTGCTCCTCGAGAGGATCCTTCGGTGTTGAACGAACGGCGAGTGTACCATTGCGACTTGATCGAGCATTTTAACGAGTCTGTAGGGCCAGGGCCAGGGCCACCGGTAGTCGAAGACAAGCTCCGCGTTGCTTGTCGAGGGCAAGGAGAAGGACGAGCACGTGTGTGCGTGGGGAGTCCGACATTGACGGAGACAGGTATCGATAGTCGTCGACACCCAGTGGCTAGTCGAGTCGAGTCGCTGACAATATGGCCTAGCGTGTGGGACAGCGTGACTGATAGTTCAGGCTGTGACTGGGAAGAGAGACAACGTAACGACTTCGTCCATGAATGAGGATGAGCACGAGGCTTTGCGATCTGGGTGATGATGCCACTCGTACCCGCCGCGCTCGTACTCGTGTTCTTGTTGCACCTGTCGGGTGACGATGACGACGACGGTGAGAGTTCGACTTGCAATGGTGTGTTGGGAGACGAGATATCAACGGGACACGTCAAGCGGCGGACGACCACACGACTGTTCTGATTGTGTCGCGAGTCCAGGAACACGGCCTCAAGCCAGTAAATGACTTCGCACGAGCCTTGGACGAGGTGTCGGTCCCTGATGGCCGTGACGCGCGTGACGTACGTCGAGCCGGAAATGGACATTGAAGGGATGAAGCCGTCGTGTTGGTGGCGGCGGTGGTGGCCACGGGTCGTCGTCGTAGCAGGCACGACACCGGCGCCGACCACTTCGTCATCCTTGTCTTCCTCGGCGTCGTTGTTGCCGCCGCGTTTGTGTACGCTTCGCCGGCCGGACACAGTCGGTACGAGGCACGAAAAGTCGAGGTGCTCTTCTCGCGACTGCGTGTCCCGGTGAGAGGAGGCGGAGTATGCAGGTTTGAAATCGAGCACGCTGAATTCTTCCGTCGACGACGAGAACCTTTCGACCGCCACCTTAGAGCCGATCTTGTTGCGGATCGCGCCGTGGACTTGGACATTGACTTGGTCGAACGACGCGTCTTGAGTTCTGACCACGGCAATCCGGCCGTGAAGCCTGAGTTGAGGGGACGCATTGGATTTTGCGTCCTCATGCAGGCTCGAGAACAGCGACCCTGAAGCGTCCTCGGAAGACACTCCGAGGACGTGGATCGTTGGTGTCGCTTCCGTAGTGGACATTGTGTGATTTCGGTTTTCGCAGGACGCTCTGCGCGACGTCTGTGTTGAGATCAGGTATCCGGAGGAGAGGTACAGGTATACAATGTGTATTTATACCTTCTGGGGGTGAAGTAGGTAGGCAAGTAGTAGGTGCTGCAATAAGGTCTGGTGTATTGTCTTTCGAAAGAGAAGAGAGTATTTGTTGTGGTCTCGAGAATCGAGTCGTTGGACCCTCCTTTGCCCGGCCCAGAGAAGGAATAACCTTTATGAAAGTGAGGCAAATAGTCTCGTGAAGTGCCGTCAATCAATCATAAGTACGAGGTAGTAGCCTTGTCGTCTTGGTCGTTTCACGGATCCATCCGCCTGGGAACGGAGTTCAGGGGCCGCGGCGCTGCCTTGCCTTGGTTTTTGCCCTTCGGTTCTTGGTTTTTTGCTGCCCAACCAAATTTCATCAGCGACGCGCCGATCGAATTGACGCCCAACTATGGGGGGCACATTTGCACCATTATATATATCCTCTGTACTATTTCGGACATGGAGGATGAGCAAAGGCGGCAGTGGGCTGCGAGGCGTCCGCAAATGCCGCTTCACCATCGGAGTTCGGGTAGAGAAGCCGAAATCTGTCAACGCACGACAAAATCCAGAAGATTCAGAATAATGAACAAGTTGGGGTGGTAACTAGTCCATTATGCGTGTAATACATTTGTCCGCCGGCCAAAACGAATAGGCATGAAGGTAATTCCCTACCTAGTTTGCTTCTTCACACCAACAAAAGCTCCAGGGACCGAGAAGTCCCGACGAGCCTCAAGCCGACGTCACGTACGCATTGGGAAATTCGCAGCGAGATGGACAAGTGAGAGACCGAGACTTCGCCCGGTACTTCCGTAAAAAGCTAATTCCCACGAACCTCGCGCTCGAATACCCAAAACCAGCCAACACGGTAGGTCCCGAACTAACAAAGAGTAGCACGGGTAAGTTGGGATATTTTGTTATTGTACTTGCAGAACCCAGCATCGTTATCATTGCGTTACAATCACAAGGTGCGCGAATAAAGACGATGACAAAGCTTTGTTCTTTTCACTTTTCAACATGTCGACTCCCCGGGTGGTGGTGGGCCCAGGGCCTACGTAATCAGGGCACAAAGTAGTCGATCCGTTGAAAGGCAGCAAATGTGATTGAATCAGGCCCGTACCTGGGAGAGGCAGAGGTCGTTAATCTGCAAGCGGTGTACCATGACAGGAATCAATCTCTTCCTCCCTTCTCTTTGTCCTTGGGGATCATTTATAGTCACGAGCCTCGGCGATGGTATGAGTGATCGCTTCACTTCCCGAGGAACGAATGCATTCCGAACCCCGATGGTGATAACATCTTGATGTGACCCTAGTGAGGGAAAAGCAGGCACCTTGTTCCACCTTCCTTACCAGCGACTGCATGTCGGTCTTGACGTTGAAAGGACAGTGTACTACTCCCAACACCGTGAGCAAGCAGCACGCAACATATCGTAAGGAAAGGTGAAGAACAGATACAATTTCATTACAATCTCAATCAATGTGGTCATGTTTTAAATCCATCATCACCCAAGGCACTGTTCCATCGCAACGTTGACTACACGTAGTCACTTGTACTTGATCATAACACATCAGAATCATACTTGTCGACGCCAGACTTTTTGCGGGCGGTCGCCGTGCCACCACATATCACATACCAAGGCTCATGTATCATAGGACGGAATCATCAGAGATCCCATCCCAAATGCCGCCTTTAAATATCTAAGGTGTATCACTTTCACTCCCTTTGTGCTTTAAGCAACTTCCCTGACCTCGGGACCCCAGCCCCAAGCCTCTCTTAATTCCCTAGCTCGTTGTGAAGTTGAAGCACCGGTTTCCTTCTCGATATTACCGAGCAACTCCAACACCACTAACCTATCCTCCCTCTCCTCGAAGCACAGTCCAGCTAGATGCAACGAGTGCACCATCTGCCTGCTCACGGCCGGAGGTGGTTTCCCAAGAGCGATGCCACAGATTTGTCGGCTGTGATGTTCCGACTCTTCCGACACCTTTCTAAACATTCGTATCCGATTCGCCATGAAGCCCGCCGCACTTTCATCGACAGGCTGGTTGAGCAACAGCAAGATCTGTGCAAAATGGTACAGCTGCAATGCCGCTGCACACATGGGGACACTGAAGAAAATCCTCGTAAATCGTGGTCTCGTTTCCGGAGGTTGGTCGTACGGGTGTTGAGATGCAGCTCCCATCATCGCATATGGCTGGAACGTGAAAGGCAGGTTGTCGTACCAGTCCTCGAGTTGGCGACGCAATTGCTTCCAGCGCGCAATTCGACCTTGAATCGGCGTCGATGCACCTGTCTCTGAAGGCGATCGAAATGCTAGCGTGCCAGGACTGTCAAAGACATTATTCGGAGTGCCTGCCGCCGTCTCTGGATTATGATCATCATGTGGCGCGAGGAAGTTCATAACTCGAAGAACAATCCAGATCAGGGCGCATGACACCATGTCTTCTCTATCTCGTGTTTGATACGATACCATGGCGTTGGTCGGAGTTGATGGATCATTGTAGACGAGGCCACCTTCATCAGTTATGGGCAGGCCCAGAGCCTTCCACACCAACAAATTGTCAGGGTCTAGTCGCGTTTTCGATCGGTTGATATAAGCGGCTAGGTAATCAGCACGAGCAAAGTTCCAAAACGCTGCCCGGCTAGCTTTCATGGAGATGAATGGGGAAGCCTTGGGGCCTGGAGTAGTGACGGCTTGGGGGAGAATCTTTGTATCCAGAAGTGCTTTGAACCCGTCGAGATGCCTGTCGCAGGTGGTCAGTTGGTTGACACAAAATGGCGAAACGAGGCTTGACTCACTGTGACCAGTCCTTGGTCGGATTGTCCAACGACTCGTACAACGAGAAGACTGAAATGGCAGCGACGAGAGCTTCCATGTCTGCGCCGGCGGATGACTGTTCACTTATGCGCCGTCTCTTGTTTGGTGCACTTAGGGTGGATGATTCCTTGCTGCTCCCGTCAGAAAATCTCCTGGAAGGATACTTTGACGTGTGCCCCGTCATTTCGTTGCTGGTATCGCTCAACCACCGCTGCAAGAAGATCCTTAGGTAGGAAATTCCCCTGTCGTAATAATTCGCAGCCTTGTAAAACCAATCGGTCTCTTGAAGCCCCCCATTCTCGCCCAATAACGGCACCAGATGCTGTAGATCCGTTTTCGTGACACCCTTGGCCAACAGCTGGCCAATCTGGTTCGCAGCCACGGCCGCCATAGCCGATCTCAACATCACATTTTGAACTGCCTTCAAAGGGACTATTCGACTGAAATATGTGTCGAGATCGAACAAATCCATGCTGGGTGCCCGGGTCAGTACATTCCCTTGATGAATACAGAGTCCCGGGACTTACGAAGGAGATACTACCTGGACAAAATGCCTAGTGAGGGCGGCTAGCTCCGTTGTACGCTCATGCAAATACTTCTGGCTATACTCGGGTCGCTTTCTTCCCCCTTCTGAGCTGTCATACACTGATGACCTACCACTGAGAGAGGCATAGTCATTGGTTAGAAGGTCTTCGTCGGTTTCTGGCTCATTGGTATCGGTAAGGATCACCGGTAACCCGGGGATGAAACCGCAAGCGTTGTTGCCGTTGGCGTAATATGTGTCGATATCTAGATCGAAGTAATCCTCACTGACATAAGTGTCTGTCTCGGATGGCGCATATTGGGGCTTGCCGCGCAATAGCTTGGCCGTGCCCTGTTCTAGACCGTACTGAAATTGATCTGGTCGCTGCGGGGGATGTTGAGGGGCCGGTGGGAAATGAGAGGGTGCATTAGCTGGCGGATGAGGGATCGAAGAAGAGAAAAACGGTTGGGGTGCTTGTCCCTGGAATATGTTGTACCCTGGGCTGGTTGGCGGATTCACCCCGAAAAGAGGATATTGTACATTTGGTGTGGATTGTCTTGGGCTGAGAGAGGCTATACCTGGTAATGTGAGAGGGGATGAGGTTGGTTGTGAGATGATATCCGGGATTGCTTTGGTATGACTTTGGATAGGAAGACGCTGGTACTGAGATGGACTGTTCCTCGATGGTTCCTGTCGTGTAGTTGGGGCTACAGGATTTGTTGGAGGAGAAGTGACATGTCGCCTGGAGAGGTCGGGGAGGGTTTGTAAATTTCCATCATACTTTCTTCGGACCTTTGCACCCTCGTCGAGGAATTTACGCTCGGTGTCGTATCCCGTACATGGTCTGCCTAGCTTTTCGCATCGTAGACAGCCCGGGATTCTTTTATCGCACTTTGTGGTTATCAGCAGCAGCCACGTGGAGCGGCAGGACGACGATCCGGGGTCTCATACCTTGACACGACGCTGTCTGCAGGAATGACAGGCCCTTTCGGACACAGCTACAGCATCTGGAGCGTTGGTTTCCATGCGAGGGGCGGGCACCACGAATTTCGAGAACTCAGCAACAAGTGTTCCCCGAATAGGAAAATCGGACAAACTTGAGCTACGCGGAAACCAGATGAAACAACGTTCAAGGATGGACAACGGGGGCGATTGAGGAATCGAAATCAATCACAGATGATAGGATCTGACCGGGCGGAGTAAGAAGGATGGAGGCGACGCCGGTGGTATGTACTCATAAGACAGTAACTTGGCTGACACAAACGGAAAAGCCAGAGCGAAGCGAGAAAGGCGAGGAAGGCGGGTAGAGTAAGCCATGTCGACAGAGAACTGAGCCAGCGAGTCATTTGAACCGGTCAGTCACCGATATACATGTCTTTTACATCTTTGCTGGTGGAAGCTGCCCTCAATCAGACCGTCATTCATCTCCGTCATTTGACTAGTCTCCTTGGTGACAAGTCCTGCCCGCCACCCACGTTATCCCGCCCACTCCGGCGCGAACCAGGTTTGCTGCTTCGACTCCTCTTTTCGTGCTGACACCAACGAGCCCGCGCATTTTCCCATCCAACATTCGCATTCGCAAAGGCGCAGAGATCTCTCACTTCGTCACCTGATATTGCAGTGAAACCGAAACGAAATCCGACACACACAGCTAAAAGGTGGACTGATCGCGCTCGACTTAGCCGCTTCTGGGCTTTGATCTCTTTCTTCTCTCTCGGTCTTCTGCCTTTGTCGCTGATGGCTGCCGGATGAGGCTAGACAAGGCGATGCAATGTGCACCATCCAGAGAGTATGGATGTCTCAATGACTGCCTGAACAGCGGAGTCTGAAGCTGATACATGTGCTAGCTCTTCATCTATCCCGTCAAGTCTCTTCCGCCCGTGCAGGTGTCGTCGGTCGAACTCACCAATGAAGGCCTCCGTTTCGACAGGTGTTTCGTGCTGGTCACACCTCCCAAGGACAACTCGAAGGAGGCGAAATTCCTGACCATCAAGAAACACTTCAAGCTCATGCTATTTAAGCCGACCATCGACGACTCCTGGACCAAACTGACCATCAGCCACATTCACGCCAGTCCTCCGTCCTCCATCACGGTTCCGCTGACACCGTCGCCGCTGTCGCTGCTTCAGAACAAGACCTTCGAGGTCAGCATCTTCGGAACCACAGCCATCGGTATCGACCTAGGAGAAGAATCAGCGTCGTTCTTTTCCAACCACCTTGGCCAGGATGTACGACTCTTATCCATCGGAGGCACAGGGCGTCGTGAGATTCCCGGGGCAGCCTATCTACCCAGTCAGCACAATGCCCTCTCCCTAGCGCTCAGAGAGGGACTCCAGCCGCAACGAATCCGGTTCGCAGATGCAGCTCCATTGTTGATAACCTCGACCGCGTCCGAGGAGGATGCCCGGTCCCGGCTCCCCAAGGACTGGCAACACGAAGACATAATCGTCCGCTTCCGACCTAACATCCACGTCGATGTCAAGGGGCAGCTTCCGGCGTACGACGAGGACAACTGGTCATCACTTCTCGTTCGGTCTCAGTCGGATGAAGCCCAGGAAGTCACCATCAAATGCATCTTCCGGACGGTTCGATGCCTCAGTCTGAATGCAGACCCAGACACGGGCGAGATGATCCATCGTGATCGCCAGCTGTACGGGCTATTGGCGAGCGACAGAAGAGTCAATGACAAGTTCCCTCGTAAGTTCGATCGAAAGGGCTATGGAGAAATGGTCTCTGTTCGAACCAAAAATTAGAATATATGCTGATTGAGATTCTCTACACTTCACAGATAAACCTGTCTTTGGCCAGTATGGGTTCGCCGGACCTTCTGGCGCGATACTGCGTACGGGAGATCAAGTCTTTGTGACTGAACGAAAGCAACGCACTCAAGATCCAGAAGCCGACAAGCAATGATGGCCCCAGGACATGTCGGATAAGCACCATGCCACCTAATAACATATACCTCCAGGTATCTAACAACCTCCTACTCTCACATTACTCACATCATTACCATACGAGTCCCGTTTCCGGCAACTTATTTCGGTTCGTGTATTATGTATGTACGACATAGTTACTGACGCAACTGGGGTCGCCGGAGATGGTCCGTCGGAACGGTTGCAATTCATATCATAAAGAGGGGAGCGAGAGACACCATGTACTCCACGGAGACATAGGTCAGATGCCCAGTTGAGTCTCGACGGGGTTTACATGATACAACGACCGCACACGGACCCTGCTCAAGAACCCAGCTTTGGTCTCTCGTCGTCGGGTCGGCTCACCCACTCCCGGTCTGCCACTGGCAGACTACAGGGAATAAAGACGATCTAAACCCACTTGTCACTGTCACCGGTCCTGACTACGGTGATACTCCGTCCGGTCCCGAACGTTCACGACCAATCACGGAAGTAAGAGTCTAGAGAGATCTTAAAGAGAAGCAAAACCGGCATGTAAAGCGGGCACTAGAGCAGGCACTCGACCGAACATAATCATCAATGATACACTTTTCGTCACTTGCGACGGACCGGTCAACGGGCCATCTCTCATCTGACCGATTCGCACGCACGCGAAAGGCAGGACGAAAGAAAGAGAGGAAGGGAGAAAGGGAGAATCATGAAACCGAGTTTGACGACAACGGCGACGACGACATGATCATGGTCCATTGATTTTCGTGTTGTTGACGAAATTAGACATTTCCCTCCATGAGCGTCTGATCGGCGCTGCGTCGCCTGCAATCACACGGTCAAACAATTGCCGCGCGATCAAGGAGTTCCCCAGGTAGTTATAACGATGTACTTAATTCAGGTTTATCTGGAATTAAATGCCGAAGCCGAAGCTCCCCTTCCAACACCGTCGCTTGCTTTGTCGAAACCTTGACCCAAAACCGACACAAATGCATGACACGCTTCCATCAGACCAATCGACAAATCCCCGAGGGTGGGTTAGCTGGCCACCCAGCAAAGCAAAGTATCCCCGTCCTGGTACAGATACCGGTTTAGGCAAAAGGACTCTCCGGCCTCGCTACCCCTTTTCCTTCCCTCCATTTCCTCTCCTTGACCGGATCGAATCTCCAGACACCATTCGACCCCTTTAACCTTGACACGTCGTCGGCATTTTTATCTTCATCCTCTGAACCGGAAGAAGCCAGGACGTCGAACAACTTCTTCACTTCCTCGTCCGTCTCCCCTCCCCCCTCGATCCGGTTGAAGAACATCGCCTCCCACTCCTGCCCGGCGGCGCGTTCGCGCTTGCGCATCCGTCTCTGGGCGTCTTCGAGTTTGCTCTTCTCGGCGACGGTGGCGCTCTGGTCTCCTCGCCTGATCGCGTCAAAGGTGCTCCGCCACGCCCGTCGGCTCTCCCACTCCGACTGCTCTTCGACCGGCTTGATGGTCATGGGCACCGGCGCGTTTTTCGGGTCGGCAAGATCAAAGGTGTCAACTTCGTGGCCGTGCGTGTTGAACACGCCGAACCGGCTGCTCCAGTGTCCACCGAGCGAGTAGATGGCGTCCCTCGTGGTGTCGCCGGTCCTGTACACTGCCGCTTCAAAGGCGTTGCGTTCCCCGCCCCACATCTTCTTGGGGATGAACTTCATCTCGGCCGTGTACCCTGCCGAGCTGACGATCTTGTACGTGTCGCCCAGCTCGGGCCACGGGACGCCGGTCAGGACGCCCCGCGCGCGCACGTCGGGCAGTGGGAGGAGATACGTTTCGTTGTACTTGTCGATGGTGATGATGGCGTGGCCGCTCTGTCGGATCATGATGGACGTGCCGGATAGGGTGGTCTGTTGGGTCGAGTATGCTTCGGCGTGGATGCCGTGTTCTTCGGACGAGACGTAGCATGCCGTCGTGGGCGGGTGGTGAGATACTTGCTCGGTGATGACTCTGACTGTGGACGCCTTGGAGTCCTTCTCGGACGTCAGGTCGTGGTCGGTGAATTCGCACAGGAACAGCTCGCCGAGGAAGGGGTTGAGTGGTTTCTTGAGGCCCTCTTTGACGGTTCGCCCTACGTAGTATTGCCGTTGGAGCGAAGCGAGGTAGAGTTTCAGGATGGCGAGGCAGCGTTTTTCGGGTGTCGGTTCGTGGGCGGCGGCTGTGAACAGTGATGGCCGTTCGGCCCAGTAGCTGGGGAATTCTGTGAGGGATTGCGGTGCGAGAATGAATGGAGGTGCTGTGATGTGGGAGATGTCGCCAGAGACTGTGGCTAGGAAGGAGATGAAGTCTTTGAGGGCAGACACATTGCTGAGTCTAGCGACCATGTTGGTGGTTGTGTCGTGTTGATCTCGGAGTAAGTGGAAGGATCGTTGAGGTGGCGATAAGGAATGATGGTTGAGAAGGATATGGCGAGGTCACAGCGAAGGACCAAGGATGAGGATGAGAAGGAATAGTCGAGGGAAGGAAATGTGTGTTACTGGGAGCTATATAGCTTGGGTTGGGAAGTTGATCTGATGAGTGCAGTGAAGGGGGGTTTTGTAGATGAAATATGGAACGAAGCCACCTTCTCACCTTCCAGCATTTGGTGTTTGGCGTGGGTGAGTTGCATATGAACCCCAGACAATTGGGTCGCTCGAGCGCCTGGATTCGAGTTTATCCTGTCCCATTTTGAGTTTCACGCTCCTGTACAGGTGCATCGCATCAATTGGTAAAAGCGTCATCAGTACCTATCCGTACGGAGTACATGTCGGGAAAAGGGTGCGAGTGGATATTTTGTCACTGCGCCAGCCTCACTGGACTGTATCCGGTCGCTTGACACGCGGCCGTAAGCCTAGTGCCACCAGAGCAGAAGCTCCTTGGTACTCGTAGCATGGGCGTCAAAGGGGGACACGAGGTACGGGGAGTTTGAGTGTTTCAAGAATAGATACTGTACTTGTATGTGGGTGGGCGATACGGCGACCCCCTGCTGGCCTATGATACAATGTTGGCCTCACCATGATGAAACGAAACCGAGATCGAGCCAATGAGTGACATTGGAGAGCATGTGAAAGGACTGCAACGAGAGGCAAGATTGATTTGACTGCCAGTGAGGAAAAGATCTTTCCACCGCCACAAGCACCATCTTGCGAGCGGCCAGATCTCTATCTCGCATGCGGGAATATGATGGTCCGGCCAAGTCGCATCCATGGAGGGTGAATATTACGCACGGAGGCATGCGAGGAACCTCGCCCTGGCTGGTGCTGGTGCTGGTGCTCGCATCCCTTGCGACGCTAATAAATAACACCAGTCGTTACTGGTTAGTTAACTTAGGTACTCACTCGTACAGTACATGTCTGTAGCGTTAGTTAGTTAAAAGGCTCTCAGTTAAAGAAAGCACTGGCTCCCGCACAGCCCGGTCGTTGGGCTCCCTAAGTTAGGCTCTCGACTTGGCATTGGTTCTTTAATAGAGCATACCCAGGAGGACCGTCTAAAAATAATTTAGCTAAGATTCTAGGTAAGGCTCTAGTTAAGACTCTAATTGAGATTCTAGTTAGGACTCTCAGGTAAAAAGGCCTCAGCAGAATTACTTCTCTGGCCTTCGCGAAAATCTTTTCACAACTGACGAGAGATGTCTCCTCTTTGATGGTTTCTGAGTGTATTTCAAGCTAAGATAATCAACGACCCTCAGATTCGACCGTCACCGCGTGCAGGTACATCGACGACCCCGATAAGACGCGACAACGCCCGTCGACGCCGACTAATCACTATTCGGACATGTGCACATCAGGCCTCATGCGACAAGGCGCGAGCTCTGCATTGCTCTGAACTTAGTCTCACAGATTCATCCCACGTATTACTATTTCCTCATCTCAACTGGATGGATCTCTGATGATGATTGACGTTTTCAGACCTTCCAGAATAATCGGAAGAGCCGTGGAACATCATCGTCCATCATCTACAGGTACATCGTGACTGTTCTGTAACTTTGCTCCTCTCACAAATCCCACGCCTGCAAGAAGTTGCTCGCTTCTCCTCGTTCAGTGAATCAATTATCCACGCCATGTCTTCTCCCGCCGAGATCGTAGTCCTCGGTGCCGGCGTCGCAGGCCTTACCACAGCACACGAAGCGCAGCGACAATTTCCCAATGCACAAATCACCGTGGTAGCCAAATACCTCCCGGGATTCACCTCTCCCACCGAATACGTGTCGCCCTGGGCCGGCGCAAATTGGCATTCTTTCGAGAGAGAACGTAACCAATTCGCCGAGTACGATGCCGTGGCGTTTACCAAGTTCACCGACATCGCCGCAAAGTTTCCCGAGAGCGGAGTCAAAAGCATGCCGATGCGAGACTTTTACGACAACGACGAAGCCCGCAAGGACATGTGGTTCGGCGACATTGTCGGCGGCATCAAGGACGTACCCAAGGACGAACTCCCGGAGGGCGTCGTGGTGGGATTGGACATGGACAGCTTCGTCATCAACACGGTCGCATATCTTCAGTGGTAAGCAGCAAAGCACGTTGCAACGTCGCTTGCATTCATTCCAAACAAGAGGGAGGGTGTTGCTCACCATCTTCGTCTTCACCGGTGGTGCGTAGGCTTCAAATGCAGCTCCTTCAGCGCAACGTCAGATTCCTGCGACGCTCCTACTCCCACGTCGACGCGCTCATGCGGGACTTTCCCGACGCAAAGGCCTTTTTCAACTGTACGGGCCTGGGCGCCAGACTCCTCGGCGGCGTCGAAGACGAATCTGTCTACCCGACCAAAGGCCAAACGATGCTTATCGCCGAGCCCATCAAGCCCCTCGAACGCATGTACATACGCATCTGCTCCGACTGGAACGAGGGAGAGTTTGCACATGTCTTCCCGCGGCCCCTCGGTGGCGGCGTGATCATCGGCGGCGTGCGTCGCGACCACGACTGGACTGCCGAACCGGACATGCAGCTCGCCGAGCGTATCAAGGAGAGATGTTGCGCCATTGCTCCGGAGCTGGGGAGGCCTGAGGATTTGCAAGTGATAAGTCACAATGTTGGACTGAGACGTGAGTGTGTTCTTTTTTTTCTGTCTGGTTAAATGGGACGAGGCACTAATGACGGACCGTGTGTGTGTAGCGAGCAGAAAAGGTGGTGCGAGAGTCGCGTTGGAAAAGAGGAACGGCAATTTTCTCGTTCACAATTACGGTGCGTCTGGCGCAGGATATCAATCTTCGTGGTGAGTAACCGACTCTGTCTCCTCGCGTACCGAGGTCTATCTGGTGCCCCAGGCGAGGATACTAATCGACATGTGAAATAGGGGCATGGCAGAACATGCCGTGAGATTGTTGAAGGATGAAGTGGCGGATAGATCGAAACTTTGAGGCCGGCGACTCTCCGAAATGAATCTCTCTCGCACGCGCATATTCATATCACCAGAGAAGAGGGACGAATTTAGATTGCACCCTAACTAGATATACATATACAATCACCATTTTCCCCAAAAGAAGATCATGGCCACTTTCTCATGTGTCCAGGTACGAGGGTCGAGGCGGTAAACATCACTTTTCCATAATTACTGTACAAACATGGTCAACACCACAGAGGCTTTATCGGTATCTCCCACCAAGTACCCGAGCTGGATCTGAAGTACTGGCACCTACGAAGATCCATTCCCTCAGCTGTGGGCATTTTTCAAGCTTCACCAATTGCTCTCTTCTCTGATGATAGCTGCTCATTGACAAATTGACAACTCATCCACCGTCACAGTGCGTACAACACCAGTTGGCTGCCCAGATTGCTCGCCTTACATCGCCGGTACGGGTACGTCTTCCTTCGCGCGCTTCTCCTGATTCAAAAAGCTTAAAGAAAGCCACAAAAATCGACCCCGCCCTTCTTTACCTACCTACCCACCCAAAAGAATTCCCGTCAGAGGTACAGGAGGTACAGGAGGTACAGAGTACTGAGTGTTACTATTGTTTATTTACATTATTATCTACTACTATCATCATCATCATCGTAAAAGGACCTCGCTGCCCAGTTCATAATCCCGTCATCACCACCCATCACCACGTACATCAACGTATATCAATCAGGTTCATCACCCGCGCCAACCCGCCAACACTCGCCTTCATTCGCTGCAGACAAAAGCAAAGAGTCCCAGGTTTTTTTCTTTTTTTCAAGACACAAGGACACACAGAAATGATATCCGAAACGGACCTCACACACCTCGGCCGCTGCGTGGCTCTGGCCCGGGCGGCGCTCGACGCGGGGGACTCGCCTTTCGGGTCGGTGCTGGTGCGCACCTCGACGGGCGCCGTGCTGCGCGAGGACCGCAACCGCATCACGACCGGGCGGGACGTCACCCTCCACCCGGAGTTGTCGCTGGTGGTGTGGGCGCAGCGCCGGCTGACCGACCCCGCCGACCGCGCCGACACCACCGTCTACACCTCCGGCGAGCACTGTCCCATGTGCGCGGCCGCCCACGCCAACGCCGGCATGGGGAGGATCGTGTACGTCGCGTCGTCGGCGCGGTTGGGGGAGTGGAGGGAGGAAATGGGCGCGACGCCCGGCCCGGTGGCGCTGTTGCCGGTCTCCGTGGTCGCGCCGGGAGTGAGGTGTGTCGAGGGACTGACGGATGGGATCGGAGATGCAGATGCAGATGCGGACGGCAAAGGAACAGCGTCGGCCTCGACGCCGGGGACACCGACAGAAACCGGTGGATCGATCTCATCGGGTTCGGCGGCATTGATCCGCGAAGTAAAAGAGTTGCATCGTCTTAAGCATGAACGGCAACAACAACAACAACAACAGACACAAGCGGGATTGAAACCTGTCGAGACTTAGTTCTTGAAAAGGATGTCGACCGGTATGGATCTATTGTGGGAATTCCTTGCAAGACCATTGTTGATGCCCACGCCCACTGAATGCTGTCAGTGAGCGTATGGCTGTTGACTGATGTGGGCAGTACGGAGATTGTGTGCTCGGTTAAGGACAATTTAGAAGATATTGGTGGTGGTGGTGGTGGTGGTGGCGGTGGTGATGATGATGAGCACGATCTTGACGAGCATGATCGCGACGAGTATAGAAAACCAGGCGAGGATGGAACATGAACATAAGCATCAACATCAATATGAACATGGGAGTAATTCTAAGTGATAACACGAAAAATTGCAAAGCACAAAGAGCCCTCCACGCTTCAACCATGAAATACTGACTCAACAAACAGCCACAGACCACAAACCGCTCTACATCTCCTTGTCCGTATCTGTAACCAGAGTCTTACCGTCCTGAGCGACCTTAACAGTCTCGACCTCTTCACCATGTAGAGACCTAGTCTCAGCCGGACCAAACGTGCCAAAGAAATCCAAGTCATCCACCTCGGCTAACCCAGCAATGGGCCAGAACTTGTTCAACAACACGTACGTCAACACCGACAACAACATTCCCAGCGGATACGAGATATCGTACAGGTTCGACCACCCTTTGAGGGTCTTTGTGGATCCGTACTTGACAAACTCGGCGAATCCAGGGACGTTGATCCACACACCCATGGCCCATGCCACGAGGGCTCGCCAGTTTACGCCGTGAAAGTACCAATAAATGCTCCCCGGATGATTCTCGTACAAATCCGTGAGCTTGATCAGCCGCTTCCGAAGGACAAAGTAGTCGGCGAACATGACGCCGGTCATGGGTCCGAGGAAGACACCGTACCCGCCCAGAACAGTCAGGAACTTGCTCGCACCGTTCAGGAGTTGCCACGGTTGTACGACGAACGCGAGGCACGACATCAGGAGCATCCCGCGGCGGATGGTGAAGAAGCGCGGAAGCAAGGCGGCCAGGTCGATGCCCGCCGAGACGCCATTGTTGGCCACGACCATGCCGAGTTGCGCGACGCCGAACGAGATGGCCGCAAACGCCACGGCCGCGCGAGACCGGGACGAGTTGTCGTAGTGCTGTTGCAGCGCGCTGAACAGGTCATACGGCGCCCAGAGAAGCGCCCCCTCTTGCTCGGGGAAGAGTTGCGCCGCACACGACGTGCAGATGATGCCGATCAAGGCCACGACGATGGTACCCATGGGGACCATGACTAGTTGGGCAAGGATTTGGTCTTTGGGCTTCCTTGCGTACCGCGTGTAGTCGGACTGGACGAAAATATGGACACTGATGGAGCTGATGTTCGTACAGATGCCCAAGGTCATCATCCACCCGAGATGGCTGCCCTTTGCCTGCGTGATGCCCGTGAGTCCACTGACATCGTGCACCAGCGTTCCGGCACCCTTCGCCTTGGCTGTGAACCAGACAAGGCTGACGAAGATGGTCGGTATGACAATGGCGCAAGAGATCAAGAATGGAATCTTGTACTTTTCCGGCTTGATCCACACGAGCGGGAGGTAACAGATGGTGAAGATGATGAAGCCTGTGAAATCGCCCGTGGTCATGGTCCCATTGGCCAGAGGCGTATCGACCTTGGCGAATGATGGCCATATCGCAGTCAGGAGCACCCGCACACACTGTCCGCCCCAGTAGACCTGGGTCGAGAACCAGATGCAGGCCAAAAAGATTCTTTGGATGACGATGAACCTGAAGCCTCGGGTGCCCCATGAGCACCGCTGAATGACAGGGAACCCTATGTGCCATTTCGCGCCTGGGGCTCCGCTTGCAACGCACAGAAAACCGACGAGTACGTTGCCAATAATGACCGTCAGCATTGCTTGCCAGACGTTGAGTCCAAGAGCGATTAGCGAGGACCCGGTGGTCCAACCGCCGATGTTGAAAGAACCGGTTATGACCCAAAGAGTCACAAACTGCCAAGGACCATAGGTTCGTCTGTGTGGCTCTAAAGGCCGGATGTCATGGTTGACTCTCTTGTCAAGGGCTCCTTCATCGTGGTCCTTGACTTCGAGGCGCTTGAAAATCCGCTTCATGGTCGTCATGTTTTCTTTTCTCGTTGTCTAGCTAAAGCCGGATTTCGAGATTGGCGAAATTGTGGACAACTCAACACCCTCGATCCGAAGACCGAGGCGAGGTTTTGTATCCTCGAGGAATTAAACTGATATCGATACCAGCCATCGCAAACACACAGATTCTATCTCAACATCTCTGCGCTATCGCCCCGATATTACTTCGGGACCCCAGAGAATCTGCGGGTGGAGAAATCCGAGCCACAAGCGTCGATGTGGTTCGGCAAATCATCTTCTGTCCTGTTATCCATTTTAGCAATTTACCAGCCTCAACCCAATGGGACACTCGGGCCTGAGTATTGGCATGAGCCGATGCATTCATCCGTTTAAGCGCCTGCATCAAGTTCGTATGTCTGGAGCATCCGATTCTGAGATTTGGAGCTGATAAACTGGTAAATGGTCGGATAGTATTTGGCCATTGTTGTGCCTGGAAGATCTGTTTCTTATCTTGTTCGTATTTATTAGAGACTCGAGCCTGAAGGCCGCGTATCCAGGCATGGTGGCAGTGACGGATACATCCTCATTTGCAAATCCGTGCAATCCCGCCAACATGTCGTCAACGGCCACTCAGGAGGAAGACTCGCGTACCATTACCCTCACCAATGGCAAGACATTCACCTTCGACTCGAATGCGTCAACAACAGACGAAGCCATCCCCGTCATTGATGTCTCTCGCATGTACAGTGACAAATTGGAGGACAGGAAGGCGGTAGCCGAAGAAATTCGCGAAGCTGCTCATGGCATTGGCTTTCTCTCGATCATCAACCATGTGAGTACTTGGTTAAAAACCTGGATGAAGGCCATCCACTCGGACTGATTCTGACCGTGATGTCTGTGACAGGGCGTGGACATGAAACTTGCCCAAGATGTGATGGACGAGGCCAAGTCATTCTTTGCCCTTCCCACCGAGAGGAAAATGGAAGTTTGCACAGACTTGATGCCTGATGAGTATTGTGGTTATCACCCAATGCAACACTATAATCCGAATGGCTGGAAGAAGAGAGGTGAATTTCGCATGATTCCACAGTATGAACGCCGGCTGACATCGCCCCAGATCTATACGAGGCCTTCAACTGGAATTACAATGCGGCCAATGACCCTGATTTCCCAGATGAATCCATTTCAGAGATCAACCTTTGGCCGACAGAGTTGCCAGGCTTCAAGAAGATCCTCTGCACGTATCAAACGGAGATGATCAGGCTTGCTCGGAAACTGACGAGGATGTTTGCGTTGGCGCTGCATATTCCTGAGGACTCCTTTGAAGATATGGTGCAGAGACCAGAGGCGGGCTGCAGGATACTACATTACCCTCAACAGGAAACATCTCGTGACGAACAGAATGGCATAGGGGCCCATACTGACGTCGAATATTTCACCATCATTACGGCCGACGCTGAAGGCCTCGAAGTTCTCAGCAAGTCTGGCCGGTGGATCAAAGTCAAGCCGATTCCGGGCTCATTCATTGTGAACATCGCAGACTGCTTCATGCGGCAAACGAACGACTTTTTCGTGAGTACAGTCCACCGAGTGATCAACGAAAGCGGACGAGAGAGATACTCGGTACCATTCTTCTGGGGGTTTGACCGGCGAAGCGTGATCAACCCTATTCCTACTTGCGTCAGCGAAGACAATCCGAACAAATACGAAATCATGACTGCAGGAGAATATTACTTGTGGCGGACTAGGCGACAGAAGATAATGTGGAAGATTGGAGAGGGTCAGGTACAGCCTTAGCTGCAGTCACTGAAAAGTAATGAGAGATTGTTGAACCAACCTGATTTCCATCGCATCATGTCATCTGTCGCTGCTCTGTCCAGTCCCATGGGATGCGTTGAAGTAGCTCCAGAGGAATAAAGATTTCAGGGTCAAAGTCTTGGACGGCAACTTCATCGACTCGACCGAGTTCGTGGTCTGCAGCATCCTCTTGAAGTGGTCGGAGCTCAAAGTAGCGGTCGATCTGCTCAACATATTCACGGAGACGATTACAGACCCATGCTGCAGCTGGAATGCTCGTGGCCAGATTCTCGAGCAACTCAGCCATACATACCCTATACATCGTCAGGCATGGCACCAAATAGTTATTATGGAATCATTGGCTTTCACACATCACCATTCTCAGGTGTTGATAGTCAGATCTAGGAAGTTCTTTTTTAATGAAACTGCTGAGGATGTGGCCGAGACCGGATAGCTCCTGTATCTAGATATCTGTCAGTTCATCGCCGATCGACAAAGGAAGGCATGCGGACCATTGCCAACCCCATGGCTCGCATATACTCCATTGGGATAGACGAGATTTCCTCAATCAATTCCAGCGCAGTCCTGCAAGCCTCGTGAAATGTCGTGTCATTTGATGTGAATGAAAGCATTCGTAAAAGCTACTTTTGTCAGCAGGCTCAGCGGAGGCCCTGAGTAATTTTACCTGGTACGTGGCTATTATATTGGCTGTTTGAAACCCGCACCGGTTCAGGCGGATGTCTTGCGATACCCTTTGGGCCTTCTTGAAGCGAAGCGGTAGGTTGGAATACGCCAAATTGAGCGGGCGTACTATCTTTTCCTGCGGGTCGTAATCAATAAGGAACGCCGTAGACAGGCAGCGATTGTCTAGATGAATCGTCGTTCTCTTGTTTCTGAAGTAGGAGATCAGGTGTTCGATACCTCGGTATATATCAGTGATAAAGTTCCATCCAGTAAGCCATTCAAGATTTTCCATAGATTCGGTGAAATCCTGATCAGGGAGGGTGGGATAGGCAACGGCAGATTGGAGCTCAGGACATCGTACGGCATGTCCAAGCACGAGAGAGGTATGTATTTCGAGCCGATACATGTGCCAATACAGCCGTCTTCTCTCTTCTCTCTCAATTGTCGAGATGCCACTAGGCCAGCGTCTTTCGTCGTAATATCCTTGTTCTGCAAGTGCACCATGGTAGAGACCGAGGTACTGTTGAAGCAATGCTGCATTGCCGCACTCTCGAGCGGTCAGGCAAACAAGATTAATCGCTTGTAGGTACTCGAACTCCAGGGATTCGCCGAAGGTTCCTGGGATGGCCGCGATAGCTTCGTCCAAGTACACGTTAGGGGTTACTGCGCATGAGATTTCCCGGGGAGTGAAAGTTGCGCCACTAGCAATCCTACAAGCGCTCAAAGCGCACACGGACATCAACCTCGCATATGATGCCCTACCTGACGGTATTTGCTTCGTATGCCAGTGATGCATGAATGATTGCTCATGCACGGTGCAAACCCTGGGAACGTCAATCATGGTGGAAACACGACGGTCTGGGAGAACCAACACTGGATACACAGACTCGAAGAAATTGATGAGTAAGTCTTGTATGAGCTCTCGCGACCCATGCTTGTCTGGTGACAATGTCCATGGCACACCAGATCCCTTAGAGCCACGCGGTTTACCTCGTTTAGCGGACGGCCTGTTCCACGTGCAACTGACTCCAAAGTCAAGACATGTTAGGCATCGAGAATTGTCGGCCGGGTCGATTCTGCATCCGCGGCCTCTTCTGTGGCAGAAGTCGCACGCCTTGAGAGCGCGCTTCGGTTTGATTGATCTTGGTTCGGATTCGGCCATCGAAGTCGAGTCTGGCAGGTGGGACTGGCCCTCAAATCGAACTCGAAACGTGCTGTTCTCGCAATGAAAACTTGGGCTACTCAAAGAACATGATTGTTATCACAGTTGGAATGAGCAGAATGGACAACATGGCTAGTTGCTGAACTGGTAATGTCCCCAACCTACCTTTGGTAGGTGCCCAGCTCATTAGATAAAGTTGGCCGGAAGCAGTTCTGCATAATTGGCGTTCTTCAACCACCGTACGAATCTACGGGAAAGCATGGACCTCACGGTTGATCGATCGAACATCTCGCAAGGGGCCATACCGAGTCACTCAGCACTGATAGTATGGGTGGCTTTCTCCTGACATAAAGAGATTGTGCGCTCCAATTTGATAACCATGCACGGAGATGTCGAGCCATCTCTGCCCTCACCTGTCGGGATAGTGGATATCAAGGCGTACGATCGTCAGACGATTGACACTTCGCGATGGAAAACACCCACTGAGCTATTCTTCAGCAAGACTAGTCGTTGAAAAATGGATAGGACATATCTGGCTACTAAACGGGCGATCAAACCGTAGTGCGAACCCAAAGAATCGGACCGGTCATTGATCTTCGACTACAGTCTTTGTATGTGCTATGTAGCAAATAGTCGACCTCAAGTGACGGGGCGGCACACACTCAGCACTACTTGTACAAGACTCACTAAATCTGCATATTCCTTTGCATAGAAGGTACCACATGGGCGGATCAATACATGCTACCAAAAGCTGCATCCATCCGATCCCAGCACACCGCTCATTGAGCACATACCCTCCCGAACACTGCTCCTCTTTTCGACGCCGCCAGCCGGGCACCAAAGCAGGTATAAGAAAAGAGTCCCACCAAACCCGCTCAACCCGAAACACAGGGGAAAGGAGTAGCATAAACTTTTGAGATATTCCACAGGGCTTTCTGTCCGCCGCCCCGATCATCCTAAGCAATCCACACCCAAGCCTCAAAAAGTAAATTCGTTTTCTGAGAAAACGGACATCATAAGGAATCATAAGACATCAAGTCAAAAAGTAAACCCACAAACCACAAACCATTTTCGTAAGTCGTGAATCCGAAAGTGACAGAATAATAAAAGTAGGAGGCGTCCAGCTGTGAGATATGTCCTCCTATTAAATGGTACAAGGCCCTGTGGGGCCGGCATTCGATTTATGGCGTAGGTGTGTTTGGAAATAGAGAATAAGAGACGCGAGTGTTGCGACGAGGCCTAGAATTCGTCGTGCCAGCTCGTCTGCGTCCATTCGGTTTAGGGGAGTCGCCTGTAGGCACTGAGGACTTCCTCTCGGGAATTGGAATGGAGGGTGCTGATGCGCCACGATCATGTCTGGGTGCTGATGAAGTGGTCGGCGTATTAGGCAAGTCGCATTCTGCTCCTTTCACTTTGGCTTGGTCACTCTCATCGTCCTCATGTATAGTCTCCTTGCTTCCATCCCGATTGTAATGTTCAGAATAGTTCGAGACATCTTGTAGGTCGAGTCTGAGACTTTCTTTTGATTCGCAGAAATTCGCCAAATGTGCAAAGTCAGAGAGAGAGGTGCTGGAATGGGAAGACCTTTGGGTTCCAGCGATGGAGGATGCTATCGAAAAAATGATGCTCTCTTGAGAGCTTGATTTGCTGATTGAAGAGAACGGGCTTGGTAGAATGTGAGGTCTTTCAATTCGAGGTGGATTTTGAAAATCACAATGCTGTGGAATGGCGGTCGATTCCGCGTTTGCGACCGAACCATTTGGTGCTGGGTGCAGAGAACCAAGGCCCAGGCCTAAAAGTGGCGAGCCCGGTTCTTCATCTTGGACAGGTGACCTGCCCTCCCCCGGGTATTGTACCACTGGTCGATATGTCGTCCTTGGCAGCTGCATCATGAGAGGAGTGGAGGCAGATGAGGAAGGCTCGACAATGGCGGATTGTTCGACGACCATATAGTTCTCTGCTGGGATGTCACTATTCTGAGGTCTCTCCAGTGTTGCATCCGAGTCACTCTTATCCTCATCGGAGGCATCCTTATCGGAGGCGACATCCCAAGAATAGTCAATGGCATCTTCCCAATCTTGAAGCTGGACAAGATCAGTCGTGAGGTTCAACTTAGCTGTCGATGATTGATCGCTAAGATGTTCCACAGGTTCATCCAAGGTTGCCTCCACATTTGTCATTGTCGATGTGATATTATAGTACGAGGCTTGGAGTTGTAGCTCGCCTGATGATTGACTCCGCCTCTTGTATCGTCTTGTTAGAGAAGTCAAGTCATTGCAGGAGAGGCTTGTTGAAATCTCCGGCAACTGCACTTTGTCTTCCTCCAAAACAGCCTCCATCCTCGAGGTTGGAGGGTTCGGGAGGGGCGCAGTGCGGAGTGGCAAAGCTATGTCATCTCTCGTGGACACAGCATGAACGACGTCAGGTAGGATGGGAAGTGGCTTTCCGAGCACGCTTTGGCGGCTGATAGGGCTCAGCGCTGACATTCTCTGGGACAGCTGGGAAGATGGAGATACATCAGCCGATGTGACGGATAATCTGGTAGGGCGGGAGAAATTTTCCATCGATCGTGACATTCTAACATCAGAGGGGCTATAAGGCAACAAGAGATTCTCCTTTGGGGGAGGCTCAGGCCGAGGCGGTGTGGTAGGAAGGTACGGAATAGCAGCGGTTGTTGGTGACGTTGGCTCGTCAAAACCTGGCTGAACCGATCGGTCGACCTTGGTCGTAGGGAGTTCAGTGATGGGGATTCCGCGCACATGGTCCTCGGGCAGCTGGCCTGCTTGGATGGCTTGGTATTCAGAAGTCAAGTGTGACTTGGCAACAGTATCAATGTTTTGAAAATGAGCTTGCTCTCCATGACTCAGATGTTGGAAAGCGAAAGGACCAGATATGCTACGTTTCATGCCAGTGCCTAAGAATGTTAGCCAATGATCCCTTGACCGAAAGGTCAGAATGCCTACGCTTTGAGCCATTGGTGAATTGTCGTTGCAGCGACTTGACAGGGGAAACCTCTCCCACCCGTTTCCCTCCACGTTCGGGCGACGTATCCTCCACAGGCGAGGACAGCAAGTTGAGCTTACTGCCTTGTCGTTTCAGTATTCGAGTGCTCCGCGACAGAAATCCTTTGGCATTGTTCTCATAACGATCAGACAGTGGCAGGTTGCCCTCGGTATAACTTTGTCTGGATGATGGTCTGGAGGTATATTCATGATTAGAGCCATCAGATATCGATCGAGTGTATTGAGACCCGGCAGAAGTCACAGTGTTGGTGCGAGACCTTCCCTGGTATCTGGGAAAACCATCGTTAGGCGACGCCCCGACGCCACTGTGCTCTTTCATCACCTCTGTCAAGGCTTGTCGTGATGGTTCGACACTGTCTTTGGAGAGCCAATCATGGGCAATAGAATGCAACTTGTCGCCGTTCTGTTTCGTATGTCCTTGAATCCAATGAAAGCGGCCCATTTTGACGGCTTGTGTCCTTTTGCTTTGGTACAATATCAGAGATCCTATGGTGGATGTTGCTCAGCTTCATTCAAGCTGGTCCAGTTCTGATGCCCACAACGGAGGCGTCTGCTGCTGTCGCAACAGGACCTCTGCGGAGTGACGCACACTTGGAGTTTACAGACTTGATATGGCCGTCGTAGGCGGGGACACGGAAAATTGAGGTGTATTGTGGCGCACAAAATGTTTCAACTCTGGGGAAACGTGTCAGTTGAATCGTTTTCACTTTGGACGAACACAAATGTCGCGTGGAATTCCAATCTTACCAACGGCCTATGTTCGAAGGCGGACGAGTTTCAAGTGACTGATGACCAAAATCTCCCGTTCCTTCGCTGGATCCTGGGCTGCAGGTCATGTGTTTTGCCGATCTAAGAGATCTGAAGCCAGTCGTGACTGGGACTCCAAGTTCTGACAGTTTCCGAGAGCCAACCGTTCCTTGTCTAGTTGCTGGAAAAGTGAATACGAGAGGATTTGGACATCACGGAGGAAATCATTCCAAATCAGAAAATGGACTTGGGAACTAGAAGATATTCCAAATATAGATGGGATGGAAGAATATACAGTTGCTGGAAGTTGATAGACAACATGAGTGACAACACGGGTTGAGAGCAAGAGATATCTGCACATGGTCTTCCTTACCATTGGGTACACACGGCGTACAGGTGGAGAGTAGTAGTCTTTGTTCTGAAGCTACAAAGTAGAGCTGCATTGAAGACTCCAGCAAGGCAAGGACAGGGGCAGAAAGTGGTCCTTCGTGCCGGGCGTTGCTGCATAGCGGATAATGGGAACGGGAAGCATCCACTAACGCCTAACAAGCATGGTGAGCGAGCATTGTACCTTTTAGAAAGACGCGTCCTGACTCCTGAGACGGACGGCTTGAGAAGCAACCCCATGGTCGTGAGGAAAGGCAGGGAGTTTGGGGAGAAGTTAGAACTGCAGATGAAGTGGAGTTTGAAGGAGCAAGCCGAGGAGATTTGATGGGGCCAGGTCCTCGTCAGGAACCGGGTGAATGCAGCAGCAAAGGTCGAGGATCACGCAGAATGGCGCCAGAAGCGGAACCAGAAGCGGAACCAAGCCTCATGCATAGCGGAAGCCACCTCCCGGCCCTGGTATTCGGGTACTAGGGTCAACGGATCCACGTTCGACGACGGTACATACAGTGGTCTCTCTCCGATCCCTAGCTGGGTTAGTCAGGATACCTTCTTGTTTGTCTCTTACAGACTCCTTACAGTAGGCAGAACAACATTCAGTGCTCTGTAGCGAAAGATGCTGCAAGGAAGCATATTCGCTATTCTTCTCGCTTACCATGGCCGTACCTCGTCGGGAAGACTCGTGCTGGTTGAATGACTCCCGGGGTTCTCGTGTTTGGTCCCGGTTTGACAGCTGACAATTGCAGCTTTAAACAGACCGAACAACAAGAGACGCGAGTGTGCTCGTGGTCACAGCCGGAAACACGGTCGGCTGAAGCAACACGCTTCAGACTTTCCCACGTACAAGTATGTACGTACCAAGTACCTGCATGGCGTGACTTCAATTGGCTGTTTTTCCTACTATGCAGCTCTCACAGCTCCAGGCAGCTGACGCCGTTTCCGTACGGACAGTGATCAACACAAATCAAGCCACCTCTTCATTGTTTCAATGGCGGCTGGGTATGTAGTTTCGGAGCCCCGTAGATGGCGTGCCTGAACATTGCTCGCTTGGTAGAGGCGAGAATTGGCAGGCAGTTGCGCAACAATAGTATCGTGGTCCGTTCTGAAAATGGAGAAGCCAGAGCCCGGCGATCCCAGGGGGAGGATGACGCGGTTGTTCTACAGGGCTTGGAAGGAAACTGTAGGCATGATTACCATGCTCCGTAGGTATAGCTTTGGGGCTGCCACTAGACTGTTAGAGGAGCCGATGGCTGAAGCTAATATCAAGGAGTTAGGGAGATTGTAGCAGGAGGACGCGTGAAGAGGTGGATTGGTGGGTAGAAGCCTAACCAGGGCGGTGGGCGGTGGGCGGTGGGAGACTGGCAGATTGAGAGTTGGGCACGAGTGCAGGACGGAGGAGACCGATGACTCGATGAGGCTCACTTGGCCGAGCCACGGCAAGAAGGCTTCGGAGAGTCGGCGCAACTGATCTGCCAAGGCTAGTCCTGATCCAGGGAAGGCGCGTTTGCTTGCGGAACAAGGAAGTCACGATCGTGCATGCAGCATCGACTCCCCCTGCATCGTCACGCTATACTCTACTCCGTCCCAATGCTACAATACCGCCTCCCTTCTCTGGGTCCCTAGATCGGCGACGTTCTCTGCCCATCAACAGCTGTGATTGCTGTATTCTGGCTCGATATCTCCCGTCAGTACCACAGCAGCGCTCACAATCGGTTGAATGGGATACGTCGTTGGGGCATATGGAGTGAACATACTGTATCACATCGTCACGGCGGACTACACTGGCTCGCTCTGCTAAACCGACGCCAAATTCTTCTTGGCTGCACCGAGCCTACGGTAGACTCTCGTTCCCTTCTCAAACCTTTGTCACATTCACCGAGTCATGATCCTTGTCGTCCCCATCGGTATGCTGCCGAACCAATCATGACGGCCCTCTCCCTGTTGTGCAATTGTCGTCCAGTCCACCTACAATACAAGTACGGGTAGTGCGTCTCCGTACTGTATTGTATGGCCTACAATATGCTAGGTTCTTGGAAGCTTCGAGGCTTGTGGAGACAACATGACTGCACTGCCGTAATAAACACTACTGGACTTTTTTGTTGGCTTGCTGCGACTGATCGAAAGGTCTTCAGGTCCTGTACACACTTCATGTGCTTGCAGATGTCGCCGATGGTGAAGACCTGACGGAAATTGACGGTACTCACAAGGAAGACGATTGACACATTTACCCTTACCGGATCGACCGATTGTGTCCCATGCAGCCACGCGTCTCGTGTCTGTTGATGGCTTGCCGATCGCTGGCCGCAGTCTCGTCGGTGCCCCAGTAAGAACTTCAGCTCGTTCCCAGGACTCCAGGACCCCAGGACTGTAACATGGTCCACCCCTGGCTGGAAACAACTGCCAGCGGCACAAAAATCACCCAATCTTGCTACATGACAGACGATCACATTCATTAGATCGTTTGGACCATTTTTCAGGAGTTGATCGAGCGAACGATCGATCTTGGAGACGAGCCGATTTCGGTCGATGAGTTTCGACGGTGTTCACGTTCGTTCGATCTCCATGCTCAGCACCAGAAGACCTCTTTCGGAATTTCCGAGCTGCCGTCCACGAGAACTAAACGTCAACACTTGTGCGATGGCATCGGGTACTGTGTTCCAAGTGCCTGCAGCCGCGGAGTCGTGGTATTGCCGAGCTTCTGGGTGGAATCGTTATTGAACACAAGTCGTAGCGGGGCGCAACAACACCAGCTTGGTAGAGGCAGCAGAGCATGCAAGCTCAACTCCCCTCGGGCAGCAGAGCATCCCCCGTCGGAAACTTTGCGTTGCCAGTACTCTCCGGATACACTCAGTCTATCTGGTAGGTGTCTGAAGGCCGAGATAAGTGTGGCTTCTCGAGGAACGACGCTAGTTGGTCCTTGATTAGTTTGTTTTGCGTGGTTGCTGCTGGCTTTCCTTCGTCCTCGTTCGCATTGCTCCTTGTTCAACAAATCTGCGAGACTGCGGCAAAGCAAGTCTAGCCAGGTTTCGGGCGTGGGATGGGCTTGCCAGCCTTTCACTAGCCTGCAAGGTGAATCACCGTACGATAAATGTGCATGCGGCAACTAGTCGTGGAAAGCGTGTCGAAGGCATGTGCAAAGTCATGTCTATTGTGACCTCGCACCCCGTAGCGTGGACCAGGTCCCTCGCGTTGCGATGGTGCTGATGCAGAAGTGGTTGTCTAGATTGTGTCCTTTTGTCAGAAAAGACTACTAGGCAGAAATCTGCATTCGCTCGCGAGCTTTGCACAACACCATCTTCGCTTATCACATCGTTCCAAAAACCAATTAGCGGCCCATCGAGCAACAATCCCACACTATCGACCCAGACACCGCCTTTTGATTGCAAGGACATCTTGGTGCTGAGCAGGTCGAGGGTATTGTCAGCAATGAAACGAGTTAGAGGACCGCTCTGAACCGTCCCTCCCAGCTGCCGGGTTTAGTCCGTGGCTGCAGATGTGGTAGCACTTTTCACGTCAAAATGCCTGCACGACCGTTGGATGTTCGTGGCAGCAATATAGGCTTTCATGATGTACCCTCCGTAAACGGCCGCAGATCTACAACATCAATGTCAAGGTCAAAAAAACCATCTACCGTGGCACTGTTTGTTGAGAAAAGAACATTATCCATATCCACCGGCCGCACATCTCGAACATTTGCCAGACATCACCTCTCACCTGACCTTGGTTGCGTCGGCTTTCAGAGCTCTCTGGCTTCTCGCTGCTGGTCTCAGGCATGTGTTGACTAAAGCAGCTAGTTGTTACTCTGCGGCCGTTGAACGATAGGCAAGCTACGTAGAAGCGACACAAGGGTGTCCTGCACCAGGCCAGCATCTTTTACGTCAATCCCAATCCTAGAATACTAGTCGAGAAACGACATCGAATGCCTTTCTCTGGTAGGCTTTAGGGAGGGACAAGGAATCAGAATTTAATCAGAATTTAATTTCAGCCAGCACATCCTCGGCTACGCTCACGGTTCATCGTCGGCAGGGTAGGGCAGGGTCTCTGGTGGTGAGGATTGAGTTGGCATAGCCGACGGTGACAGGCCAGTGACGGATTGATGTGAGATGTCAGATTGTACCTTGATCGAGTGCTCCAACAGACTTCTGGGCGACTGCGCCGACTGGTGATGCTGTCCAGGATCATGGACCGGCGGCTGACGGATTAGGAACATTGATCCGTCTGGTGAACAGGGCCTGGGTATGGGACACGGGTATTCCGTACCAGCCCTTGTGCAAGGATGATGCAGTCAGAAATCGTGAGAACTCTGTGAAGGATTATTGATGCTCATGATTTCTCGGCTGTTATTTCGTGCTTTACTGGCACCACCATTGGCCGGGCATTTTTCTCTGTGTCGTTGTGGTGGCTCTGGACACGCGAGCTCTGGCGGGGTTTTCTCCACGTGTCTCAACCGCGACGGACAGTCAGGCCGCCCCAGCTACTGTAAAGTCCCGACCGTATTGTACCTGTACAGTGTACTGTATGTAGGTGCACCAGGCCTCCCTGCACCTCTGGAGTTGAGCTCATCTGAGGTCCCTCTAAGCCGCCTGTGGTGGCCTGGTAGGCTTCTCAGCTTCTGTGCTCTCAGTCTCTTCCTCCCTTCGCCCTACGACTTCACGGGACACTTGTCTCAGTTTCTTCAATTATCCATTATCCACGCTGCCTGCCTGACCCCTACACCTGCGGAACTGACCAGCTCACGCCTGCGAATACTTCTCCTGCGCTTGATATTTCCTTCATTCGAATCAGGGTCCATCCATTGCGATCTGAGTTTCTGCCGAGTCCATTCTTCCTGTATTTCCTCCTGCAAAGCAGTAAGGGGTCCAAAGGATGCCGAGTTCCTCCCGCACATCATACGAGACATACCAGGCGCGCATCCCTGCAAGACAACGGCTAAAATGCAGCTTGCAGGTGCCATCTGCACGCTTATGTACCTCCCGCCAGACTCCACGTGCTAGACGCGGTCTCACATCCTTCGAGGGCTTCCAATTCTCCGGGACCTCCTGAAGGATACATAGTCATGACATCGTCGATGCATTGCGATGGAGTCTTCTGCAGGGAGGAACTTTTTTTTCCCCTCGACTTCCACCGCCGTGTCGCCATGTCTCTCGGTACCGGTCCTCGCTTGTGGAGAGGCCGTGTCAGCTATCCAAAAAAGAGAAAAATGCTCTGCGAACGCGTCCCAGCCCTACAAATTTTCGACGAAAAGCAACAATTATTATTATTAAATGTCGACGAATATGCTCCTTCGGGACGCATTACTTCAACGCGTTGCGGAGTCGACCGAGTCGTGTGTCTTCTCCGCCTGTCGCTCAAAGCATGAATTTCACCCACATAAGGGGCGAGGAGAATCGCGCCACGGTTATGGAACTCATTCTTCACATCCACGTCGGGTCAATATGCTCAAACACAAAGACTCCGTTCAACTTCGGCTACTATGAGATGTGTGAAAAGTCTGTGACGGTCGCTGAACCCTGCAGAATTCCATCGGTCCGCGTCTTCATCTTCGATCAAATTTTGACACTGACATCTGCCTGAGCGGCGAAGGCGGGTACCTGCATTTCCTGAACAAGGCATTCCCTGCCGGACTCTGCATAGCCGTATCACAACATTCCTGACAGCTTCAAAAATTTCTTGAAACTGCAGGATGCAGATCCTTCGTCCTTGAAGCCCATACAACTACCACATGCCTCATCACGGGTACAGCAAAACCAAGCATGCTTCGTTTCTGACCCGCGTACTTGTGCAATGCACGACTAAGCAGATGTATTTCCCTGAATTCAAACGGCAATGACCACCAACTGTCACTATAGCCTGTACAAAGGAAACTGGAGTTGATGGAACAAAAGCGAGGCGTAGGGGACATTGCTGCAGGCTCAAACACGGGTTTTAACAGCAAGCACCCAAACTGGACACCGCCTCTCTTGTCTAGGTCGCTTCAGGCATGCAAGAGAACCTGTGAGATCGTTGGATTCGTCCTCATTTCAACAGGTTAAATTGGTCTCACGCAGCATTGGAACTCAGCGTCCGTAAGTATGTAAGTGTGGTGAAGAGCTCTGCTTTCATGGTGCGTACTTGGTCTCTCCTAAGTACGCTCAAATCATGGCACCTTCGCTTCATCCAAACAAGGTACGATTTCCTTCCTCAATAATGCTTCTTTCTCCCTGAGTCATGCCGGCCTTGATGTCCCAAGTCCTCTTACCCAAGCCCATAGCTCTCAATCCTTCTTCGTTGACCTTGGTCCAATCTACAGCGTCTCTGAAGCCGAGTTCGCCGTCGCCACCAGCGCCCGGGAAGTCTGGCGGCGGACTATACCTCAACGCACTATGACGCTGTCTGTTGAGAAACTCCAGATTTGATCTTGTCATGGCACATGCAGGAATGTACAAGACACTACTATCTCCCCTCCCGTGGTGTTCCTTGTCCACTGCGTGAATCATGTCACAATGCCAGGCCACATAATCGCCGGGTTCGACCTGGGGGATACTGACCATGGTGCTCTCGAGGTCCAGGTCTGGATGTGTCTGGGTGTTGTACTCTTGACACGCACCAGGAACCGAGTTGGGGAACGTCGCGTCCAAATTCAACTTGCCGGACGCTGGGTCAAAGAATGGCCTCATGATCAGGTAAGACGTCGCGTGTCTCACCAAGGGACATAGTGTGAGCGTTCCTTCTCCTGGTCCGGTGGACGACATGCTCAACCATCCTTGGAAGAGGCGGAACATGCTACATGCGCCTGCGCCATTGTACAGGTCCATCCGCGCGTTGATCCGATAGCGAGCGTCGTATGGGTCGTAAGCTTCCCAACTACCGTTGAGGATAGCCTGATATACTCGGGAATATTCCGGGTCTTCCCATCGCTCAAGGCTGCCGCCGTCAGTGTGCGGGCCCAATGCGAACTTGGCATCGCCTGGCTGACGGATGCGAAAGCGGTCGGCATAGGTGAGAGGGTAGGTTGTCGAAATTTCCGACTTCGGGTCGGACGAATGCCAAAAGGAAGCCAGGAACGATTGTACTTTCAGCATGTTCGGATGCGCACGAGCTTGGACCTGTGAAGGCGTCCAGTACAACTCGTATACCGCTGGGTTGTCTGGCGGGAAGGCCTTGACCTTGGGCTTGTTGGCAGCGATATAGTCCTGGGCCTGCTGCTTCAACGCCAGTGCCTGGTCTCGGGGCAAGACGTTCCGAATGACGGCCGTGCCCCGGTGGCGTACGGCGTCGATCTCTGCACGAGGGACAGTGCCAGCGGCGAGGTCCTTGTACTCGATGCTGGGTATGATCTAGGGATCGATCGTGTCAGTGCAACCCGGTCGTCGACTCCCTTTAAAGACGTGATGTATGAATGTTCAAAAGGGGGTTATGCAGTATTTCGCACGAGACGTACATTGCTGCCTTCTGACTTGATCTCTTGAATCTCTCTCCTCAGGCTGACAAGGAGCCTCTGCCAGGACGCAGCGAGTGCTTCTTCATTGCCTTGAATCAACGACTTTTTCAACTCGCTGAACCGTGACGGTAGCGGGTCAGGCTTCTTGCCAGACAGTGACGGGAAGACCGAACTGATGTCACCGGCCTCTTTGGTTAAAGTTGATGCTGCGGCCCGTTGGGCAACGGTACCGAGGAGTCGTTTCATCCGGGGACACAGTATAAGGTATGGCGAATCTTTTTTTTTCCCTCTTCTATTCTTTTGGAAGGTACCTTTGTCTGGGAATCAAATCCTGCCCTGGGGCTGATCCCCTTTGCCCTCCGTTCTTAAATGCTCGTTCTGTTCCGACATGCAGCTTCGGATACGGTTCCAAATCTAGATTAGCAGAATTGACGTAGGTGACATTCGTGGGCAGTTTAGTTGTAGCGCGTTCTGTGATCCGCCGTATACACACAAAAGCTTTTTTGGGGGTTTTTTTTTTCTGGGGAGCCTACCGCGTCTCACCAGACATGTGCGCCGATACGAGTACGGGGTAGATGAGGAGAAGGCGGACGTGACGACTCGAAATCTTTAACTCAGAAAACCCGGCGAACCTCGGCCCTCCCCGTGGTACCAGGACGCCGACGATGAGGGGGAAATGTGCCAGTCAGGTCGCATACCACCGACGCGGCCTCTGGTAAAATACGTTTATAATATATATATATATATATATTGTATGTACCCATGTCCTCAGGTCTGGTTAGGGATAATGCATTGAATTGAACCGTCTTTTCCCCGAGTGAGACGCATCGACACAACATTTTTTCTTCTCTCTTTTCAACTCTAGGGACAAGGGACAAGGGACAAGGGATCGATTACCTTCGAGCACTTTTACGGATAGTCTCAAGTAAGTTATTCGCTTGTGGGCCGCCGAAGGTGCCCATACTGGTATTCGAATTTGGGGGATTTTCTGAGAGAATCAGAAGCAGCAGACCGGCGGTGCTATACTGGCATAGCTTGCCTACCCACGGCCTGAACTAGACAACAGATAAAAACATCCTGTCGTCGTCGTGTGTTGAGTTACCATCATCGTCGCTGGGAAATAACAGCACCAGTATCCACACCAACACCACCACCACCAGCAAGACCCATACCAGCGAATACCTCATTCGAGCAGTGATCAGTCACCCAGAAAAAAATTGTTGTCGGACCATGGCTCAACAGGTTCAGGGAAAGACTGCCATCGTGACCGGCGCCGGGTCAGGTAAAGTCGCCGTCGCCCCTCGGGCTTTCTCCTCTTCCTCCTCTTCATCCTCCTCTTGCCCAGTCATCACACCTTATATCACATGGCCGTGTTCTATACGGGCCCATCCCTGCCTCTCTACCCCTGAATACCACTAGATACTCGGCACTCGGTACAAGTTAACTGACGGACAAACGTTGGTTGGCGTGATTATTAGGAATCAATCTTGAGTTCGCGCGGTTGTTGCTCCAAGATGGCGCGAACGTCGTCTTCGCCGACCTGGCTCTGCGGCCTGAGGCGGAGGACCTGGTCAAGCAATACCCGGACACGGCTGTGTTCAAGAAGACCGACGTGACGTCCTGGTCGGACCTGAACGACATGTTCACCGCGGCCGTGTCGCGGTTCGGCGACGTCGACATCGTGTGCCCCGGCGCCGGAGTCTTCGAACCCCCCTGGAGCTCGTTCTGGTACCCTCCGGGCTCGGCGGAGTCGCAGGACGACCCCCTCGGCGACCGGTACAAGCTGCTGGACATCAACCTCACGCACCCGATCCGCGTGACGCAGCTGGCCATGTCGCACTTCCTCAAAAGCGCGTCGTCGAGCCCGTCGAAGCACCCCAAATCCATAGTGCACATTGCGAGCATCGCCGGCCAGACGGCCTCACTTGGGTACCCTCTGTACCATGTGTCGAAGCACGGCGTGCAGGCTCTGGTGAGGTCGTTGGCCGACCTGGACGAGTCGCATGGCATCCGCGTGACGTGCGTCATGCCGGGCGTGGTCAAGACGCCCTTGTGGACCGACCATCCCGAGAAGCTAAAGTTGATCAAACAGGACGGTGAAGATGCGGATCAGTGGGTGATGCCGGAAGAAGTCGCACAGGTCATGTTGGCGTGTGCCAGGGATGACAAGATCGACAGGAACATAAGAAGAAGAGGAGGAGGAGGAGGAGGAGGAGGAGGAGGAGGAGGAGGAGGAGGAGGAGGAACCTCGTCGGGTACGAACGGGAGTGGAAGTGTCGGTGGTGACAATGTGATTACCATCAAGGGAGGTTCGTGTCTGGAGGTGTTGGCGGGCCATGTGAGGGATGTGCCTCTTTTCAATAATGTCGGACCGTATGCCTCGGGAGTACCGGGGGCGACAGTGCAAAGGGGGAAGATATTCGCGGAAGAGATTTTCGGTCTCTTGAAGCCCGGTTGGGGCTCGTTCTGAGACGCCAATGACGAGAGAAGGATACCTATGATTTGGTTTGGGTTTGCTTGTGTCATGCCCGGAAATGAGGAACGAGGAATGAATTGTGTAGCAGAACGAAACGACAAAATGGAACTGTGGTATTGCTAAAAAAACACCGCTTGTTGTGTCTTCGCATTGGGTCGGTATGGTACAAGTAGGACCGACGGTGGAGAGATTGTGGAGGTTTGTAGAGAAAGAGATCTCTAGAAGACAAGTCCAGCCCACGATATTCCCGAGTCCTCTAGTCCGTACTAAGGGTGGTGGGTCAGATATACTACTTAGGTATGCAGTACTTCAGCATCACACTCTTTGTCCGTCGGGACTGCAATACCGAAAGCCGGGCCTAAATAGTGCCCCAAACAGTTGTGGGATTGACATTTGTCGTCAGGTTCCGATCAGAGCACCAGTTACCTTCGGCACAACATCAGGCATGGATCACGCACTCGAGGACGCCATCCAAAGCGCGACAGAGGCACGGGTCAAAAGCGTCTTGCTGAAGATCTGCCAGGAGAGCTCAGCCTGTCGTGACGCGGTCAGCAAGGAGCTCCTCCTCGTGACCGCGACGACGGCGGGCACACAGGACGAGAAAAGCAAAAAACGAGTTCGCCAGGCCTACGAAACATGCGCCCACTGCGAAGAAGAATATCGCGTCGTAGAGAACGACTTGCTCGACGGCTTGTGCCAGTATCATCCCGGTGAGTTTTTTTTTTGGCTTTGCTCCTTGACGTTTCGGTCGCTGCCACCGCAGAAAGAACCTGGGGAAGCCGCAGCCACGACCAAAAAATAATAAGACTGACTCGAAGCCGTAACGTGCGGGTACGCGTACAGGCAGCAGAGACTGTGACTGGGATCACGACAAGTTCGCCGACTTTGAACCATGGAGGGATGGCGATCCGGAGGACTTCGAGGACGACCCGGACTTTGCCGACGCGTTCAAGTGGGATTGCTGCGGCGGGAACGGAGCCGCCGATGGCTGCGTGGTGACGAAGCATCAACCGGACGAGACGAAGAGGATCAAACTTGGACGAGTCTGAGGGCGAGATGCCCGGAATGGCAGCTTACGGCTTCCAACAGAAGAACGGCCGGGTTTTGGAAAGCCACCTAGCTCTTTTCCAACCGAGATGATGATGAGGCGCCTTGCAGTGCTGGATCTTAGTACAAGTACTCGCATCTGGATTGTTGAAGGGTTTGATGCACTCGATCAATGCAGTAGTGAGAGAGCGGATATAGTCGAACGATGGAACAAAGATCTATGCTGTTCTTGAAGGGAAAGATGTCATTAAATTTATGGCGCTTGGATTCCCAAGATAAGCGGAGGTTTCGATCTGGAAGGCCGTGCACGCGAGATCCTTCTAGCTCAACCCGGTATCGGGTATCAGATCAAGTCAAAATCGACCGAGTGGTGATCTTCAATCGCATGTATGCTGGAGTATGCTGGATGCCAGAAAGCCCTGTTGTCTCGGGGCGCAATGACTGTAAAGATAAGTATGACCAGTCGAGGCTGACACGCCCTAAAAGTCCTATCTCGAGTCCGATAGGACAAAAGCCACTGCCGGCCACGAAGCCTTCTGAGTGTGGTCCTTGTCCAATGGCGATGATAAGGCATCGATAAATCTAGGTTTGGATCCCATCAACGGTCTCGCTTCGTGAACCAAAAATGGACCGCCACGTCGTTGAGGATACATATCTACAGTAGATAACCAAAAGCTTGCGAGCTTGCTGTCGTCCTCAGAACAGCCGTTGCAAATGTTAATGTTACCGTCAACATCATGGGAGAGATCCTCGTTTTTGCGGATCAAAGTACGAACAGCGCCGTCGTGTTGCAGGAGGCATGCAGAAGACGTGACCATGCCCGTCTGCAAGACTTTCTGCGTCGGGCGACTGAAGCTTTGAGCTCAGAAGCCGACTCCGCATCTCATACGTTCAGAGACAATACCGGACTCTCCTCGCCGGAGGAACTCATTCAAGAGTATATCATACTATCTCACTCAGATGGAGCATTCGAATGTGCACTCTTGTGTATGTCGCAATTTGCCCACTTTGTCAGGTTCGTGGCTCATCAACACCGAGACCGACGATGCTAATAAGCTTTTAGCATATACGAAAGTAGGCCAACTGCATACCCTCGGCAGACACCTGAGACGTGCCTGATCGGGATGGGTCTTGGTCTTGTCGTTGCAAACGCCGTGGCTTCGGCTGATTCATTGTCTGCATTGATACCTCTCGCGGTGGAATCTGTCCTGGTAGCCTTCAGATTAGGATTTCACTTACAAAACGCTGTCACTCAATTGGGGTGCGATCCTCTCGGCCAGCATTGGTCAAAGGCGTTCCGTCAAGACGAGGCCGTTGTCGAAAATGCGATGGAAAGGTTTCACCACCGAGAAAACATCCGTTCAGACTCGAAGCTGAGACTGAGCACGGTAACTGCGAGCTATATCATCGTTTCAGGTCCTGCATCTGTGCTAGCCAAGTTCTCCAAATACCTACCTTCGGATGAGTCAAGCAAGCAGATGCCTAGCAACCTTTATGAACCTCACCAGCTCATGCACCTAATACCACCGTCAATCATCGAAACCCACATCCTATCTTCCTCGACCAAGAGTACATTCAGTGCATCTGAGCCCCGCCTGCCTTTTTTCAGCGGGTCAAACGCCAGACCCTTGCCTGGAATGGCACCTCTTGAAAGTCTTCAGAGCACCATTCGAGAAATCACAACGTCGACCTCAAGATGGACAAAGCTCTTCGAAGGTCGATTTCCTCGTTGGCGCCAGACGCTCACCGTAGTAACGCCTGGATCGACCCTCCGAAGTAGTAGCGTTTTTGGAGAACTTGCTTCTCGGAACTTCGAAATCACATATGAGGATTTGTCAGACTGGGTCTCAGCAGATTATCAGCAGCGGTTTTCAGATGTTTCCTCTGTGGGAAGCGTCAAGCATTTCTCCGAGCAACGTGTGACACCGTTGATCTCTCGAAACCTTAGGTCGTCGAAAGCTCACAGCCCTCAAATGAGATTAGGCTCGCACTCACGCCCTGATATTTCCAGGGTGGACTCAGGTTACGTTTCTCAGGATGAAAGCCTTAGCCAAAAGGCTACTGGAACAGTGGCACTTGATATTGGAGACTTGATAACGATGGACAATAAGCAACAGACACTATCGAGCGTAGAGCCTCCTTTTACGGCAGATGCAAAAGAAGTGGCCCTTGGTGGTGAACGTTATACCGGCCATTCAGCACCAGAGATGGTAACGGCTGCTGTGATATGACCTGCAAGCTGGATCGTGTCTGATTTGTAGGTGTACCGATGATTTCGCGGGCGCAATTACTTGAAAGGCGTTGCTGCGAAGGTGCATGAAGGCGGAAGCCGATTCCAGGGAAGCAACTGTGATACCCAATCGAGGGACTGTGTATATAGGGTTCACAATTACCTAATTGCGGTATGTAGGATTGTGCCAAGGAGAAAGCTGTCGTCCAGCATACAGAGTGATGACTGAGAGACTTCGGTGCGTTCGAAGCTGTCGCGCTGTATATTGTTTCTACGTTTCGCCGTATATATGATCTGGAGGAGCACAGGGTAGAACGCGCACAAAATCTATCTTGACAATGACGCCTATTCTCATCACACGACCAGCGATATGTGTAACGACAACTTGTGATCATGCCGGCGGCAGCATCTCAGCCGCCGGTGAAGCTCTCGCTTCCTCTGGTAAGTGAGCGTAGTTGTTGAATAAGCGATCTTTGCTCTGGAGATGTTTTCTACACGCCATGTGATTGCCACTCTGCAGCTGGCATCGGGCGGCCTTTAACTCACGCTAACTTGTTGAAATAGCAATTTCAGCAGGAAATCTTCCAGCTACTACGAGCCGAAGATGTTTTAGTAATACTAGCTCGCGGCTTAGGGCTGCTCAAGATTGTCACGAATCTCCTTCATTCGTACGACGCTGCGGGAAATTCTCTTGTCATCGTTGTTGGAGCAGAAGACCGCGAGAATGAATGGATCGGAGAAGCTCTCGCAGAGCATTATGCCATCTCTCGTTCTCCTCTCGCAAAGGGCCTCCGTGTTATCAACACGGATAAAGCAACTGTGGCGACTCGTGAGAAGATTTACTCGGAAGGAGGAATCGTATCAGTCACCAGCCGGATTCTCATCGTCGACCTATTATCAAAGCTCTTGGATCCCGAAACTGTGACCGGCTTGATTGTGCTACACGCTGAGAAGGTCGTAGCCACCACCACCGAAGCCTTCATCGCACGCATCTTTCGACAACATAATAAGATTGGCTTCCTCAAGGCTTTCAGTGATTCTCCGGAACCTCTCACATCGTCTTATGCACCCTTGTCGACTATGATGAGGAATCTCTTCCTTAGGAAACCGTCGCTATGGCCTCGCTTTCATGTATCAATCGCGCAAAGCTTGGAAGGGAAGAAGAAGGCCGACGTGATTGAACTTGAGATTCCCATGACAGATGCGATGAGGGCAATTCAGAACGCGGTGATGGAATGTGTAGAGATGAGCATATCTGAGCTCAAGAAGGCCAATCCTGGATTAGAGATGGACGATTGGACGCCTGACTCTGCTCTACACCAAAACTTTGATGCTATTGTTCGACGACAACTTGACCCCGTATGGCATCGAGTCAGCTGGCGTACGAAACAGATTGCGAACGATCTGACGGTGTTACGATCAATCCTTCACTCCCTCCTCAGCTACGATTCAGTCTCTCTCTTGAAGTATCTGGACACTGTTCTCGCGACTCATTCGCCTCCTCCAGGCTCTACGAGACAAGACCAATCGCCATGGCTCTTTTCCGATGCTGCGTCAACTATATTCCAGTCCGCCAAAGATCGGGTCTACAAAGGCAAGGTAGAAGATAGCAATGCGCTGCCGACATCGAAACTACCAGACTCGCTGAGTCCTGTATTAGAGGAACAGCCGAAGTGGACTGTTCTGGCGGAAATCTTACGAGAGATTGAGGTGGACGCATACCTGAATCCCAGGTTAAGGGATGACTCAAATGATACCATTCTCATCATGTGCAACGATCAGCGGACCTGTCGTCAAGTCAAAGAATATCTTCAAACGATGCATATCAAGCCGCTGGCACAAGACGTAGCAGATGGACAAGCGCCACATGAGATAGAAGCTGAGGAAGAACGAGGCTCCGCCGAATTCATGATGAGAAGAAAACTCCGAGAATATCTGGGATGGAGAAAAACGTTTGCTCAAGTCAGCGCATCTCTGTTTGAGGAAAACCAGAAATCTCTGAACGATATCAAAGGAAACACTGCTTCCGCCCGTCTCAACAGCAAAGCGCCTGTGAACAAGCGTAGACGCGTCCGTGGTGGTGGCGGTGGCGGACTGGGTTTGACACGCAGTGCCAACGGTGCTGTAGCTGTCTCAGAAGATAAAGCCGCTCAAGTCGCCGGTCTACTGGCCGAGCTGCGACCAACAGAATCTGAAGCTAGGCAGAAGGAAGATATCATTGTCGATAATCTCAATGACGCCAGAGAAGACTTCTTCGAGTTGTACGAACCTGACGATCAGATTGTGGTGCATCCGTACGATGGTGACCAAGACGATCAGCTTCTTGAGGAGCTACGCCCGAGGTACATCATCATGTACTCCCCAGCCCCCGACTTCATCCGGAGAGTCGAAGTTTACAGGTCGAGCCATTCGGACAGAAGTGTGCGGGCATACTTCATGTACTACGGTGGTAGTGTGGAAGAGCAACGTTATCTCTCTGCTGTCCGACGTGAGAAGGATGCATTCACCAAATTGATCAGGGAACGCGGGACTATGGCCGTCACAATGACCGACGCCAACGTCGATCCGCAGGAAGCATTTCTCCGCACCGTCAACACTCGCATTGCTGGAGGTGGACGACTTGCGGCAACGGCAGCTCCCCCAACAGTAGTGGTCGATGTTCGGGAATTTCGATCAGCTCTCCCGAGTCTACTCCATGGTCGCAGCATGGCCGTCGTTCCTTGCCAGCTTACAGTTGGTGATTATGTCCTGTCGCCAAACATCTGTGTCGAGAGGAAATCGATACCCGATCTCATTGGCTCTTTCAAGAATGGACGGCTCTTCAACCAAGCCGAGACCATGCTGCAGCATTACAAGTATCCATTTTTGCTGATTGAATTTGACGCAAACAAGTCCTTCACGCTTGATCCGTTCGCAGATTTGACATCCGTGGCAACATTGAAGATGCCAGACTCAGACACCAGAGATTTGCAATCGAAGCTGGTTCTCCTCACCCTTGCATTTCCGAGGTTGAAGGTGATCTGGTCGTCTTCGCCTTACCAGACAGCCGAGATCTTTGAAGAACTGAAAAAACAGCAAGAGGAGCCTGATCCTCTGAAGGCCGTACAAATCGGCCTGGCGGAAGGCGAGGATCCGGATGAGAGGACTTTCAACACTGGACCTCAAGAGCTGCTTCGAACAATTCCTGGTGTGACTGCGAAAAATTCCAGCAGATTGTACCTCGAGACGAAGAATGTTCTCGAAGTAGCGAACATGAGTGTCGAGGAACTGGATCCCTTGGTCGGCCGAGAATCTGGGAGACAGATTGTCAGATTTTTTACAAGAAGTGTTTTCGACGACGAAGATCAATAGATTGGGGGACGCACGAAAACTCCGGTTAGCGAAAGCTCAACGGCTTCAAGATCAGACCTTCACGACAGCGACAGCACGACTTGCAACCCTCCATCTATGCGCACCTTGGAGGGATATGATATGAAGTTTGGACTAGTATTTGAGTATCCGAAACCCGATATCCCTAACCCGGTGACCAGCCAGTCTTTCGTGTCGAGAACGAGTCATCGACGCCTCTTCCGTCCACTTCAGCATTATTGGATATTCACCGATCGTCTCTTCGGCTCGCCTTCGCCAACTCGTATTGGATACGACTTTCTCGCCTTTTAAGCACGCACCAAAAACTATCGAACCTAACTTACACTTTGCGAAATACAATGAATAATTGGGCTTTGGTTTGCGCGGGTGACTTGAACAAGCAAGGCCACGTGCCATTGATGGGACTTCAGTGCAGGAATCTGGTGATGGCTCTAACATAGCTGCCTCTACATTGGAAATGACCTTTGTCGAGACGATAGCCGGACTGCTGTGGGGGGGGGGGGGGGGGTGTTTGGAAAGCAAGCAATCTTACGTGCGTTTTCAGCCAGACCGCGCTTACTTCTGCGACGAGGACGACGACGACGACGATCATCAGCAGAAGCAGCAGCGCGCAGATGTGAACGTTGGGGAGTGCAGTGCCTTTCGTTTGCTACGGAGCCTGGCGCGTCGATAGGAGTACAGATAGAGATGCGTACTGATACAGATACGTTCCTCGGGCCTGCCTGGTGTGGCGATGGTGGGAGTTTCCCTTGTTGGTATCGTTGTATCTGTCGTCGTAATCCTTTAAAAACCAACGAGGTCCCGGAGGATCAGTCTTCTTGCCACACGACCAACCATGGCGATGAATAAGTCATGACGAGGACGATAATGACATGAACACGGAAAATATGGAAAGCAATAAACTCTCAAAAGCAATGACAAAGTCGAAGTCGAGGCGAAAAAGTCAGCAATAACCTCAACAGATGGGTCTCAAGCCAAGATTGAGAAAGGTCGGTCGGTATGCAAGAAGATCTCATTCGGCACATCAGGAATAACAAGCAGTCTTCGTCGGATGTTTGGGTATGCTTCGGTCTGGTCTTCATTACCTCCAAAACATTTTTTAACTAGGGACACTGAAAAAAACAAACTCCCCCGTCGTAATCATATGTGGGCGGTCGAAAGCTAGGCAACTGACGGTCAGTCTGGCTTTTGAGGCTTTTGGGGCCGCGAACGCAAACAAAAACCAGCCGTCAGTGGGTGTGCCTGCGTGTCCTTTCCGAGTCTAAGCAAGGAGAAGCATAACATGACATGATCCATGTAGCAGTAACAGCGCTTTCTTTGAATTCACAACGACGCAACCGCAACCGCAACGCAATGAAACGTTGGTTTTTCCACCTTCAAATGTCGTCAATATCAACGTCCTTGTCCGAATCACTGCTCCTGTCCTCGTCGAACTCGACGTTGTCATCGACACCTTCGTGGCCGTAGGTGTCCGTCTCGTTGATCTTAGCCGTCTCGGGCAGTTCGCCGTACGCTTTGAGTGATCGGGCCTCGTCGGCCGAGTACTTCAGAATGACGTCGCCTTTTTCGTCTTGGTAGTCGCGCAGAGACAGCAGGATGATGTCGCCCTGGTTGATCCAGACCTTCTTCCGCAGCTTGCCTCGGATGTGTGCCAGGCGCTTCTCGCCGTCGAAGCAGAGGGCCTCTAGGCGGCCGTTGCCCAACATCTTGACAACCTGTGCATACTCTTGGCCTTCTTCCTTGAACGTGAGTTCACGCTTTTCGTTGTCGTTTTCGTTCTTTCCACGACGTCGGTTCTTGCCTCCCTGTGTCGCACAATCGTATTAGTGAAAATCGGGTACTCTGGAAGAAAAGGCTCGTGTGTTGTGTGGATGTTGCAAACCAGGAGACGCTGGACTCAAAGCAGTGTGACTGCCATCGAGTCGACAGCACGAAACGTGATGGTGGCGGGGTGGTGGTGTTGCCGCAAATCTAACACTCTTCGGAAGGGCTTCAATTGCGGTGTGTGGAGCTGAGGAAACTCACCTTTCCCTTGTTCTTAGGCATATTGACTCTTCCTTATAGCTGCAATAATTCTTCTGCGTCTGGTGTTTGGATCGAAGGGGGTCAGAAGTTGTCGGAGGCTCGAGGGTGATCGTGGGGTGGGAATGTGTGGTGTGTTGTGGTTCTTTGTCGGAGGATCTGGAGGCGAATTTATCAGGGCGGAAGGGTTGACGTCGTGTGGCCGCAGTGGCTGTTTGGCATGAGTGACTTGTCCTCGTTACCAATTGGCGGATGGGCACCTGGTGAACAATGGGTGGGCAGTCCTCGTAGGGTCCGGACACTCGTAGAAGAGACGCTCACACAATGGCCAGTGAATTTTCCCCTCTGTTTGGCGGGGCTTTGTTAATCCGCATCCGGCGATTTTCCCGGCGCATGAGTCAGTCGGATGATTTTTTCTTAGGCTTGCACTTCCAGGCCTTTGTCAGTGATTGAGCCTGGCATTTCTTTAGGACAGACGTTCTTGTACCCCATGCCCTGTCCTCGCTACATACCTCGTAGTCAAGTCGATACTCAAATGGCTGCACCTTAACGCCATCGGATTGCCAGAGCCATACGCCCCTGCCTCCTACGATGGCCCTTCATCATGGCCCTCTCTCCCTTCAAAACCGTCCGCTTCCCTAGCTTCGGGCTCGGCCTACAGGCGCAGTACTGCCCCTTCGTTCGCCCGTCGACGCTCGACGAAAAGTCCTTCGCCTCTCGGTGGCACCCCAACGTCTTCACCGTCCGAGACAAGTACTCGAGCGTACGCCCCGACGTTCTCACCTGGCGGGTCGTCTCGGCCACGAGCCACAAACTCGTCCCGAAAGCAGTGATGCGCAACCGCCTCAAGCGCAGATGGGCCAACGCCTTCGCGGACAGCATGAGGAACAACGGCCTCCACACCACGGGCAGGCCGCTTTCGGTGTCCAAACGTGCCAAAAACGCGCCACCAAAGGTCCAAGGCACGCTCGAGATGCTCGTCTTCAGCGCTTCCGGGCTGCATGTGTCCTACGACAAGCTTCTCAAGGCGACCGATGTGCTCGTCAAGACCTTGCTGCGTGGAGATGCAAAGCTCAGTCCTGAGTCGTGGCCAAAGCCTCAACCTGTCTACGGGGGTCGAAAGGATAGGGCTGATTCGAGATGGTCGATCGTTGCGCCAGTGAAATGAACATCCTTCGCAGACACAAACACAAGGATCCGTGCCACGCCTTGAGAAGGTGTGGCTGTGATGAACAAAGGAGCTCAGATACTGTAATACTATCAACAACCAAGTGATACCCCTGTACAATTGAGAATCTCAAAAAGAATGTATGCCTTTCTACCACTCAACAAAATTCTTATCTTCCTGAAATAAATACTCGGTTTCTTTCTCTGCTATTGTACAATTTTGTAATCCTGTGGGTATCAACCCCCCTGTCTGAAGCAAACGGTCGATGCCCCGTAGGTGCTAATACGGCTTCCACTCCGCCCGGGAACCCTCTCAACTTGCCTGTTTCATAATCAAGCCTTTCAGCCCAGGTACAAGGTCATTGATGACCTTCATCCCAACACCCCGAGCTCGTCCAGCGACACTCGCCAACATACCGTCCCCACTCGCACCAATCTGGTACAAGGAGTTCAATGCATCCACGCCTCCAGCCATCAACAAGCCCTTCCCGAATCGATCCGACGAAAACCGTTCCAGAGCCATAGCATCGCCGATGTCCATGCCATGCTCGACGCCGTACGCAATGCAAGTCGCAAGACTCTGCGCATCCGCCAGACCCAGGTTCAACCCCTGTCCTGCAAGAGGATGGACCGTGTGCGCTGCGTCCCCGATGAGGGCGATGCGCGGGTTGACAAGGCTAGTCGCGTGGCGGAAGCGCAGCGGGAAACTAGCCATGCTGTTCTCCTGCACACCCGTGACAATCGGTGGTTGGCGCGCGATGCCGGGCGCATCCGTGTGTGCAAGACGCCAGCGGAGTTCGGACTCGTGAGCGTCAGGAGAGTCAGAAGGGAGAGTGAAGAGGTACTTCAAGTCGGTTTGGCTGAGCCGTAGAGCGGCGTTGATCATGGCTAGTTGTCCCGATGCAGGAAGAGATTTGAGGTAAGTGGCATATGCGGGGGTCGTGGACCACACCATCGATGCGTGTCCATTTGGTAAAGGCAAGATGGCGATCGGCCCACCTAGTTGTGGCAGGAAGCGTTGAAATGCTGTTGCTCGGTTGGGGAGAGGCTCGGAGGCGAAAAGGTCGAAGTCGAAATCGGAGGTTTCATCTGGGCTGTGCGAGGAAGAGGTGGACGGGCCGTCTTGGACCGATAGTGTAGCCACAACGCCGTGTCGGTTGTAATCCCAGCCCGATGAGTTGATTCCTGCAAAGGCGCGGACGGGGCTATTGAAGCCATCAGCGCCGATGAGCAGGCGTGCTGCAACGCTAGTAGTATGGGATGATGAAGACTTGGACTCGAGGTTGACGACGGGCCAAGACGAGAGATTGAGGCCTTCTGGATCGTCTTCGCCGTTGGTAATGCTGGACACGCTTGTGTTTGCAAGGAGACTTGATTCGGCACCCAGTTCGACGATCCGTTCAAGCAGGCCCCGCGTCAGGTTGGCGTTCTCGCACATTGTGGCTATGGTCTGTGGAGGCGCATTGTACTGTTTGGTCTCGGAAGCCCAGTCGAACTGAATACTGGCGCCGTTGGCAGCGTCCCACACTTGCATTTCGTCGTAGGCTTGGACACGGGATTGTTCGACGTGTGTCCATGAGCCAGTGGACTCAAGAAACGAGACTGACGAGGACGTGAGGCTGCTTGCGCGATTTGAATACTGATCTGATGAAGAAGCCCACTGGCGGTGCTTGGAGAGGTCTTGAAGCTCAATTAGTGCAGTTTTCAGGTGTGAGGTGACAGGAGATGACTCTGTTCTGGTTAGCTTTGGTCGTCGATGCGTAGCACCACCCAAACATACTGAGTGCGGCGAGTAGGGCAAGTCCAGCTGGGCCGCCGCCAACCGCCACAACATCATAGATTTCAGGTGTTGCCGATGCTGTGGTTGATAGAAGACGTCGCCGCTTGGATGAGGTCAGAGATTTTCGACATTGCGCGCATACGAAGCTGGAAGACACTCTCAGGCGTGGGAGTCTGGTAGGCATGATGGAAAGTGGAAATACTGGTAGATAGACTGTTATCACTTCGACAAAGCCGTAAATGTACACATCCCAACCAACAAATCTGCGAGTGGTGAGAGAGGTTCAAGCTTGAGGTCTGATATTCTCGACTAATCGGGTTAGTGCGATCTACGAATGGACAAGCAGGAGGATCAGGCCACGAATGTACGGACTGGCATCGTTCTAAATAGATCTCCTCGAACCAATTTGGAAATCATTAACTTTCCAATGCACATATACAAGCACGCCCTTCTCCTGGTCTGCTGAGTTGTCATCTTCGTCACTGACCTCCAGAAGATTTCGGCGTCCTCATTAAGACAGCAATGAACATCCCCGGCGGACATCGCAATCGAACGTGAAATCGGTCACCCACAAGTCGATGAGTCTCACTCCTCTCAAACCATCTGCTGCCCTTATCATCATCACCTTGCAATGGCGACGGAAACATTTCTCTTCGAACAACTCAGACGCTGTGGATGGACCGAAGAACGGATCACAGCATTGAACAGTCGATATGTTGTTGCAGAAACCGAGGATTGTCTTTCTTTTGAGAAGGACGAGTCACCCTCGGAGAGGGACTACAGGTTGCAACTCAAGGTGCTAGATGCGCTAAAACACCGAATGCTTGTTGCCGGAGAATCAGGGGCAACTCAACCTTGGAAGGACGAGTATTGATGACTCAGGGGCTTCCGGGATGTTGCCAAATTTGAAATCCTACAGTCAATGATCACGGTATGTAGCTCGCGGTTTTCTCACACTGTGTTCCTGGTCTGATCATAATGTGTTGACCGTCAAAGCCACTTGCCGCAAAGGGACAGTGTCATTTGTACCATATACATATGAAGTTATTAAAATACACGACTGTCTTATTACTGTATTGACAAGGCCGGATTACTTTTTGGAATCCCCCCCCAGCTGAACCCTGTGAACCTTCTTGTACTGGCCGCTATGGCTGTACCCGCCGTTTGCATAACTCAATATCGATGTACGACCTTTTGAACGGACCAGCTCAGCTACGTCTGTGGCATGGTACACCCACGTAACCCGACCGAAAACAACAACATGGTCCGCAATGTGGACCAGCTTCGAGGGCATGTATTCGCAAGACAAGTGCAGCGGTACTATGTTGGAGTCGTGGTGCAAGACTGGAGGCCTGCCCGTGAGTGTTCGGGCATTGCGCTTAATGAAGAGTTCGTCTACCCTTCCGTCAGCATCGTGGAAAGGCGACGTGTGGTTACCACGTGAAAATCTCGTGGCCATTTTCACCGATAGTGGTTGCAAACCGGACATGAAGTGAGCTGCGAAATGGCCCGAATGCTCGATGGCTTGAAAAGTTGACGAATTCTTTTTGATGTTGAACGAGACAATTGGTTCCGGCTCAAGGGTCACAGTATTGAAAGACGAGACCGTAGCACCTCTCCAGGATTTTGGATGTCCTTTGGGGCTCAGGGAAGTATCTGTGGCGGTAATCACTGTGACTGGATGGCCGACAAGACGCATGAGTTCCCTGACTTGGTGCGAAAGACTATCGCTGGGTGGTGCTGTTCCGTCGCGTTCTGAGCTAGGCGTGCATCCTTTTACATCTTCTTCATTTTGATTGTCGCTAGTGGTGCCTTCGCTCGGCACCGATTCGCCTTGTGCTTGTGTTGTAATCTCTCTTGTATCCGAAAAGCATGGCGTCCTTACTTGCCTGAGCGCTCCGCTGTCACGTCCGGTGTCCTGGAGCCATGAACTAGTAGAGACCCGCGTATTCCTACTTATGGCAAACGACAGCTGGCGGACTTTGTAAGACGATGTCCTCTTTTTCAATGCGCCTCGTGAAACGTTTCGGATACCCCAGACATATCTGGGAAGCTTCGTTAAGCTGACAATTGAGAGCATTTCAGCCCAATTTGCACATTTTCAACTGCAGCTGGTTCGAACACCACAGTGTGCAACAGAGACTCTAACTATGCTCGGGACAGGCGACACTCGTGTTCTAGAAAAACAGATCGATCCCGCCATCACTGCTCTTTGTTGACGAGATTTGAGGAAACTGGCTGTAATGATCGAAGAAGGTTTGCCGACAAGATATTGGTAGGTCGAAGCATATAGTGAGTGACGCATTTTCTCCTGCCCCTGACTCTTTGAAGGCTGAGGTTGACGGAGTCGCGTGCCGTAAACAAATTCCACACTACGAGATATGGGGAGTTTCTCGGGTATTATCCGTAACAAAATGAGGCCGCTCATCGCCGCACAACTAAGATGTTTCCGGCGAGCACTCCGAGGCTGCCGGTATAAGAGCTGATCGAGAGGAAAAAGTGCCCGATCCTTCACTTGTGATGTATTTTCCTCGATTTCTCTACTCAATCTAGCAAGATTGACCCAATTTATCCCGTCATTCAATATGTCTGACATTGAAGAAGCAACTGTTACGTTCCGCAAGTCAGATATGACGGTCAAGTGGCGCGCAAAAGAGCGACTAACTCTCCTTCAGCTCGCCGAGAAGTCAGGGTTGAAGCCAGATTTCGGTTGTCGCTCTGGTGCATGTGGAACGTGCGAAGTACGACTGGTCAAGGGGAGCATTGAAGGGTGCTTAGAGGGAGATGACGGCGTATTGATATGCTGTTCCATACCGGCAAGCATCGAGATTGAACTCGAGCTATGAGGCTTACTCCACGATAATGGGACAACCATTCAGCCACATACAACAATAAAAGAGTGTTGGAGATTCTCTTGTGGTCCTCTCGTGGGAGCTGGTCCACTTACCAGTCAGACACTTGACTGAGGGTGATATGGAAATGGCCAAACTTTCCCCGCATGAAGAGAGGGGGTGGGATGGCACTTTGATTACGACAAGTGCTGACAACCGTTCGGATGCTTCTCTCCAGAGCATCAGGGTCATCCCAATTCGACGTTGCCCTGGAACTCTAAAACAACTCGCATAACAATGACCAGCACATCATCAACTCCATACCTGGATGCTCTTCGACGAGATGGCTTTGTGAAGATACCCAACTTGCTGTCACCTCAACTTCTTCTGGGCTTGAAAGGAGCGAGTAAATATACCACAGACCGTGCAAGGCGAGGTCAGTGGCCGTATGTCCGTACCGTCCCTAAACAATACCCACCGTGGCAAGAATGGCAGTCCGGGGACAACATCTGGGGAATCCAACACCTGCTGCACCCAGACATGGGAACCAGGGACACTTTCGCCGAGGTATATTTTTCAGAAGAAGTTCTCTCTGTTGTCAAAGAGCTACTCGGACTGAAAGATGATCCTCACGGTGATGAGGAATTGGTGATGGAGCTTTTCAATCTGCTCGTCAGTCCTGCCGACAATCAGGACTTTGAATTGTGCTGGCATCGAGACGATATCCGGCCAGATGTAACCCCTGAAGAAGAAGAGAAACAGCTCAAAGAGAAGAGTCCTGGTGGCCAGCAGCTGCATGCTCAATACAATATTGCACTGTTCGACGATGCCTCACTTATCGTTGTGCCGGGGAGCCATCGGCGTGTGCGCACCGAAAGGGAACGAAATGCCGGGCCATACGAGACAAACTTACCCGATCAACTCTTGGTTGAATTGGGACCCGGTGATGCAGTTTTCTATGATAGCAATATCCTGCATCGAGGAGTGTATAAGGGTATTGACGCCTCTCAGGAGTTAGGCAGGATGACTCTACACGGCTCGGTTGGTCTGGCCGGCCATAACACTGAGCGAGCAAGGCAGGTACTGCAACATGCCGTTGGTGATTGGGTTGGGAGGGCACAATTTTCCATGGAAGGGCCAAAAGGCCGTCGAGCTGAGGCCATGAGAACGAGACTGGTGGCGATGGGTACGGGGGAAAGCCTGGGTTACTCACTCGTTGGTTAAGGTGTACATCGATGAAGCTAGATGTGAATTGTTAAAACACAGCACTGGACCATAGATTCTCAGCAGACCGTACGTGTAGGTACGAGTAACACCCACAAGGAGCCCGATGAAGCACCTTGTTCTATAATCATATAGGGACATCGTGACCGGCCCTAGAACTCTACGGTGGAGCGTGTGCGTCTATGTCCTTATATGAATGCGGGCGAGACCACAGATCATCTGCCACTACCGCCTCAACCAATTCCTACAACCTCAAGATACGCTTTAAGCTGGAGGAGCACAAGACTTTTAGGCTTCTGTCCGAAAGCTACTGCGTCTCTTCTCCACCAACTGCTCACCATGGCCGCTGAGCTCTCGAGCACCAAGTTGAACCCGGACAGTCATGTCCTCCTGGTATTGTCTTGCTCACTCAAGTAACACGCCTCGTATGCTGACAGATGTCAAAGGACCAACCACTCCTGCGTCTTCCTCATGAACTTGTCAAGCGAAATTTCCGAAATACTCAACGCTATGTAGAACGTGAACGAGACCATATCCTCCCTGCGCTCAAGGACACAGCGAATGCCGCTCTCAGTTCGTCCCAGACTCCGGAACAGACCCTTGCGTCCCTTGACTCGATGATTCAGAGAATGCAGAATGTCAAGCGTAAACTGGAAAAATTGCATGTAGAGGAAGAAGCATTGCACGACTATTCGGCGAAACGTATCAGACATCTGCAAGATCTATATCAGATTCCGTCGCTAGTTGACGTCAAGTACGAACAATGGTCTCGCACGAGGCTTGACCGTCTAATGGTGGACTATCTGCTTCGCTCCGGGTATTCGAAGACCGCGTCTCTTCTAGCCGAATCCAAACAAATATCCCATCTGATCGATCTCGATATTTTTGTCGCCTGCCACAAGATTGCCTCATCTTTGACCAGAGGGGAGACGAAGGAGGCATTGGCATGGATTAATGAGAACAAGAACTCGCTGAAGAAACTCATCACGGCGCCTCACAAATCTACAGACCTTGAATTCGAACTGCGCCTTCAACAGTTTATTGAACTTGTTCGGGCTGGAACAACGGCAAAACGACTTGAAGCCGCAATGTACGCCCAACAACATCTCACGCCTCACACCTCTTCCAGACCGGATGCCGTCATGCTAGCAGCAGGACTACTGGCCCAGACTCCGTACTCTCACACCAAAGTATATCACGAACTGTTTGCGCCATCGCGATGGCAACATCTGGCCGATCTGTTTGTCGAAACTCATCACACGTTGATGTCTCTACCTGTTCAACCACTCTTACACGTTGCCCTCTCTGCCGGATTGTCGGCACTTAAGACACCATCTTGTCATAGTGCCTACAACCCAGCCAGCTCTTCGACGCCAGGACACGCTCGAATATCTACAAACACATCTCTATGTCCCATATGTAGCATGGAGCTCAATGATTTGGCTCGAGACGTCCCATACGCACATCATACTACTAGTTCAGTCGAGTCAGATCCAGTGGTTTTGCCAAATGGACGTATATACGGACGTGCACGACTGGAAGAGCTTCAACGAAAGCTTGCAATGGCCGGGGTTGGTGGCGGAGAGGCTGGTGTGCAGGACTTGAAGATCGGCAAGGAAGGAGAGGTGAGGGATCCCACCACTGGTGAGATATTTTCATGGGGTGAGGTCAAGAAGGTGTTTATCATGTGATACTATATCACTTTACGCGGGGACAGGTTTTGGTAAGAGCTCTCTCGCAGATCCGTTCCTGTCACGAGGGTCCTGGGATCAGCGCCATCATTAATGATTTACGAAGTTATGAATGTTGCTAGAAGCACAGGATTGAGATCCGCTTTGCATTCCATACTTTCTAGCGTTTTGTGATCCTTGACTCATCTAGTTTTCCACAGTCGATCTCACGACTCGATCCGTTAGAAGACGCCATGGAGAAGGGGTAGGCAGCATGGGTTGTGAACATTTCTTAAAGAGATTGGGAGTATATGTCCAAGTCAAACTCGCTTGCCACTCACTGGGAACGATGACCGGAGTCGGCAAGATGCCCTCCCCAGTAATGTAAAAAGAGTCGACACGCTCCTGTTTCTCCTGCTCTCCTTTTTGCTGCATGTCTCTCAGAACATATCCATTGACACCGCCAAAATGTTCACATACAACCCCATCAAGCTGAGACCAACCTACTGGAAATCCGGGCCCTTCTGGAGGGACCCAGGCGATATCTTCGACTACTCTGACTTCATCTTCGGCTTCTACACCAGACTTCTGGAGACCGGAAAGGCTTCTGATGCTGAAGTCGAACAGTTTCTCGACCTCGTCACGGCTGATCACCAATTCTTCAGCCAGGCGATCTTTGCGATGCCGATCCTGCAAGAACACCAGTCTGCTCAGCCACCACCGAATGCTCATCGTTTCGTCCATCGTGTCTATGTTCGCACTTACTTCATCCGTGCAAAGTGGACAGATCGGTACTGGTACTTGAATCGAAACATCCCTTGTGGTTTCTGGTCCCGGATCGAAGCCCAAGGTTGACACACGTCGGAAGAGAAGAGCTGGAGTTCGTCGAGGAAACAGACATAGGATCCCACTATGAAAAGGAAGCTTGATCTCACAATGACTTTTTGGTTCGTCCTCCGAAACAAGAACGGGTCTTGATGGCTTACGCCGTGGCCGCAAGACTCATGGCATACCTGGTACGAAATGCCTATTGGTAGCTTTCTCAGGGAACAACGCCTATTGACAGTGCGTTCAGACAATGGGCTGACGGCTAAAGCGGATTCAAGGGGTCCCCGGATCATGGTTGCTCTTAGGTAGTAGCCACGAGAATACTTTCAGGTACCTACAGTAGAATATCAGAAAGTCCTCCTCCTCCCGGAAGCTACTATTCCTCGGTGACCATTGGAATGCAATGGAGTGGCCCATGAACAGAAGCCCAACATTCGGACAACGAGAATGGGAAGCAATAACCATTCTCTCTTGGACGTGCTCTTTTGGTGTTTTTGTAGACATCGCTTGCTTCAATCCTCCTATCGTAGAACGGTAATTTGGAGATTACTAAGCTCAGACCGTATACTTGACCGTAGTCACTTCTCCTATGCCGAGATGTACGGCGAATCTTTCGACGCAGTATGCAGTGAGCCCTCGTCCTTCGATCTGCGAGTTTCCTTGCCCGCAGCATCGTCTAAATTGACGAAGGTCTCCAGCCCACGAACAGCTAGGTAGCGATTACGGCGAGCTGTGCGAAACGAAGCAGCTTCACGCCCTGAACACCTGATCGCGCGAAGGGCCTTTTCTCCGCAAGCATCGACCGCGATACTCCGACCAAAGCTTCGTTTTCCGTTAAACACCCAACAAGAGCACGCCAAACAGCAGAGGCAAATTGCCTCCTCCTTCTCCTGAGACGCCTCGACGACAAGGGCCGACCCTTTCCTCGAAACTTACACCTACATAAGCAAACATGTCCGGAATCCCTCAGCGCTTCTGGGGCCAACCCATCACATACCTGCGGTGGTGCATGCACGAGAAACCCGCCATCTTCTGGAGCTGCGTGATAGGTGCAGTGGGACCGGCTTCGTTTCTTGTCATCCCTCCGCTGAGGAGGTGGGCAGGTGACGAAGACCCGCCAAAGATCCCGCTGAGTTATCCTGGTAAGTCTCCTTCTCTTCCGGAGAGCTTGTGTGGAAAGGAGGAGGAGGGAGGGTCTATATCACGGATATGCATAAGATGCGAGAGAAGGGTTTTTGGGCGCGAGAGGCCGTAAAAGAAAAGAGACGGAGACGCTCTACAAGCGTACTCAGGGACATGACTCTGGGGACCATGACGGCTAACACCCTTGCGTTTGTCTTGTAGTGCCTACGGGACCCAGAAAGATCCCCGAAGGTTTCGACGATCCGAAATGAATTTGTTCAATTGAACGTCAATACCAATGGCGATAAGAAGATACATTGTTACGGTCTTTGCTAGGAGAGGCGGGCACGGATGAAGATGTTTGTCGTCACACAAGGGCGAAACAGGACGGGAGAGCCTCGAAACGCGAAGGGACGCACTTGATACGTGAGAGGGGGAACATTGAGCGTGCGAAGTTCTTTTGGCGAACACGAGGTCTGAAGAATGACGTTGACAAATATTACCACCCTACATTACTCTACTGTACATATGCCATTCGTCTGTCCGCTGTCCTCTGTCCTCTGTCCTCGGTTCTCCGGGAGAGTGGGTGTGAGAGACAGGGACAGAAAGGAGAAAAGTAAAAAGAGGAATCAACAAAATGTGGAATCCATTCAATCAGTATTGACCATTTGGGCCGGTAGTATCTATGTCAAGTACAACAAGCACATGATACTCGGTGTTGGTCCTAGCATTTTACCCACGTGAGATACGCAGGATGAAAAAGCACTCGTGTCTCTCTCTCTGTGTTTGCGCAGAAACAAGAATAACAGAAATCCGAAGGTGATCCAATCCAGTACGCCCAGGACCATTCCTTCGTGCAGACAACAAGAAACGCAATGAAAAGCCAACTCTCCCCGATCCAACCACATCCGTCCAGCTAGTCTTTTGGCCAAGGCAGAGAAGACATGTGAGACGGTGAAAGAACATGCCCAGGCAAGAGGAGTCAGTAGTGGTCGTTCCCAAGCCAGAGTAGTAGCAGCAGTCTTTCACCAAGCAAGAAGAGCAGCAGTGGCGGCCTTTCCAATCCCAAAGTCCAGCAGGGTACTGTCGAAGAGATCCCGTGCATCATGCCATCCTTTGACCCTGCGTGCCCAGTGTCGAGTCAGACATATCTTCCCCTGAGTCAATATCAGCAAGACGTGCCTTGAGCGTCACTCGCAAACGACCGGGGGGGGAAAAAAAAGCGACGTACCTTGAGTTCGAGATCCGAATCCGAGCCGCTCAGTATTCGTCCTGGCCCATAAAGTCGACGGTACCTTCGGGCAGAAACATTCCACTGCCGTCGCCGTGGCCAAAAAGCTCGTCGCCACCTGCAGTACTACTACTACAAGCAGCCAAACCGCCCATGTCGCCGACGATACTACCGGTAGGACCACCAATAGCAGCAGCACCGGCACCAGCAGGGTCGACACCAGCATCATCAGGGAATTCAAGACTCTGAACAACGTCATCGCCGTTCTCGTTCTCGTTCTCGTCGTCCTCGTAGCCTTCGTCGTCACTACTGTAGACCCTCGCACGCTTCTTCCCGCGTTGCTGCTGTCTGCCTGTATTCGCACTTTTGTTGGCGTGTTGTTGTGCCTGTTGTGTTTGTTGACTCTGACCGGCCGCAGCGGCCATCAGCATAGCCTCGTTCTCGTGGCTGAGGGCATCGTACAACTTCCTCAATTCCTCGTCCTGGCGTCTTCTCGTTGCTCCGAGTCTTGCTGCCGATGACGACGACGACGAAGACGACGACGGGACAGATCCTGAACCCGGCCTCGAAGTTGAAGCCTCAGGGAACCAAGGCATGTCCTCCTTACCGACCCTCGCGCACGTCAACCAGGTAATGGGGTGTTCGGCTCTCTTCAGATGGGTGCGCTCCTCCATCAGCTCGCTGACAAACTGCTTCACGTCCTCCTTCAGCACGCCCATGTTGGCCTCGAGGACGTGGCACGCCTTGATGCTCATGGGGAAGTACTGGTGGAACGTCTTGAAGTCGAGGTGGGTGAGGTACGCGCCGCCACCCTCGTGCAGGGCACTGTAGAAGTTCAGGCCGCCGTCCGGGGCGCGGCGGGTGCGGTCGTCGCTGATGTTCTGCGCGAACCACTGCCGGAAGAAACACACGCTCATCCACATGTAGATGTCGCCGCTGTACGACGGTCGCCCGGGCTTCTCGGCCGCCGTGCGCGTCATGAATGCAGGGTAGTGTCCGAGGATGCGCATCTCGATGGCCTCCTTTGCCAGCGCGAGCTCCTCGGCCTTGCGGTCCAGCACCGCGCGGATGTCGCCGCCGATTCTGTCCTTGTCCTCGTCTGCGATCATCCCCCACTGCCCGATGAGGTGGATGGCTGCTTCGCGGTAGATTGCCGGCGACCGGACACGGCGGCCCAGTTCGATCCACACGACCGGGTTGCCCATGATGGATGTCCACAGGACCGCATCCTGGCGCATGAGGGCAAGGTCGACGATGTCGCGCACCTGGTCGATCGCGTTGACCGATTCCGCAACCTCGATCAGCCCCATGACGCACGTAAGCACCGACGCCAACGACCCGTCGTCGAAGCGTGGTTCGCGATTGTAAAAAACCCCAAAGAGCCAGTCCCAGCACTGGTTGGTCATGCTTTCGACCTTGCCATTTTCAAAGTTGGGCATCATAGGGAGAGACGAACGAGGTGACCGGCCAGACTCGTTGACGTCCTGTGAATACATGAAACAAGCAAATTAGCCTGATGGAAAGCTTTCAATCCAAGGGGAAAAGTAGACAAAACGGGAGATGGAGACACAGACACAGAGACAGTGAAAGCAGGTGAGCCAAGGGAGAGGAAGGGGGGAGGGAATCTGTACAATGCGAATGAACCGGCCTGGACCTTCTCCTACGGGTACTGCCTGCAATTCAAATCGATACGCCGCTGCATTCTCGCGACGCGCTTGTGCGTTGAGACGCGGCGCTGGCTTTGCTGCGATCTGCTCTGCAAACCATTGGGAATGTGTCGACAAGACTTGGGAATGGAGCTTGTAGTATTGTGTCGTCGAGATAATCAGAAGGACGTCGCCGTCACCGAATTTGGGAAAGGCTTGTGTTGAAGATCCCGCCATCTTGATTGACTGACCGGTCGATGTCTCGGCAGGCAGACGACGATGATGACAATGATGATGATGTGTGAAAGAATCTCGGCACCGCGCGAGAAAGGTAGGTACCTATGGAGGTAAAGAGAAGAATGAGGAATTTTATCAATGGTGGTCAACGCAAAAACAACTCCCCGCGATCAAAGATTTAAGTCTCAAATAAAAGTAAAGGGTGGCCGCGACGCAGACTGGACGCCTTGGCAGGACAGATCACGGTTGTTGTCACCTGGCAGTGAAAACGGATTGCAATAGTGGCGGGCAGCGATGAATGGGTGGCCCAGCGTCCTTGAAGTGAAGAGTGAGGCACTAATGGCGTATACCAGGGCACCAAGCAGTAAAGGGTCACCGGCTAGCCAAAGGGCGTGAGGCTGAGGCTGAGACTGATGTGAATTGGAGTATTGATTATTCTCAGTGTTGCTTCATGTGACTCTTACAGCTCAAGTCACCTCCGGCGACAATTCTTCATGGATACGCCTTTCCCACTGGCGCCCTCTGGACCAGAGAGTCGGGAATACGGCTCGGGAGAAAAATTTTCGCAGGGGACTTCCCTGAGAGAGAGAGCAGGCGCAGACCTTGATGGGGATGATACATTTCTGGAACACAGGTCAATCGGGCCCAAGAGACGTGAAGGTCAACAGAAAAGTACGAGAAGTGGATAATTTCCAGAGATCGGTGGTGGTGCACGAGGAGAAGTCACGAAAAGTTTCGAGTAATGATCCATGGAAGACTGTAAAACCGCAAAGGAATCCAGAAGGCAGGGATTTCCAGGTGAAACGGGAATGAACAAGACCAAGCTGATCCTGGGATGAGCACGGCGGACATTGATGTGAGCGAGATCACTGCAAGGTTGGAAACGGCAAAACATCAGCTCCAGGACAGGATGGCGACAAAGAGAGTAGTAAGTATGCTGATGAGGAAGAAAACAATAACGGCCAGTTCAAATGGATCACCAGGAGTTAGGCCTGAATCAATCTGGATAGGCGTCGAGATATGGTCGAAAGATGAAAGACGCTGTTGTATTATCGTAGTCATCCGTTTCAACATTGCTTCCAGGATACCATCAACAAATCATCTCAAAAGCGCCGACCAGATGCTAGGTACATAACAATTTCATATCCGCAGAACCGGCACCGCCTTGGTGTATAAAAAAGATGAAGAAAAAGAAATTCATTTTGAATATAATCCAGAAAGCCTTCCGTAAATCCAGGAAAAGTGCCGACAATGGCAAACTCCAGTGGTGATCGCGTTGCTGTGTTCCATACGAGCAAAAAACAAAACCCATGGGCAACTTTCATAATCGTAGGTCCGTCCAAGTGTAGTCATGGCCTCATCAGTGTTTAAACATCCGTACGGTGATCATCCATTGGTTTAGAGAAACAATCTCTTCATCTGAAAACATCTCGTCTTTTGATGCTAGGGCAAAAGAATCCAGGAAAAAAGGCGTCCATGCTCGCATCTGCACAGTGGACGATCCTTGCCATGGTAATGATAATTGGGCGGCCACGGTTCGAATTTGCAAAGATGTATGGAATGGTTAGAGATCGGTGTCGCCACCTTATCACCGACGGTGACCACGTGGATCAGTATAGCCGGTAGGATAACCCATGACTTCTCTTCTGGAATCTCCGTATGGAGCCGATATTGGGGCCGAGACTGGTGGTCCTGTTCTGGAAGAATATCCCGGCTGGCCATATGCTCCTGGTTGACTGGAACGACTCATGGATGGAGGGGTCGTATTTCCCGCGCCTCCAAAGGCAGTCCTGGGCTCTCGATCAGCGTTGTAGTAGGTGGATTGGCCCGCAGGGTAACCCTCCCGGGTTGAGGAAATGGCATAGGAATTGGCTGGATAAGCCGGTTCCGGGGGAAATCCAGTAGTGACTGGTATAGAAACACGTCCACTGCCAACAGGGCGAGGAACATCACGTGGATCCGGATCACGAGGATCACGATGCCTGGGAGGTTGGCGGTAATCATCATCATCAAGGTCCATTTCTCCAGGGTATCGACGTTCCCGTTCTTGTCGGGCTTGCATATCGGCATAAGAACCTACACGATCCTTAGATCGGTTTGCTTGCCAGTCGCTATAAGGCGTACCTTGAGAACGACCTTGCCTTGCCCTACGTTCTCGTTCACGTTGCCATTTGATGGTATCGTCACGCAAGGATTGTTCCATTGCCTGTGCAGTAAGGTTAGCGTAGGTTATGTCGTGATTCGATCATTGCAAGGCGTACCGTCGTGAAAGGGCGATAGGCTCTAACCCAATAACCAGACCGACCCTACATACGACGTTAGCAATGTGCACCTACCACGAAAATCAATTCGAGGCGGCGCGTACTTCAGCGTTTCGACCTGGGCGGCATGTGGCATCCTGTCCGAGATATTTGCAAATTTCGTGCTGGATGACTTCCCGGTCAATTCCTTCTCCTGGGCAAAAGTATTCGGACAGTCCGGGGCCTCCAGGCCTGTATCCATCACGCTCTCTGGGCACGGGTGCATCGATCGTGGTCCGGCTTCGCGATGGTTGCATGTCATCATCAGGATCATCTCCGGCAAAAGGGGATCTCGAAGTGGCTTCCGGCCTCACTTCACGAAACAATTCTCCAGTTCTTGGGTCTCGAAATAGGACACTGGAGGGATCAGGTTCAGTAGTCCGGCTGTCCAAGGCACGATCAGGTCTTGGATTTAGTCGTGAGGTAGTATTTGCTCTTGGGTCTGTCCGGATGTCCATACGGTCGTCCATACGGGTGTCCATGCGGGAATCCATACGGGTGTCCATTCTGGTATTCATACGGTCCATCCGAGGATCAATCCGGGTGTCCATACGGGTGTCCATAACATCATTCATCCTGGTATCTCGGTCTATTCGGTCATCCACAACTCTTCTGTCTCTGTCTCTGTCTCTTATAATTGTAGAATCACCACGATCTCTGTGGTCACGCTCACGAGGGTCTCTTCTGGAGGAGTGACGAGGCTCGCTGCGGCGGTAATCTGGGTCTTCAACGTAGCGCGACATGCTGCTGGCACAGACTATAAATGAATCCTTTGGGGGGCAAGACAGTCCTGGTCCGTTGGGCAGCAATAGTGAGATAAGAGACAAATAGGGAAATGGATGTCTCAGGAGAGCACAACACCGGTCGCAGGATCAGCGGCAAGTCGGGATCTGGTCAACAAAATCCTGTAGGCTAAAACGGTCCAAGCGAGTTCAGATCCACAGGAAAAAATGCTCCAAGAGTTTCCGGACTGATTGATGTCCAATGGAAGTAGAAACCAAGGTGGCGTCCTTAACGGGAGGCCGGGATTGATCTTTGACAAAGTTGTAGCAGGATGAGCAGTTGTGAGCGAAGGGATGAATTGGGCGCAGGCAGCAATACGCCCTGATCCCGGATGCAAGAACGACTGATTCAAGCAAATGAGAGACCAATCAAAGTCCACAACGCCCCCTGAGTATCCGAGCAGTATTAGATCTATGTTAAAATCGCTGTTGAATATTCCAGACCCAGATGTCTTCCTGAAAGCTCGAGAATGTGTGTGCCCACGACGGTGGGAGAGCGAGGGATGGAGGGGGAAGCCGAACGAGGGATATGGCCAGGAAGGGATGGACCAGACAGGCGCACAGGCTAGGGAATCCTGAGACGACGGAGCCGTTGCGTGGGATGATGCAAGAAGCGCCGACGATCTTTTGGTGCCTATGCAAGGCCAGACGGGGGGATGATGGGTCGAATGGAAGATGGAGTTGATGGCTTGTTGATTGCGAGGCGAGAAGGAAGATGAGGATGATGGACGTACAGAAGAAACAGAATCGGCGCAGAGACAGCGATGCAAACGCAGACGTTGCACCGGCTCCCAGAGATTCCTCCGCCTCGACGTGAGGCCTTAGTGGCTGCGAGCGTCAGCTGGCGCAGGTGCTAAACCATCCTTAACAGGCCCATTCCGGTCCACTTGACAGCGTGGCGGCTTATCAACTCACTGGGCGGATCAGGCCTGTTGTCACTACGTCTACGAGTGCCTACTAGGTAGTGACTGTCGGGGATCCAGGCCGAGATGAGGCATTCTCTGCTTGTATGCCATTCTTTGTACGTACGGACGGATTGCACCTTTTGCTAACAGAGAGAATGTTTACTTGCAGCTGCAACCAAAACCCTGGCTCTGCCCTGCCTACAACCTCCTGCGCACGACCAAAATGAGGCTTCTCTCATTCCCCCCAGCGAACCATGTCCTCCTGTCCCTTGCTGTCTGGAAACGATGGCTCTGCCTAACCCCTGTGCCTCTCGACTCCAAGCGTATGACTGGGCGGTGGGCTGATTTAGCCTCGCTCGTCTGAAGACCTGACTGCATAGGTGGCTGAGATCAACGAAGCGTGGCAAGATGCAGATGAGCTTGGGTTGGCTAGTGAGGCTCGATTCCTGAAGCTGGGCTCCAAGCGATAGGTGGGTGAGATGCCGATAAGTGTGCCGCTTTGGTATCCATCACCGCCTGCACCCAGATGTGTTGGCAGCGCCCAAGGATACTAACCCTCTCTTCCAAGCCATTGGTTACCTCCTCCAACCAATGTGTGTGCTTCGGGCAGCAACTGTCCTCGACAAGTGCGACGCAATAGCCCGACGACCCTCGCGTCATGCGCTTTTCTGACAGTTGGGCACCAAGCGGTAGCCGGCCTGTGAGCCATCCTGGCGCTGCATGTGACGCATCACATTCTTTCCCCGGCCATAATTGTCAATCCGCGGTGGGACGGTAGTGAACTCTTCATGCAAATCTTTTCACAGATTGGAAGCAAGGTAAGGGACTGATGTGCTACTAGGGCCAGCTTTCAATGCAGACCTACGGAGGCTACAGCATCTCAGAAGAACGGGTAGGATCAGACATGAAGTACAGACTAAATCTCACCGGTCTAGACGGCAAAAGGTACTCAGAGGCTCTCGTCGCTTCCGACAAGGGAAAAGGACGAATGTTCCATCACCGGTTGAAAAGGGTAAAGAGATCATGGTCTCAGCATGAACATCAGGCACCCGCTCTCGGTTGGGCCGCGGGCTGTGTTACACCGACCTGTGAGAGGATACATGGCGCGTCGCCCTGTTCAATCTCAGCTCGAGTGCCGCCGACATATATCTCGTGGTATGATCGGCAGATGTTCTGTTGCTTAGGGACACAACAATTCATGAGGGTGCACCCTGAGAACTTTTGGGTTTGAACACCATGGTTGATTCAGACGCCTTCTACAGCTTCGCATGACTTCCAGGAGTGATAACCTTGATTCTGAACCCGGTCCTCGGGTAATGCAACCGCAGCTCCCGCCCCTGCGTCTGGATACTCAGCACCACTTCGTCCTCATTCAGACCGATCAATCGACCCCTGTCGTGATGCTTGGTTCCCGAGTCAGTGGGAAACACCTCGACCTCCGTCCCGTGCTGAAGGCCCAAGGGATCGCCAATGTCGACCCCCAGCTCGCTTTGGGCAAAGGCGGCGGTGAGGATACGTTGCACTGCAGCACCACCTTTTAGGGAGGTAGGTTTCGGTGCTTGCGCTTTAGCTTCTTGAAGCGCCTTGTTGAACCTTGCAATCCAGGCAAACACCAAAGGATACTGCTTCTCAGAGATAAACTCCCGCGGCAATGCTCCCTTCAGGCCGTTGAGCCAATCAAACGGCCAGATAGCTTACATTTTTGCATTAGCCCAAATATAGGTGACTGCATTGTACCTTTTCGCCTACCTTCGATATCGGCCAGAGTCGGTCGATCTGTTTTCAGTACCCATTGCCGTCCGTCGGCCAATATAGTGGTCTCCAAGAATTTGAAGCCATTTCTAATTGCGGCAAGTGCTTCGGGCCTATTCGCCGCGATTTGTTCTTTGTTCCACGAGCGGCCGGAGAAGTCTTCTCGGTCCTTGGTGAATTTTGGGTCATTCAGCAGTGGCATGCTTGTAGGGATGAGCTGAGAGGCTCGGACGAAAACCCCCGCCTCGATAGTCCATATTTCCAGGAATTTCTCGATTGCCTTTTGTTCGACCGTCGAAGCACGCAGGGGACTATCGGGGAAGAGGTCTTCCAGCTTGCGCAACATGATTCGAGTGTCACAATAGATATCGCGGCCGATAGCCATGACGGGGATTCGGCGATAGTTGACGCCCAATGCCTTCAGGTCTGGCCGAGGCATCGTAGCAGGTTGTTTCTGCCGGATGCGTGTTAGTCACGAACAAAAATGGCGATCCAAACATTCGGTACGTACACATTCTGCATAATCTATTCCTCGAAGAGTGAGATACCACAGTACTCTCCGGGCAAATGGCGAAAAGGAGTAATGATACAGGACGATGCCGTTGTTTGGTCCGTCCATTTTCGCTTTATGCGAGAAACGCCGGGGAATGTACGAGTGACGGGGGTCAAGGATTGTACACTAGGTTATCGAGTAGTTTCAAAGCGTTTAAGGGTGGTTCTCCTTTTTTTTTTCGAAGCATTGATGTTTTCTTTCCATGGCATGGTAGCCGGCCACGAAGTTGGCGAATGGGTCATGTTGTGCCTCGGTTAAAAACATTCTTTGGGAGACGGACCAGTACGAGGTCAAGTCCACCACACAAATGTCAGCCTCGTGGCTTATTCAGTGATTTTGTCCGTGCAGCCTTGCGACGAGCCATGTTGCCCTTAACTTTGCATCAGCAGGTTCCATTGTCCCCTTCGAATATTTAATTACGTCTATGGACCGATTACGACGAGCCCACCAGATCCACGATGCTCCATATGATACTGGCGACAATCTCATTCCCTCGTTTTGCTCTTTACAGGAAGATATTCACGTTCGTGACATCATCTTCTCCGCTGTATGACGATGGACGTTGAGATCCATGAGCACGAGTACGAGTTACTTCAGTCGAGGGTATGCCGTCAGGAATAAATAGCGAGGTGCGAGTGAGAACCCAAGAAAGAACTCGTAGGTAATTGTAATTCGCCCTCACACAATTTTTCACCGTCTTCACACTGCCAAACTCCCCAAGTCTCAACGATAAACCGTGACCCATCTATATCCGCAACACTTCCATATTGCCTCACCTCAGGAATCCATTTGAAGACACCTAGATAACGTACGAGGAATCTTCGAAAGAATAGAAAAGCAAAAATGGCCCAATCAGGACGGAACAGCGGCGGCGACCTCTTCGACCTGGCCAAAGACGGCACCAACGTTCCCAGCGACGCAGCCGAACCCAGACTCATCCCCTCCAAAGCCCGTCCGGACCAGGTGGTGTCGCCGAGCGATCCAAATAACCTGGGTGCACGATCGCTGCACGAAGCGGCGGACAACCAAGGAGACATCCCCAGAGTAAGTCGAGTTTTGTCGACGCCGCTCCCACCTTTCCGCCCCCCGCCCCCTTTCTTCTCCTCTTGCCGTGTCAATTGATGACTATGTCTATCTAAGTGTAAATACTGACCGCGAGTGAAACTCTTCATTTCAGACAACCAGAGATACAGCAGTCAACGACATCCTCACTGGAACCGGAGACTCGCTGCCCAGCCAGGTCGATTCGAAGAGACTGCACGCCGTGCCTGGCGGTGTCACCGAGGACCCGTTCGCAAAGGGCTCCACGAGGATGACCGCGCACAAGAAGAACCCCAGCGATTTCGACAAGGGCGCGTCCGAGGGCCCGCGGACGGACAAGGCGCCCGGGCAAGAAGAGTTGAGCGACGACCAGGTCATGGACCAGGTGGAGAGAAAGGAGGTCTGAGAGTGTCAATCCGAAAAAAAGGAATAAAATAAACTGGACATGAAAATGACAAATAAAAGCCGTGAGAATGACATGTACATGAATCACAATACTTGATACTTTGTACCGGGGTCCATGTCCAAGTCCAAAGCCCGAAACCTCACAATCTCGAGGTGTGTTCATCGAATGGGCTCACTCGCTTCGGATAGTAGTTGGTCTGGTCCCTGGCACTACTTTCGATGTGTGTTTTGATCGTCTGTGTACTCCTTCACAAATCCTAAACTTCTGGAAATCTGCCATCGAGGACGGAGTGCCTTACTGTACCTAGTTTATTTACATGTTGGGAGGTCGACGAAACTGATTGGCGAGCGTCGATATCCGGGCTGGAGTGCGTCACGCAAGGCTGCCTTCCTTTCTAAGTTTTGTACGACGTATCTCTATCCTCCCACCTCTTCACCACAGATGTAGGTATTCAATGATCAGCATCTCAGGCTCTACCCTTCGCATATCTCATCTCATACAGAGCCGCATACCCTTCTGGATTGATCCGTAAAGTTTGATCATTAAACGAACGTCACCCGCTTTCCACAATGGCTCAGAAGACGTTTATTCCGCTTGGTAAGTTGACCAAAATATCACTCTCGAATTCGAACCCAGGCCTGGTGACTTTGAAGGTGTATGGTGTCTCTGAGCTCCTAGGCTGACTTACTACAACATGTAGAAAACAACCCTGAAGTCATGACGAGGCTAGCGCACACTCTAGGCCTGTCTCCAACCCTCGCATTTCAAGACGCGTATAGTCTCACGGATCCAGACCTCCTCGCTCTCCTTCCTCGTCCAGCCAGCGCGCTCTTGTTCATCTACCCGTGCACCAACCATTCAGAGACGTACTATGCCAAAGTCCATGACGCAGAACCAGAGTACCAAGGCTGCGGCCCCGACGAACCGGTCTTGTTCTACTACCAGACCATTCACCATGCCTGTGGCTTGATAGGTCTCCTTCACTGCATCACCAACGGTTCCGCCGCCGACCTCATCCAGCCTGGCAGTGACCTCGACAAGTTCGTCCAGGGTGCATTGCCTCTTCGACCGGCTGAGAGGGCTCAATTCGTTCACGACTCGGACATGCTCGAAAAGGCTCACGCGGTGGCAGCACAAGAGGGTGATTCCACTGCTCCTCCTTTGGGTGAGGATCCAGGCCACGCTTTTATAGCCTTCGTCAAAGCCAAAGGTCGTTTGTGGGAATTGGAAGGTCGGAGAAAAGGCCCCGTGGATCTGGGTCCGCTGGATGAGGACGAAGATGTTTTGAGTGCGAGAGCATTGAACATAGGTCCGCTTCCTTTCATCAAGCGCGAAGAGGCTGCTGAAAGCGGTACTCTGAACTTTAGCTGCATCGTCCTTGGACCCAGCATGGATGCATAATTATGCATCATGGCTGAGCTGATCCAGCACCTTCGCCGCCACCAAAGGTTCCATCCTGAGCGGGCACAAGTTAATGTTTCATTACGGTGCAAGCAAATAATCTGGGGATTTGAGATCCACCCAGCCCAAGTTCGGCTCACTCTGCTTCCAACCAAGGCGTTCTTGGACGATTTTCGAGTACGTCTTGACATCCTCGATGGGGTAAGACAAGAATGAGATTTCCTCTTGCCGATGCACCCCAGTGCAGGAGAACATGGCGTGGACTGTTCGGCTCTCGCGCGCTCCTTCCTTAGTCGTTCCAAGTGGCTTTTCGTATGCACCGCCGCCGTGGTAGAGAGAGCCAAGCATGATGAACGCTTCCCCCATCTGCATCTCAGCATCGATCACCCCCTTAGTCCCGTCGTGACCAAAGTCTGGCATTTCGTCGCCCCATAGGTGACTACCCGGAACTACCCGCGTGGCCCCGTTCGCTTTGGAAGTGTTGCACGCAGGAACAAACAGACCGAGGAGCATATCGCGACCTTTCTGGTATGACTCGGCGTTGCTGTGACGAGCATGATGGTTCTTGTCGTCGCGATGGAGTCCCTGGGCAGGTGTACCCGGTGGAATATCGAAGGTGATGGATATGGACAGCAGCGGGTGGCTGGTCGTGGTCAAAGGTTCGTTTCCATACCAATGTGTCGTTTCCAGGGCGAGAAAATGCTCGCACAGGTCCTGGTATATGGGGTCGGCGAAGAACTTCTCACGCACCGTCGGGCTTCTGCCAATCAACCGGGTGACTGTCCTAGTTTTGCCCTGTAAGGCTGAAAGAAAGAAAGTCAGAAATGAGAACAATGCCGCGTTCATAATGATGCAGTGACTGATGCACGGGCTATGGTAAGGACCGTTATACCTACCGCCAACCACTGCTCCCTCGTCTTCATGCTCCAGCCACGGCCTGACCTCATCGTCGGCTTGCCTCAGCGTTTGCACATCTGTAAAGTCGCTGATGATCACACAGCCATCCTTTTCCAGAGCTTGGACGAAAAGGGACAAAGGAGCCGAACGCTTTAGTCGCTGGATTCCTGAAGCAGGGCCACGTTCGGGTGATTTGTTGGAGGAGTCAAACGCCACCCTTCTTGCTTGCTGCAACAAGAACGCCATCAGTGAGTGAGTGTGCTCGAACGTGTGTATAGAAAAATAGCGACGACGTCAAAGTGATATGTTTCTCTTTCTTTTTCTTTTTCTGTGGTCGTCACTGTCGACCCCGAGACCGAGAATACCTAGTTATATCGTGGGTGTTGCACGGGATTACTGATAACGGGGGCCCACACCTCAGGTACCTTCCGCGGGTAGGTACGTAGGGAGGTACATGCAAGAGAGAGAGAGAGGGAGACAAAAGGACCGCACCAAAGATCCTGCAAAAAGATTGGGCCTAATGGTTTTTCCGCAGAACAGTGGACGGCAAACGTACCGCGACAAATTCACCCATTTTACGGAGTACTCGGTGACCCCGTGGTACGATGCAAAAGTCCCCTTGATGCCGTCCCTTCCGTCGACGCAGCGTCACAGTTGCACATGAATCGTATGAGCGGGCTTGGTGCCAAGACTAATAAAGATTCAAGTCGCTGATGATTCCAGAATCATGAATCGGACTTTTGTTGCCGTAGGCCGTAGAGCGTTAACTTAGCAGGCCACAGAACGCGTGGAAGTGAGAGATGGCGCTGGGCCCGGATCAGGGAGGGGGGTGACGACGACTTTTTATCGGCCTAACTTAGGGAGGTACAGTCCATACAGGTCCCTAGGCATCTTATTATCAAATAGCTACAAATCTACGGAGGACAAGTAACCTATCTATCTATCTAGCCTTGTTTGTACCCGTAGGTTCACGTAGGCGGCCTCTTCCGTCTTGGACTCCCGGACAAAGAGTGCCACAGTGTGACAAAATAGTGTGCCACTTACGGATATTCAAGACTTGCTCAATACTTGCTCAGCGACAAAAATGTGCTCGGCAGGTGCCACCGAGTTAACTACTCGATACTTGTTCAGCAACAAAATGAGCTCGGCAACTTCTGGGCACAAGTCATGGTTCGGATAAGTCGGGATCTGTTGGTTTTATCAAATTGTCCTGTCAAGTTGTTGCGCAGAAATCCGCCTCCGGTGTGCGCGCGCCTTTGGGCATAGTCAGGCGGTTGGCGGAGCGGCACTCTCGAGGATCGTTCTACGAAACCTCTTCTCCCTGCTTGAAGCCAATCTCTGCACATCAGGGTTGGCAATGGAATTTGCTATGGAGGACGGCCGTCGCTGACATCCTCAATCGGCAATGGTGGAAGCCTGGCCATGCGCGGTAGAGTTGGCCGGTCGGGAGACTGTAATCCGGCACGGGAAGCTTCTGATGAAGGAGCTCCTCGAGAATTGGGTATAGCCCAAACGCCTTGTCCTTGGGATTTGTGGCCTTTCGCGTACAAACAGCATCGATCAAATCGTGCAGATTGTAATCTTCCGTCCCTTTCTTGTTCACGTTTACACCGCTAGGCGGAGTCTTCGCGACACGTCCAAGCTTGGAGTCTATCGCCTTGAAGACACCAAGACAAACGGTAGCCGCGAGGAAAAAGCCTACGCCTTGATTTTGGTGGATGATGCACATAATCACACAGTGCTTGGTATCTTCATGTTCCTGTTGACACTTAACAGAACAGGATTCGCTGGCGTCATTGGGTATACCATTCGCTACATCTGTCACCGTCATCATGCTGGCGAAGAAAACAATCCATAGAAGCATGAAGACAAGAAGCATTATGCCAGCAATCAACCTAAAAAGTGTTCTGAACCCAAGCTTTACACGAGAGACGCACTCGACAAATTTTTGATAATCTTCCAAAAATTGGTTCCAGGTAATGGATTACGGTTGGCGTTGTCAGAAGTGGTTTGAGACTTTAGCAGGGCCTGTACATGGTGTCTCGTAAGCGTTATACGTCTCCAAGCCGTCAGCGTAGGTGACGTTGACTCGACCCTCGTGTAGTGAAAAGTAGTGAGTTTCATGGCAAGATGGGACCATGAGATGGCACGGTTACCACAAATCACGATCGGATTGCTGGCGAGCATGAGTTCTTGGTAGGTCCAAATTCGCTTGATCCATTCCCTGTCCAGAAGTTCCGCTATGTCTTCAGCCGAGGCGAAGAACACCCTTGATGTTGTGCGAGTACGATACCAGATGTCTTTCGGCGATGTTGGCTTGACGTAGATCTTTGGTGGCGACCGGTGCATGTGGGGCATCCAGCGGGTGATGTATAGAGACCAGAGTGTGAAAAGTGCCGACCAGAAACCAACATCGGCCTTGTTAGCCAGTCCCGTGAATCCACGCTCGAGCGGTCCATGAGCTTCCAAGTATGCCATGGCCCTATCGGTTCTGTCGTTTCCATCACCAAGCCAGATGAAGACTTCTGTCGCACCTTGATAGATCGCACTCATCAGAGGTATCTGCTTTGATTTCTCGGCATCATCATCCTGATTGATGGCAACGACATCCACCCAGATAGTAAATGAACCCAGCCTTCGCCTTAGATGCTGCAGAGCTGAATGGCAATTGTCGGTCAATTTGATTGGGACGCCGCCACATTCAATAGTCATAGGGGCCGAAGCTTGTACTCCCCAGACACAAGATAATGCCGAGAAGACTGGGCAATGGTCGAGTTGTACCACCATTAGATCTGCCTTTAATGGTCCTCCATTGTAGTCCGATGTGGAAGGCGGATGGACTATCAGTAAGCGGATTGATCGGTCATCGAGCCCAAGCGGCTTCGAAAGGTACGGCTCCTTAATCGCGGCGCACATCTGCGAGAAGTCTTAGAAAGTTGCTTTAATCGAAAATGCATCAGGACATCTTTCCTGGTGGAATGTGGAAGGCGCGTCAATGTCTGGGTAAGTTGCAAAGAGTATTCAATACTAATAACAATAACTGCCTTTTGCCTTCCCAACCACTAACTAGCACTCTTTACCTTCGCCCCGTTGCCTGGGGGCTAAAATTGATAGCCATTCTCGGTGAGTCTTGGGCTTAAAGATGCCTACCATCATGCTCAAAAGTGCCGCTAGCGATTTTGATGCATGTCTCAGGAGAGCTAGCAGCGCCTAGTCTCAGGCAATCACACCTGTCTCACCACACACGGCTTGAACATCGATCGGTCCAGCAGCAGCCTGCGTTGCAACGCCATGCCCCGGGGTGGTGTGCCCGCTGTAGTCCGAGCATTGTGCTGATGGGCTCACGTCGTTCGACCGCAACCTTGCGGGGTAGTAGATGCACGTGACCAGGAGGGCTTACGGTTGAAAACAGGCAACTGAGGCTTAGATAAACCTACAAGTCTAGGTCTCGACGCTTCCTTTACTGTTTCTGAAGGAGAAACTATTTCTGATCCCTACGATGCTGTGTTAGCACCAACCGCTGAAGTCGGTGGAAAACTCCCGTTGAACTGTAAGTTTGTTCCGCGGAGATCCACCTGCGGGTTGGGCGGTCCGGCCATTTCGGGCATGTACGCGGCTTCACTAACTAGTTAGTTAGGCTGGGCCCGCCGCTACTTTTGACGTCTACTGTATAAGAAGCCTCGTCCACTTCCCAAGTCTCTATCCATCAACCCGTTTTCTGTTCTCGCCTCCGTCGCCGTGATGCATCCGTTGTACGTTACGCACTCCTGCCTGCATCCTTCACTGCCGCATCAGGCCCCCCTCCGATTCTCCTCTAGCTTCTTCGAAATCCGCCTTGACTCCCAATGCACCCCGGTCACCCTCCCATTCCTCAACCCTCGCGGCCTTTGCTCCGTCTACTTAGCCTTTAGTCCTAAGCATACCGAGCACCGCTGAGCATACTGAGCAGTCAACGTGACCATATGTCCATTGGTCGTCGACGTCTTCCCTTCTCATTGGTTTCTCAGCATCGTTGACCTGCCCCAGCCCGCGGTCGTATATAGGTCAAGCGTTACCTAATGAACTTGGTCGTAACAAACTCCCTCCTGGCGGACGTAACCTCGCTCCGCTTTTGCTCAGGCTGGCTGGCGGCTGGCCCAGCACGTCAGCTCACCCTGCCGACTACATGGGGGCGGTGACCCAAAGAGTAAAGGTCGTCCCCTCCTCCAGACTGTCAAGTTTTGAGGAGGGCCCCAAAAACGAGGCTCTGGGCCCAACGGAGGAAGCCCTTGGCGCCATTTGAGGTAGGCAAGCCACTCAGCGATTTCCAGAGTGGGACACATCGGGTAGAGGATACAATACAGTATGCCACGTGGGTTATTGTTCATCATCTTATCAGCTTTTGATCAGACGCAGCATTTTAGTCAATGGGCTCTTTGGTGTGGCTCTTCAAGTTTGGGCGCGCCTCTAAAAGCGCCTTACCAGCTAGCCCCCAAAAGTTGCCTTCGCCAATGCATCTTGGATTCGCTGAATTTGGGGGCCGGTGAATACGCATGCGCAAACCACTGACTTTTACCATATTTCGGATGAGCTGCAGTGTGGAAGCTCTAGTCAACGTTTACACGCTTAGGACGCCCCGTTTCTAGGTCAAAAGGCAATGCCCCACGAGCCGATTTCGCATTGATCTTTATTTATGGCGACTGGCGTCCAAATTTATCCTGGACTATTGCGTCCCGGCTTTGCTCAAGCCTAAGTCACCTAGCGGCTTCCTTGTCTTGTAGACAGCATGGAGCCTCGCGATCACGGCCTCAAAGAGTCCTCCGGGGCTGCATACCACCCCATCGCTCCGAGGAAAGGACCAGCTCGTACAAATCGCAACAAGTCCCGGGCGACGAGGGCCCGAAAGTCTCGCTGGTGGCCCATACCTCGGTCAACAGTATCTAAAGCCCTTTGTTATGCGTCTGTCGGCCTCATTCCAGTCGTGCTACTCCTGTGGCTACCTCTAGATATACCGAAATTAAAGAACACCAATATCTTCGAGGGTAGCCCTATAGGCGGACGACTGACTCTCATACAAGCCAAAGCACTCGACTTTGTGAGCAGTGCTGTTCTTGCTCCATTCATCCTCGCCGCACTTCACTTAATTATGTCTGGTTTGTTAACGCGCGCACATCAATTGCCGACGAACGAACGTCTCACGCCGCAGGTATCCCAGTGTATACCCTCGTCGAGGCCAGTGCGACTACACCAGGCTCCTTCGATGTCTTCAAGCTCTGGACGTTATGTAGTAGCAGGTCCGGCCGGCGAATGGCGTTAGCTATACTCACTCTTCTTGCGGCGTTTGCTAAGAGCTTCCTATCAAATATCATTGCGTACGAGGAGTTTATGCAGCCCGTTGACGCTACCCCAGTCCAACTCAGACTCCTGGCGGGTCCGTCGATGTCATCGACTTCTGAGTACCAGGCCGACAGCACTCACTTCGACGTGAAGCTGAACAGCACCGTGGATGACTTCTGGGTCGCAAGCCACGACCAAAGGCGGGAGTTTGCCATGCAGACGACCAGTGTCCTGCAACAAGTAGCCTGGCAAAACTCCAACTTGTCCCTGAACTCAAGTGTGTACGTGGCTGTGAATGTGACAACGGCGGAGCTAAGCGCAGTTGCTGGCTCTGTCATCGGCCTGCATGACGTTCGCGCTGTCCGAGCCACCATCGAATGCTGCCCTTATAGCCCATCAAGCGTGAAGTATGTCGACTGGAGTGGTATCCAGAACGCCGGATTACCAGCTCCTCGCATCGAGCTCACTCTTGATAACTGGACTGCGAATGTGCCGGCGCCCCTGAGTGTTTTCAAAGACGGCGGGAGTGCTTCGATCTCGAACTCCTTAGATTTCCTGGCTTATAACATGAGCGCAGATTCGATATATATTGGCAGCGTGGCTCTTATTTCGGCTCCGCTCATACAGAGAAATTGGACGAAAAATAACACAGTACCGTTGGCCACTCCGTTCGGCGCCCTACAAGCCACAAGGCACAACCTAACAGAGAATGCCAACGGTACATGCGATGAGGGGTATGTCTGCGAATACCTGGTCTGGGGACTTGTCTGCAGTATTCATCAGCAACAAGGGTTGCTCAACCTGGCAAGAGGCACCGCTGGTCAGAAATGGACCATAGGTTCTGCTCGCTGGGAACTGACTGAGGAGGTGCACCCAAAGCGACTTCGAACAACTTTGCAATAATGGCATTGATTCAGGCTCTGTCATAAGTGAAGAGGCAAGTCTGGAAGTCTGGGTTTCCCGATAGAGCCGCCTCACCCTCTCCTTTATACGTAAAATCTGCGTAAAAAGAATCTGTGCACTTGTAGCTGCAGAGTCAATGTAAGTTAGTACTTCGATCACTTTTCTCGCCTGGAGGTAGTGAATGCGCCTGTTCCACGGCCTTGGGAAACCTGCCCCCGATGATACGTCCCGACACAGCGGACTCCTCCATGGGGGTCCTCGTCGACACTTCCATAACTCTGGATTCATCCAATCAGCATTTCCTCTGCGACGGTTCCCTGGAATCCATAACCCTAAAAAGAAAATAATAACCCATTCCACAACTATCTCTTCTACACTAACCTCCCTTAAGACTTATTTCTTCTACAATAATCTGCTCTATACCCCGAACGACCTTTGGCGATATTACGGGTTTCTGCTTGTATCGATCCTGTACATCAAGCATGTGCGCCGCAAGAGAAGCCCCCTGCCAAAATTACACGTCAACACAAGAGGGAGTGCCTCAGGACTGGTCAGTAGGTTGGTAGCCCTGCAGCAGACCGTGTGGCCGACCACATCCCACAGTGTGACCTGTCAATGCATGGACTGCCAATGGCACCACCACTAACCGCTGCAGTCCTGGCTGGCCAGAGGGCTCTCTTTCTGCAGTCTTCCATTTTAGTGCGTGACCTCGGTCCATGTGATATCATGGGTTGATGTGGGCGGCGACAGTGACTGTACACTCAGGCTTGCAATGCGCTGCCTACACATAAGGCCCATGACAAAGGCCCTTGGGCTTCGTCTCTCCCATTTCGACCCGAGAACCACCGATCAGGCTTTGAATTGTCAACAACGGCATCATGTTGACTCCACAGGTTGCTAATGTTCTGACCTTCTTCTATCCTCTCGGGAACACGCCCGCAGTGTCGCTCACGCAAGCGCTCCCTCCAGAGAAACAGGCCGATATCCTCCTCCTGGGGAGCGGAGATATTCGTCACATTCTGTTCACCGTCCATACCGAGCGCACGTTGCCATCTGGCCGGCATGAGTCGACCAGAGATGCTTGCATCAATGGACGGACGCTGGACTTTACCTGCTGTGATGTCGATCAAGCGATCATCGGTATCCGCCCCCAAAACCAGCTGAACCCGGCTCTTGACTAACTCAACCCTAAAGCCCGTAACATTCTTCTGCTCACTCTCATCATCGATGATGTCGACGGCACCAACGTTCCTCTGAATTGGAACCTGTACTACCACTTCCGGATTGATGAAGCTTCGCTGCGACTGCTACAGAGCCAGGCCCGCAAGCTACACACTCTCGCTGACTCCCTCGAAACCTGGCACAAGAGTACGTATGGCATGCTCATTACACCGTTGGACCATGGCTCCCTGGAAAGGGTCAAGGACATGTGGAACTTCTACAGTATGGAGCGGAAGGAAAAAGAACGCGCCGGCTTTGAGGCACACTTCGATACTTACATCCAGAAGTCACGCCAGCGGAAATCCAGTCTTGGTATTGGGCTCAATCTCACAGGTTTCAGATCTGCATGTCCCGCCGCTCACCAATCCATCGAGGACCTGGGTGTGCTGCATGACCACTACTGGGAGCATGGTACTCTCGACGTCAACCAATCAGGGCGGGCACCCGCTGGATATGCCAATCCCATGTTCCTATCTCTGGATGACAAGGTTATCCTGCATTACGGGACCGATCCCCTGTTGGGTTTTCACCTAGCCATGGCCTTCGTGCCCATGCGCCCAGCATCACCCTTACTCTTGTCGTCCGCCGCCTCAAATCGGCGAGAGCATGTGGTTGCAGTGGCAAAGGCCGAGTTTGATGCATGGACGGCCTCCTTTAGACGTCATGCGGACTCGGTCAAGCTGCGATTTTTTGTCGGTGATGCTCTGGCCTTGTCTTATTCTCTCCAACGCCGGAATCCTGTACAGTCACCCGTACCCACACAGGTACCTTTGTACCGTGATCGCTTTCATTTCGAGCCGCTGACGCTGGATGGGAAGGGTGACGCGGACAGAGGTGCTGGTCCAAGCACCTTTACCGTGATCGACACGTCCAACCTGATCGACCATGTCGGAGCCCTCAATTTACTTGCTGCCACCGCGCCGCTTCTGGCACATGACATTTCTGCGATCTTGTACACCGAAAAGCTGGCGAGGTCGGATAGTACATTTGGCAGCTTGTTCGACCGCCTCCTTTGTGGCCCTTTGCCGACCGTTTCGATCCTTCTTGGTTTGACCCCCGCGGAATTCGTCACCAATACTTCAGCGCTCTCAACAGGCGATGAACTCTTTCTCGACTCCATTATTCATACATCAGGACAGCAGGCCCAGAGCGGGCAGTTGTTTACGCGGACTGCCTGGAAGCAACCAATACGCACCGCCGCGACGGCCAACGGCATTCCTTCTACACGGATTACTTTTGGCCACGTCGGCCTGGCCTCGATTCTCTACCATGTTTACCTCAGAATGTTTGAAAATGAAGATATCACGACGATGATGTCGAATGCGACATTGCTCAAATTGCAACAATTCTCCGTCCCCAAGTACCATCGAGCCAGCTTCGCTGCCTTGATCGGCATGCTCAGAATGCGAGTTATCACCAATTGGGAGCAGACCGTCGAAGCCCTGCTTGAGCTCGTAGAATCCAACAACAGTCATTTAATGACCAGGAACTACATCCAGGAATTGTTTGTCTGGCTCCATTTGCTGGGCGTCTACTCTGTCAAGATTCTCAAAGCGCCTTGCAACTCCACTGGCTGCCCGGTGAAGATGAACGACCTGCGCGATTGGAAGAATATCCCCCCGGTGGTATGCGTGACGCTGAAGGTGCCGAGGGACCAGCTAGTAGTCTTCACCGAGGACCATGTCACCAAGACCGGGACACCACCTCTTCATTGTCTCGTTCAAGGCTCTTCCCTTGGACGACCATGGCAAAATGCGTTCGGGGCCCTTCAAGGTGGATTCGGCCAGGTAGAGACCCGGGGCACTCGATTCAGCGATGAATACGAAGTGGGCATCATTGAGGACCAGGCAGCGTGGAGTGGGACGTCGCCTCTGTGGGTGTCATTCTATGCCCCCACCTGGATGCTGCTACTTGAACCACGCACGGCATCGGTGAAATTGGGCATACAAACTACTCCTCAGAGTACTCAAGCATTTATCCCCAGGCTCGGTCTTGACCTCACCGTCTTCCAAACGTGCCTTTCAGACACCGAGCACGTACACATCAGCAAATGTGTCCCCAACCAGACAGCAACCCGCTCCGTCTGCAAAGTCCCCGCCAGCGACGCTCCACCTCCGGATGGCAGCGACTCGCCAGCGATCATCACCACCACCACTATCACTGCCGTTGTCGACTCTAAGACCGCTAAGGTCACTTCCTTGGCCGCTCGATTGGGGTTGGTCTCCCCGGATTGCCAGCGTGTGCTCCAAGCGGGTGGACAAGTCAGCGCCGCGTCAACTACACCTTTCCACTTCGCGGTCGACATCCGGCCAGGATGTACCATCGCGGTCGACTTTCCCCTGCCCATGCTGGACAAGGGTTTCAGAATCAAAGTGGCCCGAAAGTCTGGTTGGGTTGAATTGACAGCCCCAGTCGTGGACGCCGCCGAGTGGCCTTCACTTCGCTCCTTCATCTACCCAGTCTTCCTCGACTCAGACCGTGTCACCAATTGGAACCTGCCGTACCTGAATATCCACTCGCTACCAGTCCTGGACGAGAAGAAAACCACACAGCTGGCTTGGCTGACCACGCATGCGTCGATGATGTGGAGCGCAAGCGAGAGATCACTTCGTAACAATCCTCATCTGCCGGCTTCCCTCGGAGAGCGAACCAGGGTCGAATTGAAAGACTCCATGTTCTCCTTGTACATGCACTACAGTGGACTGCAAGGCCGGCGCGCCCGTATCTTCGGAGTCAGCTGCCCTTCCGACGGTGGTGTGCATATCCTCTTCTTCGTGTCCAGCCTCCGACTCGATCTTTCCAACCGCACAGCTGTGCTAGACACGGCCGTGCTACCGCTGCACGACACTCTGATGCCTCGGATCAGAACATTTTTGGGGGCGCTGACAACCAGCGGCAGCCTCTGTCAGGTGCGCGCCACCAAAGCCGAGTTGTGCGCTTGGAAGCAGGTGTTGCCCGCGCTCGTCGAGCGGTGCCGGACGTGGTCTCACAGGTCTGGATGCGAGTATTTGGCCGAGCAACGAGTCCCCCTCTCGGTCGAAAATGGACAACCACCATTATGTTCATGTGGCGAGGGGATCATGCCTCCTGGCTTCATCACAGGGGTTCCGGAATGGGACCAAGTCGCCAAGTACGCGGTCCGAGCGGCGATATCACCCCCGTTCTCTGCCGCCATGTTCGAGGGTGGATGCAAACTTGACATGTTGAATCAGGAGGCCGAGGAACATCAGGCCAAAGCGTGCAACTCATGCGGGAGAGACGAGGCGGTCAATGGGTCGGGTTTGCTCAGTTGTGCACGTTGCCGAAAAGTGAGATACTGCTCTAAGGAATGCCAGCGGGTAGATTGGAAAAAGCACAAGGCCAATTGCGTCCCAATTTAGAGCGGCGGCATCTCTGCTGTCCTTGGGAAAACTTGATGGGAGAATGTCTGACAGCCACCTAATCGGGCATCCCCTGCATGACTGACTACAGGCAGTCGGCAAGAAGTTCGTCAATGTTTAGTTTCAAAGTTCGACATTTGATCATTCATTGTACAAGACCGAAGAGCTTTCCGGCCACAGGATCCCACTCAGAAGACCATCGCCGTCTGCTTTCGACCCTGGCGCCGTCTCGCAATCGCGTCAGCTGCGTCGACTCTGGATCGAACAGCTCTCGCAGTATATCGGCCAGCCCTTCGGCACTGTCAAACCCCCTTCCGTTGACATTCTCGGTGACGAGCTCTGGCCATGCGGCATACTTGCTCCATCCCGCCACTGGAAGCGCAGCTCCGAACATGTCAACGACTTTCATCGGTAGGTCGACACCGCTGCTACTCGTGTGCAGGGACACGCCGAGATCAGCAGAACCCAGCAAAAGAGCATAATCCTCAAAAGAGAGCCAGTCGGTATAGATGTTGACCATTTCCAACGCGTCTCCAGCGTCCAATGTCTTGATCTTATCAAGATAGTGCTGCTTGAGAGGGCCTTTGCCGGTAATGACGACCGCAAGCTCGGGTAGCTGAGGATGAGAAGACGTAGCGCTGGCGGTGTAACTGCACAGTGCGTCGAGGAGGAGTCCAAAGTCCTCGTCCGCCGTCCACGACGTCGAAGAAACGACAAGTCTCATTTTCCTGTCGACGATGGAGTTGAAATGATCTGCTAGAGGTGGATATCTCTGAAGGAAACCTATCCGCCCCGAGTCCGTCAATGGCTGGTAGAGATCCGCCGGCCGGTCGTGGAGCGTAAGTACAGGTGTACAGATGGCCATGTCCGATCGCAAGACTTTTGCCATGGCGTCTGTCACGGTGAAGTTGGCGCTCGCAGCTCGTCCTAGAAACTTCTCATAGATTTTGGAGACCTTGACCATGGGATGATCCGATCCGAGCTTGAGGGCGAGAATGGAATAGCCAAAGTTGTGCCAATCGACAACTAGTCTGGTTCCTCGGAACAGGCACACAGTCGCCACGACTAGCAGAGTTGGAATGGACGGTGGATTCTGGCATATTCGTTGAGTAGACGTAGAAGGAAACACCTACTCAGAATGCAACTTACCTGGACTAGCATCCATTTCGAAGGGGGCATCGAATAGCCCAGGGTTCGCCAGAGATACCATGCTTGCAATAGCACCTTGACGGGACCGAACGCCAAAAAGAGATACTTGTTGTTGGTCTGCAGTAGTCGTGGAGCAGACGGAAGTGGCACAATAGTTACGTTTGAATGCGCAACAAGCTCAGGTAGTGGTTCTGTGTCTGTGAGGTCTGTCAGTATGCCCTTTGTTTATCGTCCTCACCTTGACCAAATACCTCGATATCCAACCAGACGCACGCGGCCACCATGATGGGCAATACTGAGAGCGTGATACTGCATCCGCGGACTTCGGCCTAGATCACCCAGGACCACCACCTGGACCGTACATTGTTTATCGGCTGGATCACGCTGTGATGGTGCTAGTAGTAGCAACACTGTGATCAAGGTGGAAATGATGACCAGTAACGTCAAGATCATCGTAGTGGCCGGACGTGGGCATCCGGAGAGGTTGCGCTATACGGATCCTGATGTCGTGTATGCCGAGAAAACTATAGCGTCCTCGCAGTCATACACCCACATCGACGATATTGGCATACGATGCACCAGCTGCTCGTCGTTACAGAGTGCGAGTACGAGTACGAGTGCAGAGGACACGTTGTGGTGGCACTTTTTGGCCTAGTGAATTGGCAGATGCCGGATGTGGTTAGACTCAAGATCCTCGAAAAAAAGGGGGCCTTCAACGCCCACATGCGCCGGGTTGTATTTATTCTACCGCCGAAGCAAGTACCTCGTACCGCCCTCTCTCGTACCGAGAGCGCATACAGTACCAACTCATTCGATAGGACCGACGGAGTACTGCTTCCATCCACTCACCTGTACTGTACCTCACAGCCAGGTACCCGGCCCATATTTCCAGCTCCAGGGGCTCTTCCTTTTTCCCTCTCAGCAGAACAAGCGACAACCTTGTTTCCACTCTACGTCGCCCGCCGCATGCTAGCGAGGCCAAAGGGTTCCTCACCACCACCAGATGAGATGCCTGTCGTTATCGCTACCTGCTAATCTTCCCCGGACGCACTCACTTACCGCTGTACCACCAGACGATACCCCCCCGCCTGCGCCTTATCGATCTATTCAGTCGACCTGCAACGATTTCAAACGAACACTGCGCTCTGCGCTCTGCCGGTAGCACAGACCCATAGCTTCCGCAGTGTCAGGCCTGACGGCAAGGGTGCTATCGCCGAGCCTGAAATCTTTCTTCCGTCCGACGCGACCTCTTCAATCAACGGTGTAGCTGAATGTCGGTTCAAACGCCAAAGTGTCTCTACCTTCGCAACCGACTGAAGGGAACATGAGCGCGACCTTCACACTTCCCGTGGCGGCCACAGAAAATTGCAAGCATGGCCATTCGCAGTCTCCATCGCATTCTCATTCTCATTCTCATTCCCATTCCCATTCGCGCTCTCACCAACGAAATCGAGCTGGGAGTCGCCTAGCTGCTCCCTACTCCCTTCCTCGAATACCCTCCGAATCTGCTGTCCCGCCAAGCGACATGAATCGTCCTCCGCCGGTGGACACCCATTTCCATGACCATGTCAGCCCTGCGCCGAGTCTCGACCTGTCGGGCTCGCATTTTATACCAAAGAGAAGGGATACAGAACAGATTGCATACTCTTCCCCCAGCAGAGGAGCGCAGAGACCTGCTTTCCACCGTAATTTCTCCAAGCCTACGCAGCTATTGTTAAACTCGACGGAAAACTACTCGCTTCTTCATGGCATCCTTGCGGACGACGAGTCCAGGAGGATCTTCTACTTTATGATACTGAATCTCTGCTTCATGGTTGTCCAGTCTACATATGGAATCCTGACAGGCTCCTTGGGCTTGATCAGCGACAGCATACACATGTTCTTCGACTGTGTGGCGCTGCTCGTCGGCGTTTGTGCAGCCGTCATGAGTAAATGGCCCCCGAGTCTCAAGTTCCCCTATGGATATGGCAAAGTCGACACCCTTGCTGGCCTAGGCAATGGAATTTTCCTCATGCTGATCAGCGTCGAAATCGTTTACGAAGCCATGGAACGGTTGTTTTCCGGGGCGGACGTCAGTCGGACCATGGAATTGTTGATCGTCAGCACTATAGGTCTTTTCGTCAACCTTGTAGGCATATTCGCCTTTCATGGACTGCACGATCATGGTCACGACCACGGCCACGGCCACGGCCACAGCCATGAGGAGCACGATCACTCTCATGACCACCACGATCACGATCACGATCACGATCACGATCATCACCACTCTCATAATCACGGTGATTCAGACACTCCATTGACGGCGTCGGCCTCGCCGATGAAGGGCGGTAAAGCCGCGACCGGACACCATCACCACGGAAGCGAGAACATGCAAGGCATTTATCTTCACATCATGGCCGATGCTCTTGGCTCCGTTGCCGTCGTCGGGTCTACGTTGCTTGTGCGCTGGACCGGGTGGAGCGGCTGGGACCCTCTCGCCTCGTGCATCATTGCAATTCTCATCTTTGCATCGACCATCCCCCTCGTCACGTCGACCACAAAGATTCTTCTTTTATCCCTCAACTCCGACATCGAGTACAACCTGCGCGGTATCCTCAGTGGCGTCGCCGAGATTCGGGGCGTGGTAGGCTACACCGTGCCCAAATTCTGGCTGGAAGACACCAAAAAGGAGCCAGGAGGTCATCATCATCACGGACATTCTCATGACCACCACGGCCACTCTCACAAAGACAGCGATGGTAAATGTACCAGTGGCGGGGACGATCCCACAGTCCTCGGCGTGATTCACGTCACTGCTTCCCAGACCGCGGATCTCGAGGATGTAAGGGAGCGAGTGAATATGTATCTCCGCACCCGCAAGATGGACGTCGTAGTTCAGATGGAACGTGAGGGTGAGCATAAATGTTGGTGTGGCAATGGTCAGAAATCATGACTTGAAAATTCCCTGCCAATGACGGGATCTTGGGATCTTGGGCCGTGCTATTGTGGCAAGTGTACTCGTAGTTGGCCACTTAGGTAGGTAGACAGCTACCTTTGGTATACTCTAGAAAGGGGAAAAAAAGAACAGAGCTTCAGTACCCCACAGTATGAATTGAAATGAAATGATATAAAGGAAAAGAAATAGCTTTCACTGGGTGCCTAGGTAAGCAGAGATTGAGAGACATGCCGAGGGTTTTGCTTTGCTCTGCGAGACCTGGCATCCTCCGACCTCTTTTGATCTTGTAAGTGGAAAGGCCATACTGATCTTGTATGTTTATTGATCAGGAAACAGTTCGTCGCACTCTTGAGGTACGCGTGGTGGCCCGTCCAAGACTACGGGTACGTCTAAGTTACCTAGCTCTAGGTGGTCAGAATCAAATCAGGACCCAACTGCCCCAAACCCAGACGGCCTCACACGCGAGACCGCCCAGGAGCACCGCGATGCCCATGAGAAGTCCGACGCCCGCGCGGCTCTGCGCATCCCGTTTCCAACCCACGACGTACTCTACCCCCTCGACCAGCGTCGTCGTGTCGCCCTGATCCGCCCCGCGCCCAGGGAGGCCGAACAGGACCCACGTGACGGTCGTGAAGATGGCCAGGAACAGCACGACCGCCAGCGCGGCGACGATCCTGCGCAGGGAGAACGTGTGGTGGAGGTACAGGCACGGCGGGCCGCTCGTCGTCGCGCCCGTCGACGAATCTCGAGAACTCGCACCTGCGCCGAAGTGCGATCGACTCCCGCCGCGATACGACATGGGGAACGTGGGCGCATGGAACGGCATGCGTGGGGTCTTGACGCTGGGGTGGGCGCTGGGAGTTGTTGTTGTTGTTGTTGTCGCACCCGCGGCGGTCGCGCCGGAGGAGCCAAACGCGAATGCGCCCGGGGTAGCCGTACCGTACGCGTCCGAGTCGCGGCTGTTGTTGCGGCTGTGGCCCATGAAGCTGAACACGGGGCTGACGTCGTCGGACGGGCTGCTGGTATCAGCGGGACCGGGGGCGTGACGGGTAGTACGGGGGCGTCGCGACGCAAACGACTCGGTCTGTTGTTGACCGTTGCGGAGCCACAAGAGCCACAACTTGCGACGTCGCCCGAGGCGTGGGTTACGCAGATGCTTGACAAAGTCCGTGCCGTCGATGTCGTGCTTCCCCCCCGCTCCTCCTCCTGCTGGGGTCAGTGGCGGTAGGGGACTGCCGGGGTACCAGAACCGATGGGCCGGCGTGGCGGTACTAGCTGCGGTGGTGGAAGCAGAGAAGTCGGTGCTGGGTGAAGCGTAGGAGAGTTCGCGTGCCGAGAACAGACGCCGTGCAACGCCCAGTAGGTGAGAGCGGTACGACTGTTGAACCACGGCGAAGAGCTGTTCGTCGTCGAAGCTCGTTTTGTCGGTGATTACGATCTCGACGGTCGTTTTGGCCGAAGGCTGGCGTGCGAGATGTAGGTCCAGAAACAGAACTTCAGGGCCCACGGGGGACGGGAATCGGTCGGATGTGGTTGGGGTGCTGGCACCAACGGCTGGTTTCGTCGACAGAGGGATCTCGGGCGCTTCGTCCTTTTCCAGAAGGCGTCCTGAAAGCGTCTTAGAAGACCGTGGTTTCTCCGTGATTTCGCCTTTGGCTTCCTGAGAGGTAGAAAGGGATTTCCTGCGCGTCGAGCGAGCCCGCCGAAGACTCTTTGACAGTTTGGACGAGGTCTTGCTGTCCGCTCTGGACACATCGCCGTCTCCCACGTTGGCGGCAGCAACCTCGTCAATCTCGCCGATACTGCTGTGTCGAGCTGGGTACGGAGTGCTGACGACGTTCTCGCGGAAGAGTTTGTGGTCATTATTCGTCTGAGTTATGATCAGGTCTGCTGGTCGAATTGTCACACGGCGTGAGTTGCGGACTGGAGCCGAGATAGCACGGGACAATTTCTTCTCAAGGTCTGTTGGGGGATTCGACCTTAGACCATCAATCGGGGCTGCTGTTGAGACAAATGTCCCACTTGATGAGATCGTGCCAGTTTCATTTCGTGGAAGACGGACAGAACCAAATCCTCCCATTGGCGTTGGAAGGGTGGACAGAGCTTCAACACGCCCTGGGGTGTCAGGAAATTCGATGATTGTTTCTTTGACATGGTTGCTCTGCTCGGGCCGATGATCGAGAGATATCACTTCTGGAAGTGCAGTGAGGGTATCGGCCTCTGAGACTCGTCCTTCGGGCGCCTTCAGCGCGTCTTCTGGTCCGTTCAAATTGCCACCTTGCAGTGATTCCTGTCCTGTGACGGATGGACACAGTCCATGTCCTTTCGAAGGTGAAAGATCTTTGGCTGTGCTACATTCAATTTCCGTCGGAGTCGAACGAGGGGCATACAGTCTTGGAATAGACCAGCCCGAATTATTGTTATGCTGAACAATGTTTGGCTTTGCTACGCGGACACTACTTGCCCTCTGAATGACTGGTGATTCCTGGCCAGAATCGTCAGAGCCAGAGTCATAGGAAGACTTGGATTCATCTGGATCAGTGATCGAACCCGGAGGCATCTCCAAAAATCTCTTAGCAGTCGGATCGTACGATGGATCAACCGGACTCGAATTTGTAGTATCTGTTGACTTTCTGTTCTGCTTCGTCTTTTTCCTTAGCACGTTCCGTGGCTGAGATTGCAGATTCTTGAGAGCCTCTGATGCTTCAGACTCAGTTGTCGTCTTTGACCAACGACTGGTCTCCTGGAGTGTTGCGTCTCCGTCGCGCGATGGATGCCTCAGCCTCGACATGCCTTCATGCCAGCTTGAGCCCATGGTCAGAGCTGGAGATGCTGGATGAGGTAGTTCCGTCGTGGTCGGTGTGCTTCGGATGTTAGGCTCAGCCGCCACAGGCCGAGGAGGATTAGCAACTTTGCGACCAAACACTCGGATCGGACTCGTCGGGTTGAACACCATTGATCTGAATATGGGTACGGCTCATCAAGCTTTGCCAGAGTGACGGCATCGTAGACTGATATTTTATGCATCGCCATCGCTTTGGTCGCTTGCGGTTTTGGTGCCTATGAAAGAACATTGCCGTTTGCGGAAATGTTGACTCTAGCTATTCAGACGTCGCCGGTGCTGTCGAGCAGCAAAGCCTGGGTCTGATGTCCTGTTCGGATCGAACAAAGAAAATCATCGAAGGAATAGGTTGGCAGCAACTGTTCGCAGATAATAAAACTGATGGTGACACAAGTTGCATTGAGAGCCGCATTCCAGTCTCAACCACGAAACTTGCCTTGGCAATAGGGACAAACATCGAACTCGTCGAATAACGCCCGAGTCAAGCTTGGGCCATTTGGTAATTTTAAGCTGGATATGTCCAGGAATTGCCTGCCACATTTGGCACAATACTTCGAGATACCAGGCTCTTGTATAGCAATAAGCGATATATTGCACCGACTGAATTGATGTCCATTACCGCACCTTGCGGAGACCGTGTCTGAGAACGTAATGGGCGCGCTGCACACTTCGCATTTCTCTTGATCTAGCAATCCGGATCCAGTGGCCACTTCCATTTCTTTGTCCAAAGCCATTCTATCTTCGTGCTGAGCGTCTGCTAACCGATTTGACATCAACTTCGCCCAATCTGTGAACTTCTGAAACCTTGCAGGATCACTCATGGTTAATGAGATAGCAATCCTGACTATTTTTTGATCCAGGTCCGATCGAATGAGACTTGAGTCTGTAGAGGAGGTGAATGACAGGAGCTCTTCTAGGACCACCATATCGGCCTTCTCAGGCTCGGGAGCATTTGCTGGATATTTGGTGTCGCTGAATACGATCAGAGTGTGTTGAGTCGCAGGCATAACAGCTTCGATCATTTCGCTGGGATGTAATGAAACACACGCCGCAGCACGAGTCTTGTCAGGAGAGAGTGAGATTCCGTAGAAACGAGTACGGATTTTGCCTGACAGACTGAATCTGCTATCGAACTCAGATCTTGGTTTTCGAAGGGCCGCTTCAAAGTCCATTTCGGAGACTCCATGATTCTGATCAGATTCTGGTCGCCTTTGCGAAGTCTGGAACGAAACTGACGTTCCGTGGGATGTATTGTCCCTGTGGTCAATGTCTGGAAGAACAAGTTGAACGGATATGGAAAGAGCCTTCGAAACACGCCCGTTTGCTCGAAGCAGATCTAACCGAAAATTAAATGCCTTGGGGGTTGCTGCACTGTTCTCTTGGATCTTCGATGCTTTCATGCTTGATACACGAGAAGAAGCTGACAGTACAGACGCCAAACCTCCTCCGTTGATGTATACAGGGGTGACATGCTCGGAAACATGCTGTCCCAGTAGCTCGAACGACCAACATCCGAGTTTCGAACTTTCTTTTTTGGCGACACGAAACAGGGAGATTGTATCAGAGTCGTCCACAACAGCCAGTAAATGTTGGCCCCATTTCATACTGCTGTGAGTCTTTATGGGCGGGATCCAACAGAACGCACGAATCCTTCTCTCTTCTCTCTGTTTTGCTAGCTGATTTGGTTTGTCAGAATCAGCTTCGCTCGAAAGGTGCTGGTTGACCACTGCGGTCCTTTTCCATTGGTCTAATTTTCCATAGCCTTCCCAGAATGAAAGGACCAGGTTGGACGTCAGAATCGCGAGGACATTCCGCCTGTGAGGACCCAATCCCGGCGGTGACCACGCAAGCGAAGTAATGGTTGAATCGGATAATTCCTCGCCGATGGAAAACTGTCTAATGGGAGCCATGGGCACATGCGCCCATTCGGCTTCTTGGAACTGGTTGGCAGGGATTGTAGTTTTGCGCCATTGCAAGTCTTTTAGGAGTCCTTGCGATCCTGACGAGTCAATTGGCGTCAAGATCTGTACAGTCTCACCGGTGGCAACAGCTAGACCTTCTGAGGACCAGCTGAGGGCATTTTCACAAGTTGGCCAGTAGCGCAGGTCGATGGGCTCAAGCTGTCCAGGAGTATCTGCCATCTCGGCATGATGTATGAAAGATATCCGTGGTTGAAAATGTGGGTGCAACGTGAATTCATGCGGCTTGATTCAGGTGGACACGCTGCTTAATTCTCTTCTCCAGGGCTTATTCGGGCTGTACAATATCCTCTAGAGAACTGGATTAGCTTGACGTCAGCATCTTATCGCGAGGAAGGAGCAGCCTTGTCAGCGATATGGCATCGCTTGAGAATTCACGAGGATGTTAATCATGCATGCTTCTATCAGTCTCAAACATTGCAACCGTGATGATCTGTCTGCCAAGAGATTGTTCAGCCTTGTGAAGTATCTCCACACGTGACGAGGCTGGGTTCACACCCCGTTGTCTTTTGCTGGCTTTGCACGAGCCTCGCTAACCACAAAATCAAACAGGGATGCCATTCTCACCAGCTGACACTGGGGAGAAGAAATGACTTTCCTTGACGATGACAGTGGATGCCTATACTCGGCTCTCAGTTCTCCCTGAGTGTTTCACTTGGCGGACCCTGCGCCTAGGCGGTCAGCAAATCTGCAAGTCAGCAAACATGGCCCCCAGTAACGAGGCACAATTCCCCACAGGATGTCCAATCCTTCAGCCATCTGAATCTCGAAATCGATCCTTGGTTCGATCATTCAACCAATGTGACTGGCAAATCTCGTTATACATCTAATATATCATCTTCAGGGCTTCTAGAGGTTTATGAACCGTCCATCACGACAACTCCACCAACCCTTGACCACGGGCTTGTTCTCTCGTTATTCGGATATGGGGTACACATGGCTTTTTTCACGCTTCCCCAATGGCCGAACCACTAGCTTCGGACACCGACAACCGTACTGAAATTTTACAGTCTTACCGTAAGTTTTGGACAGGTGTTAACCTAATCTGTAGGGTGAAGGCAGCGACTGGGACAATTTTCGAGCTACGGACATGCCACTTTCAGTCAAGCGGTCACAATGGCTGTATCAGGGGAAATACTGCGGAGAACTAGTGGCGGCAGTGCTACAGATCCAATTTTGGAAACGACGTGGCTGGGTCTTGTGCACATATCCGGCAAGGCGTGCCAATGTGGACTCAAACTAGTGCACGCCAGGTGTACCGCTAACGTATCGAGTCTTCAGGGCCTGCATCTTGACTCTGCGGCTGAGAGCCCAGGAGGTGCCAGATCATCGTGGATGGCTCCCTAGCCAGCGGACAATCTGGCGGCATGAGCTTCCACTAGAAGGGCATTGATTTCAACTGCGCCCTCTCCTGGGCCTATCAGATCTGCCCCTTGCGACTAAATTCGGACTGTGCCCTGGCCAAATTCTGTTTCTGCGGCCACGCTCACGGTCGGGGCTCTCATATTATGACTACCACTTTCACCTGCCACCCCCAGTCTCCTTTTGCTCCATCTTTCGATATTATTATGTCCATTCCCCTCGTTCAAGTTGCTTGACTACGCTGCGATTATCACTGCAGGGCGGTCACCTTTACCATGGCGGCTTCTATCTCGCCCTCGGTCATTATGACGCAAATTCACAACTACCTCAACGCCAATGAGACCTCCGACGCTCTTTTCAAGTCTCAAAACGCGTTCGATACCATTGGGACCTACAAATGGTTCATTGGCACTGGCATCTTTGTCCTCGTTACTGCGATCCAGGTTATAAAATACATGCTGAGGGACCGACCACCTCCTGGTCTGAAGCTCATCCCCGGTCCTACGAGCACCATCCCCTACATTGGACGTGTCCACGATGTCGACCCAAACAAGCCATGGTTTGCCATGAAAAAGTTCTGTGACGAGTATGGTGGCATCTTCCGTTCCACTATCTGTGGTGAGATGCACATCTGGGTCGGAGATGCACAGATTGCCTATGACTTGCTCTGCAAGAAGGCGAGAATCTATTCATCCCGTCCCATGGTGCCTGCAGTTCCCGGCAGTGACTCCCAGGGTCAATACCTCCCACTCCTGGCTCACGATGGTAAGGCACAACGGTTCCCTTGACTGTGTAAGCCTGTTGCTAACTGTTTCAGACCATTGGCGCAACCAACGCAAGTTCGCCCACACCGTCCTGACCGCCGGCTTCAATTCCAAATACTATGGCTACGTCAGCCACGAGGCCAAACGTTTCCTGTACAAGCTCTTGATTGATCCTACAGACCACTACGCTCTGACCGATCGATTCTGTGGTCGCATCAGTGCTCGCCTTGGTTATGGAAGCCCAGCATCAGCAGCCGCCCACTGCAAGAACGCGGGTGAATTCATTCCACAAATCTCTCCATCTGGTCCTATCACCAACTTGATGCCCTTCCTCGGCGGTCTCCCTGAATGGATTAATCCTTCGATTCGCAAAGTTCGCGAACGACGTGAAAAGGAGGAGAAACTGTGGAAGGGGTTGATGAAGCAGGTGCGCCAAGAGATGGATCAGGGAACTGCTCCCATCAGCTACGCGCGGACGTATTTTGAGCGCAAGGAGGCTGAGGCTGGCTCTCGATCTTTCGGATTCGATGACCATGAGGCTGCTTACGCCGTCGGTATGTTGGTGACTGTCGCCATCTTCACTATTGGCGGTCCTCTCTACTGTTTCTTCCTCGCCATGGTCCTTCACCCTGAATGGCAACAGAAGATCCGCGATGAATATGACGAGGTCATCGGTGACCGAGTTGTCGAGGTATCTGATGCTCCTAACTTGCCAATCCTCCGTGCTTGTATCAAGGAATGTATCAGATGGCGACCACCAGTCCCCTTGGGTGTCCCTCGTCTTCTCGAGGAAGATGACGAATGGAATGGCTACTACCTTCCCAAGGGTGCTGTCATCCACGCTGTCGATCTCGCTCTTGCCCGCAACCCCGAGCTCTACCCAGATCCGGAGACCTTCCGACCAGAACGATGGCTCCAGAAAGAATTCCCCACCTACAAGGAGCCGCTCACCGAGCATCCTAGACTGATGGGTCACCACGGTTTTGGTATGGGCCGTCGCATGTGCCCGGGTATCGAAGTCACTGAAGCTGAGTTGCTCGTTGCTTGCGGCAGCATTGTCGGCTGCTTCGAGCTCCTGCCACCAAAGGACGCCAACGGACAACCCCAGTGGCCAGATAGCTACAAGTTCACACCCAACTTGATCGGTGGCCCTCTGCCCTTCGAGATGGAGGTCAAGGTCCGAAGTCCAGAGAAGGCCGAGCGCATCAAGGTTTGGTATGAGGAGAGCGTTGCTGATGAAGCCGCGGGCAAGATTGCTGCTGGCTTGTAAGAGATTGAAGCCGATGGAAATTACCTTCTGGCCTGTTGATGTTCACGTTGGATGTAGTCGATTTATTGCGTGGCGTTGCCGGGGAGATTGTGCGATTTTGAACTGCTTCCAACCTAATGATGTGTGGACGAAGAAGTTTGTGATGGCAATACCAGATTTGAGCCGTATATAAAGATTTTTGAAGACCAATATATCGATGTGTGCTCAGAATTCTTCTATCGTCCTCTTGTTATGTCTACTTCACTCGCATCTCATGAACCCTTGCTCCTGTAGCAACACGAGGAGTTTGACATTTAAACGTCCATCGCCATCAAAATTATAGAAGTCTTCTAAACTTGCATTGCGCGCTCTTACTCCAGATGGCCCAATATCTTCCTTCATGCGGCCAGAAGGACAAAGCTGAGTGTGTAGACGAAGGCTGGCAAAGATCCTCGACATCCGAATTGTCCAGATCCTCCGAAACCGGATGAGAGACAGAATCACGGGGAACGTGGACACCACACGCACCATCGTGCGCCAACCTCACGGAGATGACGGAGGATCGAACAGGCGCAGGATCCGGTCGTGTCGCAGAACGTGTCGCGTGGGTGACATACATCGACACGACGACACATGGCAAGGGATCATGGGCCGTAGGGCGTGGTGCAACGGGTGGACCAGCTATCGAGGGATTTACTCAACTCAACGTCCCAGTATCCAAAAGGTGCCTGAGATGTACCTAAGCGTGTGTTTTCCAGTTTCGAACAAGTTGAAACAAGGCTATGAAGAGGATGTCGTATCCCTACAGAGTGACAGTGTTGCTGAGATATTGATGTTGAGTACTCCGTATCAACAAACAGCATTGATTGATTCACGGTCCTGTCATTTTTGCACTCTCTAAAGCGACAAAAGATTTGTGTGGTCCTAAGCTTGCAGAAACATACGTACCAGAGGAATAGTTTTTCATTGTCTATTATATCACCGGCCCGGTATCTGTGCGGACGACCAACTCCGGGCCACCTTTCGCTGGTTCAATATGCAGGCTTCAGCAGCTCGTTATCGCCACCGATGCGCACTCCGTATGGACCCATTTATCTATCATTGGGCTTGCAGTGACTTTCGATCCCATATCGAAACCGGAAGGTGGTTGGGTTTGTCGCTGGATTCGCTTCTACCATGCCTACGGAGTACGGAGTATCGGTTCTGAATGTCGTTCCATTTCGCGCCCCCCGGCTCCTGTTCCTTTTTTTTTCCTTTATCTTGGTTTGACGATCTCGCAGTAATAATTCTGTGGGCGATAACTGTTGATAGGTGGGGTGTTTATTTTGCTTATTACTTATTACTTATACATAATACATACTCTAGACTTCTTGCCATGTTGAACGCGCCTCTCTCTACATCTTAGATCTTGCGCAGTGGTGTGCCGGCGAGCCATCCTCCAGATCGAAGGCCATCCACCCATTCGTTAACAGCTATAGCGAGCCGTCTACACACCGAACGCGCCAGACATGTCGTCGTTACAGGACCCGGCGGTGCAGTTCGACTACGCCGACGATAAGAATGCTTTCGCTCGAGGGACAGGTGACGGAGTTCAACCCGTCGACGTCGGAAACAATGTCTTGGAAAGCGTCGACTCGATCTACGGCGACACGGCCCAGGACATGAGGGACATGTTGCGACTCGGCAAGAAGCAAGAGTTCGAGAGGAACTTCTCCTTCACGGCAACTCTGGGGTTCATCTCCATCTACATGGCAACGTGGGAATTCGTCCTCGTCTCTCTCGCGGCGGGTCTTGTGAACGGCGGCTTCGCAGGTCTCTTTTGGACGTTCCTCGGCACCGTGCTCTGCTACAGCAGCATCGTCGCGAGTCTGGCCGAGATGGAGTCCATGGCTCCCACCAGCGGCGGTCAATACCACTGGGTCAGTGAGTTCGCACCGCCTCGGTACCAGAGGTTCCTCAGCTACTCCACCGGGTGGATGAGCACGCTGGGATGGCTGTCAAGTGTAGCCAGTTCCGTCTTCGTGTGCAGCACACTGATTCAGAGTCTCGTCGAGATCGGGGACGACAGCTTTGTGTTCCCAAGGTGGCAGTACACGCTGCTCAGTTTGGCCTTTTTGGTCGTCACGATTTTCTTCAACACCTGGGGCGCGAAGAGTCTGCCCATGATCGAGAAGGTGTCGCTGGTCGGGCATATTCTGTGTTTTTTCGTCACCATTGTCCCGCTCTGGGTCATGTGTCCTAAGAACAGCGCCAAAGATGTCTTTACGACGTTTGTCGACAATGGCGGTTGGGGGAATGTAGGAACCGCGTGTCTCGTCTCTCAGGTTTCCGTGTTGTATTGTAACCTCGGTAAGATTGTTTTCCTTTTTTATTCTTCTTCTACTACTACTACTATTCTTCCTTCGGCATTCTTACTGACATCTTATGTGTCCACAGGCTCCGACTCAGCTTGCCACATCTCCGAAGAAGTCGCCGATGCAGGCCGAAACGTACCTCGCGCAATGTGGTGGTCGTTCATACTCAACGTCGGGCTAGGCATCGTCATGCTCATCACGATGCTCTTCTGCATCGGCAGCCTCGACGACGCTCTCGACGCAGAAATCCCATACATCCAACTCTTCATCAACACCGGAAGCTCTGCCCTCGCCTACGTACTCACCATCATACTCCTGATCCTCATATTTTCAGGCAACATCACCGCGTTGGCCACCACAAGTCGCGAAGTCTTTGCCTTCTCACGGGATCACGGGCTTCCGTTTTCCCGATGGCTCAGCAAGATGGAAAAATCCCGAAACATCCCATTCAACGCAGTATACACTACTGCATTCTGGTCCGGGGTGTTGTGTCTGATCAATTTTGCAAGTGCCACGGCGTTCAACATCATCATTTCGCTTACACTGTTGGCGTTGCTGAGCACGTACATGTTGAGTATTGGATGCGTGTGTCTGAAGCGGATCAAGGGACAGCCGCTCCCTCCGGCTCGATGGAGTCTCGGACGGTACGGGCTCGCCATCAATTTGTTCGCGTTCTGTTACTCTGCGTTCGCGATAGTCTTTAGCTGCTTTCCGTCGAGCCTGCCTGTTAGCACGGGCGATGCAAATTGGGCACCCGCCGTGTGGGCCGCTGTTATTATTCTCAGTTTTGTCACGTACCTGGTTCATGGGAGGAAACATTTCACTGCTCCTGTGTCATTCGTTGAGGGGCATAGAACAGGTGGGTTGCAGAAGACTGACTAGGTAACGGCCACTGCAGGTGCGGATCTTATGCTCGGACGTAGGGTATAGCCGTCAAATATTGAGTTGATAGGAGAATGCCAAATGCACAGAACGTCCCTTGCCGTTGGGGAACTTGAATTTGTGACATTTTCGATTATTCATATGCATTTTGTACAGTCGTGTTGGCGGCATTAATCAGCCTTTCTTCCTATCATAGCGTTCAATTGAAATCAATGGCCAGATCAAAAAAGCCGCACCAGCAGCCATGGCAGCACCACCAAAGACCTGCCCATGGAGGAAATTCCCGGTTGATACGTCCACCAAAACGCCGGCTATCGGTGCACCAATCACAGTACCGATGGACGCCGCAGACCAGGTCATACCAAGTCGAGTTCCCACCACATCCAGCGAGGGGGACAAGAGAGGATGCGCAACAGTTGACGTTGGGGCAGTGACAAGCACCCCGGCCACGAACCCCCAAAGTACACACCACACCACAAAAGCAGCGCGGGAGTGAACAGCAATCCAGGAGAAGAGGAGGATGACTCCGAGGAGAGAGGCAAAGAGGAGCGTGTAAAGAGGTTTGACCTTTTGCCCGAGCAGGTAAGGAACGGTCCGTCCAAGGATGGAGCTGCCATTCACCACTGCCAACATGTAGAAGGCAAAGTCTTCGCCCGTGCCCAATCCGTATCGAGAGTAAGACACGATGAAGAACAGCGGGACATAATATGCCAAGTACAGCAGGAACAGGGCTAGAAACCATTGCACAAACACCGTAGACCGGAATGCGGCAATGTCAATCAATGACCGCGCTTGCCGAGTCTGACCAGCATGCCGGCCTAGGATGATGCAAGCGGCGATGGCGAAGGCCAGGTTGATAAAGGCCAGAGACCGCACCGTCCAGCCGAAGCCGATTTGCGGCTGTAACTTGCGAAACATGATCGGGAAGACCACACCCCCAACGCTCGAGCCGACGGCTCCTGCGCCGATCGCAATGGGCCGCCTGGTTGTGAAGTACTTGGACACTATCGCGAGGGTCGGGACGTATGTCAGACCGGAGCCGAGACCGATACAGAAGCCCTGGGCCAGGAAGACCTGGTAGTAAGAGCGTGATATGCTGGTCATGAACATGCCGAAGACGGTGAGAAACGACCCACCGAACACCATAGGTCGGATCAAGCCCATGTCGAACAGCGGGCCCGCAAAGACACCGACGAAGACGACAAGGAAAGCCTGTACGCTTCCGATCCATGAAATGGTAGACGTCGACTCGGTGGACAAGAGCTCGCGGATATAGTATGCTTGAAACGCACCGAACGTTGACGTCGTGCCCCTACGGCACAGTCAGGGGCTATTCGCTGCGTAAAAAGGGACAAGAAAGATGCTTCCTTACCAGGTATTAGCGAAAATCAAGAACAAAGCCACAACCAACAGCCATGCTTCGAGACCGCCATTGGGGGGAGTGAACTCGGAAGAAGACGCCGGACCAGGTTGCTGACTGATCTCGACCTCGACCTTGTCTCTTCCAGGAGAGGCGGTTTGATCAGCGATGTCTCTGCCGACATACTGCCTGACAGTGTCGACGCCTTCTATGGCCATGTTGTTACGCTGAGGAAGATCCGTAGGGTTTTTGAGTTGCCGATGTGTTTTAGTGCCGTAATTCCTATGGCGACATTTTCATATGGTGAAAATTTCCTCTTCGTTCAACATCCACACACAGACACACACACGTCGCGCTTGACGACCATGGATTATTATTGTAAGTCGATCCCCTTGAGACGATATGCCTTGATCGACAGCTGCAAAGATGTAAAGGTGAATCTGACACGCTATCACAATACATATGTATATAAAAGCTCCCGGAGCAGTCGTCCCTCGCGCCGCAATTGACTAATTGGTAACTCGTTACTCTGCTCTCCCGCTGACGACCCGTCCACTCCTTCTCCTCTTCTCGCTTTTTGCGCTCCACTTCTCTTCCCCACGACATCCCACTCCCAACTACCGGACTCCCTCCCGTGCCAGTGAAGCTCCTGTTCGGGCTTCCAGTGTCATAGGCGTCGAGGGTAACTTTCCTCGGCTATATTTGTAATGGCTCGTTTGGGCCCCGATGAAAAAGGTGGATGTGCTGAGAGGGTGTCCCCCATTACGTTACTAGTTAAACCGTGGTCAACTGAACCAACCCTGTTGTTCTGTGGGACAAGTATTTCTCCTTGTCTGTTCCTTTCACTGCGCTCTCTGCCTTTCCCTCCCCCCGGGTAATTTCTCTTTCTCAAAGCCTCGCCAGGGTTCGAGATCGATTGCCCTCGGTGCGGTGGGTTTGAAGTGGTCGTAGACCGAGCGGACGAACAGGAGTTGGTTCTCTGAGTCGCCACCCTCCCCATTTACTGGCCTGATGCCGCTACGATTGTACGTCTCAATCTCTTGAAGCCGTGTATTCTCATGAGAATGTCAAGCGTGTTGAGCGAGCTAAACATCAAAAGCGAAGATCAGGCCATGCACTTGATCTTGACAGCTAGCGACCCTCCTGACAGAGGGCAGGCGTGAAGTGACAACACAGTCCAAACTCCATCAGCCGGACTACGAGCAAGAAGGATATTGAGCAGTTGCACCGTCGAGTGACACACGCAAGCTAAGATTGGTGCTCTATTGTAGTAGATTCTCGGGAAAGACTGGTTGACCCGCAAACATGACCGGACGCCATTGTAAACAAAACACAAACGACTCCATATCGAACTCAGGAGTCCCAGAGGCCTGTAAAGCGTGCAATTCATCCCCCATCTTCCAACTCATCCTCTTGTACCTCGGGAAACATGATTGACCGAGCTTTCTGTAAGACTGGACGTCCATTTCCCGTAAGGGCCGAAATGCTTGGCTTACTCCATCCTCTCTTCAGAACGACAGACTCAACCTCCTCGAGATAGCGCTCGTGCCATTTCACATCTTCCTGCTCTGTCAGGTTGTCTCGACCCGGAGATGAAACTTGAAGAATCAAGATTGGGCCAAGAAGTTCGCTCAAAGGGTAGACACCAGAGAATTCCCAGTCCAGAATACCAACAATGTGGCCGTCCCGTACCAGAATATTGCCGGCGTGAAAATCTTCGTGGACGAGAACGCGAGGCTCGGCATCGATATCTCGAAAGAGAGATTCGTCGTGATTGAGTAAACCAAGTCGTTCAAGCTTCAATGTGTTGATGAAGTCGGCGACCGAGGTCTTCTCGAAAGCCTCTGCTATGATATCAGTCTCGGCGGCGTGAGTATAATAGGATATTTTCCGGTCATAGCAAGCCAGGATGTATTCTTTACTGTCAGCATAAGGTCCGATGTTGTAATACTCTGGGGAGTGGAAATTGGCCTGAGACAATGAATCAGCATCCTTCATACAAACTTGTGATGGAAAGTTTGCTTCCTGTTCAGGAGCGGCACGAAAGGGGGGGGATGTAGGTCTGTTGCAACATACTCTGCCGTTAAATACTTTTGCTGCTTCGATGGTAGGACCTGCATGGGAGTCATGTGTGAACCCACTGATTTTTGGGAACCTGGTTTCTCCAAGGTCTGCAATAACGTTGGCAATCTCTTGAATGATGGCTGTCTTTTGATTTTCCGTCAACTGAGGCCAGAGTACGCTAAGCCGCTGGCCGTCGATGAACTCCTCAGCGATAAATGGTGGAACACCAGACTTGGAAACCCCGTCATTCCACGCATAGATCCTCGGCGCCGGAATGCCTGGTAGGTTCTTCTCCAGGAAAAGCAAGCAACCAACTTCGTGTTGTAGTTGGTAAGGTTTTAGGGAAGGTGTTTCGCTCCTCGGAATGCGCAGAACAAAATTTCCTTCCTCACTCGTTTTGTGTTCGCCTTTTGTGGTTTTGTAAGTCGTCAGCCATACACGGTTGTAGCCCTCGACGGCAAGGAATTCTACGCTCAACACCTCATTTGCTCCATTCCACTCTGTGACGACCTTCTTCGCAATATCCCATGCTGCTTCCTGGAGAAGTGCTAGGTCGAATTCTTCTTCGCGTTCATCCACGCTGGTACCCCCGAACGAATGAGATTCAGGGTTGCGGTCCCCAGATTGATAAGATTCATGGGCCATTTGCTCACGGGCTCAAGGGTTCCTTTAATTGACGACACGAGCGACAGCAGTTAGTGTAACCTCTGGAGCGTTTTCTGTGGTAGAACAAGTTCGGGTGAACGGGGGCATCTGTGTCTTGGAACGGGGCACCCCTGATGATGAATGCTCCATCAACACGCATTACGATACTCGCGTGTCTGCTCGATTCAGATGTAACTTGATCATGGAACCGGACAAGGTCGAGCTTCCAAAGCGCAAGGACAACCTCAAGAAATACGATATGAGCGGCTTACTCTCCTGCAGGTCTCTGTCAGTGTGAACAGCCGAGGTGAGGCTGACTCGAAGCAAAATCTTGGCTCGCTTAATTTGAGAGTTTTCCAAGCGACGAAGGTACTTTTGAGTCTTCCCACTTCCGCAATGGAAAAGCTTTGCGGAAAAAGCGGTAGACGTGGTAGAAGTCAATTGAAGGTCCCGTACAGTGCATGAAAAAGGTAAGTTTGGAAGGTTCAATCGTCACATATGTTCATACACCGCGAACGTGTTCCACACATACAAAAGCAAGACTAATGTATTCTACAGAGTTTTGATGAGAAGATGTCGGGTCCTATTTGAAAAAGCAAAACAACAGGGGTAACCGACAGTCCGGCTGTTCGCAGCTGTGCTACTGGTGCTGCTTAGGGGCTATCATTTCCGCAAAAGGACAAAGTCGTGTTCCAATGACCATAGACCGTTCATAGCCACAGTTTCTGGGTCCGTCAGAGACGAGCGAAGATCGTAAGCCCTGGCCCTGTCCGGAAGACGATCAAGTTTCTTGAATTGCTTCACGAGGGACGTCTTGACTCCAAACACTGGATCCGTCGTGATGTGCTCGCTCTCCGCCGAGTACAAGGCCGTGGTCAGATCGAGGTAGGCGGGATGCCTCAGCTGGAAGTGCTATGGAAGGATCAAGATCAGCATTAGCCATATGACAGGAATATGTCGACACGAGTTGTTTCTTTCGGAGACTCTTACCACATGCGCTGGGCGAGTGACGTTGCGATCCAATACCTTCAACAACTTCCCCACGGGTCCTTCATTGGGGATGTTGTAGTCTACGCTCTTGACTCCGAGAAGGTAATACCGTCCTTGGGCGTCGGTGCGGAAGATGCCACGGCAGTCAGGCCCGTCCCGGTTCGGGTCTTGCATGTCGTAGAAGCCGTTGCCGTTGGTCTCCCAAACGTCGACCGTCGCTCCGTCAATCGGCTCTCCGTCCGTCGATCTCACAGTGCCATGGATCAGCATTGGCTCGCCTACGACGCCCTCGGAGCCGATCGAGGCGCCGTTGTCAAGAATGGCCGCGTCGTTGTGGAAGGGCCCCAGCACGGAAGATTCCGTAGCAATACTTTTCGACTGCGCTTGTGCGGAGTTGATCGTGTCGACTAGCGCTGAGACACCCAGGACGTCGGAGAGTAGGACCATCTCCTGCCTGTCCGGTGTGCAGAATTGTCCTGTCTAAAAAAGGTCAAAGTGGACAAAAGGTTCTCGTCAGTGTATTCGGTTCACCGAAAGCAAAGCAAGTGCCGGAAATTTGGTGTTTAGTTTCGTTTGGATTTGTCAAACACACCTCGGTCAGATATTGCCATCCTGCCTCCCATTCACCGGGTTTTAGTTGGACTTCTCGGACGTAGTCGTGTAAATGCTGAATGAGCCCTGATATCAACTCTGCGGTCCTCTCGTCTGACACGTTCGCCGTACACGTCCTGATGACATGCTGAGTTAGGTTCTCTGCTGTGAGATCTTCGACTGTGCTTGTCATTCTTGCCATCGTAATTCTTTTTTTGGCGACAACTGTCCGCGGATTCTTAACCGTTGCAGTTATTAGCCTCTAGGGTTGGAGGAGCGGTTACAATAGACCTATCCTGCTGCGTATCGGTTTTGTTCGTATCTGGGATCCTTGCCAGTTACTGGCAGCGTCAACATCAACGGGTTCTATATGAATCCATCTTGGAGCAGTGAGCATTAGTGATCATATGGCTGAAATGGGCATGCTCGGCTCGAAGTAAGACGGAAAGCATCCCGCTACTCAGCCTCCAGGCATTAGGCCTAGGTATATGGCAATGATGACTAAAAGTGACGGGTTACCCCCTGCAATCGTACTGCTTGCACCGCGGGGTAACCCCAGAAGCTCATCCTGCGAGACGTTTAGTAATCCGGCGCAGACGGTGGGTTGGTCGGTCAAATCTTCGTTAGTATGTGTCCGGGGATGAGATACCCATGGAGGGTGAATAAGTGGATAATAAGGGTATCACATCATTCCTTGGGGATGAGGTAGTGTATGGCAACTGAGTCTGGTACAAGGTCCGGGGGTCGACGAGGATGGGTGAGTGCTCTTGCGACCTGACAGCTTTGTGGCATGGACGAGTTCGCAGATGGTGAGTTAGGCCTCTGATAAGTTGGTGCATGTCTTTAAGAGTATCCTGGGGTCATGAGTGTGACTGGTGTTTCCAACTCTGCTTAAAGGGGTGATGCTTCGCACGGGCAACCCCTGAAAATGACAGCCTGGTGAAGGTACAGATCCGAACGAAGCCCGGCTTGTGTCGCACTGCCTCCGATGGGTATTGCGTTGATTTGAGAAGTTGTTCAGGTTCTCGTATCATGAGCGCTTTTAAGGCTTTTAGTAACTGTCAGAAGAAAGTGTACCTATCTATGCCTACGGTATGTCTCAAGGATAGGAAGCGTCACTGGATTGCTCCTGAGAAGAGGCGGGAAGGAGGCTGGGCTAAAAGCGGCGACACGGCGCGTTGACAGCGGGATGTGCCTCGCCCTGAGTCCGACACGATGGTTCCACGTCCAGCTTGATCCTCGACAGATTTCCCTGGCAGTAAAATTGTCCCTGATCGAACATGACTTCGCGTTGAACGACGAAGGGCTTCACTCAGATGTTGCCTATGCTCGTCCAACATCGCCGTCTTCCGACATGAGACGGATCTCCCTCTCAAGGACCCCCCCGCGCAGCCCACACGATGGACTCGATCGATCCAACGTCGCCTACAGTCGACTCGTATCCTCACACTCCCACCACGCCGACTTCGCGGAAGCTGCCAAGCGACTTGCCTACTTCCCTCGATGACCGTCGTAACTTCTCTAGCTATGGCGGAGAGACCGAGATATACGACGGCTGGCAAGGCAAGAAGTTCCCGGTCTCGTGCCCTCGTCCCCCCGTAACCAATACTTATATATGTGGCATTTATAGGCTCATCCCAGTATATCACCGCCGCTACTCCTGCAAGACCTCTTGATTTCGATCTCCATCTAGACACACCGGCGTATGATGATGCCGAGACCTTTGCCCGAATACAGGACAGCGACTCGAGATTGATGGAGATGGTTGCTGCGCAAGCCCAACACAGGGAAGAAGGGAGCCCTGGACAAGATGAAGATGCCATAGCAACCGACGACAAGCTATCAGCTGCAGAAAAGAAAGAGATACTGCAGAAGAGCCTTAACATGGCCGCGAGCAATGGAGACGTGGTTCGAATACGGAAGCTGGTGGGAGGAAGCGCGAAAGAGTTTGTGGACGTCAACCAGCCGGATGAGGATGGCACTGTACCTTTGATATATGCCAGCTGTTTTGTAGGTCTCCTGATCCGACCGCGAGGGAAGAAGTGCTTCTGACCGGCATAGGGACACCACGAAGTCGTAGCAGCACTCCTCGACGCTGGTGCCGTGGTAGACAAGCAAGACAGAAACCAGTGGAGTGCGTTGATGTGGGCGATGACCAATCGTCACAAGCAGATCGCAAAACTCCTTCTCGATCATGGAGCCGATCCCGATATCAAATCATCTTCCGGAGGAACAGCCCTAGACTTCCTCCAGCCAGGCTCTGATTTCTCTCTTTATTTGCATGAAAATGGCTATCACTTCGGCGGTACAAATCTAGACGACGACGACTTTTATAATCCAGGTTTCTCGCAAGACCGCTTCGAGGAGGAAATGGCCGAGAACGAGATGAAAAGAAGAATGTTGATGCAAGAGAGCGCCGCGAACTTGGAAGTAGATTTGTCAACCCTTGGGTTTGATGAACAACCAGAGGTGAGCATTCTCCAGGGCGCGTATAATCGTGATTGCTGACATTTCAGTCTCCTACTGGGTTCGATTCCGACGAAGAAGAGGAATTCATCTGGGATCGATGTATAGGGGACCAGATGTTTGTCTTTCAGACAGACAAGCTCGATGCTATTCTTGACCTCATTATCACCAACATGACTCCTCAACGTTCTCCGTCACAAAAGCCAGTGCCTGCGAACCTGATATTCTTGATGGCGAGGTATGCTCACTACCACATGACTGCTTCCCTCCTCGACGAGGTTTTAACGAAAGCAATGGACCTCATCAACGATGTTGTGGAAAGATCCCAGTGGGATATGACCATGCTCGCATTCTGGATCTCCAATGCGACGTTGTTGCTACATTATCTCAAGAAAGACGCTGGTCTTGTTCAGGCGACGTCCAAGTATCAACTTGAGCTGGCAGAATTGATCAATGAAACTTTCATTCTCATCATTCGAGATGCCGAGCGAAGAATGAACAAGGTTCTCGACATAGCGATGCTAGACCACGAGACCATTCCCGGCTTGTCAGACATTGCATTCCAAGGAGAATGGAAGGTTTTCAAGTCGAAGCCTAAGACCAAGGAAGAAGACCCGGAGAAACGGTTCCGGCCGCCGTCTCCGAAGCGACGAGCTCAAACATCGCCTCGTAACATAACGTCGCTCCTTTCATCGACACTTTTTGTGCTTGACCTTTACGATGTCCACTCTGTCATCACTTCTCAGATATTAGCACAACTGATATATTGGATTGGGGCCGAACTCTTCAATCGGGTCATGACCACCAAGAAATATCTATCCAGGACGAAAGCCATGCAAATCCGCATGAATATCTCGGCCATTGAAGACTGGGCCCGGGCAAACAATCGACAGCCCGAACATTATGAGAATGGGTCGACGACATCAACTGGTGAGACTACAGTCGATGCGGCCAGACGTCATCTTTCTCCCATAATCCAACTTCTTCAATGGTTACAGTGCTTCAGTTCTCTCGGGGACGACCACGAGTCATTGGTGGGCACACTCGTCCAGTTGCAGCGACTGAGCCCTACTCAACTGATCCATGCTGTGAAGAACTACCGAGCGGAAGTGGGTGAGAAGAGTTTGCCTAAAGCCCACATGAAATTTCTCGTTCAGCTCCAAAAAGGTGAACAGTCTCTGATCAAACGACCGTTGACACCGCAAGTTGATACTCCAGAACCTGGGACGGAGACTCCAACTAAGCAGAATGGAGATGAGGCTGACGCTGCTGCCAAACTGCCCGGGACCCCGCAGAGCACGGTTCCGCCGACACCATCCTCACCAGTTGAACAAGACACGGATCCGCCAATGAACCGAAATGCCTTGACCTTGGATCAGTCTCTTATGCTACCATTCTCGCTCCCTACATCGACAGACATGCTCATCACCTATGGTGCAGGAATTGGCGGGGTCAACAGGGAACGAGCGAGAAAATATATTCCCACGGTACCGACGGAGGTTTTGAGTAAGCTCAACCTAGATGGCGAGGGTGTTCGGCGCAAGGGTAGTATCGGAAGTTTAGGAACCACAGTCCAAGGCTGGCGAACCGGTGGCTTTTGAAGTTTGAACAGCACAGCATGCAGCATCGTGTTGTATGACAGTATGCAGCCCTCTTTGCCATCGAATGCAGGGCCCCATGAGTCGACGACGGCGAAATTAATTCTTTTGCACGATTGGTCACTCCCAGCAGGTGTTCCTCCCACCATATTACAGTATACCTTCGGGCTGCAGAAAGCTACCCTGCGTGGCGGCTTAAGCCTCGTTAGGCTAGATGTTGTCTTGAATGAACTCCACTGAGACGTTCTAACTTCCTTCGTCGGTTCCGGGTGCTCACGCTTCAATCCGCCATATAGCCATATATTCTTCTTGCAGACGCTCGAGTTAACATACAGAGTCGTATCGATCTGTAAGTCCCAGAGCACAAAGCTAAAGCTCCTTGTCTCTGAGGCTCTTCCTTTTGCAACTGACAAGATGGTTTAGTGTCGATTTCCCATCAGACCATCTTTGATGTTTGAGCCGCTAGCTCCACTTCTGAAGATGGCAATCTCGCCAAATCTCCCGTAGTCGACCACTGGGTGTTTCGTGCCCTAGTAAACCCTCAATATCACCTCAGCCCAAGGTGTTTGCACGGAGACAAGCCGCACAACGGCTGCGATGATCCTCTTGACGGTAGATGGAGGGGTCTCGCCAACACTTCCCTGCCCTGGTCTGCTTCTGATCTGTGTGTACTCCGTCCTGGATAGATGGCCATTTTTCGACACAGGTTGTGTATCGAGACCAGCAGCAACGACGAACTTGCGACAGAATCCTTTGACAGATCTTTGAGATTGCTGTTCATGAGGACCATGTTGATGGTCTGTTTCAATACCTGCGAGACTCCCGCGCCTTCACTCTTCTCGCTTAATGTTCCCAAGTCCCTTGGTTCACCATGCAAGGCATGCATTCAACTATCACACGCGCCCGCCTTATATCGACACACCGCCCGCAGCCACCGATGACTATCCAACAGGAGAGATGCCGACCGCAACGACCGACACAGACGGTACGGCGGCGTCACCTACGAGCGCGGCGACCGACACGGACAAACCGAATGCCGTCGTTCTCTATCCCACTGGACAGCCGACGGTTAACAATATAGACACGGTCGAAGTCGCGTATGACACGATATGGGAAAATGCGAGCTTGACTTTATTCTGTGACATCGACGAGGCAGATAATAAATGGTCACTGGCTAATATATCATTGCGTATGTGATGATTCCCAGCACCAACGATCTCGATAACGCACGAGATCAAGCATAGGGGAGATGTTGGTGACGATGGTGATGGCGGTTGCTAACTCTGTTTCTTGAATTACAATAGTGCAACCAAGCGGAAAATCTGCGATATCACCCATACAAGCAGGGATGCAAATTCCACAGTTCCCAGTCTCATGCGGCATATTGATCTACGATGAATCCAACAGAGGGGACTCAACTACGGGCGGAGGGTTCACGATGACAAGCACGACAGGGATTGTTTCGACGTACGGTCTGAGCATGACGACAGCAAGGGATATGTCGAAGATGACCACGGGAACAAAGAATTCAGCAGCCACCGACACAAACGTGTCAAGTCATAGCACGATAGACTCGTCCATTACGAAGGATACGGCAGCCGTTTCTTCATCCACTGCTACGAACACGGACGTGCTGGGTGCGGCAGACTCATCTTCTTCTCCTTCCTCCCCATCGCACTCGACCGGTCTCGGCGCAGGGGCCAGGGCCGGCCTCGCGATTGGGATTATTCTCGGCGCCATCGCTTTGTCTGCGGCCTTGTTCTTCTTTTTCCGCTTGCGGCGACGGATAGCTAGAGTCGAGAACATGGTCAAAGGAGGGGGTACGGCTTCGACCGAGAAGGTGTTGGCGTCATCATCACCGCCGTTACCGCCGGCACTGGCGCCGCAAATTGCAAAGCCGGCACCTTTACCTACATTTACGGCACGTTCAAACTCTCCTGCTGCACTTACTCCAGGCGCTGGTGGCGGTGACGGTAACGGGAGTAATAACAACACTCGAAACTCGGAGGAGTGGAGACAGTTCTTTGGGAATGCTAGCAATCCCCGCTCTCACACTTCTGCGTCGGCCTAGACCTTGTGATGCGATTGCGACGACGATAGGGACGCGACATGAAGAAAAAGTCGGCCTAGACACTACGATGCGATGTGACGCAATGCGAGACAAAGAAAAGGCAGGGTTGGATTTGAAGAACTTTTGTACCAAATCTCCAATATTCTGTACGCAAACCCTTGCACGAACCCGGAGACAAAGAGAGACACAACACGCAAATCCACACCATCTCCCACCCTCCCTTTCCTCTCTCTTTTGTGTGTGTGTGTGTGTGTGTGTGTGTGTGTGTGTGTGTGTGCATGGTGCTTCACCTCTCTCTCCCTTCTTGGTGATTCTTTTCTACGGTAACCTCGACGACTCGATGGATATGGGCATGGGACGAGTCATGATTTTCAAACACTGCGACGAAAATTGAGGCCTTTTCTATAATACGGAGTATAAAATTGGGCTTTTCTCCTGTTTATCAAATGCACATATTGAAGCTTCGTGCTACTTCCTCACATAGCTCAACTACCCGTATATACCTTGAGACAGTTCAACCACCCTCGTTAGCGTGCAGTTACGGCTCCCTGCCCATGATGGACTCGTAGGAGGCCGCAAGATGCCAAGCGAGGTAAAAGGGCCCTGGGCCCTTTTACCTCGCCTGGGATCCTCTCCTATTAATACCTATTATCCCCATACCTCTTGCCATACCATACCTACTTGATACCTGTATCTAGAGACATTGCCTTATCCAAAGGAGGACCTATACCTAGGACGTTGGACACGGACGGGCCTACCGAGTAAACAATGGACAGGGTCCCCTGAGGAATGCAAACGGCGAGCCTCGCCGGACACGTGATCCGACCACCTTCGGGCCCCTGCAAGACCAGACATATCTCTGAGAAGAATGCACGACGACCTTCTCCTCTCTCATAATACCAATCTTTCCTCCCAATAAGGTCCACTGGGCCTGTCTCTTCCCGTTTCATTGTGTGAGCAGGTTCGAGAACACGAACGCGTACAATCCTCGCAGACTTCAGACTTCAATGGCTCAAATGCGGCGTGAGTTGAAGTAAACGGCAATAATGCAACATGACAATGATGGCAATCCGTTCGCGTCTATTGTCTGCATTCATTCACTCCAGTCCCGTACCATCCGATCCCGCGCCCATCTGTAGAGCCCATTCATTGTTCATTTTTTTTTGGTTTTGGTTTTCTCTGCTTCACTCTTTCAATGAGAAAATCTGCAAGCGTCCTCCTATTGACGGCTTGGGAAAAGCCTTCCAACCCCCCAAGATGGATTGCCATTGTTGTAAAATGGATTTTGATTCCCTTTGTTCACGACGTGTTGGCTTGTTCGGCCAGCAGCCATACACATATGGGATACATCCTCCATATCCATGCGAAGCCCATCCCTCTGTCATCTAAGGTTGTATTTTCTTTCCCCTTACCAAGGTTGAATCACACAATCGTCTACTCACCACCGCGCGCAAGGATACTTTGCGTAACTCATTTCCAAACCCAAACCCAACCCGAAGTTCATAGAGTGACAGCTCTGCTTAGAGAACGGCAAACGTCCCAGTTGACCAACGCCGTGCAAACTTCCCTAAGCACCATCTCACGATGGCAAGGTCGACCAGAGCAACTTCGAAGGAACCTGTTCGGAAGCAACCAGTTCGGAAGCAGCCAAGACGAGGTAGATCCGCAGATCCAGAACCAACACCAGCTCCTGCCGCTGATGGTCCTGCCCAAAATGGCAAAGGCAAGAAAGGACGAGGACGTCCCAGCCTGGGCCCTATTGTCGAGGAGCCAGCGAGCCCAGGTGCAGATCCAGACGAGAACGACGACAATAACGACAACAACGACGAGGAGGCGGCCGAACAGCAAGTCAATCTCGAAGAGTTAAGTCCGACTCTTTCGACCGGACCGGAATTCAATGCAGTGGATCGTCCGGATCCTGAAGCAATCAGGGCAGCAGGTGAAATCGTATACCTTCCCGAACCACGTGGCTTCTTCAACAGGAAGAACGAGGTCTGTTACCGCAACTCCGCGATTGTGATGTTGCTCTCGAGTAGCAAACTCATGTCATGGATTGAACATCGCTACATCCCTAACCTTCATGCCGGGGGAGTGGTCGTTGACAGTGTTATTGCAAAGGCTGTCTCCAAAAGCGGCAAGAAACCAAAGGGCGTCCTCTACACCGACTGCTGGTGCGAGCTAAATATTCTGCATGGCCTGTGGTGTGACGACGACGTTTCTCAGAAGACCCTCGACGATGCCATGAACGCTTTCTGGAGGTGGCTCAAGAAGGAAGACAAAAAGGCGCCGAACCCGTGGGGCGATAACTTTGATGGACAGCAAGATGCCATGGACTTTGTGACATGGCTTTTCAGCCTAGCGACAGCGCAGCTCGAACACTTTGCAGAAGTCCAGGAGAACAAAAAAACGCAACCAGCGTAAGTAGATATCTCTTCCTCATTTCCAACGTACCTGTTTAGTTGCCCGCGATGGGTGTTGTTGTTGGTGGTAGTTTTCCTCAAGGCGGTCACCAGGCAAGAGAGAATAACCGCTAACCTCGATCTTTTTCATTGTGCAGGTTGGATTCCGTACAACTGAGCCTACTCAGATCTGTTAGGATTGACGAACTTGTCAGCATTGAACAAACAAACCGGAGCCTTTGCGTTGTCTGCGGCGGTCTGCGGGGAGATGAGACCGAAAGGTCCAAATTCCGTTTCGAGCGCCCGGAATCAACGCTCGACTGGAAACTCTCATTGAGCAAATCACCCGAAGACCGCCAACCGGCGGCCAAATCCGCGCGTCCGAGGTCGATCGAAGAAATCATCGAGGGGGAAATGAAGTCTTTGGCGCATGGTTCGAGGTGCAGCACCTGCTATTCAGAATGGGAGGTTATGAAGGACAACGCCAGAGAAGAGGCGCGAAAGAAAGGCGGGAATGCGGCAGTGGACAAAGTAATGAAGAAGATACTTGGAGATCTTGAGACAGTCCTTGAGAGAAAAACCACGCAGTGGAAGCGCCTTCGAATCCTGCCTGAAGTGTTGATTGTCCAACTCAAACGCTTCAAGGTCGAGCAACGGGTAACCAGGAAGGGAATCGAGGTTTCAACGTTGAAGGATAACACACCAGTCCGCATCAACGAGTATCTTGACCTGGGGCCCTGGGTTGAATATCGTGGCAAAGAGGAGGTAGCAGCCGCCGGGTCTACCAGGTATCGATTGACGGGCATCATCAATCATTTCGGAGACTTGGTCGGGGGCCATTATGTCGCCGAAGTCAGGATCGACGACACCTGGTACGAAGCCAATGACATGAATGTCAAGACCGGCCCAGGTCTGCAGAGTCTTCTGAAAGATAAGGGTTGGACCCCGTATGTGCTCTTGTATGAAAAGTGTCCCGTTGAGGATGAGGATGTGGTTGACAATGTGGTTGCGGGTGAAGAAGATGAGACGGACGTTGCCGCCATTGCCAACGTCCATGCCAAAGTCACAGCGACTGCTGACGGCGATGATGATGGCGGTGACGATGATGATACTGATCATGATGACGACAAGGGCAACCGCAACACTAAAAATGCCAAGGGCAAGGGCAAGGGCAAGGGCAAAGACACAGAAAAGCGGAACAAAAATACCCCTGACGGCAGCCCCAGTGCAGGCGTGGCGGCCAGTCCACCTCGGAGCTCACCAAGATCCCGCTTGCTCCCTACTGTTCAGGGGTTCGACAAGGAACGAAAGTTTGATATTCAAATCGCCAAAGACGCCGTTCAGAAGGGTCAGATGTCTCTCAAGGTCCGCGCCACGATCAATGGCTGCGTTGTCCATTTCCCAATTTACGTCCTGAGCGGGTGCGGTACACAGCAGGGAGGGACTGGACGACAGACCGCAGAGATCGACATGATCCTTCGCGACCACGACGATGCCGAGGCACAGATCACGGCACGGACTATCCTGACTCTTGTCCCAACGAGCCCCAAGAAGCGTAAGCGAGAGGGGAGCGATGAGACCCCGGAGACAAGTCCTGGAAAGAAACCAAAGCGCGATAACGGGGAAGCGGCGAAGACCTCCATTATCAATCGAAGGGGTAAGGGAAACAATTGGAGTGGTGATAAGAAGAAGAAGAAGACCCCACCACGGTCGAGCCCTCGGACACGGCCACCGACGCGTGCGGTGAGCGAGCCTCCCAGCGTACACGCCTGGAAGACGAAGCCGTACGACGGCCCTGGGTTGGACTACGAAGAGACCCCGAGGGATGTGAGAGGGAAGTCGAAGGATTCGGACCTTGATTCCTTATTCAATAGTCCTTAGAATCTGAGAGGATGGAGGTGCATGAAGACATGGAATGTTGTGCCGGTATAGATTGGATCGGAAACAGGCGTTTGGGGAAGGCGTTCTTATTGTACTGAGTTAGGGAATCTCGTAATATGTCTTGTCATTCGATAGAGTTTCAATGGATAGTTATGCCCGCCCTTGGAGTGTAACAGGCACGGGCATGTGGTTGATGCGAATACTGCTTCAGGCAAGCTGCGTACTCAGTTGACCTCGATTATCGTCGTTGGCGATCACGAACAGGCTCAATCTGAGAAGAAACAGATCTTCGGTTGCGTTTATGTCGATCCCGGGCGTCACAGTCATTGTCATGGTCCACATCGTGACGATGACGGTGACGGTGATGATGTCGGTGTCGATGGCTGTGTCTCGGGCTGTTGTCGTCTTTGTCACCGCGGTCTCTGCCCTTGGTATACCCCGAATCTAGGTGAAAATCATCAAAACTGTCCGGATCGTCATCTTTCTGAGGGTCATCCTTCTTTCGTCGGTCTCGCCTTTCATCCTTGTCCCTCCGTCTCTTCTGCCGGGCGAGGTCCTCAACCTCTCTCAGATCTCGCTCTCGCTGATCCCTCCATTCCTTTCGATGCTTCTCCGCTTCTCTGAGCTGTTTGACACCTTTCTTCATCGCAGCCAGAGGATCGTTTGCTGCAACACGCGCAGCTTCTCGCTCCTGCCGACGTGGAGAGTCATTGCCCCATGAGTCTCGAGCCGGCGCTCCAAGTCCAGGTGTGCTACTGTACCAGGGTTTCTCTCCCGAGTTCTTCCCTTTGCCTGCTGCGTGAGACAGGTAGACTGTATACGGATCCTCGTCCACACGCGCCTTCTTGTATGAGGGGCCAGGTTCGGGGATCAGCGAAAAGTTCCCTTTCGCATCCACGAGCTTGTCTATGTCTTTGGTGGCGTTGGGCTGCTTCTTGGCCAGTCGAATGTCTCGATCAGTGTCGTCTTCTCCTGGGAGCTTGCGCTTGCGCCTGTACGACGACGCCGAGGGGTGTGGCTCGGGGTCTTCCCGGACGGAAGTCTCGCCGCGCAGAAAGCGCAATCTGTCGTCGGATTCATGGTCTCGCTGTCTTGCTTCCTGCTCTTCTTCGCGACGCTTGGCTTCAGCTTCATCACGACGGACTCTTTCGATGTTGGCGGGGTTGTAGACATTCCATGATTTCTTGCCGAGAAGATGGAGAGGCATGGACGAGAGCTGGCTACGAATACCGAACACCAAGCATCGAGCGAGATGAGGACCAGCGGGTCATGTCACTGGAGAAAGATTGGTCGTCAAGAGGCAATACGGAGGAGCATGAGCGACACTGGGCGGGGTGGACAAGGCTGCAGCCTGCATAAAGCGGCCAGATCGCTGGATCTTTAGGGACCAAATAGGCCAACTTGGCGGGTTGGCTAGTGAGACTCACTAAGCTACGACAAATTAGGCGGGTGTGAGGGGTGCTTAAACTTGGAGGCGCAGCGGCCACCGTAGCCAAACAGAACAAACAATAGACGTCAGCTTAGAGCGACTTACGAGACTCGAAGTGTCCCATATTATGAATACGGGGTCCTTGAAGAAGCATTTTATTCATAATCACAATCAGTCTCCGTGTTCTTCTGTTTCGTTTTCGTAGCAACCTCCCATTTCTCTAGCGATGTCCTTTTTTAACAAGAACAATCTATTCGGTGGCAATGGGCCTCAACCTCCCCCACGAGACCCTTACGGCCAACAACCGCCGCCTGCAATGCGAGGCGGCCGTCCAGGATATGGCGGCCCAAGTCCCTACGATACGCCCATGAATATGAACGGTGGCTACGATTCCGGCCCTCCTCCTCCGCCCAGACAGCAGCCCGGCTCCCGATTTCCCTCTCGGCCTCATCAAAGCACCTCAAGTAAAGGTGGTTCAAGAGGAGGCAATGTGCTGACGCTTCAACCTGCAAAGAGCCCTGATAATACATATACCTTTCGAAATCTGGTCGCTGTTTCCACGCAGGATTTCCCGCCTTCTCCCGATGGCACAGATATCTTCATTCTCATCAATGGCATGTTCGTTGTCACGGCACGGCCACTCGATGCGTTCCCGCGCGGAAACATTGGTCTTTCAGAACCTCAGAGATCATGGATGGGGGTGGCGTTGACAGACCAACTGAGCGCAGAGCTATACGACCCATTCGCACAAGGTGGACAGGCATACATTGGTTCTATGGATATAGAGATTGGGTTTGCCAGCACGAGAAAAGTGACGGACGTTCCTTATGACCAGGACGACCTCGCGAAAGAAATCACAAAGGTGAGCAATTTGAGATTCTTCTGAGAGGTGATCAAGAGCCCTCATGCTGATTGTTTCCACAGTTATTCAACAGCCAGATGTTTGCGCCGAGTCAGCGATTCTTGATGGATCTCAGGAGTGTGCCTTTGAACTTGACGGTCAAGACTGTGCAACTAGCCGATTTTAGCGAAAAGTCCGCTCCGACGACCTCAGATCCTATGGCTAGAGGTATCCTAACACCACAGACGCAAATCAATTTCTTCAAGGATGGCAGAACACCAATCAACCTCAAAGCGTCTTCTCGGCGGCCAGCAGCAAACTCAATCATCGCCCCGGACTTCAAGTTCGAAGATATGGGTATCGGTGGTCTCGACAAGGAGTTTGCTACGATTTTCAGACGAGCCTTTGCTTCGCGTGTCTTTCCGCCCGGACTGGTCGAGAAGCTGGGTATCCAGCACGTCAAGGGTATCTTGCTGTATGGTCCTCCGGGTACAGGAAAGACGTTGATTGCCCGGCAAATTGGAAAGATGTTGAACGCCAGAGAACCTAAAGTTATCAATGGTCCGGAAGTACTCAATAAATTTGTCGGCCAGTCAGAAGAGAACGTTCGTAAACTGTTCGCCGATGCCGAAAAGGAGTACAAAGAAAAAGGAGACGAATCTGGCCTGCACATCATCATCTTTGACGAATTGGATGCCGTATGCAAGCAAAGAGGAAGCGGGGCCGGGGGTGGTACCGGTGTGGGAGACAGTGTCGTCAATCAGCTGTTGGCCAAACTCGACGGTGTGGAGCAACTCAACAACATCTTGCTCATTGGTATGACGAATCGAAAGGACATGATTGACGATGCGCTATTGCGACCCGGTCGTCTCGAGGTTCACTTGGAAATCGCTCTTCCCGACGAGCACGGTAGAGCTCAGATCCTCAAGATCCACACGCACAAAATGCAGCAAAATAAGGTTTTGGATCCTGATGTTGATATTTTGGAGCTCGCACATCGAACGAAGAACTTTTCAGGTGCTGAGTTGAATGGTCTGGTCAAGGCAGCAACCTCGTTTGCGTTCAATCGACATGTCAAGGTTGGCACCATGGCTGGCATCAGTGACGATGTGGCCAACATGAAAGTGAACAGGGCAGACTTTGAGAACGCTTTGGAAGAAGTCAAGCCGGCCTTTGGCGTGTCCGAAGAGGAACTTCAATATTGCCTCAGGGGAGGAGTTGTACATTACTCGCCGTACATCAAGGACGTTCTTGAGGAAGGCAAGCTGTTTGTCGAGCAGGTCCGACAACCAAACTCGACACCACTGTTTTCGGTCTGTTTGCACGGGCCGCCCGGGTCTGGCAAGACGGCATTGGCGGCCAAGATCGCCATCGACTCAGGATACCCTTTTATCAAGCTGGTCAGCACCAAGGACACACTGGAGATGAACGAACCTCAGAAGATCTCGCATCTCAGCAAGGTTTTCAGCGACGCATACAAGAGTCCAATGAGTTGTGTGGTGATTGATGATATCGAAGAGTACATTGAATGGACGCCGATTGGACCTCGATTCAGCAATGGTATTCTCAAGAGTCTTGTTGCTTTGCTACGGAAAGCACCTCCACCTGGACGGAGTCTGTTGATCATCGTTACGGCGACCGAACGAAGTGTCCTCCAACAACTTGATTTCTGGAGACATTTCAACAGCGACATTCCGATTGCCAATGTGCGCACTTATGAGGAGTTGAGACATGTCATGAAAGACACAAAGGTGTTTAGTAGTGAAGATGCGGCCAAGGCGATATCAGAGATCAGGGACATCACTAGATCTGAAGAGGTCGGAGTTGGCATTAAACATGTCCTGCAGGCGATTGAGACTGCCAGGCACGACAGTGATTTGGTCAGTAGATTTGCTGGGACATTGTCCCGGGCAATTGCTGAGAGGGGTCAATGAGGTCGAGCAGCAGACACCTAGTATTCCCTGGGAGACAGTACTTGTACCTTTTGTATAGATGAAGAAATGAGCATGAAATGAACAATGTATAGATGAAATTCTAGACGAAGATATCCGATGTCTACAGGGTCCCGAGTCTTCGTTTATGTACCTTACTGTAGTACTGACGAGGGAGTGCTCGTCGGGTGGTGCAACTGGGTGGTTGTACAGGGGGAGAGGGATTTAGGCCCCGCAAGGCTGGGAATCCTGCACGTGGATCCTCCTCCGCAATTCTTCTCCTTGTACAAATATTGTGCTCTCTGCACCGTGCAGTTATCGTAGACCGAAAACGGGAAGAGGAGAGAAATGCGGGAGCAAGCTGTAGCTGTGATACGTAAGGTTTATTACTCGCAGAGTCTTTTCGAGACGGATGGGTAATTGCCAGAGTTTTCCGTATCCGTACCTCGAAAAGCGAGAAGTCGTCAACTCTCGATAGGTCCCCTCCCTAGAGTTATTAATGTTTCCCCCCGGTCACTCTCTGGCCAAGTCCCGGAATACACCCATCGTTCCCGCTTTGCTAGAGTCCAATCAGGCACGCGACGGATCTTGCGGGGATCTCAGCGCGTGCTTGTTCGAGTTACCGAGATCCATTCTTCTTTTCGAGAGGAGGAGGAGGAGGAGGCGGCGGTGGTGGTGCACCACAGGAGAATTGGACAACGTGGAAATGGATAAATACTCCGTACCCCGTAGGGATGGCTTGGACAGTCCTTTACGCCTTTTCCTCTGATCGACGCTACACTGTCAAGATCGATTCTTGTCATCTTGACAAAGGAAAAAGAATACTCGTCCTTGACACGACTCACTCTTGACCGTTGTTGATCGATTGAGAGTGTGGTTATCGGTAGTGCCTAAGGCTTACCCAAACACACCAAGTCGCTTACTTACTTACTCGCTCACTCACTCTCACACACTCTCTCGATCTACCTGTCGTCAAGATGAGCGACGAAGCTGGTCCGGTGACACCGTTCGCGCACGGTGCGTTCTTACCGAATGGCCACAACACCGATCCTCCTTTGCCCGCCGACGACCCTACGATAGGGTACAAGCTCAATCACTTTATGATGAGGATTCGGGATCCGAAGCAAACCATGAAGTTTTACATCGATTTGATGGGCATGAGGACCGTTTTTACGTGAGTATTTGCGGCCGCTGCTAGTACCATTCCACAACGAAAAAGAAGAATCCAACCTTCAACGGCGAGGATTGGGGGACCCCCAATTGTTTTCTTCTTTTTCTTTTTGGTGTGGTGTTGACGTGTTTTGTGTGTGGTCGATGGGTGTGAAGAGAGGGCAGAGACGACGGGGGAGAAAAGGACGTCCAGATATCTGACTCGTTCGGATTTCCTTTTGTCAACCTTGACATCTGTCGTTCGTCTTTTTGTTCGCCAAACACTCACACACAAGCATATACACTCTCTCAATCCTCAATCCTCAATCCTCAATCCTCAATCCTCAATCCTCAATCCTCAATCCTCAATCCTCAATCCTCAATCCTCAGTCTCGGTCTCAGTCTCATAATCTAACCTTCCTCGATGTCACTTTCTAGTCTGAACGTCGGTCCCTTCACGATCTACTACCTGGGATACCCTCAAACGGCCGAACACCGCGCCGACCTACCCAAGTTCGGCCTCGACACGGCCACGAACCTCCAACACACGCTTGGCCTCTTGGAACTCTACCACGTGCACGGCTCCGAGAAACAGGAGCCGGGCTACTACTCGACCGGCAACACGCCGCCGGCCCTGGGGTTCGGTCACCTGGGGTTCACGGTGCCCGACGTCCCCGCGGCGCTGAAGCGGCTCAGGGACGCCGGAGTAGAGGTCATCAAGGATCTCGGCGTGTGCGACAGACCGTCCATCCCCGTCAGCGACTGGGAGAATGAGCGCGGCGTGGGCGTCGAGGTCAAGGGGACCGAGTCGGAAATCCACGACGAGTACGCAAAGGTGTTTAAGAAGATTGCCTTTGTTAGGGATCCGGTATGTTTTTGAGGTCCTTTTCTTTTTTTTCTTTTTATTTTTATTTTTATTTTTGTTTTAAGGTTTCCATGATGCCTTATTGCGTGTCTTTCCCTGTTTGAGATTCCGTTTGTGATCAGAGCGAGATCATCACCGCCAGGTCAAAAGAACAGCAGACATCGGGGGCAAAGAACAATCACAGCAAAGGTCAAAGGGCTAACTTTTTCTGTTCTCGTGGACAGGATGGGTATATCGTCGAACTGGTTCCTCAGAATGTGGATCCGAAGAATCCTTAGAGGAACCACCTCACCTCACCTCATCATACCATACCGTACCCATACCATTACCATTACCATGCCACACCACATTTTCGATTTTGTTTAGGGAAAGAGGATAGACGACATATTTACTCCAGAAAGTGGACGACGAGAATCGAGAATCGAGAATCAACAGCGAAGAACTAATCAGTTTTGTTTTTGTTAGTTGGGCTTCGGCAAGCACGTGCAGCCCGGTGCACCAGTGAGTGCAGTGACCAAGATCCGACCATGACGAGGCCAGGCAAAAACGTGGGAGGCAAGTACGTCGAGGTCAAGTAGATGTACATACTTGTACAGACCGTACATAGAAGACAAGCCCCTTGGGTTTAACTGTCTGAAAGTAATCCCCAGGTGAAATTTCATCTCGTACGGTGAACTTAGGACCTGATGAAAGAGTAGCTTGAAATCACTTTTTTTGAGATGTCCTCAAAATTCAGGTAAGCCGTCAAAAGCGAAATACTCATAGCACCCCCATAAAGTACGTTGTGAGTTAGTTAGTTAGTTCGTACTTTCAGCCCGTCGTTCTCATATCATCTCATGTCATTAGGTCGGTAGGTAGCGTACTTAGGTAAATGTAGCTAGCTAGTCTGTATTTTTTTTTCGGTTTCAACAAACTTAGCACGTATTATGTAGGTGGTCAACCCCTCCCCCCCCGGTCTTTTGCCACAATCTTTGTCGTCTGACTGACTTGCTCTCAACCATACACCAACGCTCGAACCTCGATGCTTTCTCTCCCCTTCGCACCAACGGGGGTTCTGGGATCGACGAACGCCGTGTGGGGGACCCTCTGGGCCACGCCCTCCTTGCTGTCGAAGCACTTGAGGAGCAGCCTCTCGTCGTCGTCCATGCCGGACCAGTAGTAGAACTTCTGGTTGGGGTTGTGCCTGACGGCGGCCGTCTCGCCGGTGCGGTGGGGGTACCTGTGCTCGACGGGGACGAGGTCGACGGCGTCGTCGACGGTGGCCGCGGACGCGAAGCCCAGCGGGTGCGCCACGACGGTGCCGTTGATGGGCCGCCACACGTTGATGATCCGGTACCGGCCCTTGAGCAGCTCGTCGGCCTCGCCGGGGGATTCCTCGTGCAGCTTCACGCGCCACTGCGTCGACCGCGCCGTCTGGTCGACGTGCACCCGCGTCACCGGGGCGCGCGGCGCGTCCGGGTTCGACCGCCGGATCGTGTGGTCGAAGATGGTGACCTTGTGCGCCCCCGGCACCTGGTCGAGCAGCAGCCGCTCCACCTCCGGGTAGTAGACGGCGCGGATGTGCTCGTCCGACACGAACTCGGTCTCCCGCGACGGCGCCACCCCCTTCACCGCCTGGAACGCGTCCGCGTCGAGGCTGAACTCGGACTCGCGCCCGCGGATGTCGTCGACCTCGACCTCGACCACCGTCTCGCCGAAGTTGCGCTGCGGCTGGCCCTCCGGCGGCTTTTCGACGTAGTTGTGCGGGGGCGTCCCGTCCTCGGGGTCTTTGAAAAAGTTGAGTTTGGTCCTGACCGGACCCCGGGGCACGTACTGTGACGACGACGACGACGATTGTGAGGATGAGGTGGTGTTGGTGGGATCTTGGACACCTGAAAGGGTCGTGGCGGTCGTGGCGGTGGTTGTGGTGGTTGATGACATGATGTAAATGTGGGAGACGTAAAGGTAACAGTCAGATCAGGTAAAAGTATGAGATGAGATGTGAGATGAGATATGAGATGAGATGGCCAGAGTCAGTGGGTGGCGCGAGGTCAAGGCACAATTAATCGATCGGATCCTTCCTGGCAGTCACAAGTGAACAGGAGCTCGCAGGTACTCGAGTAGAGGCGGTTGAATGTGTACCAACAGGCACACTAATCGTAAGGTGGTTTTCTGGTACGAGGGTTATCGATAATCTATACTTCAAGTTAGGAAGGTATAAAAGTCCCAGGTCGTCCCTATATACCCTGTGGCCACCCACAGCACAGGAGGCCAGGGCATCTACAGTACATGTACATAACGAGCACGCAATGCGCCATATTAGAAATCCATCCAAACTCACCAGTCAGTCATCTGCGTATTGGTGGCGTCATACGGAGTCCAAGCCGAGGGAAATCAAAAATAAGAACAATAGTCGCCTTTTCCCCGCATCGCCATTTTATCGGGAATCAATTATTAATAATCGTCGCTGTAAATAAATCCAATCCAGAGCCGACGACAACAGGGGCCGCTCATAATTGAACGGGGTAGAACTAACTCAGAGCACTAGAGCACGCCCTTGCTCATACAGCCATACAATACTACATACAACAAAAGTGCTCGGTACCTTAGGTAAAAAGGGCAATATTGACTTCGCTTGATTACTCTTCTTCTGCCGTCTACCATGTCTGGTCGTACTCGTACACATAAGATAGATCTAGTAGTACATCTGAAATCATCATCTTCGGATACTCGGGGATATATTCATCTCGTCAGACCATGATCCATCATCACTCTGTTGACTCCCTTGGCATCTGGCCTTCTAAACCTCACCTTCTTCGCTTCCATAATCTACCGCGTCATCTAGATCCTCGCGTCGACGCGATTCCCTGTCACTCGGTAGCGGTGGGATTCGACTGGTTGGTCTGGCAAGCTCAAAGTGTTCACTTTGATTATAGACCCCATTGTCTCGGCTGTCTGGACGGCTCTGAGGGGGCAGTCGATCGGCGAAACCATTGGCGTGTGATGGAGGAGGTCCACTCCAATTGGATCCGGATGAAGAGTGCCGTTGCGTGGCTTCTTCGGCGTAGGACCCTTGGTTAGACGGCCGTCGAGGCAGAGCCGATTGACGTAGTGGTGCTGAATTGCCAACAATTTCATCAATACGTCTCTGAACATCGTCGTCGTCCGGTCCAGGGTCAGTAGGTAGCGCCGCTGAATTCGTTCCGGGAGGTATGCGTGACAAGGGCCGTTCTCGATCCGCCAAGTTTGAGTTCTTGGCTTCCTGGGATTCTCGACGGGCTCTCTTCGGCGATGGATGCGCATCGTCCGTTACAGGGACCCTAGAAGTGCTCGATCCCCATTCTTGTTCGTCGAGAGCGTCTCTATCACGCTTGACACCCTGGCTCCCGCTCCTCCCACTTCCTGCGGGCGATCTGTCCCCCTGAGGTGTGGCCGGCTGCCGTGTCTTGTCAAACATGGCCATGTCCTCGTCCTTAGTGTAGGCATCCTTCTGGCCTTGTCGTGGCAGTGCGGCATTCTCATAGACCTCGGCCATTATGTTGCAGCCTCGCTGGATATCCGACACTTCCAGGCCCAGCTGTTCCCACCACGGCCGACCTCGGTCATCATCTGGCAGTGTGGTGCCGGCAAATTTGACTCCCATGTACAAGGCGCTGCCCGCAATCGAGCTGGGGCTAAGTTGTAAGCACATGGTGGTGACGAGAGAATCATTGAGAAAAGCCCAAGAAGTGTTGCGAAGATGCTTGTTCTCTTGAACATCGTAGAATCGCAAGAAATCAAGCAGTATGCGATATGGCAACTCAAGCTGCAAATCAAAGCAGAGAGCCTCGAGAAGTAGATCTTCATTGTGCAGGATCGTATCTCGCCACTTCCAGTATTCCTTGCTTTGCTCATCCACCACCAGATCAGGCTTCTTCTGGGCAACGCGGCAACACGCCACCACGAGCTCCCTCATTTTCCTATAGTTTTCCTCCACCTTGGTGGCAAGGAACAAAGCAGTCGCCGCGACTGAGTAATGGTGGAGACCTGGTTTATTGCTCTGAACCATCGCATGCCGCATAAAGAATCGATGCAGATAAACCGAAGCCGTGGCAAGGGTCAACTGAGGTAGTTTCAACATGATGCCGACTTGAGTAATGAAATTCACCCCCTTTTGCCGGTTTGCCAGTTCTTGTGCCACGGGCATCCCTTCCACAATGCTGGGGGAAAGGAGAAGTTCGTCCGGACTGAACAGCCATTGCGACTGGGTCCGTTCAATGACCGGATTCGTCGCAAAGGAAGGAGAAGCGTCGGGGCGAGGCATCTTGTGAAAACCGGGCATGGTCGGGAGAACCGAGAATGTCAAGTCGAGAATCCCCAATTAGATGCAGTTTGGTGTTGACTGTCATCAAGACTAAGTAAGACAAAGGCATCGACGGGGGGGAATGTGCCGGCTCATGAATTGATGTTGGTGTACACGACGGCTGCTGGACCGACTGACGCTATGGTGTTCGGGTGCGCTGAAGATACGACTTCATTCTCAGTAGTTGTCTGTTGAGATGATGATCCCTGTTGTGTCATTGAACTAGCCCGTCATTTCGACCACGTCTGCGATCGTGATGCGCAACCAGGAGCGCGATCGGTGGTGCCAATGATCGCCTGTAAAAGGTAGGTGTGCCGAGTTAGAAGAGACGGTTGTCAGACGGAGAAATCGGGCTGGGTTGTTTGTGTCTGACAAATGCTATGTCTCCCCAGGACGTGCTGATATGACGTCACCTCATCAGACCATCCCGTCGAAGCCATCGCAAAACATCTCGCACGTAAGCAACAACGAACGCTGCATGTGCATCCTTCGCGCCACAGATAGGCAATAATGACCGAGGTACATGATCGAATACGATTGTTGAATAGCCATTTTCTCTGCATGCTTTGGATTTCCCAGAATGTTGTCCGCGTATCTAAAGCGATTCAAGTCTCCGCAGTCGCTTGATGAGTGAGCCTTTACCGTCGTTACAAGGCTCTGTCACGCATCACCGGGTAGCCGCCAACCAACACAAGATCCGCCACGGCAGGTTGCTAACTTAGACTTGGATGTACACATATCGACAGGGATCTCTGAGACTGGATGCTAGTCAGAGGACGCAAGCGACAACAGCAGCACGTCGCTTCGACCAAGAGACATTTGCAAATCATACGCAAAAGCTTTGTTCACGGTAGAAATCTTGTGCCCTCGGTAGCACGCATTAGTCTCGCGTTGGTGCACTTTCTCCCTCTGGATAGATCGAGGCAAAACCCTAGAAATGCCAGACTCTAGCAGGAGCCCCATGATGTAAGCGTGGATCGTTCTAGATGTCCGGGTGAGGTATTATACTTTATACCGTCAGCTAACGAAGTTTACTGTAAGGCTGGTGGGCTCCCTAAAGCCCCCTTAGGCCTGTCAAGTTAGGGGCGGTCCAAGATTTGGCTACGGGCTCCCTCAGGGGCCTCTTAAGGGCGTCCCGGGGGTTATGGGGCCCGCGCTCCGGGCTTCTCCCTGCCCGCGTCAGGCCCTAGAGCGGCAGCCTCGGTATTGAGAAACCCCGTCATGCCAGGCGAATCTCAGCGTCATGATTGGGCCTCGGCTGCCGTCAATGCCACGAACTTCCGGATCTTCGGCCGTATGTACAATGTGTGCTTTGTCTTGCACAGCAACGCACAACTTCACCTTCTCACCGTCGTCGTCGATGCTCCGATTAGGTAACCTTCGAGACTGAACCCCCGGCGCTGCCCGTCGCTTTCCCTGGGCTCCCGCGCGTCCACTCTATCCCATCCCTTCTCGTCGTCCTTCCTAATCTCAACTTTATCTTCTGTTTCTCTCAGGTTAAGCGCGGCTATTCTGTGCCGCTGATTCGGATCAATGGCTGCTTCTTCCGTGCGCAGCTCGGCCACTAGGTGTGCGCCATATTCAGACCGTTGGTCGATCGGCTTGTTCGCTTGACCCCTGTGGTTATGCCTGTCCCGGCTATTTCTTGCTCCAATGGTACAGTCGACACACTGTGAATACGAGATGGGCATGGCAGGTATTTCGAGGAATTTTCGACACGAGTCTTCTGGCCCACGCCTCGCCCTAATGGAAACCCGACTCCTCTCGTGCCCAAGACGAGGCTGGCTTGACTGTAGGTATGTATGTACCGCGCCGTGCACCCAAGGTGCTATACATACGAGCCCTGCCCGTACGTAACTTTTGTGTCTTGTGGACCGTGGGTCTTTCCTGACAGAAGCATTTATTCCCTTCTATTGTTTCTCATTTTCATCAGTCAATCTGCTGGCATATTTGAACTGTGCAAGGCCACGGTCAGCATCAAATCCTACCACCTCAATAACCCATCAAACTGCCACTATACCGTGGGGCACCGATCAACAGTCGAAACGAGCGGCAGTTGCATGCAGCGTGGCTCGAAGTCCAATGATATCCTCAGCGAATATATCATCAGCAACCCTAGACTGAATCAGGAGAAAGCCACGAGCGAGCCTCCATCTGGCCTGCAGCCGTTCCGGGGTCATCAGTCGAGGTACTCCGTCGTCAGAGATTGGAAGTCTTAACAAAGCAGCCTTGCCTTTTACCTAATCCGAAGTACATACTTGGCGCCACAACCACTATTCGGGTTCTGACAGAACGAATTTCTAGGATTTAAGTCTGGTGCCATGCCCACGAAGCCCAAAAGACCAAAGTCTTCGGACTCTCAGTTTTTGTTCGTCAACGAAGATGCTTCAACAGTCACGAGAACCACCAAAGATGCCGAGCTCGACAGGACGAAGCAAAGCCATGTGCAGCGCCAGAACTTCGCGCGCCGGCGCCAGCTCCGGGAACAGTCCGTATCCGGACAACAAAGAGGGAGCCAAAGCTCTGTGTCTCCCAGTCCTGCGACGGGCGAACGTCTCTCTCAGGCCTCTTCCTCCTCCCAGGGTGCGCCCCTTTACACTGGAGACTACTCAGGCCTTTTACAGAACCTCGACCTCGGCGATGCTCAATTCCCAACCAGTCCGGCAGCATTGTCGCAAGAAATGTTAGATCCTCAACTGGCCGCGATTTTCTCGAACCCATTCCCTTCCACAACTTCAACCCCTCCTGCGCTTACAAGCCCAGTCACTGGGTTCGAGGCATCTCCGTATCACTCTGGTCACTTCTTCGATATGGCCCCTCCAAATTATAGCGTCACCCCTCCGTCACGGGGGTCAATGACCTCTCCTTCAATGGCTGTGAGTCGCATAGCGAGCCCGGGCGCAAGCAACCAGCGCATCTTGGAGCAATGGGCTCCGCCACTGATTCAGCACTACAACACGATCATAATACCCGAGACCTTTTGGAAAGACGTGCAAAATGCACCCTTGGGGCGAACAAGGCATGCGGTATCAATCCACGCCGATATGCAAGCCTGTATGTCAGAACCCGCCCACATGTACGCCTTCCTTGCTTCTGCTGCAACGCAAATGCTTGTCCGAGAGGGTCGGCTTCTGTTGCCAAACGTGGCTGAAGGGGACTACCAGAGGATCCCAACGTTCTTCAAGACAAAGGCGATCCAGGCTATAAGAGCGAAACTCGCCAGCGGCCAAGTCGATCATCATATCGCGGTCGATGTTCATCGGCTCTACGGCACCGGAATTTATAGTCGCAGCCTCGAACTTTCCGAGCCTCATCTTCAGGCTCTTCTAGCTATCATTGAGAGCCTGGGCGGCTTGAGCACATTTGACGACTACCACCAGGAGAGGATGATGTTGCTGGACTGCATAGGCGCTCTCATGTTCCTGAGCGTTCCTCGTTTGATCGCGACGCTGGACCCTGGCCCACTACCTCAGGGGGCCCTCCTCGGCCTCGAATCTCAAGGACTATTCCGATTTGGGCTGGGGACTAGATTTGACGCGGCGTTTCAAACGATCGACACTGCCCATCTGTTGGTAGATGCGTTCTTGAACATGCTTCAAGTGTCTCAGGTGTCTCTTTACCTACAAGATGCGCAGCAATACATTCCGGAGCACCAAAGGTGGTTTGGATGGACGTGTCTGACGATCCTCCACAAGCTGCTGTCCATGCCGTTGCATTACGAGCTGAACGGGAAAGCAGAAAGCCTCCGGATCGCGGCTGCTTTCTGGATCGCACTAGCCCGGGCTCCTCATGTCGGTCGACGAGCCGCATCGCAATCCGCGCACGGTCTCAGGCAATGTCTTGAAGGCAACGACGCCGACATGCTGTGGGCCCCACACACGGATTGCCTGTTGTGGATCGCGGTTTTCGGTGGCATCTGCACAGACAACGACGATGACCTCCAGTGGTTCCTCAATGTTTCCCGGGCTGCCGCCGCCGAGGTCGGGGTGGACTCTCCAGAGCAGTTGGAGGATCTTCTTTCCCAGCTGTTGTACGATCCTCCGTCTCAAAGAAGCATGGTTCGACAGTTTGCAAGCAAAATATGGCCAGCTCCGGGGTCGTGAGCCATGAGACGGAAAACAACAGAACAATGTGAGCCGGAGTGGTGCCTATTTCCTTCGCAGCCACGCGTGCGTCCCCGGCGGACTGATCCTGCACGACATCTGGCCCATGATCTTCGGCAAAAGCAATATTGGCCATCGTACCCTCACAATAACGAAAGACGAGTGGTGAAGTTGAGAGAACCACGGGTCATGTCGCGGGCATTACGAGACGTCCCGAATGGGTTCTGCTCATGGCGGAGGGGGAGGAGGAGGACGACCTTTTTTTTGGTTTTGGTTTCTGTTTCTTTTTTCGCTTCCGTTTCAACCTCTTCTCCTTTTCCTTTTCTTTCTCTTATATGTTCTGTCAGTCCCGCAAGCGTCATGCTTTCTCTCGCATACACACTCACGGGTCACGCACTGCAAAGGCACAGGAGGGATGACGGGACGAATCCTTTTCTCTTTTCTTCCTTCCCACCACCTACCATAGGTAGCTTTTTGTGAGTTTGTTGGTTGTTGTTTTTGATTGAGCCCCCAAAAAGTTTTCCCAGTCTATAGATATCCTGGCCCGATATTGTTTTTGGTCTGTTTTTCTTGTTTTTTCTTCCCCTGCGAGAAACGTATTCCCCTCAGAAAATCTATAGCAGTGCTGCAGTGCAGTTACAAGTAACTCTTGGGACGAGAACAGGCACCGTGGCGTCGATCAACGAACGATACATATGGACACGATTTACACGAAACGCAATATACATACGACTTATACTATAAATTTCAGAATGTGAATGAGAGACGCGTCGACATCAATACCTCATGTTACCCAGCGGCAGAGAAGCGTGGGGGGGTTACTTACCACTTCGAAGTCAAGGTAGAGGGTACGGAGTACTGTAGATAGTAGATAGTAGATCAATGTAGATAGTGGGTGTTTGTACCCAACTTGGACTTACATATTCTTATATCAGTGGATCCGATTTCCAACAACGCGTGAAATGTGGATTTTGCTTGTTTAATGAATTCGATAGTTATTTTATGTTGGTACCTAGGTAGGAACTCGTACCAAGACATGCATGCAAGACTGACTGGCGTCTCAATTAAAGCTACATCATAAACCATGTCATCATCATCATCATCACTTTCTTCTTCGTCCTCTTCCGTCTTCTTTAGACCCTCCTGTACCACGTTATGTCAATTACACTAGGCACCGCAGTCACCCATCCACCCAGCCAGGTACCCCAGAGCCAAGGCAGTCGTCGGAATGGATTCCGCCCATCGTCTGGAACGACACGAAACCAAACCAACAAGTCCACCTAGGTACTACCGGTAGCGCGTAGGAAGGAAAGTAAAACTCGTACGTGTACAACGATCAAGTAGCTCTTCGCCACGTCCTATACCTATCAAAGATATACTGACTGACTGACTAATTGACTGCTTTGTGCGGTGCCGGCGCTGGTGTCATGTCGAGTACAGCAACTGTGAATACTGTAGATATTCTCTGAAAACAAATCACAAATGCGGCACTCCTAGACTCGCAAGGACGAGGTTGAGGATACTCACGACACCCTCGCCCAGGATCAGACCGCTCGCAAGGACAATGACGCGGGTCTCGGGTCGCTGCTTCCACGAGATCCACCAGTAACTTATGACGCCGCCAACGGTGCGCGCGAGAGTGAAGCTCGGTGTGTTGTACATGCCGACGGCGACGGCGATGCCGCCGGGGACCCAGGGGTGGAGGGTACGACACCAGGGTTTCTCGTCGCTGTACGCGAGCATGTATATGCGCAGCGACGTGGTGAGGACGAAGACGGCCCCGAAAACGAGCGCGACTTGCCCAGCCATCGGCGGGAGGCCTTTGCCCGTGACGAGCCGTGCGGTGAAGATCCAGACGTACGCCGTCGGAATCTCGAATAGTTCACCGGGGACCTGGTACACCGAAACATAGAGCTTGTATACGGCCGCCGAGACGAACGCCCCAACCAGACTGCCAATCATTTGCCCGTAGAATTGCGCCTTGGGGCTCGCGCCGATGAGGTGGCCCGCCTTGAGATCCTGCAGCATGTCGCCTGCTTGGAGGGCGCCTGCTTCGCTGACCGCCCCGGCGAGCAGGTTGATAATGATGGCGTGGTTGCCGTGCGTCGTGCCTGTCGGTGTCACGAGGGCGAAGACGAGCTGGGTGAGTTTGGAGATGCCGGATACTGGATTGAGGTCTGTCTCGCCTAGAGCGCGGACACCCATAATGGAAAGAACGCACGCGAGGACCATGGCGAGGATGTTCAGTCCGATTGGGATGTAAGTACCGAAAGTGACGTGGATGCAGAGCACGCAGAGGAGAAGCGTTAGAGGGAGGAGGATGATTACGGTCCGGCCAGAGATGAGATGGTGGGGGGGTGCGTCGTCGGGGGCGTCGTCAGGAGCGTCGTCGTCGTCGTCTGAGTGAGACTTGACTGGCCTTACAGGTGGGAAATTGGCAGAGTGCGGGGATTTGAGGGCGAGATAGCCAGCCATATTGTGGCCGAACAGAAAGTCGGACCAGGAATCGCTGTGCCGGTAATGTTGTTGGCCAGAGCGAATCCAGTCTGGGCCGTGGATCATGACCGGTCGGAGGATGAGCCAGCCCAAGTTGACAACGGCATCGGCAAGCATGATAGCCAGACTCACCCAGACGATCCAACCTTTGCTTCCAGTCTCCCAGTCGTCAACGGAACCTGGAGCCCAGCCTTTGTGTTTGGCTATGGGACTGAGGATTGCCCATCCGACAATGGCTCCAAGGAGCATGTGGAAGGTTGTCGCTGGACCCATGATGATGCCTTGCCCGACGTATGCTGGGGAAGGGTTCAGTGTCCAGACCCAGGTATCGGCAAGGTAGGCGCCAAAGATGGGAAGTTTATGGAGGATGGGCAAGAAATATTGAACAAAAGTGTAGAACCCAGACCCAGTAAAGGCCAGAAGGAGGAGTCGAATCTGTTTTTTCCAGTCGGCTCGTAGATCACGTTCGTCGCTTACACTGCCAGCCTCGTCCCTCTCGCTCTCGTTGAGAAGCTCTTCACGTTCCTCTGTCCCCTGGGTACTGATTTCTCGACCTTTGGCCTCGTCGCTTTTGGCGCCGCCGTGCAAAACACTAATCATGAGTGCAGTAGCGGTACCGCTGGGGAATTTGAGCCGCTCTCGAATGATGACCTGTTTTCTTAGCGGGACAGCAAAGACCACACCGAAGAGGCACAACCCAACACCCCATACGAACAGTCTCCATATGCTGAGATCTACCGGGGCACCCTCGCTCTTCTTCAGCAGGAATTCCAAACTAGGCATGACGCCAACGAAGCCCAGTCCCAATGGCATCGTTCCAACAGCTCCTGCCACCGTCTGTACCAACACGTTCTCGACGGGTGTAAAGGGAAGTGCCAGATACGGCGACAGCGCTTTGAATATAGCAAACCCAATCAGCGATGCGGGCATAGCCATGCCTGATACCCATCCTGTCTGCAGGCCGAAGTACGTATTGGAGAAACATATTATAATGCCAATGGCTGTTCCTACGACCACCCCTCGGAATGTGAAGTTCGTCCCATCGAGGGCTGAGTCGGCAGCACCAGGACTGGCGAAACAGGCATGATCGGACCTCATGCGGGAGATGTCCTGTTGGCTAGCATCGGGCGCGGGTAACTCATATTCTTGCGCTGGTGATGGCGGCGATGGGGACGGAGAGTGAGCATCTCTGTCGGGCGACATGACAGTCCCTGGTGCTATCGAAGAAGGATTGTGGGATGGTCCGTTATAGCCATATGGACCACTCTGGTTGCAGCCTCGGATGTGTACCTTGTACTCGTCTCGACAGACATTGGGAGATCTGTCGGTGGTGCAGGTGAATGAATGGCTTACAAGTACAACTGACTGTACGAGTACGAGATGATGCAATCGGACTTCCTCGCCAGTCCGAACGTCACGTGCACGATTGCTGAGTAATCCGGCCTCCGTCTTGCTCGTATTCGTATCGTCGCTTGTCTTATCCGGTTGAGTTGCAGGCGCTTCTCAGTTGAGGCTGCGGCGACTCAATGTGGATCTGAAAATGCAAATGCAAATTCATACATTGCCATCCTTGCAGACATTGATTAGCACTGCGGGCCGTCGAAGTCTGGATCTTTTACTATTACGCTTCCATGGACCCTGGAACCAGTGTCCCGTCCTTGTTCTTTGAGCGCACATCACCCTTGACGGCCCGTCTTTGTCCAATAGCGCCTGGATGACCGTACCCCGCTGGCATCTTGCAGATACTGACGTTTGCCCGTGGCGGTTCTCCTCTGTGCGAAGTACTCGATCTCTGAGTCTCTGACAGCCTGGATTCCGTCCCAGGCTTCTCAATGCCGTTAGTTGCGATCCGTGCCCACTCCCTGTTCGAGAATTCGATGTGCGTGGTCTCTCTTCGTCTATATTGTTATTTATGTATAGAATCCAAGCATGCCTTGACGATGCTTTGCCTGAGAGGGTTTCTGGCAGGATCAAAGGCCACAGCGGCAAGACTTCCGTGAATGCCTGCAGGGTCTTTAGATCATTCATACACACACCACTAAGTCGACCGACATGGCTCCCGACGGCCATCGCGAAGGCGCTCGGGAGCGTGAGATGCACAGGTTCGCTGTCTCCCAAGCCATTGTGGCTCTATGCCTAACGTTCGCGCAGATACTATCAGCCATGGCTAGATACCTTTATGTCTACAAATGACCTCCAAGCAGTCTCTAAACTTCCTCCCGAGAAGGCTTACCGACCCCGATCATCCCGAGACAAGGCATTGACAGCATTCGCGCAATTAGGTTGCCTTCGGTTACACGCGAAAAGAGGGATAGTCACACTGCTTGATGCCAAAAACCAGTACATTATTGCTGAAGCAACACAATCATTATCTCTTCTTTCTGATGAGCAACATGCAACAGGCGACGAACTGTGGTTTGGTAACTCTTTCATTCAGCGAGAAACCGGCGTGTCCGGTGACGCGTTGTTTCCAGAGACCTACACTGCGCATGGACCTGATGGGTATACCTATAGCGCACCTGCTTTGGTTATAGACGATATGACGAAGCACGAGAAATACAAGAGCCGAGGCTATGCTGGCAATGGAGTGTCATTCTATTGTGGAGTGCCCATCACGACAAAGCAGGGTTTCGTTATTGGGGTTTACACTGTTTCTGACGATAAGCCTCGCCATCGCCTTCAGGCTGATGAGTTGAGGTTTATGGTCGACATGAGCGTCATTGTCGCCGAGCACCTCGAGTCTGTCAAAGGCGACCGGGCCAGAGTACGAGGAGAACGACTTATCCAGGGGATTGGTGAATTCATCGTGGGAGATTCAAGTGATAGGAATAGACAAGTGGACGCAAAGTCAGCACCTCAACCGCCGACCGCGTCCGCCTCTGCGTCCACGACTTCCGAGACCAAGACCAGACCGGATGATCTGAAGCAAATAGTCCCAGACGAACAGGCGAAACCAACTGAGTTCAAAGGGATGGTCATAGGTGACCCAAGCGATGCTTCACAAGAGCGCAGGCAACATACGGGACAGGATATGCAATCAAATGTTCAAAATAATTCTTGTCACACCACTGAGCCTCACGGAGACTCCAGCCAAGCGGTGCCCAATGGAGAGCTAACAGCGGACAAGGAGTCGACGGACAGACGACCCAGCGCTCCCAAAAGGGCCAGGTCAGAAAGAGGCAAGCTTATGGTGGACGGCTCAGAAGCATTTAATCGAGCGGCGTCCATTCTTCGCGACTGTATCAACGCCGATGGCGTTGTGTTCCTGGATGCCAGCTCCGCCAATCTCAGCTCCGGGTCTGCCATGAATGACTCTGAGCCTGGTGTCAACACCATGCAACACACCAGAAACAGACGCAGGCGCCTGATCCAGCCGCAAAACGACCCCGAGCCACAAATTCCGTCCGGCCCGCAGCAAAACGGAATTAGCAGTCCTCACGAAGACAGCGACTCCGACTCTTCTACAACAGCACGAAGCTCTAGCGACTCTTCCACTAAGACGCCGAGTAAAGACTTCTGTGGCGTGCTCGGCCAATCTGTCTCCAAGCCAACCAAGCCTTTGAACATCACTCTACAAAGGCTAAGTCGATTCGTTCGCCACTATCCGGCAGGTAAATGTTTCGTTTTCGACAGCCTTGGCCAGCCTGCCTCAAGTGACGAGAGTTCCGAATCTATTACCCCATCGCATGAAAACTGTCTACAACCTGTGAACACTCCCTCTTCGCAAGCAACGAGGCAGATCAGCACTACAAGAGCCTTGGGCAAGGCCTTGCCTAATGCAAGAAACATTGTCTTCCTTCCACTGTGGGATTACGCCAAGGATAGATGGCATGCAGCAGTCGTGCTTTGGACCAATAACCCGCACAGTCTTACCAACATCCATGATGACATGGCATACCTCGTAGCTTTCAACAATGCAGTCATGAATGAGATCAACCGTATCAATTTAGCTCTATCTGATACCGCGAAAGCGACATTTCTGGCCAACATTTCGCACGAACTGCGCTCGCCTTTACATGGCATTCTTGGAAGCATTGAATTTCTTCACGACACGGCGATGGACGACTTTCAGGCCGGTATGCTGATCTCCGTGGAGACTTGCGGCAAGACTTTGCTCGACACAGTGAATCATGTTTTGGATTATGCCAAAATAAACAATCTTTCAGGTCGTGGGTCACGAAAGACTGGATCGACACGGAATCAAGGTTATCAACAAGCCACTAACTCTGACGACAGCCTAACGGCCGACTTTGATCTGGCCTTGATTGTCGAAGAGGCGGTGGAAGCGGTATATGCCGGCCAAGTATTTCGCACTGCGAATGGTGACGCGCTTCAAGGGAAAGGCCCTATCCAGTCTGCTGCTGGACGGGCAATGGAAAAGAGAGAAGATGCCAGGTCCCATATAAGTGAAGCATCAGCAATCACCTCTGACAAGGTTCGCCTCACTCTCAACATCGACGACCACACGAATTGGAATGTGAAATCACAACCAGGCGCGGTAAGACGTCTTGTCATGAATATCCTAGGAAATGCCTTGAAGTATACCAGTGAAGGGAGCATTGATGTTTCGCTCGAGATCGACCACACCCGCAAGAAGCGCCACTCCTATGTTCATGCCCTTTTAAAAGTGACTGATACAGGAAGAGGCATGTCAGGTGAGTTCATGAAGAATCACGCTTTTACTGCATTCTCTCAGGAAGATTCTTTGGCAACTGGGACAGGGCTTGGCTTGAGCATTGTTCGGCAAATCGTGGATGCGCTCGGGGGCAAGATTGACCTGGCGAGCGAGAAAGACAGAGGAACTGAGATCAGCATCTGGCTTAGCCTTCCGCAGAGCCACAACGCCCCTTCGCAAGATTTTGAGAAGAACATCATGACCGAAATGCGCTCACGAACGAAAGGTCTTGACATATCACTCCTCCTGCCGCGTTCCGAAAGATCAAACGGCGGATGCAGAGTCGATTCGTTGCGCAAAATGCCTTCGGTCGAAAGCTCGATGCGCAATCTTCTATCTCAGTGGTTTAGCATGAACGTCTCCATCGATGAGAGTATGGAGGGTATCGCGCCGCACTTTTTCCTCTACCCCGAGCCGCCTCCGATAGACTTTCTCATGCATAACCATGGAAAGCCAAAGGGCGTTAGAGAGATACCGGTCATTGTTCTGTGTACAAACGCATTTGAGGCTGCCAGTCTGAGGTCTCACGGCCTGCATCGACTGACCGACATAGGACGAATTATTGAGATTATATCTCAGCCATGCGGCCCACACAAGTTGGCCAAAGTCCTTCACCGATGCATGCAACGGATGAATCTGCTACAAGAACAGGCTCGTTCAAGATCAACGGATCATGTACCTTTGTCTTTGCATCGAAAACAGGATAAAACTTCTACCAAGTCTCCTGTTGAGGCGAATCCTTCGCAGGGCGACTCTGATCAAGTAGACAAATCTGAGGGCTTTTCAAAGAATACAAACAATAGCAGAGTGTCCCTGTCTTCGCAAGCTGTCTGGCAGGAGTCCACTGAGTCCATCGATTCAATCGACCCAGCTATTGCTTCTGCGGAACGCGCAAGTCGAACCGATCTCGCCAAGGACTCAAACTCCCCGGACGAGCCAATGACTGCGACCTCGTCGCGAACAGACGCAACTGATCAAGGGCCTTCCCCAGTGGACGACAAGATGTCTGAAGACCAAAGACCCCGAGTACTTGTGGTTGATGACAACACTATCAATCTCCATCTTCTCGTAACATTCGTTCGGAAGACCAACCATCCCCACGAGTCGGCGACCGATGGACTCAAAGCGCTCGAGGCATACAAACGCAGCGTGCTAGAGGACAAAAACGGCTTTAGATATATCCTCATGGATATTTCAATGCCTGTCATGAACGGGATCGTCTCTACCCGGGAGATTCGCAAGTTTGAAAAAGACCATAACATCAAGAACCCCGTCGAGATCATCGCCCTCACAGGCTTGGGGAGTGAAAGTGCGCAAAACGAAGCTTATCAAGCCGGCTTTGACCATTTCTTGAGTAAACCAATTGTGAGTAATGTTTAAACCAAGTATCTGGGCTTGGAACCCTTTTTCCCCCCCCCCTGCTGTGTCGAGCTACCCTCTTTATGAGATGCGATGTCTTTTATGTTATCATGAGAAAATTGCGATACTGACAAGTCTTTCTGGTTTGGCTGCTTGTTCCAAATAGAAATTCAAGGATCTACAAAACCTCCTGAAGTAAGGAGGATCCTGTACCGAAGCGATTCTCGGTCATGTGTCCTTTCCGAGGCATGGTTCTCACACCGTCAATCACTACTACGAACCCCCCGAGAAAATGAATGATAATGTCTGTTATCGAACTCGAGCAAAGTTCTCGCTGTTGCTCCACTTATTTTTGCATTCTTCTCCTCGACCAGCCTCTACTTGTAACCATAACTGGACCACCCTACTTGTAAGTTGGAATCATGGCTACTACAGGTAATTGTTGAGATCCTCTCTGTATTGATCGAGGTAGAATAAACTGCTTGCTGCTCCCTGTTCTGTCTCTTGTCTCTGTGTTCAAATCCCTGCCATCCCAAACCAACATCCACATACGCAGACACGTTGCACACGCGACGCTCTAGACTCACAACTCCCGACCAAGGTCTCTGTCTTCGATGATTGATTTGCTCTAACGCAGGCGCGCGCATATCTCTATCTCCTTTGCTGTCTGTGCTCAATGTTCCGATCTGCTCACCCAACCATGCCCACCCATCCATTCCTGTCCACGCGACCCTATCCAACCCGGAGCCCAACAGCAACCCAACCTCCAAAAATAGAACAAGAACCTTGCGTCGGCAGAATACTGAAAAAAAAACGGGCCAATCTTCACCAGGTCACCGCCCAAATTAGAGCCTGTCCGGCAAGGACCTCACACCGCGGGACCCTCCAACGCCCACGCTGAAAGATGTTGCAAGGTAAAAAGCTGAGGGGTATATGTGTTTAAAGAGAAAACGAAAAGTGTCCTACTCGAAAGACGGTCGCGAAAAACACAAGGCAGGACCCAGGCCACGGTCAAAGATACATCAAAGAGGAGTACGAAAGTATGTGTACAAGTGTCGTGGAGTCCATCCGTTTCTTGCTGAAATAAAAGGGGTATCAAGGAAAATCGTCATGTGTGGCTCCGTATTGTTGTTCACGGATTCCGGTTATAACACAAGGTGTAATCGTCAGCTGGGAGATTGATAACTGATTCCGCTTCAAGGAGCTCGTCGAAATGTGATATGCTTGGAATAAGCTTCGATTAACGCTAGAACGCTGCAAGCGCCGTGTCAAAGATCGAGTGTCGCGGTGTAACGAGAATGGTGGCTTTCCTGAGAAGCCTCCAGGGGGTGTTTTCATGTCGTAACCCTCTTGATCCACAGTCCGGTAGGCTGCTCATAGTATTCCTCCCGATCTCTGCGCTTGACGACACGGTGCAGTTTGAGAGAAGTTTCGTGTTCTTCGTTGGTGATTTCTTGTACTTCGAGATTGAGATTCGTTATCATCTTCTCAACCTCGCGCCGTTTCCTGCTGTCGTAGACGATGGCATTCCGCCTGAGAGACTCATGCAACTCCGCTATGATCTTACGTTGATTTCGCTTTCGCCTGCCCAAGTCTTCTAATCGAGCTTCGAGTGACGCTAGTTTGTCCGTGGCTTCTAGTTCCACCGGTGTGGGTGGCAGAGATTTCGTCGCTGATAAACCTGACATCAAGCTAATCGCACGTGGCTTCGGTTGACTACCAATTGCTTTGCGGAGAATATTGGAGCTGGACCTTTGGGCGGCGACATTGGAAAATGGCGATACACTGTTGTACGAATCATACCCTCTGCGTCCGCCATTATTGGCGGCAGCTCGTTTGCGAAGGTAAATCGGCGAAGGCATGTCGTCGTAGGGCCCTGTCATGGACACGGGACTGCTCGTCATCTCAGCTCGTGAGTTTGGGTTCGGACTCCCACCGTCTGTGTACGTATTCCAGCTCGATGAAGTATCGTGCTCGCGCTGCAAGCGTTGTGCTTGCATAGTGGTTTCGACGGAGTCTTCGCTTGAACTCCTTTCACCAGTGTAGCTGGCATTCGATCCAAGAGTAGGACTCTCATCCCCGTAGCTCCGAACCGTGCTCGGGGTAGGACTCGGGCTGGTAGCTGGTTCGTACATTGGTGATGCTACGCCTGGACTTCGGAACGGACTGTCTAGAGCTTTCGGTTCCGCCGCAATTGGCGACATAACCCGGAGTGTGTTCTTGACTTTCAAGGGAGCAACAGGCTTGATGCTGTCTTCTGAGGGGATGGATCGGATAGCCGGAAGCTTCGAGGCAGCCACAGATACTGCGTCTATGGGAGACTTTGGAGTTGTCTCTGGAGCGAACGAATCCGGAACATCAGCCCTTGGTCGTTGCTCAGCTTCGGCTAGCCTCTTTCTTTCCACCAACATCAAGGGCTTCGGTCGTGCAGCTGGCGTGTTCTTGACCGGTTCCACGATTGCGTGTCTGCCACTGGCGCCCCTCCATGCTGGTCGTTGAACCGGATTGTCGAGGGGGTCTGGGTCTACTGGCGGAGGGACCTTCCCCCAACCCGACTTCGTGACAGCGTCCCGCTCTTTTATGCCGGCCAAGATCTGCCTGGTTCTTTCCTTCAACTGGGGATACTGCTGGATGGTAGGGGGTATTGATCCTGGGCGAGCAGAGGGCGGCTTGCCTGCTTGATTGGGCTCACCGGAGTATTCGTCCCACCGTGTTTCTTCACCTTCGCTCTTCTTCAGAGCCCATCGCTTTGGTATCTCATTATTGTTCTTGGGCGCGGACAAAGGCATTTTGCGAGGAATTTTGCTTTTGGTTGTCGCTTCGGGCTGAGAGGCGCTTGTCGAGACAGGAAAGCCAGAATCGACAGGAGAGACGAGTGAGCCTTCTGAGCCGTTCTGGTGGAGAGAATCGAGGGCGCTTATAGGCGAAACATTGTCTGAATCTACCGGGCTTCGACTGCGGTGAGGGTTTTGAGATGGAATATCTTGGGTGTAAGGTTCAGATGTGGTTGGGGTGACTGCTGAGTCTCGAGGCTGCACTGGATCGTATTCGTTGATCGAAGGCACAGCACGACTGCAAGGCAACTCATGTCAGCGTCCTCGTACTACGCAGACAAAGGAAAGAAGGGGTGACTCGGGCATACAATGGCAAGTCAGGAAGATTCGTCGCGGCAACACTGCTCCGACGGCTGTATTGAGAGTACAAAGACTCTACCTCTGGAATGGTCTCCAAACAGCGTTCCTCCATTGTTGGCTCGGCCCAGGCATCGTAGCCTATCTGCGGTGCGTTGTTTCGGCTCCTCCACATGGTGACAGCGGTGGTACGTGCGTGATGATTCGTATGCTGCTATCTCGATGATGCAGTGGCTTTCCCGTGCGCCGTGACAAGGTCGATCATAATAGCGTGCGAGGGTTTGTCGAGGGATGGTCTGTTTAAGCGAGAGAGAGGAACGCTTGCCTCTTGCTTGTGTGCGTCAACAATGGCAGTAAGAAGTGAGTCCTCGCAGTCACTCGTAGCGATTGCGGGTACTCACCCCAGACGTCTAAAGCTAGAGAATTACGGACACACTCAACGGCAATCATATAGCCAGGGGTTCACATCCATCGTCGACGAAGTTGTTTGTCCGGAGTCAGAAAGGGAAGTCTATTGGGCGGCACTCGGCGGTGGCGGCGTGGCAGTGAAGGTGAAACACTCTACACATTTCAGGATCACAAAGCGGAGGACGAGCTGGACTCAGCCAAAGCATCCAAATACTGTAAGAACATCCCGGTCAGTCACGGATACGAGAAGCTGCCACCAGGTCATTACGGAGATCGGTGTGCTGAATATTATTTGAATTCGGATCTGCTTCACATTGCTGCTCCCTGTCTGATATCTTGGTGATTTCCCCTTAATCCGTATGCACGCAAGAGCCTGCAGGGGGAAGGGAGCCCCATTAGGTGTCAGCTGCTAGGCACTACTAGGGCACGCGTTAGGCACTCATTAGGCCTGATGATTTCCAACAGAGGGGCTATTAGGCGCCGTACACGATGCTCTGGGCACTAACTGCCTAGACATGAGGCACGAGGCTTCTCCCGTAGAAGCTTGTAACGGCGACGGCGTTCGCTCAGCACTCCACATCCACATCCTACTCCTTCCAAGGTTATCCCAGGCTCCTTGATCAGCAATTCGGTGTTGGGCAAGCCTCCTGGCAGCCGTGAATCGTTCTCGACGACTCCGGATACCTACCGATACTCCTATTGACCTCCTTCTGGCCAGGTTGGGAGCATGCTCTGTTTCCGACTGGTCGTTATTCTACGTGGCCGGAATTGGCCATTCGATATCACGCGCCACGCATGTCTAGCAATAGTACGACGAGCACGGAGTATGACATCTGGTGATTGCTGGTGGCTGTATTCCGTATGGTGCCACGCAGTCTGGCTGATCGACCTGAAGCAGCCAAATCAATCAACGAGTCTCAGCCACCGCCCCGGATCTGATCTTGGCGGATAAGGAGCATTAGAACGAGTTGTAAGGTTGAGGCATCGATGCTTTTTCAAAACCCAAGATGTGCATAGATGAGCACGGAGCGTCATCAAGGGTACTTGCCCATTCATATTTCAGCGTTGCCAACAAGGTAGGCAGGACAATGGACTCTGTTGATGATCATTTGTCTATTATCCACACGAGGACGAACCGATCGTGGATTCTGATGTTACAGGAGGCTTCCCCTTTGGCTGTGTCTCAGCTCATTTCCGGACTCCCTGCCGCCCAATGGTGAGGAAAGGCACTATGAATACGGCTGCTGCAGCTCCGACCAAAGCGACCCAGAATGTGGTTTGATAGGGTCTATATTTCAGAGCATCGGCGCCTTGTGAAGAGCCTCCAGCGCTGTTGTATATGCTCGTCTGAACACCCAACCCCACAGTCGCTCCAAGCCGGATGACAGTGTTGATCAAGCCACCAGCAACAGACTGTTGATCGCTTGGGAGACTAGACATGACATACATGTTGGTCACGGTAAACTCCAAATCCTGCGACAAGACGCTGAACAGTAGCGCTGGAAAGGTGAGTGCCCAGTAGGAAATGGATTTCGACGTGGCACTGAGCAACGCACAAGCAATGACTTGGCTGATGGCTCCCACCACCATGATCAACTTGTTGCTGACCCTGTGCATGATCATCGCAGCCAGGAGATTGACCAGGATACCGCCGATGCCAGCAGGAAGAAGTCGCACAGCAACCATGATGGGCGACACATGATGGATTCGTTGCCACAAGAGACTCAGCCAAAAGAGGTTGCCACTAAAGCCGTAGAATCCCAGAAGCAGCACCATGACCACGATGCTGAAATTGCGATCTTTCCAGACGGCGAGGGGCATCAACGGGTATCGAAAGACACTTTGCCAGTACACGAAGCCGACCACCAACACGAAGCCGACCACCAGCAGTGCAATCACGTATGATGTTTGCCAGCCATTCGGTGCATCGGACGCCAAACTCAGCGACGCAGTGAACATGGCGACGCCGGTGATTGCCAAGATAGCTCCCAGCAAATCGAACTTGACGAATGTCGCCATGTTGAGGCCGCCGACGGTCTGTTCATTGTCAGGTGGCGTGGTCCACCACGCAACGACGGTAAAGAAGGCGTAGATAACGGCGATCACCCAGAACGCGGCTCTCCACGTCGCGAAGCTCATCACGATGCCGGAAATAAAGGCCCCGAGCACGAAACCGACGGGGTTGCCAGCACTGAAACACGCAAAGGCCCGGTTCTTGCGTCGGGAAGGCCTGTTGTACACAGCGCCTAGTTTTCCAATGGCCGGTGGAACAGAGGCGGCCGAGCTCAGACCGAGGAGGCCACAAAAGATGTCCAGATACATGGCGTTGGTCGCGAAGCCCATGACCAGCAGGCAGATGGTGAAAAAGCCCAGGCTGAGTAGAAACAACAACCTTCGGCCGAAGAGGTCGGCGACGCGTCCAAAGAAGAGCAGCAATGATCCTGCCGCGAGGGATTGCGCGGCACTTATCCAGGTGACTTCTGCGGCCGTCATGTTCAGGTCCTCGCCGATCGTGTTGGTCATGCACAACACGGCGCCCGAGAAGACGGACGATTGACCCACGGCTACGGTCGTGGTCAGGACAAACATGCATTCTTCGAAGAGATTGCTGAAGCACGCCGGCCGAGACCCGTAGGGGTTGGTCTCCGTGCGCGCCAAAGACGCACCTACCGAAGCGGTAGGCTCGATCTTTTCGAAGTCGGTGAGAGCTACGTTCGCTTCCGTTTCTGTGTGGTTGCGGAGCTCGATGTCGGGCTGTCCCATGGGATCCTTGTCCTCCATGATGATAGAGATCTGTCGGTTTTTTTGAAGATTGTACCTTTCTTGTCAGAGACGAATCATTTTCCAGTCCACGACCACGGGTTTATCGTGCGACAGCAACACCCCAAACGGCGGAGCGGTCGACCAAAACTTGTAAATGTTGAGGGCAAAACCTGAAGTCGACGAGGAAGACACAGACAGGGTCAAAAAGAGAAAAGACCGTCGGTCTTGTCTGCCGAAGGTGGATTTATCGGAACTAGTTAGTCAGTGGGCGGGCGTTCCAAAGCTCGGGTGTCTGCTCTGGCAATCTATTTGAGGTGAATGCACCCTATCAACAAGAGGCAATCGGTTGGTTTTGTTTTTGCTTCTGTCTATATATTATGATACCACTATTGCCCAATAGCAGGGGAGGCACTCCTCGCTCTGACAATGTCGGAAGCACAGTGTCTCGCTGCAGATGGTACCCCGTTGGTAGTATTCCCATCTGCTCATACTAAGGACGCGAGTGTTCGGACACACCAGTACGAATGTTATGTACACAAGTATGGCAAGCCGAAGCGCGCCAAACAATAACGTCGCCGAAAGGGTTTTAGTAAGCAAGTCTGGAACTTTAAGACGATTTCATTTGAATGCTGACATACCGGACCTTCGTTCGTCGCGGTCTCAATTCCGCCTCTTGTACAGTAATTAGTTGGTGGTACTGTAAGTGTACACCCCGGGGATCATCTCGTTCGCCCCCAGATCTTGAGGGCGGGCCCGGATACCGAACTCGTAGTCAAGCTGCCCCGGGTCATAACAACACCTCATACTCAGGGCCAAAGGCCGTACGTAATCCTTCAGCAGCCGCTTATTGATGTTCGTTAGGTAGGTAGGCAAGGTACTACACAAGGTAGGTCAGGTAGGTAGGAAAGTCAGTCTCTTCTCGCACGTCTAGGAATCTACATGCCCCAGCCTGGTGGCCCGCCTGATGACTGCTACATGTGCTTCCACATCTCGATCCAGGTCCCCTTCTTCCTCGCTCTACTGGTCCTGTCACGGCGCTTCTCCAACCATTCTCGAACCGGGCTCGACAGCTCCTGCTCCCGCTGCTGCTGCTGCTGTTGCTGCTGCTTCGCCTCGGATTCGACTTCTCGGATTGCTTGACCGTTGATCTGGATCTCTGGGATAATACGACGATCCTCGACGCGCGGTGTCTGTGGCGTCATCATCATCATCATCATCATTGTCATCGTCTGCTCCAACGATTCCTGGAACTTGGCAAGTGACGACGCCGAAGATTCGTTGTGGTCGGCCTGTTTTGTCGGGAACAACGGTAACGGGATATCATGAGTCTTGACACGCAATCTTGGCTTGCGGTCTTGGGCTTCTCCTTTTTCTTTACCAGTATTGCTTTTTCTTCCGTTTCCACCTGCACCTGAAAGAGCCGTCTGAACACCAGGCACGCTTGAACCGGCTGATTCTGCCTCTGCCATAACATCTGCCAACGGCGGCGCTTCTGGTACATCACCCAAATGTCCTGGCCGTGGCATCATGTACTCACCTTCCATGTTCGGCGTGGGATGCAGTGACCGGCTCTTGATCTCGTAGCGATCCGTGTCCTCCTTTGGAAGGGTAAGATGGCTGGAGAGGAAGGATTGGTCGGCTGAGGGCGTGTTGGAGGTGGTGATTGGTGTGGAAGCCATTGCCATTGTGTCGGTTGGTATCATCACAAACCGTCGATTGAAATGGTTCGCAATACCGACGACGACAACGATGATGAAATCTCAAAGTGTGCTACGTGCGCGGATCACTTGTCATCGAGCTCCTTCGAAGTAATAAAGGGGGGTGATGGTAAGTAGCAAGGAATCCTTGGGGGGAAGTGTTAGTATGCAGCAACGGGCATGTTGTGGTCTTAAACGGTCGACGAGGCACTGAGTGAGTATGAAAGCAACATTGATGATCGTCTCCATTGGGCACGTACTTGGACTTTCTTGTTTCCTGCTTTTGTCTTATTGGCTTTATTGTTCCATTGTCTCAACGTCAATTGTGACGAACATCTCAACATATGTATCAATGTTCCATTGATTCATGCCTTTGTTCAGGCCGGGCCTTGCCTGAGCACAACAGGACAAAACCATTATCGGAAGAAAGATTCGTACACTTCCTCAGCAGACTACGGACTCTGTTGATTACTCTCTCCTCGGGAGGCACCAAAACTCCAAAGTGAGCGATTTCATCTTACGGTTCTGGTTGAAAAATCAGCTGAGGACACACCGCATCATCGTCCGCCATCTGCGATATCTGCAATATCAGCAACATCGAGACCCAAATCGCAAGAAAGTTACAGCATAGGCATTAGTGAATACAACAGAGCAGCATGGCAGTTCACGGTGGTTGGCGAGAATTGAAATCTTTTCTGATAATCTTTAAAGGGCCCCCTTTTGTTTTGCTTCTTCCAAAATCTTCCCAAAAGAAGCCCAACCCTTGCAGAAGTACGCTTAAATCTGTCTCCCACCTGTGACTTCGATAGTCTGCCCACTCACGTAACTGAAGAGTGGACTGCAAACGGCCAGTACCGCACTCGCCGCCTCGGTCGCGCTACCCGGGCGCCCAAGTGGGATATCCACGTACGCCTTATCGTTGCCACCCTTGCGGGCGTTCAGTTGGGCCGACGGGATTCCCAGGGCGACGCGCTGGCCGTCGGGCGTGGTGATGAAAGCACCCGACTCCTTGGCCTGGGTGAGACGAGTGTTGATATGGCCAAAGGCAACCGTGTTGGCGCGGACACCGAACTAGATAGACCCGAAGCGAGGGACGAGCACCAGTCAGTACAACAAGACACAGACGAGTAACCCACAGAGATAGATATACGACACACACGATACGCGGTCTCCCCATCACAGGTGGGTCGGCAACCCCTCGGTTCGCTCGAGGATTCGAAAAGGGAAAAAAAAAAAACCGTACCTGAGGTCCCCATTCCTTCGCTATCGTCTTGGTCAATCCCAGCACGCCGGCCTTTGCGAGACTGTAATTCGCCTGACCGGCATTCCCGTGCGTGCCGCTCGTGCTGCTGATGTTGACGATACACCTATTCTCGCCGTCCTTGACTCGGAAGTACGGCGCGGCCTCGCGTACCAGCCGGAACGGCGCCGTGTTGTGCACGGCGATCATCGTCTCCCACTGCTTGTCGCCCATTTTGTGAATCACCCCGTCCCAAGTGTAGCCTGCGTTGTTGACGATGAAGTGGATCTTGCCGCCACCAAACTCGGCCGCCTTCTTGACCAGCACGGGGAAGTAGTTGGGGTCGGTCACGTCGCCGGGCACGCTGATGGCCGAGTTGGGCGTCGCGGCCTTGATCGACGACGCCACCGCGTCGGCTTTGGCGCTGTCGACGTCGCACACGATGACTTTGGCCCCCTCGTTGGCGAACAGACGCGCGCATTCGGCCCCGATGCCCTGCCCTGATCCGGTGATCTGTACAGTCGCCAAGTCGTCAGTCGCGTCACATACATAACTACGTACGGTCGCTTGAAGCGAACCCTGAGCCTCACCAGACAGGGCAAGGACAGAAGAGCACGAAGAATCGGATTACTTCAGGTACAGTGAGACGAGACATACAATGGCGGTCTGCCCGGCTAGCATGCCAGAGGGATAGTTGAGGTGGCCGGCGATTTGCTGCGCTCGTTGGGCCATGGTGATTACAGGCTGTTGTGTGGGGGTTCGACACGAGGGAAAGAGTGTGAGAATCGCGGGAGAAAGGGCAGGAGAAAGCAGATTCCGTTCTGTATGTTTTCTCAGTCGAGCCTCAGGAATTGAAGCTCTAGAACAAGTAGTATATAGAGAGTGAACGACTGTCCCTCCCGTCATAAGATTTCGCCGAGGTATCTTCGGCTTTCTCGGCATCAGATCTCCGACGAGGCTGCAGAGCAACTACCGAGGCACTGCGAGGTGTAATTTCTCCATCTAAGTACTCGTACGTAGGTAAGGTAGATTGCACGGACTACGAAGGGTGCCCTTCCTCTATGACCCTTATATACACACACTCAGGGGACAAGGCAATCCGAAATGCCGCATCCTGATCAGCCTAGAACAAAAAACCAGCTGAACTCGGCCACGGTCTGGACAAATCGAATGAAGACAAAGCATCATCCATCACTTCACTCGGAAAGATTGGAACGAAACCTTTATTGCATTTGGTATTAAAATCAACGCACAGCGAAACCACCAGGGCATTGTAATTGCATTCTCGTACAAAACAAAATGGCTTCTCTCCGTGAGTTCTAAACAGCGCCTGGCTTTCATATACAGCAGCAAAACCCTCCTCCCTCAGCTCATAATCATCTACCTTGTGCAGCCTGGCGGGCTCGTCTCCTGACCACCAAAGCATCATTTCTCAGGCTTTCTTGGATGGATCAAACAACACTCCGACAATCTCGTCCAGTATGGTAAAAATCAAATGCTGGTTCAGCCGAGTGTTGTTCATAGTTGCAGCAATTCTTCTCGCCGCAGCTTGTGCATTTGCTCTTCCCACTACGCTGCCAACCAGGTCGGGCACAAGAGTCGCGAGCATCATAGTTGCTTCTGTTCGAGTTTTAGTCTTCTCGATGGGCGTACGGGGTTTAGATGCCCTCATAGCTCCCCCGCCAGGCCACATCGACTCTTTAATCATATCGATATACCGCAGAAGCGATTCTTCGGTGGTGAAACCTCTCACGAGCTCACGTATCTTGCGCTCGATAGTCCCACCCAGTAATTGATGGAGAACAACAATCACTGCTCGACCCCGAAGCCAATTGTTTCCTCGGTTGAGCTCGAAGGTCTCCAAAAAGATATCACAGATTGGCTTTACAAAGGGTTCGAGCTCCTTGTCCTCGAACGCTTGCAATTCTGCTTCAGCTTCCGCCACTGGCCCTGGGTCCAGAGGAACAATATCCCCTTGGCTCATTCCCAATTGATTGGTGGCAGCAGAAATCAGATTTTGTCCAGCCACAGATAGCTGATCGAGAACCGAGACATTGCCAAGAAATTCGTCCATGCCGTCGGTTACGGAATTATAGATCCGACTGACTATGTCCTGTGCGTTAGATGCAGAATTCGTCTCCTCATGGGACGAGATACTCTGTTGAGACAGGAAGGATCTGAGCTCTCGGCTCCGGCATACATCAGGCATCTGAAGCAGCTGTTGTAGGTAGTGCTCCAACGCTAGCCGACGGTTCTGGAGGAATTGTTTTTGAAGTTTCATGACCATTCTTCTCCTGGGAAATTCGAGGTTTCTTGTCGAAGGATATCTTCGGCGTAACTTTTGGTGGAGATCGTGAAACTCGGAATAACGACGAGGTATTGCCCAAGCTGCGGCCGGCATCTGATCTCCAGCCTGGCGATGAACCTCAATGACGTACAGTGCGAATTCGCGACCGTCATCTTCCTTTCCAACAACAACGGACTTGATGGAGATTTTTGATCGGCCGTACAAACTGTTGTCACTTTCCTGGACGATATACTGCTGGCGCTGTAATTCTTTCCGTCGAATCTCTCGTTGTAAGCTTGCTTTCGATTTGCCAAGAATGCGTAACTCAGCCACATTATTGGTCAATTCGGCTTTGCGAGTCAATGCATCGACCACCCCTTCCTGGGACACAAGGCGCTCAATGTCGTTGTTCAATACGGTGATAGCTTCAGCAAGTCCAAGGTCCCCCGGAGCAGCTTCATGGATCTCATCTTCGGTGACATCCTCATCTTTGCCGTCATCGTTATCGGCGTACTCGTCCTCGATGAACTTTTCTTCATCAGGGAACAGGTCATTGTCCGAGAAAACTCCAATTCGTGAAGCGGTATTGACTAGCCCTAGAGTTGCTAGACTAGGTTTTGACTTGCTTGTATAGTCGCTGGTCTGAATATCGACAGAGCCTCTGGGTGAATCTATTGTTCTGATGGACTTTGATCCGGACACCGGAGATCCGAACAACGCATCGTCGTCATAGGTATTTTGGTCCTCCATTGGGCTATCAGTCATGATGTTGTTCATGGCCGCCTCCATGTTCTCTATGACTCGTCGTTGATCGGCCGATTCCCCATTCAAAGATTCTTGACCGAGACTTTGGGTCGAATACGCCAGAGGATCCGTGTCATAACCGTCATCGAAGAGAGGAGCTGAAGACCCTGAGCGCTTCACAACTTCAGCATCATCGAAAAGTTTCGAGGTTCCAAGACTACGAACGTCCGACGAGGATACTGCTGCTCTCCGCAAATCCTTGGGCCGGAAACCAGGCTGGGAGTTGGTTCTACTCATCGACAGTGACTTTCTGGTCGTGGTCGTTGTTGGTGAAGTGATGCCATTAGGCTCTGTATCATCTGAACTGGTTTGGAGGCCGGGTCGCATTGCGGATGCTTCAGCTGAAGCAAGGAATTTGTAGTATAAGTCGGATTTCCGAAAGTTGGGTAAATGATTCATTTCGAGGTCCTCCAAGACTGCAGACTGCGCCGAAAGTATGGCGGTCCTCGCGGCTCGATATTGTTGTGGCGTTGCCTTTCGACCGGCAATCAAGAAAGATCTGATAGCGTCCCTTGACTCTTGGGGAATATTCAACTCGGGCTTAGACATATATGTCTCACTTATTTGCGCAATGTCCATTCGATCGGCGTCCGTCCATGTCTGCTGGGGTGCCGGGTTCATTTCATCACCAAAGTCGTCCTCCAGTGGATTGCGAAATCCGTCCACAACAACCCAGAACTGCACCAGAGCCATTTTATGCTGACGATCCATGTATTCCATGAAATAGGACAGGCCGGAAGCAGTATGCATAATCTCCACCATAGCCCACTCTCGGGGTTTGGCACCTGTGTTCGGCTGGGGTGCAGGCTGTGAAGTCATGACCTTGGGAACAATTGTCGCCTGGCTCAATTTTGTAATCTTTTGATCGAGAACCCTCTTTGCCATTTCTAGCCTGCGTAGATAGACAGGGTCCTGACCTTCCACCATCCCCTCGCGCTGTATCTGGCTTGCAATCACATTACGAAACCTCCGGGCGTCAGACAGGTTTTTGGTCCTGCGAATCGCTCTGACAAAGCGCTCAAAAGCTCTTTCGCTGTCATTTGGGCCCAGCCGGGGTAATTCCTGGCTGTCTTTCGTGGTAGGCATCGGCGAAGTATGTTGATCAAGGGCAGCCCTCATTCGACGTACGTTTTTTCGATCCTGGAGCGTGGTGCGACCGTAAGCTTCAACAACTTGATTCCATGTGTCGGGCTCTGACAGAAGTTGCAGAACAGGGAATAAGACAGTACATGCGACAATCTCTTTCACCAGAACTAGTGTGGCCCGGCTGCCCATCATAGTTGGAGGAAGAAGATTTGGTAGAATTCGAACCACCATTTTCCGCAAGTGGTCTTGCTGGATGGGCTTGGTGTCAGAATATGCGAGAGAGGCTGCAGGATGTAGCTTCCCGTCTTTGTATTTAGCTGCAATAGCCAATTCAAGTTCCTCGGACTCGGTGACATTGCGATTCAGGCTACGTCCCCGTACTGCGCGCTCCGCTTGATCAAAGTCTCGCAAATGCGCGGTAACGATGGGGATTACCCTCGAGACAATGACATTGACCATGTCTTCATTGACCATACGATCTCGAATCTCTACCAAGGCGGCTCTGATATTTCGGTCCACCTCGTTCAAAAACACGGGGCTTTTTGTGATGCTCACGTACCATGACGACACAAAATCTCTCAGTGCCAAGCCGACCAAACCATCAAGTGCCTGGGAGACGACAAAAGACTTGTCGTAGATGTGGACAGGCTGGTATTGACGGGAGGCATCGAAGGCAGCAAGCTCGGAGCCCCATTGATCTGGTCTCAATAGGGCTGGGGGCTTCGAAGGAAGGTTATGCAAATCCTGGAATCTTGACCGTGCCCGGGATGTAAATGCGACACTAGCGATCACCGAGAACAACGTCGTAACGCAGCCGAGTGTGAAGGCATAACCCAGGTAGCGCAGGACAGGCAGACTCCGGACGGCGAGACCCCAGGCAATGAAAGCCGTGAGAGCAGCGAAAAGGACATGTTTCTGAGCCAGGTACATTCTCGAAGCATCTTCAACGCAGTCAGGATGGCTTAGCTGAAAGCTAGCCTTCGCACTCTGTCGTAGGACTTTCAGACCATTGTTCGCATCGAGAGGCTAGGTAAACGATGGAAGACTTGTGCGACCGAAATAGACTGTAGATAAAGTCCCGGGGACTCTAGGCATCCACTTCGTCCTGAGATTTCTCGGTAGAAAGGACGACGAATGCCCGATGTGTCAGGTATGTATAGATGCGTAGGACGTTGGACTCGAATGTCACGGGTTGTTCATGGCGCAGTCAACTGTACGGACACGGACACGGACACAAAGAAGGGGAGTATCCGCCACACCTTCCTCTTTTGTCTTGGCTCACCTCAGGACTCACTATCGATACATCCGAGCATCGTTCACGTTTGTCACTCTCCATACCCTCCAAATTCTGGTTCAAAGGCCGCGTTTACAGTCTTGATGTATGAGAACCCAGAAGTGAGCCGAACCTGGTGATTTTTGACCAGAGAGGCTTTGACAAGACAGATGACAGGTAAGCGCATCGAAATCTCTGCTCACTCGGCATCTCCGGACGCAGGCATCGGTAATTAACAGCACCTTCAAGAGTGCTCGATTGGGCAGTGCCAGCTAGCTCTCTTGTCCCTGATCAGACCTCCTAGCCGGTGTTACCCGCTCTACGTCGCAAGACCGTGAATGTCATACTGTACAACATCCGAGATCTCAGGGGTACAACAGGCCACCCGAATGCTCGGGCAAATGCCTACAGATTAGCACCAGCATCGTCTAATGACACCCGATGTCACGCTCTGGTAATTCGAGCGACATAGACGAATAAATACTTCGGCAAGGGAAGAATTAAGCAAAACAGAGTTCAGAGCAGTGACTTGGGTATTACCAACTGGGTATCACCCACCGTTGCTGGGTCCGCTATGCAATGACAAGACCTCGAGAACGGCACGACGGTGCTTGGGTCACATAAGCAAGCCCCAAGTGAAATCGTAATCAGCGTTCTTACATGTTTATCCTTGCATATTCGCCCGAAGCAGCGTTCTATGCCATCCGATGTGGCCAATGACCAGCGTTCTGGCAAGAGTTATGGCCGCCTTTCTAGCGGCCATGCGAGAAAAAATCGCTACGCCTGGTTACATACCGCTTGACAAGGCACAGGGCAAGGACTTCGACCTCGCTCTATGTCCGCAGCGAGGCCCGTCAGCATGACATAAATCAGGCGAAAGCCGGAGATGTCAAGTTTTGACAGCGATGCTGCGGCTGTCGCCTGCCTAATGCCTCAGGGACATGTGTGCCAGGACGGAATCGTGGAAGTCTCGTTCCTACTGTAGCTTGGTGGATTCTGGTGTGGAATATCTTTAAGGTGTAAAATTCTAGACCCAGATCTCGTAACTTTGCCTCCTGTACCTGAGGATCAGGACTAGCTGCGAGTGTGGTTCCCAGCATGGCTTCCGCGCATCCGCCCGAAGCCATGGTTCTGTTCCGAAACTCAACGTTCACAGAACCTCATCGCTTCTGCCGCATGCGTCGCCTTGCCAGGCTGGCCTCAACTTCTGCTTGGGACACGTTCCGGGCCATGAGGCTCGCTTTTAGATCGGTTCAGCTCACCATGAATTGCGGCGCTAAGAAGTATTGTTTTTTCTCCGTTGACAACCTGCAGCGTGCAGCAGAATCCAGTTCCCTTGGAGCCCACATCCGCCCTGCTTCTGCTCAGCGACGGCCGGTTGCGACGTTCAGGCTTTTGTCGACCGCTGACTGGCGCTTGATCCAAATCATGGGCGGTAATCCCAGCAGCGCCGGCAGCTGTCCAAAAACGGACAGCCGTGGAGATGGCGGTGAACGACACCAAACAACGGTCGGCGATTCTCGTTCCGTAACCTCAGCCAGCAACGAAAAAGGGCCAGGCTGGATTTGTCCCACGCCAATGATGATCCCAGCGTCCCCCCTGTGAAGTCAATGCAGGCACGGAGACCAGGTATGCGAACTGGTGAGTATCATGGGCCAGGCCAGGCTCAATCAGGGGTGGCAACGTGATGAAGATCTTTCATCGAAAGCATCGGCACGGCACGGAGTATTCCGTGCTTTGAGGGCTGACACGTCAGGGATCTGGTCATCACAGCTGCTACCGTGCGGTGACATTCTGTTATTCTTAGGTTTAACCTGGTCCCACTCAACTACGGTCCTACAACCTTGCGGGATCCGATTTTCTCGGCGGGTATTGAATTTGTACTGCTTTAATGCGCCCGACATGACTGAATAATGGCTCGTTGATCGTTGAGGGGGGGTGCTAGCTCTTGGTCAAACGACGCCTTTCCTCTATGATCACTCGTACGACCACATCTGAGTGCTGTCTCGAAGAAGCATGCCTAGGCGGCGATCGTATGGAGAATGTTGACGGCTGACAAATGGAGCCCAAGTGCTCCCTATATGTATATCATAATCCGTGTCCTATGGAGTACTTATCAGGGGAGCATCAACTACTGTACGAATCCAGCCTGTAGGATTTGCCGACTATTTTTTTTGACAAGCATCCTGGGGTCGTCAACCACGGTCCAATCGCTTTTTTGGGCCAGTGATGCGGTGGCGATGAACGCCGCGGGTTTGGGCCATCAGATTGGGTGTGGCCGCAAGATAGGGTTTACATGTATAGTATCGAATCGACTTACCCTGTTCACATGGCACAAATTCGAGTGCATCAATCATGTGCACAAATAGGGACCCCTAAACACCAGCCTGTATACGAGGCTGTCAGGTGAGTCAAACCCCCATGCAGGAGTTGGCAGAGGGTTTCAGGGTTCTATTGGGATGCTTCAAGCCACCACCGACGGCCGTGAGAACCAGAACCTGTGAGCAGCTCAATACAGGAGCAATCTCGCCGTACCGCACAGGAGCCTGCCCATGGCGCGGAAGAACGGCGTAGTCGCCGGGGATACGGCTTCCCCGTCGACTATTCTCAATTGGCAATAAACCCTCAATGCAATACGCGATCCACAGTGGGATGAATGCCAGGGTCCCCTGCAGTAAGACGGCTGGTGTCACCACTGTTTCGACCTCTGGGACGGAGTACAGTACTATTGCCTTTTGCCAGATATTGACAACAGAACAATGAGCATCGGAGAGGGATCCCATGTTCTTTGTTTGCCTAGGCAACTACGGAGTACAGCCCCCTGTCTCTCGGCCAAGTCATCCAGTGAATGCTTGGGTTTTCCGTGCCAGCGCGTACCTGTGAGACTTGTTCTGGACGACAGCCTGCCTGTACGCCGCGTACAATATTTGGAGCGAATGCCGACCACGTTTACCTATCCGCACGGAAGCGCTACCCTTACAGCACTCCATCCAGTAGTCCATGTCCGGCTCGGTACGCGTCTGAGGAAAAGTATTCCGATGATCTGACGACGAAGAGCCCAAAGACTCCATCTCAAGGATGAGGTCCACTTCAGGTCCATTCTTTGATCGTCAAGACGCTGTTAGGGTTCGGCACGGACGCGGCATTGTATAACAGTGACGGCCCTGGAACATGCCTCGAGCGACTACGAAATGGCCGACTAGCAATCTACCCCATGCTTCCGACCCTGGCATCGGCTAGGCCTATTCCACAAATGTCTCGTTCTTATGATTCATCCAGCTTCTCCCCCTCCAGCCCACACCACTACCACCCTCTTGATCATGGTGCAGTAGCGCACGATGTCGAGCGGCGCTTCGCTTCCATTGTGGTTAGTATGATCTATTGGCTGCTCTGTTCCGTCGATTTTCCTTCTGATCACCGTTCACGCTTTATCTGTCTGCTAGAGTGTCTACACCAGATCCCCCCGGCGGTGCCTGCACGCTCGAGCAACCACTTCTCAGCTGACCCAGCAGATGACGCAGTCTCCATCGTTCCGTCTTTGACAGGCCACTGCTCCTGACCAAGCTGGGAGTACGGCCGGGCGCATCGCTTCTTTCAGAACTCCGACAATAAGCAGCGGTGGAATCCCGTGTACAGCTGTGAACTCGCAACTCTGCGCAAAGGGGAAAAGGCGAGGCGGATGCTTTCGGCGACGGAAAGGTGGCGAGGTAACACAGCGTTGGCGTCGTTGTCAGTGCTAGGTTTGGTTCGACACTTCCAATCTTGCATCTTGCAGATACCTTGCTCGCATCCTCCGTTTGCAGGGGAGCTACGAGTCTTTGTTCGTTTCTCGGGTCGCTGCGCGCCAGGGACTTCCGCCTTGGACTATTACGACTCATCATCCTCACGAGGTCTGAATCCATGCATCTGTGGGGATCGGGTTGCGCTAATTGAACGAATAGGGACACCTACATGGGTCTTCCCGCAAAGCTTCTAAAAGGGCATATACCCTGACCGTAGATACCCTACTCCCCACAGAGATTGACACGCACCCGTGTATCGCGGACAAGAAAGGCAACCAGTTGGCGGATTCCCAAATTCGCCTTTCTTGCTCTGAGGTCCAAAAGCTGGGCGACATTCGTCTAATTAGACTCTTACGTCTCTTTGCCTCGAACGTGTGTGCTAGTCGATTGCAGTATGTTTGTCAATTGACCTGCGAGCCGGCTAGCCCTCATTTCTTTCTCGTCGATTTATTGGTCCATTCCTGGCCATTGTTGGGACTGATTCTTGTCTATCATCCCTCTGGGCGGTCTGCCAGCATAGGGCTCCGTACGGGTCTTTGGCCAGCAGTTCTGTGGAGCCAACCACGTTGTTCCTGGCTGCAAACAACTCACAATTCGCAGATCTCAGGCTGCCTTCCGTCAGAGTCCAACAAGAATTGTACAGCAAAAGCCGCGCCCAAAAGGACAAAAGAACTCACTGTCACACATCCGGCCTCCTGCCACATTCTTTCCGGCCCTTTTCCCACCTTCCCATACGCACAAACATACATATACAACGGCAGCAACGACTGGGCATTGCTGTGAAAATCCGCACTCACTCAACCATGCTTTTGTTCCAACATAATGCTCGTCTGTCATTTTCGCAGGAATATTCAGACAGCAAGAGCTCTTTTCCTCTGGACATTGAACGCTCGCGCCCTGCTCGTTCTCCTCTCGGTAATCCACACTTCCAACACTCCCTTCGGTTTCAGCTGATTTGAAATGAAAGCCATAGGTACCTTCCCATTCGACCAAATGTCAAGTCTCTCGACATCGACGGACAGTCCAGGCAGCCGGCCTCCATCTACAAGTTCCTCCGAATCTGACAGGCACGAGTATACGGCTCACCCCGTATCACACCACGGTCCCGAATTTGTGGATCTGGTCGTTCCAAGCGTCCCCAATGGAGGCATCGAGAGTGACGCCATGGCAGAGTCAAGCGACCATGTCATTCACTTGTCAAGTATTGAGCATTGCATGCCTCGGTCTTACATCCGTATCTGCCTGGCATATAAGGTGGCCGACGAAGGAATGCTCCCACAAGCACTATCAAGACTCGACCGATACATCAGAAAGCTTGTGGATGCAAAGCCATACTTGAGTGGTTATGTGGTATCCGTCCCAGAACCCGATAAGCAAGTGGGAGCCGTTGAAATCCGCTTCTCTGACCAAGACTTTCTCGAGTACCCGTCTGTAAATGTACGACACCTTTCGCACGAGGAAGTGCCGTACACTTACGAAGAACTGGAGTCGAAAGGTCTGCCTCCTAGTATCATTAAGCCGGAGCTGGTGTCGGCTCTATCCGAGTCAGCAGATGAAGAGCGCGCACCAGTGTTCCGAGTTCAAGCAAATGTTGTCAAAGGTGGTCTTATCCTTTCCGTGTATCTGCACCATTGTATCTCGGATGGCACGGGCATTGGTATGCTCATCTCGGGTAGTGTGCTCAATGACGAGTTCACGTTCGAACGATATCTGGACGGCAATGGCCACGAAACCCCAAGCCTTTCCAGAAGATTGAATGCCTTTGCACACCATAAAAGCATTGTCAGGCAGGAACTGTCGTACAACTTTGCGAACCAGATCAATACCCGACACTTGAAGTGCAAAGTCGTCAAGCCAAGGTCAGAAATCAAGGGTGGTGCAAAAGTCCAAGGCCGCGGTTGTGTCATGTCAATTCCGCTTGTAGGGCTTCAACAGCTGAGAGAAGGTCTTCAGGCCATCTGCGGTAGCGACTTCTTTAGCCAAAATGATGCTCTACAAGCACTGCTTTGGCACGCAATGACCAGAGCACGCATCCCGTCGCTGGCGGAGGATGACAATGTCCGAGAGTCGAGCCTTCTAATACCAGTCAACATCCGCAACAGGCTGAAGAAGGCTCTTTCAGAATCGTACTTTGGAGCAGCAATTGACTTTGCCTCTGCAAAGATGCCACTGTCCCACTTGAAGGGTAGTAGTGTTGCTGCACTTGCAGAATCTGCAGTGACGATACGCAATGCCATCAACGATGTCAACGAACCTTATATCCGACAGGCGATTGCGTTGGCTCGATACGTCGACCCCACTATCGACGTACGTGATCTTCAAGCCAGCAATATGGATCGAGCCAAGGGTGCAGACATGTATGTCACCAGTTGGGAAAAGCTGAGTTGCTACGAGGCAACATTTGAAATGGGCCTGGGTCCGCCCGATTGGGTGCGGAAACCCTGGTCGAAGGATCCGGGTTCCTGCATTGTGCTCCCCCGCGATGAGCGCAAAGATTACCTTGAAGTTGTTATTCAGATGACGCAAGATGATATGGCACGGTTGTTGGAGGATCAGGAGTTCATGAAATACGTCTCCAGAGTGCTCGACTAGAAGCACCAGATTGCAAGCTCTTTGCGAGGGTGCTGGGTAGAATGACGGCGCGATTCAGGAATTGTTCTCACCTTCTAGAGTGATGGGAAGTACCCAATTTTAGCATTGCATTTAGGAAGCAATCATGATACGGCAGCGACGGAGTTGGAAGGGAGGTCGATGAGGTTTGAAGAGCTGTACGAGTACAAATATGAAGGCATGGCGCATGGACAGGGCCGCAAAAAGGGAAAATTGACAAATGGTGGATCAACCCGGTGATGATGCCGAACTGGTGGCAATTGTTGTATTATTGTAATCGAGATTTCATTTTGTAATTGCGTAGAGTCTGTCTGATCGCTGATAATTTGATGAGATGATAATGTCAAGTGCGCGTCTGGTAAAGGGAACAAGATGGTGGTCGAGAAATGGCTTCCATCACGTGCTTTCGTGATACAACGCGACGCGGTCGCGTCCCTTCGTCCGCTGTTTACACGAAGAACTTCTTAGACACATCGCCACTGACAACTACGATACGTTGTTGAGTCTCGTTCTCTCTCTGGTTCTCGACATCATCGGCCTTTTTCATACTCCCCCTTTCATCCTTCGTCGCAAACCCGAACTTTTGAAACACCATCATGACTCAAGCCGATAACTCAGACACCGTCCAGGATGAGTACGAGGACATGCCTGGTGGCCCCGGGGCACCGATTCCAGTGTCGCAGTTGGTGGTATGTGCCCCTCAGCCCCAGCACTCGCGTCGCGCTTACACAAGGTAGGGGCTTGCAGGTTTGACCGATAGAGACATAAAGCTCGTGGTTGAGGGCGGATTTCACACCGTTGAATCAATAGCATATACGTGAGTCACGTTATGACCGAGATGGATTTACAGTCAACTGATGCACTTTAGTCCGCGACGGACGCTTGAGCAGATCAAAGGGATCTCAGAGGCCAAGGCGTCTAAGCTTCTGAACGAAGGTAAACTTGCGACAGTTCCTTTCAGTCAGTGTGTGGCTAACACCCTTTAGCAATGAAGCTGGTCCCCATGGGCTTCACCACGGCGACCGAAATGCATGCACGGAGAAGCGAGCTCATCTCCATAACTACCGGCTCGAAGAACCTCGATCGTTTACTGGGAGGGGGTGTCGAGACTGGCTCCATTACCGAGATCTTTGGCGAATTCAGAACAGGAAAGAGTCAGATATGTCACACATTAGCTGTTACTTGCCAATTGCCCTTTGATATGGGTGGCGGAGAAGGCAAATGTCTTTACATCGACACCGAAGGCACATTCAGACCTGTTCGTCTGCTTTCAGTGGCCAATCGTTATGGCTTAGAGGGCGAAGAGGTGCTCGACAATGTGGCATACGCCCGAGCGTACAACTCTGAACACCAACTGCAGCTTCTGCAGCAGGCGTCACAGATGATGTGTGAAACACGGTTTTCACTCCTCATCGTCGACTCTGCCACGTCATTGTACCGAACTGACTACAATGGTCGAGGCGAACTGTCGTCCAGACAGTCCCACATGGCCAAGTTCTTGCGCACTCTCCAGCGGCTGGCAGACGAATTTGGAATCGCAGTGGTCATCACGAATCAAGTGGTTGCACAGGTCGACGGCGGGCCAAGTGCGATGTTCAATCCAGACCCCAAGAAACCCATTGGCGGTAATATCATTGCTCACGCAAGTACCACGCGACTGAGTCTGAAGAAGGGACGAGGTGAAACTCGTATTTGCAAGATCTACGACAGCCCGTGTCTGCCCGAGAGCGACACCTTGTTCGCCATCTATGAACATGGCATTGGCGACCCTCAGCCGAAAGACGATAAAGAGTGAACAACAGCGACCGGAAAGAGATGCACAACTATCGAGATGATTCATGGGGTATGCTTTTATGTATCGGCATAGCGATTGGCGTTTGGCCTGGGTTGGTGGGCTGCAATAATAGTTAACATGTATGGAGATTCAATGGACGAGAGTTTCACAAGGCCAAGATCTTTCCGGAGTCGACGGCAAGTTGGCAACCATGGTATCAAGCTAAGCACGATAGCGGACGGTGGTGTGGTGGCCCCAAAAACCAATAGAAGGAGAAGCATTTGGGAGTGCCAGCTGAAGAGCGACATGGCCATGATCGTTCCCGGTTTTGGATGTGGAAATCTTGTCGATCCGGCTCTACGTCAAGAAGCCTTGTTTGATTGCCCGTGCCCATTGTAGAGCTTGGTCGGTGCAAGTCATACCCACGGGCCCTAATGAGATGGAGTGAATTATTAAGGTCCTGCACAGCCACTATCGGTCTAGCGCGCCCCAAGGAACTGCGTGTTAGGGGAGGCTTCTATCTTCTTGGCGTCATCATAAACCCCCGTAGCCCTAGCAGCGGCCCCTACGAGGATCGAGTCTAGCGAGCCCTCAAGCCCATGCGCTCATTTCCCAATGCTGACTTGACCTGCGCCGACCAGGCTGCGCTGGGATTTCTGCAGCTGCGCTTCCATGTCCTGTATCTTTATTGTCACTCTCTCTTAACTTAATTCCTAGTTGCCCGCCATTCCTTTGACCCTTTTTACGTGGCTGAAACAGATACTGGGGATGTTGTGGTGAAGCTCGGTCGCATTGTTTACATCCCATCCCCAGAGCTCCAGCGTCTCATATTGGCCAGCGGTCCAGCCTGTCAGGGCGGAGTAATTGCAATATGGAAGGTACCGTGCTTCACCCCGGAATCTTCAAGAGTGGTCTCCATTAACATGAGATGTCAGGACAGCTAGATGGCGCAGCCCAAAGCCACCACCAGCAGGTCACCGAGAATGCAGCTGGCTCCGGCCCCGGCCCTGCTGCTGGGCACTCGACATCCGACATCGAAGTCATCTGCGGCCCTCTTCTTAACTACCAGCGCATGAGCGAGGATGGTGCAGATGTCTTCTGGCATGGCTCCGTGCTCATCGTCACCAAGCCAGGGGGACAGAAGCCAACACTCGAGCTTAAGTCGCTGGGCGCCCGGGACAAAGCTGCCAAAGTCAAGAGTTCGCCTACACAGACAGTCGAGGGCTTGAAGCTCTACCAAGATCCAGGCAAGGCTTTCTGGCGGTTCAGTCTCCAGGTACCCCTAGCAGAAGCGGAAGCCAAATGGCAATACTCCATACCCAGCATGCGCTTCCTATCAGACGTGGGCAAGGGGCCATCTAGGGAGTTCGTAGTACCTGCTGCGACCGAGTCTATGCGCATAATGTTTCACTCTTGCAACGGCTTCTCTGTAGGCACGGATGAAGATTTCTGGTCTGGTGAGTTTGCTAGATGCTCCGGTTCTGTTGATGAGAGACGGCTAACATGTTATCAAAAAAAGGCCCTGTGCTGTGGAATGAGGTCTTGCGAATCCACCATCAGAAACCCTTCCATGTCATGATCGGCGGCGGCGACCAGATCTATAACGATGGAGTTCGCGTGAACGGACCGTTGAAACAGTGGACGAGCATTTCCAACCCAGCCAAAAGGCGAGACTACCCGTTCGATGAGCGAATGCGGGAAGAGTGCGACGATTACTACTTCAACAACTACACTAGATGGTATGGAACCGAGCCCTTTGCCACGGCGAATTCTCAGATACCTCAAATCAACATCTGGGACGACCACGACATCATCGATGGGTTCGGTTCATACACGGACCATTTCATGAGATGCGCCGTCTTCCGAGGCATAGGCGGCGTCAGCTTCAAGTACTACTGTCTATTCCAACATCATACCGCTCCGCCGGTGTCAACTTTCACGACCGATGCTCCTTCGACCATGGAGGCGACTGCGGACGGTTCGGCAGGTGCCGATCCACGCCAGTTGAAGGACACTTATGTTTATAAGAGGACTGCGGATGACCCCAGCTGGATTGTAGGGAAGAGACCTGGACCCTACGTCGAGGAGAAGTCGAGGAATTTGTACATGCGTCTGGGTAAACGAATTGCTTTTTGTGGTATCGATGCCCGAACAGAACGAACCAGGAAGCAGGTCAATTACCCTGACACATATGACCTGATCTTTGACCGGCTTGATACCGAACTCAGAGCCGCCCGTGGCGAGATCAAGCATCTTATTCTACTTCTCGGTGTGCCAATTGCCTACCCTCGTCTAGCATGGCTCGAGAACATTTTCACATCCCCCATCATTGCACCCATCAAATTATTGAACAAAAGATTCGGCTTTGCCGGAGGCTTCTTTAACAGCTTTGATGGGTCAGTCGATCTGCTCGATGACCTCGACGACCATTACACGGCACGCCATCACAAAAACGAACGTCGGGATCTTGTCGTTCGTCTGCAGAAGCTCGCGGCGACGCACTCGGTCCGTGTGTCCATTCTCGGTGGTGACGTCCATCTTGCCGCTATTGGCCGGTTCTACTCGACGCCTGCAGATAATATGGACGCCCTCGAAGACCCACGCTACATGGTCAACATCATCTCGTCAGCCATCACAAACAAGCCCCCGCCCAAGGCTGTTGCGAATTTACTGGCGCGACGCAACAAGATCCATCATCTCAGAGACGGAAACACCGACGAGACACTGATGAACATGTTCGATGTGCAGCCCGGTGGCCAGGAGAAAGGTGCGACTTGGAACAATGTCACCATGCCAAGCCGGAACTTCGCCTGTATCACAGAAGTACCGGACGACCACACGGGCGATGCGCAACCCAATGGCGTCAATGGCTCTGCGCATATCAATTCGACAGGGAGAACGGGCAAGACCCGTCCCAGCGCTGGCGCCGGTACCGACGGACACGGTCCGCTCCACTCAGGCGAAGAAGGTGCCGGCAGCACGCATCCGGCGGCCGATGGAATCAGTGTCGAAGGCCCGCTCAAAGGTGGATTGAACGTGTCAATCCGCGTCGAAATCGACAACCACGACCGTGAGGGCAAGACGCAGGGTTACGGAATGACCAGTAAGTACTTTGCTTTCTGATTTCTTGATCCTTCCCAGATAGGGGAGACACTTGTGTAAAGCCCGTTAACTTGTTGACTGACATTTTGTGCTTTGCAGTTCCCAAATTGACCGTGGCTTCTGCCGCCGCTCACTGAGATGTTGGTCCAGTCGAGACCGCTCCTGGCAGCCGTTTCCACGACCGGAGAGGATACCATGATATAATTAAAATCGGCAAGGCGGTTTATCGGGAGAGCACACTCGTGGCGTCTGCTAGAATCGCAAGAGTCTCGCAAGTCACACTCACAGTATCTGCTAAAATCATACGAGTCTCGCTCGGTGGCGATGTGTACATTTTCTCCTTTTCCCCCCTTCTCGCACTCGGTGTTGGCCTGAAGTGTTGGGAGCGCTGTCTGAAGATCTAGGTATGCCTTTCCTTCACTTCGCTTCTCTCCGCTTGGCTGGCCGCGATGAGCGAAGCGTACCAGTGGCCGGAGCGCAGCGAAAGAGCAGTCTTTAGGCCCTCTGTGCGCTTCTTCTCAATTTCTGACTTCCACCCTCATGGCAGAAAATTGAGCAAGGGAGCCAGACTCACCGTGCGCAAGTCTTCCTAACTAAGAGAGTGTGTACTTGTATCATTGTTTTTCTTGTTTGTCAATCTGGAGGCTTCTGCATCAATTGGTAAAAAGACAACAGTAATTGGCCTGGGTCTGGGCCAGGGATCGATTGATCACCGAGCCAACTACAGGTAGGTAGGTAGGTAGTTACACGCCTGGGGGATTCATTGGGGTCTCGAAAGATCTGTAATAGATAATACATACATACCTGAGTTCCAGCTCCTCTGTACAGAGTAAGGTACTTTACTTGCACTCGTACAGATAGATCCTTCGGGGCGGACTTCGTTCAGTTGTGCTGTATTTGTTTTGACCGCTGTTCAGCTGGAAAACCAACCAATGTGCCGTTCTCGGTTTTATTCAAGGGAGGTAGAAAAGTACCTACAAGCGCGGGGTGGCCAGACGTCGAAACAACCATTCTTCCAATAGCAACGCCGGCCGCCTTTGCCTTCCCCCGGGGCGATTCGTCGGTATTTCTACGAGATGCATGGCCTAGTTAACCTAGTGACAGGACCTTTTGGAGACTTTTCGCAGGATGGACTGGCTGCACCCAAATCGTGAACTTCTTCTTCTTCTTCTTCTTCTTCTTCTTCTCCTCCTGTTTCAGTTCGGCCACGTGATCAGAAAAACATGACTCGGGTAAATCGAGAAGAGAGATCTTCCCAGAGAGCTGTGGATCTGGTAACAGGTCTCCGTACGGTGGAAGTCAAACGACAAGTGCTCAGGACTCGCAAGCAGTGAAGATGCGAATGGGAGTTTTGAATCGTTTCAGGATTGCTGGTCAGACCCTCGGCTCAGTTATTTACCTAAACGTAATACAGACCTGCGAGAGCACTAACTAACTAACTATGCGCGCGTAGTGCAACCCTGTGCCAGAACTACTGTAAACCTGATTTTCAGAGCAAGAGCGTGTGAGCGCGTCGATACTTATTAAATGGTACACTTTGGAAGCGACTTTTGAGTTTTTTCTACGCATGATTTTGTCAGCGACACCAGGGATATACGTGTACCTGGACCGCTGCAAATCTACTCTACTAGTTCACGCAGATAGTACAACTGCTTCTTCCCATCGGTCCCCGCCTTCAAAGGCGTCCGGTCCACAATGAGGTCAGCGAGTGTTCGTTTCCGGCGCTGAAGTCTGACAATGTTCTCTTCAAAGGTATCCTTCATGAGGAACCGGACCAGGCGCACCGCCTTCTCCTGGCCGAGCCTGTGCACGCGAGCCATGGCCTGCTCTTCGAGCATGGGATTCCACTGCGGTTCAAGAAGGTAAGCATGGTTTGCCGCGGTCAGATCGAGACCCTGGCCTCCGCATGTGATCGACACCAAGAGCACTCGCAGCGAGGCATCGTTTGTAAACTCGGTCAGCACCTGGTTGCGTTTTGGTCGACTGAGGCGGCCATCGTACCGACAAAATCGAACTTGCGCTTGGTTCAGTGCAGCCTCAACGGCATCCAGGCTCGAAGTCCAATATGAAAACACGACGCATTTGTCGTCGAGTGGGAGCTGTCGAATTTGAGATATGAGGGCCTTTATCTTGCTCGACGGCTGCTGCATTGGCATTTTAGAGCTGGTTGGTGACGAAATTCCAGTAGACTTGATGCTGGCGGTGACAGCAGCTGCTGGACGCCTTGCGTGCAGTTCCTGCATGATCGAGATGAGAGGTCGTTGATGCCACTATCGCGAACAGAAAGAAATCTATCATTGTCCCCCTCCTCTTCCTCCAAGAGTTCAGCGCCACAGCAGATGCACAATATGTCTTTACCCTCTATCCAAGCTTCTAGCTTGTCATCGGGGAGTGGGCAGGGGCCTTCTTCAAAAGTATCCATGGAGCTCGTATGATTCCTTCGCCGTGGTGGAGTGACGCCATGGTTACAGATGTACCTCAAATCGTTGATTCTCTGAAATGCATTCAAGTAGATAGAGCCTGAAGTTGATTGATCGACATGTATCGCGTTCTCTAGGACTTCCATGACGCCCACCCGTGCTGAATCATAAACGCCACGCTCCTCATCTGTAAAGACGACTTCCTCAGTGTGCTCACTGCGATCTGGAAGCGCAATGACAGCTCTTGGCCGACGGATGGAGATCGCTTTCATGATCAATTGAAGTCTTTTCAAAGCATTTTCGTCCGTCTTTGATTTCCACGGGCGCAAAATCTGCTCCTCAAACGTTCGCAAATCATCGTAAGGGTGCACTTTGAGGAATCGAAGAAGCGAAAAGATATCGGCTAAGCGGTTCTGAATCGGGGTCCCCGTAATGCACCACCTGCGGTCTGCTTGAAGGGCGTAGACGGATTTCGCACACACGGTGTCCTTCGAACGAATGACATGAGCTTCGTCCAAGATGATCCTATGCCAGAATGCACTGAACAAAAGATTCGAATCAGAGGAGTTCCTCGATGCTTTGTAGTTTTTCCATTCCAATGCAACCGTGTTGTAAGTCGTCACGACGATCTCGTAGTCTTTTAAATTCGTCTCCTTCTGGCGGTCACGACCGTAGAATATAGCGTGGCGGACCTTCCCGGGATAGAAGTGTTCCTGGATTTGCTTCTCCCACACAAACAACAGGGGAAATGGCACGACGATCAAGGTGCCTTTCAAACAATCGGAAGACTGGTGATAGAAGTCGGACTGAAACGGATTCGCCGCTATCAGACCCAGCATAGTACAAGTCTTTCCAAGGCCCATCTCATCCGCAATGATTCCTCCTTGGAAATTCACGGGGGGATGTGCTTGCGTAAGTCCAGACACCGTATTCTTGTATCTCGTGTCACCGAAAGCAGTGAGGTAAGATTTCCATATATCCTTTCGAGTACCAGACAGGTTCCAGCCATTTTCTCGTTCGATCATGAAGGTCAGGGCCTGCCTCTGATGTGCATGCAATTTCGAGGCAATTGCGCTTGGCTGCGGAGCCAAGTCAAAGATCGAGGTGTTATAGAGGTCAAAGAAGGGGTCTTCGCCGCCGTTTCGGACTTCGGATTCCTCCACTACGAGGTCGGAAGGGAGTTTTGAAGTGTACACTACCGCCTCCTGGCCGGAAGCAAGACAATGCGGATTGATATAAGGCACATCCCGGTCGCATGCCCAAGGGACCTGGAGATACATCTTCAGGCCATCGAGCCACTCAGCCACAGGATCCGCCATGTTCTTTGGTCCGTATAGTATAACCGATAGATTGCCATTGATGGAAACGCCTCCCATACCTGAAGATCTTTCTGACCCACGACGCTCTGGGTCGGCCAGATGCTCTCGTGACGAAAGCCAAAACTGAAACTCCGTACGTGCCTTGGAAGATAGCGTTTGAAGCATTTGAGCAGTGCTTGGTGTAAGACTTGCAAGTTGAGTTCCATCGGTTGGATTCTGCAACTCTCTGGCCCCATCCCAGAGCAATCCTTGATATCCCACTGAAGGCAGAAGAGGTACCAAGATCTCCACATGGACATCGCAAAGCATGCCATAACAAATAGTCATGGTCAATATAGACGCAGTGCATTCCTGGTCAAGAACGGGGTCCATACACAAAACGTCAGGTGGAGCAATTTCGGTTTCCAATACGTTAACGAGGACTTCTGAAGGCCTTCCCACCTGTGTTATCGAGACAGTCCTGCTGTTACAACCGTATAATAGGCTCGTAGTCGCATCTATATCTCGATCGACCGGGCTTCTTGTGTTTTCGAAGTAAGATGCTTGAGAAACCTGGCTGCATTGGACAGGCTCGTCCTCAACATGCTGAGCGACCCTTTCGTAGCCGGGAGTACTCTCCGCGCTGTCACCCAAAAGATACACGTTGTATGGAACCCTGGAAGAATGCTGTTCACTTGTGTAGCCATCCTGGACTGCACCTGGCTGTGAAGAGCCCCAAATGTCCAGCTTCCGCCTCTTGTTCCCTTGGCTACCGGAACATGGTATGTTTTCGTATGGAGCGGCTTTGAAATGATGCGTATTCTGGCAGATAAGCGATCTCTGAAAAGGGCGGTAAGGCTTTGTCCAAGATTTGATATCAAAACAGGACTGTACAAGCAACAATTCATAAGTTCAGCATGTCTCACAGTAAGAACAGTTTTGGCAGTAACCCAAGAACCCCAAATCTGGTCGTCATTGTACTTCGAGATGGTTACAATTTGAGGTCAAGATGGAGGGAAGCGACTGCGCCCATCGGCTGCGCCATGGACTCAGCCTCATGTTGAGTTGCAGCTCGTCACGCAGCCTGACCAGGGGCATGGCTTGTCAAAGGAGATTCTTTCTGTTCTCAGCCTTTGTGCCCTCTCTACACTTCATGAGTCTGCGTTCTCCTGCGACCACATCGCCTGTCGCTTAGTGATAGCGGCGTCATGATGGCCTTTGTACAAGGCCAACCTCATCCCTTAATCAAAGAAGCCTTCACGAAATTCGAGGCTCTCGTAGGCGTCAACGATGCACGGCTGTTCAAGTCGACGATTCTAGCGAATGTTCGAGAAGCTGCGCAGATTATAGAGCGGGATCAATCGCAGAGAAGATGTCTGCGAAACATGCGACGTATTGAGCCCTTGTTCGACGCTCTCCAAAAACTTGCTGGCCCGATGGAGACGCTATGCTCAGGGACTCCATATCTCTGCTTCATATGGGTAAGCGTATTGTTGGAACTCCATCCTGTGTCTTTTAATGGGCTGAAAAGTTAGCAAAAGGCTCCCATCAAGCTCGTTCTCCATATTGTAGACGAGTATACGAATGCCTTCGACCAGCTGCTCGATGCCTATCGCGAAATAGCCCAGAACCTTCCGCGTTGTGACCGGCTCGGAACAGCGTTCTGTGATCAAGATGGCTTTCAGGCTGTCCTCGCAGAGATCTACAGCGATATTCTCGAATTCCATACATATTCATATCAATACCTACGGCGCGGAGGTAGGATCGGTGTATAGCGGTGCATTTATGACCTAATCTCACTATGTGACCAGGTTGGAAAAGCTTGTTCGACGCCTCTTGGAAGAGTTTTTCTCGCCGCTTCAACTCAATCCTACAGAGACTAGCGAGAGGTCGCGATCTCATTGACAAAGAAGCACAAAGTTTTGCTATTCTCGAAGCAAAAGAATTCCGTCAGCAAGTGCTTGAAAAAATTGAGCGTTTTGAGCATGATCGCCATGATTGGCAGTTACGCGATACCCTGTCCTGGCTGGATTTGAAAGGCCAGGACCGCGAGCAAGACGATCTATTCGAATGCAGATCTAGCGCTCGAAAACCCGGTACCTGCGAATGGATCCTGCAAAACCCTAAAGTCCGTTGCTGGCTTGATCCTGAGGATTGCCGGTCTCAGCTTTGGCTGCGTGGAAAGCCTGGCTCTGGTGTGTAGATTTTTCTTGTTCCCTTCGGTCACCATGGCAAAGTATACTGGGATCATCTTCCGATACCCACGCAAGTGCTATCCTTCGGTTGACGAGACTCTACACAGTTCTTCAGACGAGTTACTGTCCTTGATTGGATAACTGCTTGCCTAAGAATCCTCTTCGCTAACCAACCTGAACACCTAGGTAAAACTACACTGGTCACGTTCCTCTACGATAACGCCCCAATACCTCCAAATTCATTCATTCTCTACTGCTTATGTTCTTATGGTTTTGCCAGGTCTGAAGCCAATGTGTGTGGATTAGTGTTTCGATCACTCCTCGCGCAGCTGGTAAGGAAACAACGAAGCCTCCTCTCCCATGTATACTACAACTTCGTCAACACTGGAGTTGTCCTTTCGGCTTCTAAAGCAAGAGATCTTCTGAAGAGTCTTCTACAGGCATCAGGTCCGGCTTTTTTGATGATCGACGGGCTCGATGAGTGCGAAGGCATTCATCAACGACAGTTGTTATCAGACATGCGTCAATTGCTCGTTTCGACCAAACCGATTTCTGAAAATGAAGTTCCTATCAAAATCCTCATCTGCTCGCGAGAAACAAAAGACGTCGGAGGAAGCTTAAAGAAAGTGCCCCAGCTTTTTCTCACTGAGGAAAAGGACAAGGTCTCGAAAGATATTGCCGAGTTTGCCAAAGATGGCTTGTCACCCCTCAAAGAGCGATTTGACGCGACCGTTGTTGCAGAGCTTGAGCAGGACGTGGTGGAGAAGGCTGATGGTGAGTCCTTCGATCAGTGTTTGTTGACATTACTGAATGGAAAACAGGTATGTTTTTATGGGTTCAACTTGTTCTACAAATGCTCCTTGAACAACACAGTGTGCGGGATCTAAGGAATGCAGTAGAAGAAATGCCTACGGACCTACCTGGAGTGTTGGTTTCCTGTGCTGCAGCGTCATGATCATACTAATATGATGCTAGGTATGCCTCAATATTGAACCGTATTCAAAAAGCCTGCAACGAGGAACAGAAGAATCGATTGAAACATATTTTTGGCTGGCTGGCATTCTCTTATCGTCCACTGAAGGTGCACGAGTTGTGTGACCTCGTGGTCTTCCAGAAGAAACATGTCTTGCTCGATGACAACACAAAACTTCGAGCAAGTGTTCTAGAAATGTGCAAACCACTTCTTGAGGAGCATGGAGATCACTCTGTAACCCTAGTGCACTTCTCAACCCGAGAGTACTCATGCCTTGTGGTGACGTTGAAGAGCAAGTAATACTAATTCTCTGACAGGTACTTCTTACACGAATACAGTGGTCCATATCTCCCTCGTCAGCAGATTCATCTCAGTATCACTCAAGCTTGTATCCGATACCTAATGACCTGCCAACCTTTCACCTCAGAGTCTCTCACTGGTCAGACTAGGACCGAAATTGTAAAAGGATTCCACGATATCTATCCGTACGTAAATCAATTCTGGGCGAACCACCTGGTCGAATGCTTCAGAGATGTGCCAACAATAGTATCCGACGAAGATAGCCGTGCGAAGAAAGAAGTCTACAGTCTCCTCATTGCTTTGCTGCAATCGTTTCAGGTTGATGGTCAAGACCAGTCGAATGAAGCAGGTGACAATCCTACGACGACTTTAACGCATACACGCATCTTGGCTTTGGAAGATTTACCCAGTCCCATTCTACAAGTCCTTGATTTGAAGAAGGGGAAAAATGCAAAGGGCGAGGCCTTGAGTCTGAACAGGGTGCTTACCAAACGTCCTCCTCGGCAAGCGATTTTGGAGGATCCGGTATCACTCAATGCTGCATTCAGCTGCTTCCAGAACTCGTTTGAGGCCTTGTTGACAGACCAACCCTCAGACTTGGCCAATGAGCTCGGCGTCAGCCTCACCGAAATAATAGAATTCAAGACCCGCCATAGCTACGCTGCTTATCTCTGCCGCAAGCGCGGATGTGTTCGAGCATCAGTTGGATTTCAAAGTCCCGAGGAACGTTCCAAACACGAGACATGTCACGACGAAAAATTTCGATGCCCTGAACCCGCTTGTGACTTTTCTGTACGAGGCTTTCCTTCACGATCAGGTCTTCAAAGGCATTACAAGACATATCACAGGAACCCGGATGATATCGTCCTCCCCCCCTTCCCTTCCAGCAGGCATGTCGATAATGATGAAGCCGATCCATCTTGGCAAATACCCAAGGCGCAAATGGACAGTCCCCGAATCCGTACTCCATCACCTATCAACGGTTTCACGAGTAAGAGTGGTCATAATCCTAACATGGACCAGGCGCCTGTTGGCTCTCTCCGGTTCGACTTTAGCACTCTCGAAAATAATGATGTCATCGACAATTTTGACTTTGATAGATTCCTTAACTCAACGAGTGATGACATTTTCAACTTCGATGGAGTCGATTTATCAAGGTTGATGGAGCGAAACGAAGGGTGAAAGAATCTCTGTTGCCTCTACCTGGGTCCTAGGGGACGTGATAACCATATAGCCACTAGGCAAAGGGCGCCTGGTCACCACAGGCGGTTGGGGACGTATTTGATGACCTGGTTTGACACATTTGACCCCTTTTGGCAACCAATGATGAAGCTGCTTGAATGGGATCTTTCTATTGCTTCTGGCGCGTGAACAAATTCCTATTCAGTTAAAGCAACCCAATAGTGGAAATCATGGAGAAAGGGATGTCTCTACTAAATTAAATTACTGAATATATCTTTCTACTGCCTAGAATATTAAACCTTTGCGTCTAAAAGAGCTTAAATATCAGTGCCAGCCCATACAAAGCATACCAGTAAATCATGAAGGACAAAGAATTGAAGGATGACATCGTCCCCATATATTACTACAGTAGGAATTTCTCTGTCGGGAGATAATCTTATTCCTTCGCAATACCACGAACTCGTATATTTATATTTATAAGAGCAACACGTAATGCATTTAGTCTTCGATTCACTGAGCGATCAATTGATCGATTTATAGTAGAGCAACTTGCGCTTATCTGCTATTTGAATGCTTTTGCTCCGTAAGGCTGAGCATGATAAGGTACTACCGTTCTATATGTCAAAAAAGACATCAACTCTACTTTAACACATTAAATTATGCGCTGAAACCGAATATGTCATGACTCACAAGTCTCTAGATCCTCACCCAAATCAGGTGATATATCTGGCGAATCTGTGAGCAAAGGACAAGGCAAGAGAGCATACTATCTAGCAAAGCAGAAATTGCACTTCCAATTAGAGAGGAAGTTTACAAGAAGCTCTGTTCTATTACTAGCGCTGATTATGGAGGATACAGTATGTCGCGTCGAAGGCTTGAGAATGCTCCATACTTAGTGTTACGAATCAGCCTGGCCACCGGCCGCATACGAAGCTGTGACGACAGCCGAACCTCCACGAAGGAAGGATTGCCGACAAACACGGGATCACGGGCAGGCTACGACCCCTGGGATCAAGTGACCTCTGTTCCTCTGTTCACTATGTTCAGACATAGTAGCAGAGGGGACAGAGAAGGCGACATATATATACACGGTCATTACATAGACTTACTACGTAGTCAACTTCGTTCATGATCATACCCATACGTTTTGGACTGTGATCACTTCGCTCAGAACTATCGCTCATAGCTACCACGCTCTCAGGCCATACCTTGTACTCCCCACTTGTCAGGAACCCATACGTGCAGTGACACCTCTGGTGGAGCGAAACGTAACACTTAGTTGTACCGGTAGATGGAACCTCCGAAGCAGCGTTGGATCCATTGATGGTGGCGGCTCGGCATGGTGTGATCCGTGTCGTATAGGTACCTCTACCTTACCAAGGTAGTCCTATTCGTACCGACAGAGTACTCCGCGCGTGCCCTGGGACGATCCTGTACCACAGATGATACCCCCTTACTTGTCTCCACATTCATACGCGGTCATACAGTACTGTCACGGTGCTTCTCCTACCCATATGCGGCTAGCCCCGTCTCGGCACTGCCCGCGCTTGGAGGTAAAAAACTACGTGTGCGAAGCGCAACTTTCGAACGGTAACTACTACGTTGTGCTCCCTCTTCTCATATTACTCAGGCTTGCAGTTGTATGTGGCGGCTGGAACTCACCTTGAACAACTAAACAAGAGAATCATGTCAAACGTGCTTCAGATCGATTCTTTATTGATGCTGAAGACGCACGTTAATTAGCTGCTACATGTGACTGTCCTGAAGCGACTTTTATATTCCAAGGCAGTAAGTATTAGGCGGTGAAGGACTGTCCCACCAGCTCTTCGCTCAGCTTCCATAGGTCTTTGGCATATTGGCTGTTGGTTGCCCATGCTGGTGCTGAAGCAGGTTGACAATCGCTCAGGTAGATGCCCGTGCCATCTCCTTGCGGGGCTTCGAGCTGGTCATCAAACGCAGCGACCAAGGGCGTACTCGCACCCTCATCCAAGGATTTCATGAGTGACTTGAACTTTTCCAGTAACGCACTCAGCTTTTCGACATCACCGTATCTAATCAGCTCGGTCATCAGGGCCCCCGGATGAACAGCGAAGCTGAGAATGCCATGTTCCTTGTAAAGCCGGTCTGTCAATTCCACGGAAAACAGGACGTTGGCCGTCTTCGATTGTCCATACGCAACTTCAGGAGTATAGGTGGCTTGTGGATCGATGGTGCGTCCTGTCTCCGCAAGTGCCGCATACCCAGGCTGTTCGTCCTCGGGCATGGTTTCGTGCCGTTTCTCGAAATTGTAGTCGGTGAAACGTACCCCGCTGTACGCGATGGCACGGGAGGAGACATTGACGATGCGTGTAGCCCCAGGGCGGTTTTTCTTTGCCGCGGCAATGATTTTGGGCATGATCAGGTTGGTCAACAGGAAATGGCCCAGGTGATTGGTGGCGAACTGGAGCTCGATGCCTTCCGGGCTCAGCTGTCGGGTGGGCGGACTCATGATCGCAGCATTGTTGATGACAACATCGATCTGCTCGATGTTGGGATGGTTCAAAATCACCGCCGCGGCATCACGACACGAAGTCTGCGACGATAGATCCAGCGAGACTGCAATACAATGGACGTGTGGGAACCGACTCCGTAGCTGGTCGATGATTTCCTGGACCTTTGACGCGGTCCGGCTGGCGAGAACCAGAGTTTTCGGCGCCTGGGCTGCTAAGATGTCTGCCAGCGTACCACCTAGTCCTTTCGGGCTCACCCCTGTGATCAAGATGGTCTTGCCTTGGATGGCGGAAGCGAACATTCCCGCGACGGAAGATCCTAACGTGGTCTTCGAGAAGGGCCGTTCCATCTTCTGTGAGTCTGTGTTGCGCGGTGAGCTTCGGTGTGGGAAGGTATTCGTGCAAGGCTTTCGAGTAGACAATTAGGGCCTTTGCTATCACTTGTTCTTAGTATATCAAAAAGGAGGTTTGCGGCATATTTGACACGCCTTTATTCCGGTACATCGAGACTCACTTTGTTGTCTTCCGGTCGGTCTTAAGCTCGTCTAGTTTCCTACTTCCGTGGACTAAGCTGACCAGACTATGCTTAACTCCTCCGTCCTTCCACCGGACGTCACCTTGTTGGATGATACGGCTGCTGCTAGCCATGAAAGGCATGCTTTGGTACAGAGTACCGGTCGGATATATGCGGACTGGTGAGTCGCAGTTCCCTGCCTCGGCCAACGACGGCCTGGTGGCAGTGCTTCCTTTCCCCGTTTTTGTGTTTTGTCCAAAGTCAAAAGGAGCTGAAGATTGCCCGCATGGTTGAGAGAAACCGTTTGTGTGCCGTCCTCGACTTTGTGGGCGTCTTCATAATACCTCTAGTAAACCGGCAAAGAGGATCTGGTGAGGTTCGATAGCACACTGTGGACGGTCTACCATTCCGGCTTGATCTATTCCACCTCTTTTCTAAACTTTGGTTCATGTACGACTCCTTCATCTATCTTCCTCTCACCACCCTTCTGTACACCGTGCTATTCGTTCATCTCTGTCACCACCACTCTCGACTTTCCATTCATACCAGGCACGGTAGGCCCATGTAGTCGAGGCGTATGATAAGGTCGTACCACTTGGCCGACACTCGCTGGTCACACACATCCATGTCTTCAAGAGTTTTGGGGGCACTCGTCACGATGGAAGACGTAGAAGTTCCATTGATGGAATATGCGGTGCGAGTGAAAAACTCAACACATGGTGCACATGTTAACTCCTTTCCTGCATGGTGCCAGAGACCATTGGCTATCTATTCACCCTACATACCATTATTGTCGATAACTCCCCACCACCGTTTCCAGAGACCGTCAGTCACCAATGTTGCATCATCCATTCGCGTTGTGCTTTGGAGATACTCACAAACAGCATTGTCTGCGTCGCCTTCAGCGTCATAGTATAATATTCCAGGAACGCTCGTAGGAGTGCAGTACATTTGCCAAGATCGATATGTTGGTGGCAAAGCATCGCTCGGACGTACAACATTGCAACTCCAAGCATTGACCTCGGGAGCAGATGCTCGATTCCTCCGTGTAGCTTCTTCGCCTGTAGCCATGTTAAGAGTTCCCGAGATAAATGACGCTTGTTGCTTTACCCAGACTCGCGGTATTCGTTGTTTTTCATACAAATCAATCGCCTCACTCAAGGTAATGTTTCCGCGTATAGCATCACCAATAACTGTGCCCAAAAACGCTCCATCTTCCATAGCTGTTGCTGCCCCTTGTGCCATATGATTCTGCATTGCGTGAGCAGCGTCCCCGAGAAGAACCACATTTTTAAACTCGTTCGACCATGTTTTCATGGGTGGAAGCACAAGGAGTGGCCATTTCTGAGTGTAATTGACCAGCTCGAGGATTTTCCGAGCGGTTGGATTCCAGTCTTTGTATAAGTGACGAAACTCGTCAATATTCATATCCTCGGGTCTTTCCACGATATGGTCCATCTGAAACAAGGTCACAACGTTTAGCTCGGCGCCTGCGGACAGAGGATACAATAGAATATATCCGTTAGGTCCAATCCAGGCGTCCATAGTGTTTCTTAGGAGATGCCGTGCTTCAGGGACTTTATTAAAGACCTCGTCGTACGAAAGAATGCCGCGGAATGCTGCCACAGTTGAGGCGGCCTGAGGGACCACCCCTGGGAATAAGGTCTGGCGAATAAATGATTTTATTCCGTCGGAACCGATGAGAAGGTCGAATTCATAGGCCGTGCCTTGGGTTGTAGTGACCTTGACGCCTTCCTGTGTGCAGTCTAACCTGTTGACCCTTGACCCGACAACGAGATTGACACCATGGTGACGTGCCGATTCTGTGAGTCCGGCGTGGAGATGGTCTCGACGTACTAGCCTATCATACGAGATTAGTGAAAATAAACAACAAGCGGACTTGTGTGGCAGCACCAATGGGGAAATCCTGACTGCTTCAGGCCCTCTTTGGGATCAAAATGAGCAATGAGCGACCCATCCGCCGCCCAGGTATTGGCCTCGTCCACGACAATCAAATTGTCGCCAATCAGCTTATCCACTCCCCAGCGGATGAGAAGGCGAGAAGCATTGGGAAACACCTGCATGGTGATTGGTATTCTGTGTCAGGCACTCCTTCGTTGCATGTTGACAAGTGACGCCGTCCATACAGCTAGAACTTACCTGTATCCCAGCACCGATCTCGCCCAGCTCTCGCGCAGCTTCTAGCAACGTCACCTTTGCTCCTGCTCGTGCAGCGGCAATGGCAGCAGCAAGTCCACCCATACCGCCTCCACAGATTCCCACATGAAGGTTGCTAGTAAGAGGCATTCCGGAAACTTAGGATCTGAGTATTACTTTCAAGGAGATTGATGTACGAGCTCAGAGTGAACCTGTTTTCGGCGGCAGTCAGACGATAGATAGACAAACTCGGATCTTCGAACAGGACTACCTCTACTCACCCTGATATAAAGAGCTCACCACTTATAGTTCCTCACTGCCCCTGTACATGGTCGCAATTTTGTGGTATCATCCAAGGCTTCACTGCCAGTTAAGGGATGTATCCGAGGTTACTCTACTCACAGACTGTATTCTGCGTTACACCACCGTCTTAGACCGAGGTAGACCGTATGGTATTCCAGTAGTATCGGTGATTGCTGTAGAAAATGAGCGCCGAAGGGCGGGAGTTTGAGTTCAGCATACTCATCACTTACGTGCGTTAGAGTGAGAGCCAACGGAGAGCGTACTGCCCAGTGTTTTGACTCTGGGAAAGGTAAGACATTAGGCATTAGACGGAAGTTCGGCAGTGAAGCCAAGAAGGTGGCGAGATCAATGCCTCACCACAGGGCGCTTGAGACGGACGGAGTATGACCGGGCATCAAGCTATACTCTAGACCATGATTGTTTCCCAGATTGGTGGTTGAGATGGAACAAAGGCAAGGTGCCGTGTCTTTCTCAACCTCCATGATGCCGGAACGATCGTCTGGACGAACGGGGACAAGATGCCGAGGCTGGTCTCGTCCAAGGATCAGATCCTGCATGGATCAGCGGGTGCGGTAAAGGCAGAATGACCACTCACGTCAAAGGCTGCATTTGGTTCGATCACCAAAGCTTGCTTCCGGACGACCACACGCTACAAGTGTTCCAATCCGAGGCTTACGGTTGCCCAGTTTTGCAACGACAGGGTTAACCCGGCGTTATTGCAACAGTCACGCGACCTGAAAGGAGCGGCTCTTTCTCTTCTAGCACCAGCCGTTGACAAGTTCTCTATAACAGCTCTACGACTGGATTGAAGATTCCAGTGTAAAAGGAAGTTGTCGTTGGGGCATTACTATAGTAAGTGAACCCGCAACATAGATCGCGACCTTCGAAAACTAGACCCTCTAACATTTGTATACAAGCTTCCTGCCGCTTTCCAGGAACCGAATAATCACAAAAATGAGAGCGGAAAGTGCCAAACAGGAACCACAGAACAGCTGCAAACCAAGATAAGACCCTGTCTTACTCAATATGGCAACACCAATTGGTGTGCCGATCAAGAGTCCAATAGATTCAATGGCGAAGCACATGCCCAGACGAGCTCCAATACTGTCAGCGTCCTTGCTAATGCTCACTACGCCCACCGGCACCAAGGAAGCGAAACCGCCAGAGAAGAATCCATAAAGTGCAGACAACGTGACGATACCGGGCATGGGCCGAATGGCCACCCAACAGTACGCGAGAACTGTAGATGAGATCACTGAAGGGATCAGCATATTCAGAATACCTGTGTAATCTGCAATGAAGTTCGGGATGACTCGACCAAAAGTTGAGGCCGCGTTGAGGACTGCCAGCAGATAGAAACCGATACTGTCGTTAACGACTCCAGTCTCTATAGCGAAGGGCTGTATGTAGACCAGAAAGTTGTAAGAGCCGAGGAATCCCAGGAAGCATGCCAGGCAGAAGAGAACGTACTGGGGCTCCTTGAACGCAGACATCTGGAATAGTGTCCGTGTTTGCTGGAGTCGAAACCTGAGACGCATGGATCCAATGGAGAGACAGCAAGTTGCGAGTACGAAGAAGGCCATAACACGAGTTGCCCAGGGGAAGCCAACCTCTTCTTGAAGCTTATGAAACATGATGGGATAGATGACACCGCCGATACTGCTTCCCGATGCGGCGATTCCGTTCGCCAATGATCTTCGTCTTTTGAAATACTGGGGCAGAAGAGCTACTGCCGGCATGAACAAGAATCCGGACCCTATCCCAACGCAAACACCTTGTGCCAGAATGATCTGATAGTATGTTGTCGAGATGCTGCTCATCATCAACCCAAAAACAAGCAGAGATGTCCCCGCCGGTATCATCATGGCAAAGTAGCCCGCGTCGAATAGGGGCCCGGTGACGACGCTGACGAGCATAAGCAGTGCAGATTGCACAGAGCCCACCCATGCAATGGTCGAAGGCGAAGTGTCGGCCAGCAACTGTTGCTCAAAAAAGGTCTGGAACGCTCCGTATGCATTGATAATTCCCCTTGACGATGGAGCGACCGAAGTTAGATCAGTGCACACGAAAAGCTCGTCGGTAGATGAACAGACAAGAGCAAAAGAGAAGACATACCATGAGTTGAACCAGAGGAAGAAGGCCCCAAAAACTTGTAACCATGCCTTGATCCCGTTGTCGAATGAACTTGCCTCGCTCTCAGATTTGTCTTCCATGTTGACTGAGCTTTCTTTCGCATCTTCAACAACTCCTTGTGCATCAAAGATGCTATCTGTGGCGTTGTCAGGAATGTTGTAGTTGAGGACTGCATCCATGGCGGATCGTGATGTGTCGATATCACAAAACCCTCCCTAAGATTTGGTCGAAATGGGAGAAGTGTTGTCAAGGATTTTGCGTCTTTCTGAGAGATTAGAAGATAAAATACCAGTGACCGAATAAGAGGACAAGAGAATCGCAACAGAAAGTCTTGCCTTGTTTGGACGAACCCATCAGCTGAGGGATTGGGAGTTGGATTTTAGCATGGCCACGCCCTGTCAAAGCTTGGTCACATCTTCATACCTTTCGGTGCCGTTCTGTTGCAGAAACTGCTTACGCGGGCTTTCATCCGCGTACCTACACGAAGTCTCGTCTTTGTCGGTTCGTAAGCATTGGCCGTAGAGACGGGTCAGGAGTTTCCCTGCATCTCCACGGACGACTTCGGTGTTTGTGCAGTAATGCATGGAGCAATGGCTGACGTTGTTTAATTTCAGCACGAAATGGAAATGACACAGTAACAGCTGCAGAGCGCATTGGCTATCAAGTAAAAATACACCTGATGTTGGTCTTGGTTGTCTTATCCCTGAGAGCTGACGGAACACGTTGTGTTGAAAGCCGACCACTGGAGGAGGTAAACTGTAAGCTTTCGGTCTCACTTCTAGCAACCTCTGACGTTCAAGTATCCCACAACGGACGTGGCGACCCGATTCCTTTCTTTGACCACGAACGTTCAATCCAACATCGGCATAAGAAGGTTATGGAGGAATGCCCAACTAGATTCTGGCAGCTCATATGATCTCTCCGCTGTGCATGATGTTCTAACAGGCGGCTGCAGAAGCTTCTGTGAGATACGGTATTGCTAATTTAAAGCAGCGCCAATCAATGCGCCCCTGAGGTGCTGCAATTGAGTTTCAACTCCATGTGCGCGTGTACATCTTCTCCAGCATCAACCGGCCTGTAGCGCCTGAGTCTATCCTGTAGCCTTGGCGTTTCAATGGAATAAAAACTTACATTAGCACTTCAGATGCTAACAAAGTCTTTGACATAATGGTTTTCGTGCTCGGTGAACGACGTTGACGAGTTAACCTTTGGATAAAAGCCTATCCACCAGGACAGCACGCTAAAGATGTTCATTATTTCCGAGTTCGGTCCGGTCTGGAGTTTGTGCTTGTGGATACTTTCCACATATTGTTGTACCGGAGTACTCCGTACTTCAAGACTCCTCCGCAGTATCCTGAATGGGAGTGGGATCCACAAATCACCCCTGGATCGTCCGAAGTCACCATGCTGAGTTGTAAGCATAAGCTGTAGATAACGTCCACACCAGTCTGTGGTGCCAGTCCGGGTACTGTTAGCAACGAAAGAAGAGACGGGGGGATCTCCCGTAAACTGCAAGACTATGGGCCTATGGCGGCTGTGTGAAAGAGGACATCAGGCGCAATATTCGGTACTTGACATTTCGTGTCCTAAAAGCCACGAAGGATTCGTGCTTTTACTTTCCGCTGAACAATATGACAACATTCAAGAAAGATTACACTGATCGTTCGATATTCGGCAAAGCCAAAGAAAGAGGTCTGGAAGATTGTCTAACGGATCTTTGGCATTAATTCATCTCTGCCGATACCGTTGTCGCAAGTGTGTCTAAAGCGTGGACGACCTCAATAATATCGTCTCTGCCCAGCGAAGGTGATATCGTACACATTCGCAGGTTCAAACTGCCACTTAATCTCGTCGTCAAAGGCGCTGCAATGTTCTGGGCTATGGCTCGTTTCGATACCTCGACATTCACTCTCTCGCTCAACGAGACGTCCTCCGTGCGTTCTCCGTCTGGACCTTCCAACCACGCCACGTAACTGAAATTCACGATCCCTAACCGAGCTGATGTAATGATTGTCCAGTTCTCCAGCTTCTCAAAAGCTTGTTGCACCAGCTCCGCCAGACCAATGCCGTGATCAATGAATTCTCCAATCTTGTCCAGACCCAGAACTTGAAGAGTGAACCAAAGCTTCATTGCGCGAACGGGCCGAGTAAGCTCTATTCCGCGGTTCCAGAAGTTGACTTCGGCCGAACTGGCTTCATCTGCATCTTGTATGTACGATGCACTGGTCGCGAAGCTCTGGATCAAATGGCGTGCCTCACGAACGAGTACCACTCCACATCCATAAGTCTGAAAAAGCCATTTATGGGCATCCCAAGACAGGCTGTGAGCACGACCCACGCCTTCCGCGAGGTTGCTATGTTGCTTGGATAGGATGACAGACGCCCCGTATGCGCCGTCCACGTGCAACCAGAGGTCCTCAGTTTCGGCCACCTTTGCAATTTCAGGTATCGGGTCAATCCCGCCAGTATTGGTCAGGCCACAGGTCGCGACGACTAGAAACGGGATGTACCCTGCCTCCCGGTCGGCGGCAATGAGTCTGCGGAGACTTGACGGCTGGAGTCTGTACAACTTATCGCATTCAACACGTCGAGTTTGCGTCGCATGGAAGCCGGCGATGTCGAGCGCCTTTTGGACAGAAGAGTGAGTTTGCTCCGAGACATAGATGACCGCTTTGGCCCGTTGCTCGAAGGATAACCTGGTATCTCGGGCAGTAACAATTGCAGTCAGATTCGCAATCGATCCGCCAGACACGAATATACCTCCGGCAGAGGCAGGCAAACCCGCTCTTTGTGCAAGCCATTTGACCATTGCGTCCTCCACCGCGCTTGGCCCAGAGCTTTCATACCAACTTCCCGCATGTATATTGAACATGGTGCTAATAACATGACCCAAGAGGCTCGATTCATGGACAGGAGAGGGAATGAAGCCGAAGAACTTGGGATGCTCCATGGCAACTCGGTGAGACATTATTCGAAGCATGTCCTCGATCGTCTGGCGCATAGGTCGTGCCTGGTTGCCGGGGATGGCCAGCTCTCTCATAACGGCCACTTCGCTCTCGTCCGCCACGTCCACTATTGTTGGTGACAGAGTTCTTGATCGTGCCCTGAGAAAGCTCTGGCAGAGTTCCTCTACGAGCTGCGCAGGCGTGGCACCTGAGGTCCGATCCTCTCCTTTCCCCTCCATCTTTGCGCACTCTTGATTTGGGATGGCACTTCAATCGTCGGTACTAGGCGGTCGAGTCATGCCAATGTCTTCTAAACGTAGAGACCAGATTTGGATGTCTCGCTTAAGGGGATGAAATGGTGCGAGAGAGTGACAAGCCACTATATTATCATCATCCGTTCCCATCCATGAGAAAATCGTCCATGCACAGACATCACGTACACCCCCATGTCATGGCCAGGAGAACAATCATATAACGCCACCTGATTGGATATGTGCAGTCATCTAAGAAAATTCTTTTCTGGAACAGTCGGAAAACGGCCGACAGAAAAAAAACTGGCCGAGTTATGGAACCAGTTCGAGATAGCTTTGGGAAACAGTAAATGCAAATGCATTTGTCCTGCGTGAATGCGCCCAGTAAACAAACTTTCGGCGCAGAGTCGGAAACAGGGGCACCTAAGGGTGCCCTTCACTCCATTCTGTCCTCATTTACATCCAACAGCGTCAGCTTCCGATGATGTGAACAGAGAAAGGAAAGTTGACCCGGAGCTTACCCCCAGGAGCCTTTGCCACCAGTCTCTAACTAAATGGGCCAAAATGCCTCGGAGGGCGTGAATCTGTTCACCCATGTAGCTTGTTGAGGGATTTCGGTGGTGCTGACCATTGTAACCTGCTCAATTGGGAGGGTGCCATTTCGAATCACAACGGCCATATGCACGAGAAGATGAGGCGTGGATAGCCGAATGCCGGGCATCCGTGACTTGAGACTCGAAGTTTGGCTGCGTATACAACACAACCCGTACCACTCGAACATAATCTCCGTGCTCACGCATAGAGAGATGTGCAAAAGAGAGTCGATGGTATCTCTCGGGCACTCTGGTATGCTTTGCACCTCATTGGTGGACTAGTTTTGCTTTGAACTACGGATACTTGGAATCCCTACTCAGAGCCCGTACGGGGTAGTGTGGGTCTTATACTTTTTTCTCGGAGCGACAACGGAAATAAGGGCCAGTGGATACTCCAACCATCCACTCCTTGACGGTGAAAGCGACGACTGCTGAATCTCCAGCAAACATGTTGCATTTGGGAATGAGGGTTCCCTGAGCCCATTTCAAGGGGGGAAAACTGCGTGCTGCAGGGAGGAAGGTGGTCGGATGGATGAGGCCGAAAATCCACATCGGTATTGTGCGTCTATGACGATACCGCCCTTGGCCATGTCTTTCCATCCACCTAGGTCGACCTCGGTGATTGATAGTTTACACGCAAAGGAGCTTCAACTTGATCGATGTTGACTTGCCCCCGGCACTGGAGGCACCCAGCCGATTCGGGACCTCGTAAAGACCTCGAGTTCAGGCACAGCAGCGGAGATTATGTCGGCCCCGCCGTCTAGAGTGCCTGCCTTGACGATTTTGATGCCCGGATAACTGACGCTCTCACGCCACAACGTGCTCCCGCAGTTGCTGCAAAAGTGACTTTCGATCGCCGCGCCGGAGTCGGCAGTTTTTGCATGGACCCCGGTCGTACCCGCGGTCAAATTGAAGGCGTGTGCGGGAATCAAGAAGTTGACGCTGTACGTTCCGCCACCAATTTTGTGGCAGTCGCTACAGTGGCAAAGGACCTGGAGGACCAGAAAAAGCCGGTGAGCTGATTGAGCACTCCACGGTTTGAAAGCACCTCGGTAGGGTTCGGCCGGCTCTAACCAAGTAACATGGAAAGACCCACGGTCGCAACGGTCCTCAACATTGGGGAAGAGGGAGGAGGAAGAGGGGGGGGGGTTTGGGAAGAAAACAGGCTGGCTGTACACACCTTCTTTGTCGGCTCACAGCTGTAGCTGTAGCGAACTTGGCCACAAAAACAGCCCCCCCGATAATTGATCGCACGGATGTGATTCTCGACCTTGTCCATTGCCAGCCCGCCGATCAACAAGTTGACTACAAAGCCACGGAACCAGATATGGTGGTGCCGTTGATCCATCAACTTTTATACCGATCTTTTACATGGACTCGGTACCTACGAGATCGTCCCGAGACTACTAAACAATGTGTGCGTTTCGTAATAACTCATATTACCTTAGCGGAGACCATTGTTCCCCTGCCTCATTTACGCAAACGCCGAAGTTGCCCGTCGGCACTCCGCCCGCACATACGACGGAGAATGAAGAACCTCCTGGCCGGCCTTCTACAACCAACGCTTACGGACCCAAATCACCAGACTAACAGGACTGCGGAGCCTCGGATGATTCGATCACTCGTGGGATTTCAGTGGCATTCCATGTTAAGAGGCGCAACCTACTATGCCGGATTTTGCAAGTCTGACTCTTGGTAAATACCCACACTTGAAATACACAAATAAATTTCTATAGAAAAAATTAACTAGAATTAATAGTGTCATTTGTTGAGTGTACACTTGATACAGTAATGCCATTACTGTAGCTTCCTGCTACACGCGGATCTTCTGCAAACTTTCGGAGTTGTTCCAGGGAGCTTGTCAGAAGCGGATGTGATAGAAGGGAAAGAGTCGACCCGTTTAGATCGCGCAGCTGCTGCAACAACGTTGCATGACCACTATCGTTGCATAATTCGGCTTGTCCTGCCACAAGGCGCGCACAGAAAAGCGTGGCTTGAACAACAAGCCACAGCCGACTGGCGCGGTCGGTGACTTCCCGCAGCCTACAGTATGCCTTCAGCACGAGTTGACAGCGTCTGAAAACCTCAGAATCGACATCTTGTAGCATGTGGTCGTCAGGCTTTAAGCCTTGATTACCACAGAACAACTGTTGTCTTCGACGCGTCTGGACTATGAAATAATTCGTGTAGATGTCCAGAGCGTCGTGCTGCATTTTTTGTAAGTCATCGTGGCAGGACGACCGACGTCGTAGGTATTCCCTTGCTGACGCTTGGTATAGAAGGATTTGTTGCTCTGCGGTCTGGAAAACGGAGGGCAACAATGTTCGGGATGTTCTTGTCGCTGTAATGACCTCGTGGCTGAGGTCATTCAAGATTGTCGCTTGACCGTGACAGCATTGTACGAAAGAGAGGCACTTGTTGTCTGACAGGCGAGCAATCCGGGGGAAAGAGCCGTCATTGAACGAGGCACATGGTCGATCGTAAGCAAGGGAAAGGGTGGTGTCTTGCCACACAAGGCCTTGCCTGCGCGCCAATAATACTCAGTCAGCTCGGAGGACGGGCACTTGCGAGTACGACGAGGTTCATTAAAATTATGGACAGTCTGACGTACCAGAGATGCCATGCATATTTCTCTGACGGCGTGGAGGACGCAGAAAGAGCAGCCTGCTGATGGAGCCCAAGCCTCTGTGCCAGGCGAATGGTCGTGCCTGAAGTCCGCTTAGTGAAATTTCAGATTCAAAGAGCTTAGAATGATATCATACCCAAAAGTGACCAGGAGGCATCTGGGTTGGCTTGGCCGCGAAGACATCCACCAAGAGTGGAGAGTGCAAGTATATGTTCAATCTTAGGTGCTAGGAGGTAGTTGTCCAGCCGTAAAAGCTGAAAGGCGCAGCACACTAAACAAAAAAGAAAGAATTAGTAGATGATGGTAAGCCTCAATGCCGCATTTGCCAGCACGTCCAGATCTTACCAAATATATTCGCGTTCAGCTGCGTGTCCTCCGAAGACGGATCCGCAAAGCAGCTCCCAAAGGCCAAGCAGCTGAACAGCAATGCAAGCCACGATGTAGATTGAAGCTCAGGCCCCACGTAGTTTCCAAGTGATCGTGCTCGCCAAAAGCGCCTGGCATCCTCTCGGAGTTCTAACATCGGCCCACACGGCATCGCAACTTGGTATACCTCATAAAAAGCTTCTAGATATCTGTAGAGGTTGTTAGCTTTGACCTTTATCCTCCAAGATTGACAATAGCGTCAATACCGTGTGAAGATCTCGTCACTTGGAAGTGCCATGGCGACCTCTCGGACCGAGGATCCAGGTTGCCACAGATTTTCGAAGGGGTGAATGTTTCCGGCGTCTGCCATGTAAGGCGTATCACTCACGGTAGGAGTGCGGACGCATCGTTCGTCTAGCTGCTGGTGTGGGGGATGCTCTGTCTCAGGTTTCATCGTGGTGGCTGCCGAAGAAACTTTGCGATGCGTAGCGCGTTCATAGCTCTTCGCGACCGAGTCGGAGAATGACCGATGACCGTCCTTTGCCTTTACAGATGGCGCTGCTTCTGTAAACGCTGTCCTTTCTAGAATATGCAGCTCTCGCTCGAATTCAAGCAGCCTGGAAGATCGCCTGGCAGTAACTTGGTCCTTGCCATTTGTCTCCCAAAGCGCCGCTCCATTACGTCGTCGCCGTTGTCGCAGACTTCCCCTCTCGGCCTCAGTGAACGCATAGTAGCAGAGTTCAGGATAGTCTCGCGATATACAGTTGGAACAAGGTTGGGCATTATTACATCGGACCTTGCGACGGCGGCATGGATGGCAGGCCTTCGGATACGATCGGCGGGGACGCTTTGAGAGAAACTGGTCGACGGTGTGGGTAATGTGTTCGTCACTCTCGCAACGATCCGTCATGTCGATGTTCACCGCCGCCATCTGGAGACCATCTATCGTGTCGCCGGTTTTATTGCTGCTGTCTGAGGAAGGTTGTCGATCCTCTTGCCGACTGTGCGCCTTTCCACAACCACTAGCCCAGCCACGTGACGTGATGCGCTCTCTCCCCTATATAGATCTTACCTGGAAAGGCTGTTGCTAGCGAATGTCTTATTCCACTCAAATTGGGTTCTACAGGTGACGCTCCTCGTATACGCAGTCTCTCCTTTCCTTTATCGAGAACCATATTCGAACTGGCGGCATGACGTCAAATGCGACTATCCGGGTCGCCACCAGCAAAGGTCGGTCCAAACGGTCCAGCTACTTTGACGCATATGAACGATAGCTCAATCAGAATAGATGTGCCTACACTACTTTCCTTCATGCGCGCCACCGCAGCTGAACAAGGCGTTCCGGATGCCGTTACTGCAACCGAAGATGATCTGTTAAAGACGCTGGACCTACCTGAGCCAAAGGTCGACACTTCTCCCGCCCAGATGAATCCATCGCGAAATGGAAAGGCCCTTATTCTCGTCACACCAGAAGGTGAGATCGCCGGCATGGCCATATACTTCGCCACGTACGTAGCGTGGATCGCAAAAAGTGGTATCTGTCTCGAGGATCTCTTCGTGCTTCCACCCTTTCGTCGGAGAGGTTATGCAAGACTCTTGGTCCAAGCAGTCGCGAAAGAGGCGGCAAGCCTCGGCTGTGCCAGGATGGAGTGGCTTTGCTACAGAGAAAACCACAGAGCGCTGAGATTCTATCGCAACATTGGAGCTAAGGAATTGGATACCCTGACATTCTTGAGGCTTGATCAGGAAGCGATGCTAAAGTTTTCGAACGAAGATCCTGTTTAGCAGGAACACGTATGATCTCATTACCATGTGTCAATGACACGAAATTCACAGAGTATTCCAGCCAGAAATGGCATTGAGTTCTGTCCAGTGTCTTCCAGCAAGACCCCCCTTGCGGATTGTCTCTCTATTTGAATCGACCAAATCTGGCTATTCAAGATACCGCGTGGCAGCAACGCTTCTCGTGGGTCATGAGACCAAGATGTTCGGGTCGACTTGAAAGGCTCCTATCACGCTCTTCTCGGCCGAAATCATGTCCATTCCCGCAATCTTCGCAATAACCTTTTCTCTACTCTTCATGATACCCTTTGCAACGTCGGCCCAGGTCAAGGTCGCAGAAGAAGCGATGCTGGCCGGTGGAGTGAAGTCATCTTCAGCACTCTCTTCCATTTTCAAGCATATTGGGACCAGCTTCCCTGCCGACTTCCTGACCACACCATCGATAATAACCGTCTCGACGTCACGGATGGTTGAATGTCTCACGATGGCCGTCACAGGATCCTCCTCCGCGGCACACAACATCGTTGGGCTCATAGCGTCATAGATGACCAGATCTGCCAACTTTCCGACAGCGATACTTCCGATTTGGTGTTCCATGTTCACTGCGCGAGCGCCATTGATGGTACCCAAGTTGTACACATAAGCAGAGTTGCCAACAGTTTTGTGCGGAAACTTGTCAGAGTCGAGGATGGCTTGATTGTGTGTTGCGCGAGCGAGCTGGAGTGCAAGGCGCATTTGAGCAGGCAGGTCAGGAGGACCGATGAAGTGGCCTTTACAATGTGAATGCAATGGGTCAGCTTTCGACTTTCCTGTACTTCTGGATTGATTTTCTGCAAGTCAAGAGGGGGGGGGATTTCTTACAGTCTACGCCCAGAGCAACCTGGAATCCCTTGCGGAAGGTCACTGGGAGTCCCAGTCCCATTTGGCCCTCAGATTCTGGGGTAGCAGCAACATAGACGCCCGCGTCTGTCAACAGCTTCCCGTCCTCCTGCAAAGCCTGTGAGCCGTGCGCGACCAGCACATCGGATTTGAGAAGGCCATAGTCCTTAAGTATGCTCGGTACCGATTGTAAGCCTAATGAGCGACAGGTTAGACGTGTTTTCTATTTCAAAAGGCTGCAACAGATGAAAAAGAAAGAAGGCCATCGCATCGTACCAAAAATGCGATTTCTGCAATAATGGGTGGTCAATAAATTAACCCCCCAGCCACGAACCTTCTCCCACAAGTCCACGACTGTCTCTTTGGGAAGCATCCACAAATCATATCCAAAACCGAGCATCACCCTACCATTTCCAAAGGGTTGCGCCTTGGCCAATCTCTCAATCTGGCTGTACAACCAGCCAGGAAGGAAGTCCGTGTCGGGAGCCATGGGTTCCCATTGCTTGAGACGCATAATGGGCACATAACAGAAGAAAGAGCGTAGACCAGACGCGATGGTCGCACTGACAGCTTTGTTCACATGGTTGGCTGAGTAAGTGAGATGTGCAAAGTCGACGACAGTGGTAGTCCCCGCGTCGATCGACTCAAGACACCCGCCCAGTTGGCCCCAGAACATGTCATCGGCATCGAAATTGAACGACTGCATGTTCCCCTTGTAGATGTACTCGAGGAGGGTGTGCTCCGCATGGCGAGCCTTCATTTGTGTGAGCCATAGATGATTGTGCGTATCGATCATGCCCGGAGAGACGATCTTGCCCGTACAGTCAATGACTTTAGCACCTCGCGGAGCAGATAGCGAGGCACCGATCGAGGCGATCTTGTTGCCCTGGATGAGAATGTCGGTGTTCTTGAGCACGGCGACTTTGTCGTCGGCTTGGTGCTGCAGAACGGTGCCTCCCTTGAGCAGGAGGGACGCTGTCGAGGCCATGATGATTGCGAACGAAAAATTTAGCTCTGCTCAAATGCGAAGGGCTTACTGTTTCTTGTTGGTGACAGTTTTACTTGAGCACTTAACAAGGCTCACAGTCAAGATGACCCATTGTAAGGGCCGCGTCAGTAGGTACTGGTATTATTAAGCTGGAGTTTGAAGTAACAGGAGCATCCATACTGAATAGGGGAAGAGGGACAGAGTTATGCCAGAAACTCTTGCCCATTGGTAAGCAAAGCTCTATATCGTTGAGCCTAGGAGTATGAGCGTCCGTCATCAGCTTCTCATCTAAGATTGTGCCTGGCTGGATCGGAAGGTTCCGAATGATCATGTCTCCTGGCACTCGGATTGAATGGGGATGTTGTTTCTGTCTTGGCTCCACCTCGCCTGACTTGCCGTATTCGGCCGACATACTTTATTCTCAGCCTTGCCAAACATGGCAAAGCCACCACTTGTTACGGACTTGCGATGGACTCTGTATTTTCCCGACTGTTTTCCAGCAGCTGTCCTCACGATACCGCCCAGGGTGAGTGCAAAGATGCTCCAGGGTCCGTCGCAGTACCTGGAGGTCTACCTCCCCAGTCCCACCACGGTGTCATTCACGGTGACGACGCGACGACCAGAGTCGTCAAAGCTCCGTGCCAACGTGCGACATTTTCTCCGTCACACATGTCGGATAGTCCTGGTCTACCTGGCCGTATTGGCGAATGCGGTAAAAGCGCGAGACGTTTTCCTCCTCCTTGACAGCGACGCAAGAAGGTATCATCTGGACGCGATTCTCAAGCTATGTCTCGGCAGCAGCTGGATCAGATCTCTCACAGAGCGAAGTGAATGGTGGATTCTCACCCCGCTGAGTCTTCTCGTGGTGTATCTGTGTCTGAGGAGGGATTATGTGGGTACGTTTTGTTGTGTTTGTCCATGCGTGTCGAAAACCAAAGACGCGTGTCTAATTCTGCCTTCACGATAGAAGAGTCGCTTCTCGTTCTCCAGGGTCTAGGTATCCAGACGAGCACGACTTCACGGTACTTTTTCATGGCGCCAACCACGACGTTCATCCCAACCACCCAGATCCAGGATATTGTCATCCACGAGGCGTTCAAGGGTCTGGCGGTGCGGTTCTACTTGGCTGTCATTGTCGAAGGGGCCACAGAGGTGGTGGTTGTGTTTCCGGTAAGTCAATAATACACAGCACGCCGCATACCGATAAGTACCTAGGTTTAGACAACTGACATGGTAGCTGCAGACGCTTCTTCCGCGCCGTGAGATCCTCGAAGAAGTCTGGCGAGGGGGTCGGAAATGTCTTTATTCCGGTATACGCTGAGGTTCATTAGCCAGCTAAGCAAGATCTCATGATATCATGGCGACGTGTCCCTCTATGGATGCCCCTGCATCTGTCTATGGTCTACACGCCACCGGCCTCGCCATTCCTCGCATCACGTCGGACCTTCTTTCCGCTGGCGAACTTTCCATTCAATACTTGCAAAGAGTCCATTTTGGGCTTCTGCATGACGGGGACATACTTGCCAGCAATTCTCGCGTTGTCGCCTCCCTGAAACACTTTCTGGCTTCGACCAGGCGGGTGATTTACGTCCTTCCGGGCTCCTCTTCGCAACGAACTCCCGTCGCCCTGACCGATGGCCAAATTGAGCAGACTCCCCGCTAAGATCTCTTTCATCTTGGCTTCGCGCCATACGGTCCATAGTTCATCGACGACGCCACCTGCGCCGAACTTGCCATCTCCCTTGGTCGTCAGAGAAGGCAACGTCGCTTCGTCGCCCGCATAGAGCCAGTTGAGAGAGTCGACCATTTCCTTATCACCATTGTCGTCTGGTGGAAAAACACAGTCCCAGAGGACCAGGGGCGCGTCATCTGCCATCTCATACATCGGTCTACCGGGGTTCTTCTCGATGTCGAGCAATTCGTCGACGACACTCGGTTGCTCCAGGCCCTGGCCGACAAGGAAGAGTATAGCGACCATACATCGGACCTGATGCCACAGGAAAGCAGTTCCGTGTACGCAGAACGTGTATACTTCCGGTCCTGCCTTTAGGGCTGTCGTGGGCGGTGGCGCAGGACTGCCGATCCCGAACTGGCTCATCTCTGATCGTGCAGATACGCCGCCTTCATCTTCAAACCTGACCACGTCGGCAAACGTCACCCGCCTCTCGCAGCTAGCCATCTGCTTGCTCGCGTCGATCTTGCACAAGTTTCGAAAATCATGCAACCCCTCCAGCTTCTTCGCCGCCACCCGCATCTTGTCGATGTCCAGGTACCCTTCGCGCATACCGTTCTTGAGACCCAACGCTCCAGGCGTAGGACAAAAGGACGGGTTTGTGAAGAAATACTTGTACCGTCTTTCGCGGCAGGAGAAGCGCGCGTCGAACGTTGCCGGTGGGTCCGGACACCAGGCCAACACGCGGATATCCGGTGGCAGGATCGCATTCAGTATAGATATGTATGATAACTCGTCTTTGACCGGGTGGAAGGACTGTTTTGATATTTTTGATTCTGTGTCCGATTCGCTTCCGGGATCCCCAACCATCATTCCAAACATGTCTTCTTCTCCTTCCTCTGTCCGTTCGCCAACTCCTTGTTCTTGTTCTTGGTCGTCTTCGTCTGCATCCTTATTCCGTGCGCAGTCGTGTTCTTCGGCTTGCACCACCTCCTCCTTCTCAAGGGGCCTATTACTCCTAACACGCACTCCGACAACCTGCCCGAAAGCGCTGACTCCCCTGTCCGTGCGTCCGCATTTACTGTACTCGCACCCATCCCAGTTCAGTTCTAGCCGGACCTTGCCCTCCTCGTAGTCGAGCGGGTCGTCTCCGCGCGTGTACCGTGCAATCCGTTCCTTCTCATCCCACACCACGTCGACGCTCGTGTCCGCCCCGTCTGAAAGAGGCGGGCTGATCAGCCTCGCTTTGCGGAGGGCTTTCCACAGAACCTCCTCGATCGTCGGGGCTGGCGTGACGTTGCCGTTGGCGTGTTCGAACCCATTGTACCGGTGGCCCAGGTACGCGAATTTCAAGGCGATGTGCCGCGTCGAGTACGCACTTGGATCAAAGGGGCGGGCGCGCCGTGGAGACGGAGTCCGGCTGCGGCTGCGGCTGCGGCGTTGTTGTTCTCGCTGAGCGCGGTGTGCCCGCACTACGGAGCCGTTGGGACGAGCAGTGGCCGTGGCCGCCGTGCTGCTACTGTGACCTGACAGTGTGAAATTCACCAAACGAGCCGTCTGGTCGCGCAGCTGGGATTCGAGGTGGGCAATGCGCGCAATTAGTTCAGACTGCGAACACGACGTGTAGTCTGCCTCGGCCACCTTGGTTTCATGGGTCGTTGTAGGAGGAGGATGAGTGGTAGACATGGTTCTGAGACTAGGCGTAGACGGTACAAAGGTCGAGGGCGAGGGCAAGGACGAGGAGCAGGAGAACCAGCAGTGCCGACTTCGTAAGGGGTCGTTGGGAGATAGATGTGGAGGAGATGTACCTGTCGCAGCAGTAAGATAATGACCCGTCACGAGCCTGCTCGTGAAACACAGTCTAGGGGGACCTAGAGGCATGAACAGACAGACGGAGAAGTGACCTCGTCAGCCAGCAGACTTTGAACCGCGACGTTTGAACCTCTCCACCGTCGTCCTCTCTGAAGTAGTTGGCCAACTCGGTTGGAGTAACTACAATTTTTTGAAAATGCGGCGGCAGATCTTCGGAAGCGGGCACGACAGCCTCGTCAAGACCCCGAGAGCCTCACCACTCACACGCGGTATGAAAGTCTACAGACTATTGGTCGTATTGGGGACTTCTATGACTTTCCCTCGGTCATAGTAGATCGTCCATGGCCTGTCATGCTAAGTATCTGCTTTCCACTCTTAAGTTCCATCCGATATTGCAAAAAGTCCAAGTAAGAATGGCTCGCTGCGCAATCGACCAGAATTATCAACCCTCCAGGGGCTCATGTTCGTCCTGCTCACCAACGTTCTCCTGGGAGTCCTTGATCTCGATATCACCGTCGTTGACGTCGACCATTTCTTCATCTTCCTGATCACTTCTCTGCTGATCATCGTCCTCTGCTTCCTCTCCTTCCTCCTCTTCGCCGTCGCCATCTTCTTGCCCTTCTTCATCACCCTCGTCATCTTCCTGATTGTTGGACTTCGCAAGCTCCGACATCAACTGCTTCTTATCGTCGTCCAGATCGTCGAGATCACTAAGTTCACTACCAGACTCGTCTTCTCCATCAGCCTCACCGCCATCGGTATCATGCACACTGCCTCGTCTAGAGCTCGACTTGCTACCCTCGCCATCTTCCTCTCTTGCATCCTGAAGACGCTTGTCCAGGGGTGAATCCTGCCCAGTCCTGCCTGATATCTCCACGATAGGCCTCTTTCCGAGGATTGGCGTCTTGATAGGTGGTGGCTTTACAATGGCGGCTTCGGCCTTACGCTGAATCTCACGCCTAGTGACAGTCTTCACACGTCCAGGCTTACTAGTGACGCGGGGAGCCTCCGCAAGTGGCGTTGTGTTTGGAAATGGCGATGCAGAATTTTGCAGGCCAAGTCCTACTGGCGCGGAGATCGATACTGACAGCGGCCCGTCTGCTGCACCATCTCCCTGAGCTCGGAGCATGTCGTTCACGCGCGTCTTCTCAGCATCTTCTTCGCCAGACTGCACAACATCTGCTGTCATGTTAATGAATGTGCCTTGCGGCAGAGGCGCTGGTTGTGGCTGAGGCTGTTCCTCTGGAGGGAGCTGTCTGACGTATTCCTCAAAGAGGCATGCGTACGAATCGCCGATCAGATCATCAATCAGGGGACCCTTCATCAAACTGTTATTAAGACGTTTCAGGTCTATCCCATCCTTCATGATGTCCAAGAAGACGGAAGTGGTGTCGGGCTCGTGGGACCATTGCTCCAGCTGTTCGGACTTTTTGGTGAACTCTTCGTGATTCATGCCATCAAACACAGTTCTCTCGTGACCGTCTGGAATCTTTCCAATCCGTCGTAAGCTTCGAACAAATGCCGCCACCACATCTTCCCAGACCTTCGCATGATCCAGAAAGTCAGTTGTCTTTCTCCTGATTCGACGGACTAGCTGATCCAAATTGACGCGGTCACTGAGCTGTTCCAACAAATGCGCGAAATAAGTTACATATCGCCCAGTGTAGACATAATGTCGGCCGGGGCGTTCATACTCAGGCTTCCAGACCTGGATGGTCATTGTCTTGGTAAAAATTTGCTTGGTGAATTCGTATTTTGCGCCAAGAGCATTTGCAATGCTTGGATCATCGTCGTACAATACATGTGCCGCACGAGCTGTGATTCTGTGGTGCCAGTTCGATTTGTCGGCGTGCTCCAGCTTGTGTAGTATGTCAAGAACATAAGGCTCCCAGTCGACGTCTCCCTCGTCATCGGCTAGGTGGATTCCGCTAGCAAAACGAGTCATACGCATGTACTCCTGGCCCTGTAACGGAGAAATTGAACCGCGTTTAACCATCTTATGGACCACTGACACAAGCTTGTAATGTGGCTCTAGAATGGGTTCGGTTGACCGTTCCTTCTTGGGCAAAGCTTCCAAGGCGCCAGTGATGCCATCGATCACGTCCTCGGCGGTGACCCGTCCATTGTTCTCGGGACTCTGGAACATCTTCCATAGACACTTGGCTCGAGTATAGTGCGTTATCCACGGCTTTGGCTTGTCATTGAACTTCTTACCGAGCAAATATGCTGCGAAGTGCCAGAGAGCATATTCACCAATTGGTTTGTGGAAAGGCTGCTTTGACATAGTCCGATCAACCACGCTGCTCATGTGTCGCATGTTTTTATCAGTTCTGAAAGCCTCCATATTCAGCGGAGGTCTGGATGAGGCATATAAGCGCGTTCCAAATTCTGCAAACATCTCCTGCATTTTCTGCGTTATCTCAAATCTGTCGTCAGCGTTTCTCAAGGCCATGGCGGTAGCCATAATATAACAATGTATTGCCTGGCGTTCGAGGAGTGCAATGTCACCTCTAGATTCATTGAGCTTGGTGGAATTCCAGATCAGGTCGTCCTCTATTTTCGCCTCGTAGACCTGGGCAAGTCGATACCACGACTCCCACTTGTCGATGTCATGATCTAGATCTTGCCGGAAAAATGCGGCCGCATTATCAAGATCGTTTGCGGGCGTAGGTTGAACGCGCTTAACCGATTTGTATTTTGCCAGTGTTAAGTAACCCAGGAGGAAAAACCATCCTTGACGAGCAGGACTATTCGAATCGTACGGCACTGGCCGCGTTTGAAGATCTCCAATGCCGCGTACTGAACGATACAGATCATTTGGAATGATGGGGGATTTCAGATAGTTTGAAATGATCCGTTTGTTGTAACTCACAGCAGGAGGACTCTTGACTGTTTCTAATGCTTGCTGGATCTTTTCAATTGTGCCCTTCAGTTCGCTTTTGAGGATATCCTTCATTTGCATCTGACTGGTATATCGCATGATGGTAGGTATCAACGACCCAGCAGTCTTTTTATAAATGTTCTCAGCAGAACATCCGTGATCCCGGTCTCCAATACCAGTGATGAAATGCAACTGGTAAAGATCAAAGAGAACTTGGGACATGTCTGCAGAAAAGTCCTGTTGAGTGTTAAGTATCCCCAACTCACTCCTTGCAAGCTTCAAGAACGTCTTAGCGGCATATTTGCAATACCGTCTGATGCCGAGCATATGATGAACACTGCCCAGATATTCTGCGAGGTCATCTGAAGCTCGAGGGTACGCAGCAGGATCTTGTGAGACGGCTTCTTTCAGGAGAAGATATTGCAATGTCCATGCACGGACGAGCATATCTCTGAAACGTTCTTTGCTTTTGTCATACAACCTGGATGAAGCAGTGCCCTTCAACTGAGGTCCGATTGTCTGTTTCACCCTTACTGAGTCTTCATAAACGGCGAATCCATGGAGAAGCTTGACAAGGCTAGTTACCACGCTCAAGGTCGAGAACAAATGTGCTTCGTCCAGACACTCAAAAGCATTGGATTCGTTCGTGAGCTTTATCAAAACTTTCAACATAAGCTCGTCGATATCTCTTAGCCACTTCAGCATGGAGACTTGGCGGTCTCCACCGCTCAGCTCTAGATGTCGGTTCGTGTACATTTCTTTGAAGCTCATCTCGATTGAACGCAGGAGGCAAGATACAACCTTTGGTGCATATGATATGGCGGTGTAAGCATTTTGTAGACGTCGCCATAAAAAGAGCTTCAAGCTTGCATCGCCAGATTCCAAGAATTTAATCAATTGCCCAACCTGGGGAGATTGTTCACCGAGAGTGTCAGAACCTGCGCCATCTTGTCCTCCCTCAGAAGTGGATTCAAGTATCGGCTCCAACTTTTCTATCACTGCAATCGGGTCGCTGCTATCGTTGTCAAAGATACTTCTGAAGAAGTCGATGGTACTCAAGCGAGAGATTTCCTGCTCAACAGCGTTCACTGAAATCACAGGCATAGCTTCATTGTTGGGGAGGTGGATGTTATCAGCATTTGTTCTTTGAAGAATTGCTTTGAGATCATCCAAGCACAACACCACGTGAGTTTTGTCGACCCCCTTGGTCATCGTTGCGTTGACAGTGGTCGCCCAGATGAATCGCAAGATCAATGTGTCTGTCAACTGCGGCTTTTCTTCCTCGGCCAGGTATAATTGCAAGAAGTCGTCAGCCAGCGTTGCCCATCGTCTGAGACGGTCACCTTGAGCAATCCGAACTTCGTCTTCGATTGTAGTGTTTGGATCAGTCATCGGCATAAAGATATCAAGGTGAAGTTCAAATAAGGTCTGTACAAACTCGAAGAGCTGTTTGATCAAAGTGCATCCGTCTGTGCCTGGTAGCTGCTTAGCTTCAGCCAGAGACGCGCAACGTTCACGCAACGTTTCGTAGAGATACGCGTCTGCAAGGCGAGCCAAATTCGTTACTGTGTTTTTCATTTCTTCTGGCCAGATTTCTCGCATGTAGGAAGAAGGGAGGGACGTTGTAGAGGCTACTCCCGACACGAGCGTCAAGAATAGCCAATCAAATGCAGCTTGATAGATGTTTACCGATCTCGCGTTCACGCGATTCAGTATAGACAACAGGGCATCTTCATTTGAGCCTTCGACTCGTGCGGTCTTCCGAGAAATTGTAGACTTCGAGTGTTGTGCAAAGAGAGACATTCCAGTAGAGCCCTCAGTAAAATCCTGGCTGCCATGTCCCTGCATCAGCGCTTGACTATTGTCATCGGACCAGTTTTTGAGAGAGTTTTTCAGGTCAGCAAGTAAGACGAGATCGTCTTTTGACATATCGGATAGCCCTGTGCCACTGCAACCTTGCCAGAAAGTTCGTCTACTGTCTTCTGAGGAGAGGTAGATTCTCAAATCAAACTTCGCCAGCAAAGAGTTGACCACATCAAAAGCAGTTTGATCGGCTTGTTCGTAGGTTGCAAGGTGATCAACAAATGACTGTTGGTCTTCGGGAGCACGGTCCTCTTCAAGTACACTCGTCCCTACCAGTGACTCTCGTGCGCGTAATCGCTTGCTCTTTGTTCGACTCTCTGGCTCCTCGTTCCCAGCAATAGTTGCGGAGCGCTTGCGCGCAGTAGCGGGTACAAGTTGGCTCGGCGGTTGGGGCATAGCGGTGCGAACTTCAATGGTGCTATCATCCATCGTTTCATCAAGTTTCTCGGCATCCTTTCCAACAGATGTGGTATCGTCAATCTCTTCCTTTCCTGGTGAGATTTGCTGGGGAGATTCGACGGCCACTTTATTCGCGGCATTGGCTTCTGGATGATCCTGCATTTCCAGGTCTTGCGTTGAATCAGCGCCAGTGGGAGACTCGTTGAGATCGACATCGGCAACATTCGTCTCATGATTGCGGTGATCGGCTTCCAACTTAGGTGATACAAGCTTCACCTGCGTCGCGGACGTGTATGAGGCGGACTCATGTTGGACACTTGAAATAATCTTCTCGATCGCCTTCCCAAGAGCGACAAAATTGTCTAGGGCAAGCTCGACCGAGGCACTCTCAAGACTTAGGGGTCTATGTCGCTCATCAAGGTATTCCAGTGTCTTCCCACGCTTAGGGAGGAAAGGATAAGGGTCATTAGTCCTTCGTAGTGCCTCCAGTAGGCTGTTCTTCACTTTGACATCTGCACTTCTCAGACGACTGAGGTCGTCATATAAAATGTCCAGCACTTCCTCTAGTTCACCGGCAGCGAAGGCTTCATCGAGGCCTGACAAATCAATAGTCTGTTCAGCATCTTCGTCGTCGCCAGCAAGAACACTTTCCAAGCAGAAGCGAGCCACCCTCTGGGATGATAAGACGCCTGCAACGCGGGCAGACTTTTTCCACAGATCGAGGTCCGCATCGTCGCGCTCAAGAGCCTTGGCAAAATCTCGGATGCTTTTGTTACAAGCATTGACGTAGAATCTGCACAGCTCCGCTCTGGAACCGTTCTTGTCCGGGACCTTGTGATGCGCCACATCTAGCAGAAATTGGCCCCGATTCTTGAAAGCAAGGTACAGAAGTTGCGGGATTGAACTCGCCGAGCTTTCGGCAGCGCTGCTGGGGAGCAATGCGGCCGCCGCGGTATCAGTTGCAATACTTGCTGCAGCAGGGTCGTCTTCGGTTTCATCGTGAGAGTAGTCGGAAATTGCTTCTGGGTATTTGAACACCTCTGATTGTAACAAGTCGTGGTAGGCAGCAAGAGCTTCCTCGAAATACTCGGGGCCTTGAGAATGAAGTTTCAAGGCATTTTGATAGAGTTTGAAGGCTTCTTCAAGCTGGATTTCTTTTGTATCGTCGATTTCTTCTTCAAAAGTGTCCTCGGGCTCGACGTTGAGCGCAGTGAAGCCTGACATGATTTTTGTTCCTTATGATTTCTTAGATCGAGTTGAAGCCGGGGTGCAGAGTGCCAACTTCATGTCGTATATGGTAGAGCGAGATCCCTTTGCCGCAACACGGCTTGTCAGCTGGCGCTTCCGGATGATCCAGTCTATGCCTTCCACCTGCCCTGGAGATTAAATAAAATGCGGAACGTCGAAATGTCGAAAACGAGATAATGAAATGATGAAAGGGTGAAGTGGTCGATGGTCGTTTATCCTTACGCGACGTAAACGCGCAGATTCTCCGCTAGTTGGCTTAGTACTTGCCTAAGGGATGTTGTCTAGATCAGGCAAGTTCCCCGATGTCCGGGATGTTCAACATTCCTTCAACCGCTGGTGCATGCAACGACCTGAAGCTGAATTCTTTGCGTGAAGATGATACTGAGGTGGTGATCCAATGATACGTGTTTGAACCTTCAAGTTTGACACCTGGTTGAAACAACACTACCCATTGTGCCTTGCAGAATACATCTCCTAGCTTGAGTCGATCTGTCCTGATAGTGTCGAGTTCGCCCAGGAGGGTGCGCTACCATGTTTGCGCCTGCGGTGCCAGAGTGAGTTCGCAGGAGCAAGTGATTCATGTGTGCCACCACTGACTTGAGCACCTTAGGATCATCGAAGATGACGATATTGGACTGGCTGTCGATGCCCGAACAGAGAGTCTGCCTGCCTTGCGCGAACTAGGGCCTCCTGATCTTGTGCACCTTGTTAAGCAAAGTATCAAGGCTGGCGCGAAGCAGACGGGCGTGTATCATCATGTTACCGGTGCCGACGCCTCCTCTTCCGCAAGTCTTGCGGCCTATGTTAACACCTTGACTTTCAATCCGGCGGATAAGACACACAAGGTCGTCTCGGGACTGTACTGTTGTTACAATGCATTCTCCCATTTGGACATGAGGGTGGAGGTCAAGATTCCAGGCAGCGTCGAGAGCTACTGCGTTGACGAGCGAGGTGATAGGAGGGTTGCAACTGACGGTCTATGGCTGGAAACATTTTTGTGCGCAGTCCTGCGAGCCTACTCCTATGCGGACGATGGTAGTGGAGACACAATCAAGAAGATCGTTGGTGTCAGGAGATTCAATCCCATCACAAGTACAGAGCAAGAACATCGATTCTTCGAGGCTGCAGAGAGGTTGTTTTTCAGCGGACGACAACTGGGGTCCGATCCTGAGATACAGATCCCCAATGTCGTGTCAAACCATCTCACTGCAGGCTTGCTGAAATACATCAAGACCACCGGGCGATATACCTCTGGAGTCAATCTGTTTGAGAAGTTGCGATCGAAGGATGTGGAGGTATCCTCGCTGTTGGCGCGAGTCCTTTTAGAAGGAGACGAAGAAATCCAGGCTGTGCGCCTCCTGCATGACGCACTGCAAGACGTTCCCATGGATTATGCGCTTCTAGATTGTCAAGCGTCATTCTGTCAGAGCAAAGGTGAAGGTGCAATGGCACTCGAGTTGGCAAAGCAGGGCGTTACGGCCGCCCCAAGCGAGTTCAGCACCTGGGCCCGGTTGGCAGAGGTCTACGTCGATCTCGAGCAATGGGATTTGGCTCTTCTTACCCTTAATTCTTGTCCCATGTTTTCCTACCAGGACAAGGATTCGCCAAGGATGCCGGAGCCAAGCCGTGTTCTCCTACCAATCCTTCCAGAGAGCGCACTTGACGAAATTGACGAGGGCCAGCCGCGACAGGGGGAGCCTTATGACCAAGTGCACGTATCCCTACGGAAGCTACAAGCTGCCACCTACCAAGGAACGTTTCTGAAAGCGTACAGTCTTCTCACAAGAATTGCAGCCTCAATAGGATGGGATGCTCTACTAAAGACACGAAGCCAAGTTTTTGTTATGGAGGAAGAATATAGGACAGAACGGCAACACACAGCGACGCCAAAAGCTCCATCGAGCAAGAATGCAAGCACAATCGCATTGTCGGGAACACCCAACGGTCATGCCGATACTGGAAAAGCGCAGGATTCAGAAGAAGACGAATCTGAGACTGATTCTGTAGTGGACGACGAAAAAACTATTGCCGACCAGCAGAATGGGTCTTCAGTGAATGGCAGCTCAAAAGAGAATGCTGAGCTGAAAACAGACCAGTCGATGGAAAAGCCTGTGCCGACGATAGCAGCCGAAGAGGTCAAGTCAGGTAGTGATGACGCTGATCCATCACATTCGCACTACCCTGGCTTCCAGAACAAGAGACTGTGCGAGCGCTGGCTTGACAACCTCTTTATGGTTCTCTATGAGGATCTTCGCATATACACCATTTGGCGAACCGAGATGGGTCAGTATCGACAGCAGCAAAAGCAATACAAAAAATCAGCTGCTGAGTGGGAGATACTGGGAGACCTCGCTGAACGGCTGCATCATACAAATGAAGCCCTAGAAGCCTACCAACAATGTCTGAACATCAGGTTCTCCCCTAAAGCGATGAAGGGACTTCTTCGCATGTACGAGAAGATGGGTGACACAAGAAATGTTCTAGCCTGCTTGATTCGTCTGATCACCTGGCAATACAGGTGGTATTCTGAGGTATGTCCTCTGCATCCATTGATATTTCCGCGCTGACAAGGTTAAACAGTTCTCGCCCGAACTTTTTTATTCAATACGAAAACTCATTGAAGAGGAGGGTGCTGTCAAGGTTCGTAGCATTGTTCAGTCTACCAATCTACCCCAGCATGTGCTTGACCTGACCCACGAGTACTGTCAAATATGCGTGGCTTTTAGGAGTAGTGGGACGGAAGGTTAGGTGAGAAGGTAGGAGAAACAGGGTGAGCATAAAACACTATAGGGCATTCTGATCTGGACTCGATCGATTTCTGCAAGCAGGCTTTCGAGCGAGCGCTGGCGTTGCTCTATTTTATGAAGTTAGAGAATTGTTCGCAAATACTCGTTACATTCGGTGGCGGTGATTCCGTCCAGGCCAAGCGTGTCAGAGGCTATGCCAGACACCGTAAATACCAATAATCAATTACAAAGATCATGCACATGTTTTTCGTCTTTTGATTTTCAACTATTCCACATAGAGAACGATTACACCACCGCTGTCCTGCAGTGGGTTTGGCGGTTTGGATATATTCGTGCGGCAGCAGATGAGTAAGTGAAATCCGCAAGCCTGCGTTTACAAGAGACACGGAACAACCTACACAGAATTATCGGGGTCCCGATTGTTTTTGGCCCCACGCTAGTCTATCGTAGACAAGTCTCTATCCACGGACATTGTTTAACTCTGTGATCGCGTTGTAAAATCAACGTCACGTCCTAGGCGTCAGTCAGATTCGATCACAACAGCGAATTAACTGAAGGATGAGAGTGGGAGGCACTGATGAGCCGAGGATTTAGCATAGGGCGGCGTCAACTGTTTCCCGATTGGGAGCCAGGCACCTTGGCATCAAACCTCATTCTGACGCCCGCCAGAGAGTGTGTAACGCCCTGTTGGCATTTGGCCTGTCCTCGCCTCGCCTCGCTGAGGCATTTAATGGCTTATCGTTGTGAATCCAACTTTATCAAAACTTCTTCCCACTCGCAACTGAACGATCAAGATCGAAAACCAACAAACATCAATCGCGTAAAGGATACGACAAAGGCATCATGTCTGCTCAGAAGCGGATCACCAAGGTACGCTTGCGTCGTCTTGGTTCTCATGTGTTTATGGACTAACAACAACGCAAAGGAGCTGAGCGAGTTGACAACATCACCACCCGCCGGGATCACCGTGGCATTGGCGGATGAGTCGGACCTGTACAAATGGGTGGTGACAATGGAAGGACCCGCGGGCTCTCCATATGCTGTAAGTCCCATCATAGCCTTGCCTCAGTTTCTGTATCGATGACTTTCTTCTTGACTGAATGTCGTCGCTGTCTTCCCTTTGACCCAAATGACCGTCACGCCTGTGTTACCTGGTACTTTGGCAGGGCCAATTCACTATCATTGACTCTCTGGCGTGCTTGGCGGGGCAGTTCAGTCTAGTCTCACGTGGCCCGCCATGATCATGACCTCCACCACTATCAATACTACCGTAACCGAGACAAACATACCTCTCTAACAAGCACGGGTTTCTTCTTGTTTTCTGGAAACATTGGATCGACACAAATTGTGTATCCTCATCTCTAACACAAGTGACCAGGGCGGCGTCTTCACCCTCAACCTCACCCTTCCCACAGGCTACCCCTTCAAGGCACCAACCGTCACCTTCGCCACGAAGATCTACCACCCAAACATCAGCAATGACAGCCCTCCCAACAGCGGCACAATGTGTCTCGGAATGCTCAAGGACAGCGAGTGGAAGCCCAGCACCAAGATGGCTGCCGTCTTGGAGTTTGCCAGGCAGTTGTTGAAAGGTACGACTTGATCGCGCGCTCTTCTTCACAAAGCATTGTCCTTCTCTCATCAACCGCCATGTTGGCATCGGGGAATCCTGGCTAATGATCAATGACAGAACCCAATCCGGACGACGCGGTCGAAGCCAAAATCGCCGAACAGTACCGTGACGACCGCGCCAGCTACGAGAAAGAGGCCAAGGAATGGGTCAAGCGTTATGCCACCACCTCCGCTTCCGGCAACAACAAGAAATAGGACTTCTTGTCCAGGTTCATGGGCGGTCATTCTGGCTCCGGTTCTGGCCCCGCCCCCGGTGCTGCTCCGACTGTCTTCCCGACACCCGAGGACTCAGCTGATGCGATAACCACGATCTATGTTCCAGTTGTGATGCCTCAAGCTGAAGAAGCCCCTCCTCAGCCTCAGAATGCCGGACCCCTTGTCGAGCCACCAACCGAGCTCTACGGTCTCGGCATTACCTTTGGTCCCCCTGCTGGCAACTGAATAGCCTGGCCCCCCTCCTTGCCCGTGGGTCACCTGCATGTTGGGTTTGCATTGCATTGTCCGCCACGACATCTCTACAGGAACTGAATGGGAGGAGTTGGAAAAAATCATTTGGACAGCGACCGTGTTGTCGCCCAGTGGAATGCAACGTGTGCAGGCCCACAATTTGAGAGGTGCCCCGAAATATGAAGCCCGAACGGCAACAAGCAGGTGTGATTGCAAATTCTCACTCATACTCGAGTGAGACATCCACACGACGTCAACAGTGTGTGATGTGGTTCTGTGCTTTTGATTGCGTCCCAATGACATTGCAAGCGAGGTCACCATGAGTGTATTTGTGCATCCTTGGAAGAATGGATCGATGGGCAAGATTGAGCGATTAGGTATCCATTGCAATGACTAAAAAAATACTGTTCCATCAATTCCAAGATGTGGTTTTCCCACCTTAGATACCTGACCCTCTATCTAACGCCCATTCATCACCCAATGCCTCCAAGACTACTCACTCGTACGCGGGCTGGATCTCGACGTGGAATCTCACTCCAGCACTAGACATCAATGAGATTGGACAGGTTGTTGAAAGATCCCCAGTAAACATTTCAACGTAAGGTACCTTATGTTACAGAGTACTGTCTTCGACACCCTTTTTTATTCTCTGAGATCTCGACCTGAGCATCTCCCCCTGGTGGTAAGTTGCTATCTTCGGGAGGCGCATCACCAACAAGTGAGTTGGCTTTGACGACCAAAGATTGCTTGTAGTGGAACGCTATTGATCGGTCCTCGTTCTGAGGTGTTTGGTTCCCAGGGATGACTGTGAGGGTGGGTGGCCAGCCAGTCCCATGTTCATAGCCGCGACAGACCAAGGCCCGATGTCATCATCATCATCATCTCACGCGTAACCCGACATGGATACGCCATGATAGCCTTGCAAACCTCGAACGGAAGCATCATATCAACCAAGTACCGCCTCTTGCACCGTTCGCAATTCTGTGTAGAACGCCGCGAGTACAATTAGATGCATGTGTGGTTGTTCCTTGGAGCCAACTAAAGCAACCTCTCTGAGCAAATTGGATTTTGGAATCTCATGGCAACCGAGACTTCAATCCGCCATGTCCTCGTCTTCATCGTCTTCGTCTTCCACTTCCTCCTCGGCATTCTCTTGATCTTCCGCGTCGTCGAGATCGTCCCAGTCCTCGAGCTCGTCACTGTCCCATTCTTCCTCGTCGTCGTCTTCGTCGTCAGCGCCTTCCCCCGCCTGCCCTGCGTTGGCCTTGGTGTTCTTTTTTAATTGCTTCTTGCGCTCAACGTTCTCCCTCTGCTCCTTTTTGCGTTGCTCTTTCTCTTTGCGCCTCTTGTCCCATTTCTCGTCGAGTTCTTTCTCCTCTTCTTTTGACTTGGTCACGAACTCGTTCCACATGACCCGGCCCTCACACACACCTTCCTCGACTTTGACGAGTCGCAGGCGCATGCGCGGACCTAGTTCTACGAGTTTGACCGCTCGCTTCTCAACATTCGACCGTCCTTCTGCGTCCTTTTGTTGCTTTTCCTGGTCCCCCTTTTGTTGTTTCTGTTGCTCGCGCTTACTCAGAACTCGCTGTGTCGTCGTCTGGGTCACCTCGACTTCGGCATCGGTATCGAGCTCAGTCTCACTTGCAGAAGTGTAGCCACCCGATGCCGGGTCGAGAATATAGTCGGCCACGTCTTCAAGCTTGCCCAGGTTCGGCAGCGCGCCCGTTTTCTTCTCCCTGTGTCTTTGCTCGCTAGGGTCGAATCGGCGCACCCTCTTGGAAATGCCTGTCCTGCGCGTGGTGATTGCGTAATGCCGTAGGCTGATGATGTATTTTCCGTCTGCCTGGGTCTCGCGGTTGAGCAGAAGAATTCTCTTTATAGAGTTCAAGGGCGTTGTTTGGGGGCTGATGGGTGGAAACATTGACTGGAAAATGGTGGTGGTCAAGGACTCAAGCTGCTTCTTGATGGGGTCTGCGTCCGCATCTCCAGCAGTCTGCGACACAAAATTGTTCATCACGAGGAGGGGCGCTGTGAGAAATTCTTTCCCTCCTCCTCTTGGATGTTTCTGAGCCTTTGCGATGTCCTTGCTCAAGGCATACCGTTCAGTGCGGAAGGTCAGCGTCGGGCCCCGGGGTGCAAGGGCAACTCTGAGATGAACATTTCCTGTCTTGGATCGCGAGAACAGGAAAAGATGTGTGACCCCCAGCGGGCCTGCCATCGCTGTGTAGTCTTTGAGCTTGTTGGCTCTCCGTTCCTAGTGCAAAGTCAGAGAATGCTCACCCGGCAATGATGCTCAACCTGTCACTGACCTTCAACCTGCTTGCTGTATCTGGTTCCATCACTGCTCGAAAGTCTCTCGCCAGTTGAGTGACACTGGGACCAATGTCGCCAGCGCCCATGCGAATGACCATGCTCTTCGGCGAGCGGTTACCCGGGCCGGGCTTGCCAGAAACATCCTCTTTGCGAGGCTGTGTCCTCTTCTTCTTCCTCGGTTTCGCCATTGTCACAGCGAAGGGAGTGTAGTGTTGAAATGCAGCGGTTGCGTCAACAAGGCTTCGTAGTGCAAACTGCGCTTGCGGAAAAAAGTACGGCGAGCCGAAGCCAATTTTTTTTCTGATGAGGCTTGATAGGCAGAGACGTCTAACTGGCACCCCAAATTCGGAGACGAGTGAGGGGAAACATGTTTTTCTTGGATCGCCTCGAGCTACGACTCCGAGGAGCCTGGCACCGAAGACGGCTCGATGCTGCCGTAGATACCTTATCTAAGTTAAGTGGCGTACCGAGTCATTCAGCGACCTGCCGTGGGTTTAGGGGAGCCTAAAGCGCCTAATAGTAAGTGGAAAATCCTGTATTTACCTAGGTGAGGCTCACTAACTAGGCTCACTAACCTAAGATAGGGCTACGGATTACCCAGTAGGTACGCACTGCCTAGGTAGGTACCAGTTAGAAGTACTCGAATTTGGGAGACCGTAGTCCCAGTATCAAAAGCAATGCAATAGCACCTTTTCTGAGCCGCCTACATATCTCCAGGGAAAACACTGCTTCTTCTCGACACAGGGTTGCCACAGGCATTTACCTGTGCCAAGTCAACATTGTGGCGCCCATGCCGCTCTTCGTCGGCTGAAGTAGCCGCACCAGGTGTCCCTGGCCAGCCATCCAACGGTCGCCGAGTCGCCGAGTCACAAGTGACCACTCCCAAGGAGACGGAGACGGAGACTCGCTGGGCTATTGAGGTAGAGCTGCTTTGCTTTTTCTAGGGTACAGCACATGTGGTAATTAGGCGGTGGTAGGCATGTGTTGTCAGAGGCAGACTGCGGTCCACGCGAGATGGTTGGCGCTTCCAGTGGCCATTTCGGCTCCCCTGCAGAAGCCACAAGGCGGCCTTGAGCTCAATTAGGCTCTCTTGCTAGTCCTTAGGCGCTCTTATCCCTGTCTCGCCGTGTCTGCGGACTGCGAGGTCTCACCAACCAGTCGCATCCCCAGCGTCGGCTTCCTGCAACTCGATAAACTCGTCACATAACGGATCCCATGTCTTTCGTCCGAGCGCTCGTGTGCTCCAACATTGCCATTCACTAATCCCCATGTCGGATTTATTAATACGCCCTCTCTCGGCTCAACCCCAAGCAAGAGGGATCCCTCCTCCAGCAACACCATAATGCCGTTCCCAGAGCCTCTGGTACCAATTGATACTTCTACAATGCCTCGCGAGCCAGATCTGGAGTATGCAGTCGACCAGGGCACCGCATTCCCCGACATTGCAACCCAAGAGGCTCAAAATGTCGCAGCCGCCGCACGATCAACACGAACAGCGACCAAGCACACTTCTAGAGCGTGTACCTCCTGCCGAAAACGAAGACGCAAGGTACGTTTGTCGGTTCTTCTCCCAGATTGCCTGTCCTACTAGCTTGTTACTTGTTACCAAACGCTGATACTTGATGTCTCGGACAGTGTGACGGTGATCAGGGCGGCGGGAGATGTTCCGAATGCGTCAAACACAATTTTGAATGTGTGCTCGACGCAAACACCGATCTCAGACGTAAGTTGCATCGTGAAAAGGCGCGGAAGGACCAGCAACTTCTTCACCAGGTACTGGCCACGTTGCGGGACCGCTCGGATGGAAGAGCCGAGACTTTGCTTCACCTGATCAGCACAGACGCCCCCTTGGCGGCGTTGCAAGCACATCTTGCGCAGGCCGATCCCGAAGAAACAGTCGCCTTTGGCTGGGAAGCACAACCAGATACGCAGCAGCCTCAAAGCAGCAGCATTCAACCAGCATTAGCGCGATCGACGTCGTTGAGAGCATTGCTCAATCCTCTGACTCCGCAACAAGGACGAATCCGCGAGCGTGGCCAGCAGCGCGGATACTCGCTCGGGGAGCAGAACATAGCATTTATATCCAATCCTACAGACATAGTTAATCCTTCAGAACAGCAACCGCGGTTTCCCTCCTCTGGAGACAACTATGTCGAGCCTGGAGCTGTCCGCTCCTTTGGAAATCTCCCCATGTCAAGCGCCATTCGGAGCAATGGCTGGGCGCCTCATGTGCAGCAACAACAGCTTAACCTCTTCCATAAACCGCAGTATTCTTGCGCTCCATTGTTGTTAGACGACCCTGGGGTGGAGGATCCATTGTCAATATCTGCCCACGCTTTCATCGATGATGCCCGCTCTCTGATCGCTCAAGGTGTACCAGCCCGAACCATTCTTAGTATGGACGGACTGCAAACCGAGCTCTTTTTCCGCGACCGACAGCCCGGAGATGGACAGACTGTTTCTACCTGGGTGTGTGAGTTCACCAAAGCATGGAGAGGCATGCTCCCCAATGACTGCTTGTACACTACCCTCTATATGGTGGCATGCTTCATGCGGTGGATGGTCATGCCATGTAAAGAGACATGGCTTATGATGCCCGAACTCATGAGACCCCTCCTGGATCAGATGGTCGTACCACACCACAAACTATTTGTTGATCTCTGCCATATCCCGCAGCTTCGAAAGTCCTTTTTAACTTATAACCGAGATTTTACCCATGTACTGAGGCCTGATACTTTCAACCCCCACTGGAGTTTCGGCGACGACAAATGCGTCGAACCCATCGGCGGCACCAGGCTGGAACACAGAAGTCGACTCACAGATGAATTCATATCACACATCAGCAAGCCGCAAAATTGGACTCTACACAGCTCTGTTCTAGCACATTTTCCGGATCTGAGCGACCAGATTGGATTTCACGATGGCTACTGAGCGACTTGCATCTATTGCACGGGAAGTCGACGTCGCGCATCAGACAATCTTGGCCTGAATACGTCGAACACCCATTGCTAAGACAGAAGCCCGCGACTTTTGTGCCTCGTCTCAACGTTGGCCTCGCCATGAGTGATTCAGCTACTGCTCTTCATGCAATGTCATTCCAGTTACCGCGACGGGTATGTCTTACAACCTTCTCTCCTCATCACGAGCGGGACTTGTGCTTTCGAAAGAGACGGACCAGTAACATCACCGTTAATTTATATGTATTCATATGCCATTACGATGAGAGATGTTTCGTTGGCAGTCTGTTGCGCCCAAGCCGTCCTCAGAGCGAAATGAGACATGCAGTGAACTAGGAGGCCAAGGAGAGCGCGACGGGCCTACAACCCTCCCAATGCCACTCAACGCTGATGCTCTTGCAACGAACGCGCATAAGCCAGGATATTGATGGTATCCACGCGAATGCTGGATGAAGGTCACGACACCTGGTCAAGCTGGCGGTGTTACATTGCGTAAAATCACACAAGGCAGATTGGGGAGAAGACCAATACTAGCGACATGCCACGGTTTACAGATGCGGAACTAACAAAAGGAAAGAGGACGAACGGCGCTGATTTTGAGTTCTACAATAATGCGAAGTGTTCTAGATAGGCTTTTACCTGGAGTCGAGGAATCACTGTAGGTCTATTATTCCAAATACCCAGGCGCCCCCGTTAGTCCAAAGTCTACTTCCAAGCCTTCTATCATTTGAGGCAAAATTCTGCGCGGATTGGCCCCCAAACAACCCCAGTCTAGACCTCACCGGCCTTACCAAACTCTTTTGAGCACGGGCTCTCCAGGCTATCGAATGGCTGATGCCCGTAGACGGTACGCGTGGCAGTACAACAAAGACCATATGCACGTACAGTGTGGCTTCGCACAGATTGTGCCCCTGATATTGTCGTGATCTTGTGAACCTTTGACTGCAGCCTTGCAGCAACCTCCATACTTAAGTCGGCACCCACTCGTGGGCCGTTACATCATGGCCACGAGAGCTTCTACCATCAACACAGACGTCACAAGCACGATGATTCTGCTCGCCATTCTCAATCTGCTTCTTGCAGTGGTCGGCACCGCTGCACTACCTCAAGGGGCCAGCTTAGTCGCAAGGAGCACATGCTCCCCGCGTCCCAAAGACCTTTGGCAGCCCGTGGTTGGAGTATCGTGGAATTACCAGTTGCTCAAGCCAATTTCTTTACTTCAAACCGTCGACGCAAAGCCCAAGTTGTGGGCAATTGACTTGTTCGACAACAATGCCACCACCATCACCGTCATGCAGGGCAAAGGCCACCGAATCATCTGTTACTTTTCCGCAGGCAGCTATGAGAATTGGCGACCAGATGCAGCCAGCTTCAAGCCTTCCGATTTGGGCAATGATCTCGACGGCTGGCCTGGTGAAAAATGGCTCAACCTGAGCTCGCCAAACGTCCGGAAAATAATGAAGGCTCGTCTGGACCTCGCGGTTCGCAAGGGTTGTGATGGAGTCGATCCCGACAATGTCGACGGCTACGACAACGATAATGGACTAGATCTGACGGAGGCAGATTCAGTCGACTATGTCATGTTTCTTGCTAACGAGGCACATGGGCGCAACCTTTCGATTGGACTCAAGAACGCCGGTGCCATCATTGACGGCGTCATCGATTGTATGGAATGGAGCGTCAATGAGCAGTGCGTCGCCTACGACGAGTGCGACACCTATCAACCCTTCATACAACACCACAAACCAGTCTTCCATGTCGAGTACCCGAAGGGAACGGAGACCAGTAACAACAAGCCGGTCTCGGCTGCGACGAAGAAAAAGTATTGTCAAGCGGAGGACGAAGCTGGCTTTTCAACCATTCTCAAGAATATCAATCTGGACACTTGGATCGAGACATGTTGATGGTGTGCAGAAAGAGATGACTGTGAGCTAATGGACATGTACATATTCTGCTTCATTTGCACTGCAGCTTCAGACTTTACTGATCCAGTGGCTGTGGGCGGAGGAAACCCTAAGCTTCCGCTCAGAAACACAAATCTCGAGCGTCGTGCCCTCGAACCACTGCAACGGCGAGTACATTGAAGGCCACATTTTAGGTTCAGGTCACCTACTACTGGGATAGGCCTAGTTAAGGGGCCTGGTGCAAAGTGGCTGAGGCGTGGGTACAACACAACGCTAAAAAGCCATCACAGCCTCAAGCTGAGCGCTGAGGCCTACGACTTCGAAGCGGCCTTGACTTTAATCGAGTGACTCATCGGAATTCGTTCCTTCGCGTGTCAGTCGTCATTCTGTAGACATGGTTTGACATATCTATATCGAGCCATTTCTGGCTGGTTCCTTCTCGCTTGGCCATTTGGTTCTACCCCCGACCCTTTCAACTGCTGTACTCTCGCTCGACTTCGACTACTTGCCACTAATGGATCCTGACTATGCGGACCAGTACCGTGACTTACGATCTCGACGACACGCTCGCAATCGCCATGCCAAACACGCCTCAAAATACTATGGCTATCGCGGAGTGCACCCCAGTTGGGTCGGCCAACCCCACTACTCATTCATGCTTCATCCCAGTACGAGGCGTTCCCTGCCAGGAGAGTATTCTTCGTTCTATCAAGCCTCAGCTCCTCTGGTATCGATGCCTCAGCATATGAAGATCTCGACCTGGACCAAACGCGACATGTGGCTCGACCGAGATACCGATATTTGGCCATTGGACCGACAACATCACAGGGGCAAGAAGATTCGAGAGAAGCGACATACCAAGTGGACACTGGAGACACTGGGAAGGAGAATGAAGGCGCAGTCCAAGACCATGAACGGTACGATTGCCGAAGGCAGGGCGGAGGTAGCGATGTTGTGCCACGACCAGGGATGGAATCGAGGCCACGAACACCCTGACTCCGACCCGTCAAATAGTGACAGTGAAGTAGACGACAACGGATCCATGGTTCAGGATATTGCCGACGAAGATCGCGAACAAGCAGACCACGATGGTTCAGGGGACGAAGAAGGATTTGAGTTCGTGTCAGCCGATGACTTTGACGTGCAGTCACTGTCCTCCATGGGGGAATTTGATCTTTGACCTCATCCCACGATGGGCCATCCCTGGAAATAACTTGAGTCACACCTCGACCGGATCAGCATTGGCCCTACCCGCTCTCCGTCCACGAAGACACTAAAGGTCGAAACGTGACCTATCGAATGTGCATTAAGTCGAAGTCTAGGGCACTGGCCAGGAACGAGTCGTTACACACCACACGCGTCTATCCTACGTCAAGCTTCCCAAGCCTTTTTCGCCTTCGGGATCGGAATGAAGATCGACGGTCGGTCTGTTAGCGGCACCTCGTTTTGCACGAATCGGTTGGGCGATACTGAGTCTAATAGAAGATATCCGGATCTGTACACCGTCTTCGCAGAGAATCGGAGAGTGACTTGTTTCTGTCGGTCTTGGGCTTGAGGGTAACCCTTGTGGCATGGCATATTACTTATGATGTCTGACACCGCCGGCCACGGCTAACTAGAGTTGTGTCAACAAGCAGTACAGAATCTGGGGACTCCGGACGTTAGGAGAAAGCCGTTTACTATGTACGTGATAGTATTGACATCTGCAGCTGGCGTGGTGAAACAGTTCAATACTCCATCGATTCCAAAACCCATGGCGGATGCGGTTTTTGATTGGGATCGCTGACACCGTTACTCCAAGGGGCATAGAAAGCTCCCAAACACCGGGTCCTGGCGCCAACTCGTCACCTACCGCAATTTCGCCTCGATCCGGAAAATATCCTATCGCCGTTTGTGGTCTAGTCGATGTCAGTATCCGGAGTATCAACAAGCCCTCCAGCTCCTTAGGCATTCCAGGCATCTGCAAGGCGCCGATGCCTCCCAGGCCATGAGAAACCGCCTTGTACTACCCAAATTGGTGTCGATCCCTACCGACGGGACGCGGCCGGCGTAATAATGCATACTACGACGGGAGGTTGACGTCGAAAATGCTCTTGGGCGCCTTAGTACTTGTACCACAACCACCAGAACTCTACGCCCCTGGGTTACGACACAACTTCTCTCTCTTTCTCTCTCTCTCGCGGACACTCTTTCACAGAATGATATTTACGTGAGGCAGTACCCACGTTTCCAAGGGAATCAGTGCACCCTCTCAAAGAAGCCTGCCGTTCGTTCTTTTTTCCATTTCAATATGGGTCGTCCGTCGTTCAGATCGTCCTTACTGTTGGTGTTGTCGCTGGGGGGTAGTGAGGTCGCGTCTGTCGCTATTCAGAGAGCACCGAGACTGCAGGAACGCGCCCCGAATGGATATTTGTTACCGCAAAACGATTCCCATGCGTTGTTGAGGTCAACAGACATTCTGACAAAACAAGCCGGCTACTTATATGGTCCTCCTGTTGCTGGTGGGCCATACTTTCCATCAGGAGTCTTGGGCGTGGCAAAGGCTGCGGCTGATCAGGTTGAGATTCAGCTTGACGAAGCACCGATCCTTGCCGCTACTGCGGTTGATGCCGCCGACAGTACCTTGTTTGCTGCACAGTACAACGGTTTGCAGACCCTGGACGACTACACCCTGCTGTACGATGGGCACTGGAAAAGCTTCTTGCCACATGGGCCGGCCCCGGGCATTCTATCCAACTATACTCAGGACTTGCTGTTTTCCATGGAGCGACTTTCCCTCAGTCCGTACCAGGTCAAGAGACTCAATCCTGCATCCGATACGTTGCAGTTCACCATTGACGATGCCATCGCCATGAACCTTACGGGTATGACGCTCGAGCAACTCTTCAGCAAAGGTCGCCTCTTCTACGCAGACTTCCGTGATCAGAAGGAGCTGACGCCGACTTCTCGCTTCTCGGCGGCCTGCGACGCCTTCTTTTACATTGACCAGAAATCAGGCGATTTCTTGCCGTTGGCCATTCGCACCAACGTAGGCTCGAACCTCATCTACACCCCGGCCGACTTGGCCGACGACTGGCTCCTCGCCAAGATCATGTACAACGTCAACGACTTTTGGTACGCGCAATGGAACCATCTCGCCAGCACCCATGAGGTCGTTCAGATTGCTTATCTTGCCGCCATTCGCACGCTGAGCGACCAACACCCAGTCCTTGCTCTGTTGAACCGAATCATGTACGAGGTGTACGCCATCCAACCGCTCGCCGCCACCCTGCTGTTTCTTCCTGGCGCCGTCGTCGACCAGGTCTTCGCTTACACAGGGACCTCGGCGCAAGACTACACGACGAACCTTTACAAGAATGGCGGCAGTGGTCGGTTCCAGGCCAACTACTTCATGACCGACCTCGAGAGACGTGGTCTGGTCAATTCGGATTTTGGCCCGCCCTTGAAGAACTTTCCTTTCTACGAAGACGCCTCGACCATCTACGACGCCACCCACACCTTCATGACCTCTTTCGTGGGGTCGTACTACTCATCGGACTCGGACGTCACGGCCGACAAAGAGATGCAGGCGTGGGTGACCGAGGCCCAGGGCCCAGCTGAGGCCATTGACTTTCCCGAGATCAAGACAAAGGCAGGGTTGGTGGACGTTTTGACACACATGGTAAGCTGCAGCCTTGTTTCTCTCCTTTGTAGAAGAGGGGATTTTTGGGTCGTTCGGCCCTGTAGGTTAGATCATTTCCATTTGCTGACCCGGGGACACTCGTGTGTCTGTGTGTGTTTTCTAGGCCCATCTCGCCTCGACCTCCCACCACACCATCAACACCAACGAATTGATCTCGGTCAGTTCGACGCTCCCCTTCCACCCTCCATCACTGTACCAGCCGCCACCGACCACAAAGGGGGCGTCGAACCTGGCCCAGTACCTCCCCCCGCTCGTCAAGGTCGAGGCGCAGTTCGGGTTCGCGGCCCTCTTTGCCCGGCCGTTCTTCGTCGGCTCCAACCGCACGCTGATGAACATGTTCAACGACCCGCCGATGCTGGCGCGCATGAACCCGACCACGCAGCAGGCCGCGTCGACCTTCTTCAACAGCATGCAGGCGTTCAGCGGACAGGTATCGTCTCGACGTTTCGACGCCGAGGGCTTGTCTCAGGGGATGCCGTTCTTGTGGCAGGCCTTGGATCCGAATGTGGCTCCTTACTCCATTACTTCTTGAGAGCAGAACACATAGATGTGCCTGCATGCATGGGGGTGTTTCTTTTTCGGTTTGGCATTCTACATTTACAAAACTTTTGCATTTACAGAACAAGGGGGAGGGGGGTGGGAGTGTGTGTGTTTATGTGACGGTTGGTGATTGTTGAACGGTCATGTACGGGGCACGTTCCATGTATGGTCACCTATGCCTTGTGGCCTTGTCGTCTCGTATCATGTCATGTCATGCCACGACATGAGGATTTTAATTCTTCTTTTAAAACACAGATGTAAATGACACGGTGGTGTGTAGCGCATTGTGAAGGTACCTAGATAGGTAGGTAGGTAGGTAAGTGCCTCTGCGGGCAGTGTCTGGCGTTCTTCATGATTGTGATCTTGGTATTCTCTCAATGTAGGAAATGTAATGCAGGTACTGTAAGCATCGTTCGAATGCTGCCAGTGATTTACTACGAGGTCGCCACCACACGGCGTCGACTTTATTTGGGCAAGTCATCGTCATCGTCATCGTCATCTTTGATCCAAGTTGCGGTACCCGAGTGAGGTGATCCACTCTCTCTCTCTTCATCCTTCATCCTGGTCCATATTGTCTCGTGCCCTCTTGTCACCGCCGGTCCTCTTGTGGCGCAGCGTCGCCCCCTTCTTGCCTCTGTTCTCGTGCAACTCCTTCATTTCCATCGCGGCGGCTCTCTGGGCGTCGCCGACCCTCTCCGCGAGCACCATGACCTCCTCCTTGACCGTGGGGTACTCTTTCAGTTTCTGGCCCAGGGCCTTCTCGATGCGCATCCACAGCTCGACGTCGTACTGCGTGACGAACGACACGGCCTTGCCGCTCCTGCCCGCCCGGGCCGTCCGTCCCACCCGGTGGATGTACGTCTTGCTGTCGTGCGGCAGGTCGAAGTTGACCACGAGGTCGACGGACGGAATGTCCAGCCCGCGGGCGGCGACGTCGGACGCGACCAGCAGGTTCCTCGACCTGGCGCGGAACTTGTTCAGCGCGGCCAGCCGGGCGTGTTGCGACAGCTGGCCGTGGATCGGGATGGCCGAAAAGCCCAGCGTCTTCAGCAGGATCGAGATGCGCTGCGCCTCGTTGACCGTCCTCGTGAAGATGATGCCCGTCTGGCCCGCGAGCTCGTTCAGGACGTGCACGAGGTACAGGTCCTTGTGCTTGTGCGGGATGAACATGTACGACTGGATCAGCGTCGACACCGTCTGGTGCAGGTCCTGCGAGACGGACACCCGGAGCGGGTTGGTGAGCGACGCCCGCTGCAGGGACTCGACGCGGCTCGACATGGTCGCCGAGAAGAGATACGTCCTCCGGCCTTCCTTGGGGATGATCTTCAGGATCTTGTCGAGGATCGGCCCGAAGTCGAGGTCGAGGAGGCGGTCGGCTTCGTCCATGACCAGGTACCTCAGGTGGCGAAGGGAGAACCCCTTTGTGTTCTGGAGGTGGTCCAGCAGACGGCCAGGCGTGGCCACCACGACGTGCGGGTTCTTCCCCAGTCCGATCGCCTGCGAGACCATGTCCATCCCCCCCACCAGCACCACGCACCGGACCGAAATGAGCGACCCCAGCGCCTCCACGGCCTCTGAGATCTGGTACGCCAGTTCTCTCGTCGGTGCCAGAATCAACGAGTGCAGGTGTTGCGGCTTGTCCATCAGCGACTGCAGGATCGGCAGCACAAACGCCGCCGTCTTTCCGCTCCCCGTCTCTGCGAGTCCGATGAGATCTCGCCCTTGGAGCGCTACAGGGATGGCCTCGGCTTGGATCGGTGTAGGTGCTTTGTACCCCAGCGACTCGCAGGCTTCGCACAGCGGGTCAATGATTCCCAACTCTTTGAACGTGGCAGCGTGTCTATCTGCCGGCCGGTCTTCTGTGGTGTCTGGATCGCTCGCGGTGCTAGTAGAGGACGTTTCGGACGCCGTTGCTAACTCCTCTCGCTGCTTTTCAGTGGCCCGGAGGGTCGTGTCATCGTGGCTGATCTTTCTTTTCTTGAGGGGCGGCATCTTTATCGTCTGTGGGATGTTCGTGGGTGTATTATCTGAGAGAGAGAGAGGGAGAGAGAAATGGAGAGAAAGAAACGGAGGGAAAGTTCGCATTGTGCTAGGGTGACTGGGGGGAAATAATTTTTTGTGACAAAGGATAAAAGGCCCTTATCGCACGTGACAGGATTTTCAGCCTCGCCTGAGGCAACGAGGCTGAGCGAGTCCTCTCGACAATCCGGAGAAATCTATGATACAAAGTACAGTACCCCGTACTCTTCTACCACTCCTTCTTCGCTCCGCATTTCTGCCCGTAGAATGGCTCGGGTGACTAAGTTAGGTACTTGGTGGACATGTCACTGTCTCCTATTGGCCGAGCTTTGAAGAGAGTACGGAGTATAGTTTTTGATGCTTGAAAGACGATGCTCGAACCCTTCGGTCGGTCCCCAGACCCCCTTACCCTTCGATCAGTCTAGAAGGGCTACTCGAAACGCTCGGGACCATGTGAAGCATCAAGCAACGACCCCATTGGAACATTTTGCATCCAGGAGCCTATCATGGGTTCACACGAAAGACCTCGCCCAAGACATCTCATGAAGCTGGGGTGAAGACCTCAGGAGAACGTGAAACAGATAACAAGACTTCGAGGTGGATTGAATGATCAATAGACATCAATATTGGAAAGTTACTTCATTCTGTCAAACATCATATGATCCCATCATTATCACCTTTTACCAGATTGCAAAAGCCTCCTGTTCACCGCGAGCCTGTGTACGAGTACTCGCAACATATCCCACACAAACAGGCCCATAAAGCAGCGCAGCGCAGGTCCTTTCTATGCGGAACCGCGGGACGCGACGTGCTCGACTTCAGCGCCGCCTCTCTTCTCATCTGTAGCATGCATGACGGTAGCTTCCAGACCCATCTCTGTGGCCAAGGCAAGACCCTTGTGGGTAGCAGCACCACCGGCCAGGATGGCATCGTCTCCGTCGAAGTGCTTGGCGATTTCCTCCAGAGGGGTGTTTCTCGTCTCGACGTAGAAGAAGTAGACCACGGCGAGCTCCACGGCGAGCCAGACGCAGTAGACAATGTAGTACTTCCAGCCGATGTTGCCGAGGGCGATGGGGTTGACGTACTGGTTGAAGAAGAGGGCGGCGTCGACCATGAGGAACATGACCGTCATGCCCTTGGCGCGGAGGTTGTACGGGAGGATCTCAACCGTGTATCCGACCAACATGCCGGACCAGGCCCAGTTGTAGAAGAAGTAGTAGATGTAGATGAAGCCGACCACGGCGTTGGCGGCGGCCTTGGCGCCGGTGATGGCGAACCGGGCCGAGCAGATGGTCCAGCAGATGAACGTGATGAGCATGCCGGTGGTGGAGAAGATGAAGAGCTTACGACGGCCGATCTTGTCGACGTAGAAGCATGACAGCACGGCGATGAACAGGTTGAAGATCTGGAGGACACCGTTGATCAAGTTCTGCGTCAAGGTGTCGGTGTAGCCAATCTGGTCGAGGACCTTGGTGATGTAGTACGAGACAAGGCCGTTGCCGGACCACTGGGAGAACAGACCGGCACTCAGAAGAATGATGAGCCGGCGTCGGTTACCCTTGGTCTTGATGAGCTCGATCCAGCCATTGGATTCGAGTTCCTTCTCGAGTCTGATGGTGTCGCGGATCTCGACGAATTCGACCTGGACCATTTCGTCGTGGATGTTGCCGTTGGCATGGACGTTTCCGAGAATGGCAAGACCTTTCTCCTCCTTGCCGTGGGCAATGTACCATCTGGGGGACTCCGGGACGAACCAGATAAAGCAGACCTGGATCAGACTGGGCGCGGCTTGCACGATGGTGGGGACACGCCACGCCCAGTTGTTGTTGATATGATCGGTGCCGTAGGTAAGCCAGGCGGCAACGATGGAACCGGCGTACCAGGTCGTGTTGTAGATTGTGGTGAAGATGGCACGGTGTTGGGGGTGGACCAGCTCGGTAATGAGCAAGGGGGACGCTCCGTGAGCAATGGCAACTCCGAAACCGATCAAGAACCGAGCACCCAGGAACATATCATAGTTGGAGCCGATCGACTGCAGGACGACGCCCACCAGCATGATGATACACCCCACGAGGATACCCATGCGGCGGCCAAGGATATCGGCCGCGTAGGGGACAAACGGAATGGCGGAAATGGAGCCAGCGGCCATGATAGCATTCAATATACCTAGTCTACCCTTGGAAGGGTTGCCGAAATGGTCTTTCCAGGGCTGCAGGGTCTGGAGACCGTTCATCATGGAGCCATCGTAACTGCAAACAGGATCAGAATCGAGCCGTTGTTGTTTCGAGGCCGAGAATGGGTTTGTGCTTTCGACTTACCCGTTTGTGGCGCTGGTCAAGACCACGAACATGAGAATGATGTAGGTCCTTCGCAGAGCTGGATCTCTGTACCAGGTCACCGCCGGGAATTTGCGACCGGCGACCTCGAAGTAGTCTTTCCCCATGGTTACTTGGTGGTTGATCCAAGGATACTTGGGATGTTGATCCTAGGCCAGAAGGGTTATGGCTGATAAAGCTCAATGAAAGGAGAAGACCCAAGAGCAGAAAAGAAGTATGACGAGCAATTATATACAACGTAGCAGTGTCCATCACGCTTTTCACCACCCCGGCACTTCATCTGGAGAGCCCGCATGTGGTATCTGGTGTTAGCTGATCTAAACGTCCATGTCGCGAGCCTGTAATGGTGTGGGCGGGGCCAATAGGGCCATTACTTTGCCTGACTGTGCATTTAGCCAGAGACAAAATGGCCTAGACTTGAGGCGACATCCGCGGTGAGAGGCCTGGGTAAAAGTCGGCCCCGCCAATTGAACTGACTGTTCCTCCGTTCGTCGCGGAGCTTGACCTTAGCTTGGGTTGCTATCAACATGGGTGTGGGCGTTCGAAAGACCACTTGGACAGGTCCTGGCCCGGAACTGGGCATGGCTTGGTTTTTGCCTCATCTGAGGATTAATCGTTGAGGTGATCCCATGGTCCAAAGAGATGGTACTGGTCTTGTTCATTGCGAGGTCGCCTTCGCTGAGAATGGTCGTCCTTGTGTTAACACTCCGTCGAGTCTAGCTAGGTACGACGAGTGGTGACGGCTGAAGAAAGAGTCCACCGCAAAATGCGTGCCAGCTGATCCGGAGGTGTGGAGGCCGCGAAGGAGAAAATGTGGGCAGATGGTGCTGCCCACGGGCGAGAGTCGAGAGACCACAATATGCTGGGATCCTGGACCGGGGACGGTGTGGATCCCTCAGACGGTCAGACCCAGACGACAAAGGGATTGCCATGGCAGAATATCGGCAGTCCTCGTACGGAGGACATGATATTCATGCGGCTAGTGTCCTCCTATTATCCTATTAACCGGAATGTCCTTTTTTCGCGAAGCATACAGTATGTCTCCTGTTCCATTCGATCGACGTACTGGGGCATTTTACCCCTGGTCAAACAATACCATCTGACACAAAGCTTCGGTGGCTCTTTCAACATCAAGCAGTCAGGCATCGCTTTGGCCTACACCTCCGTTCGGGTCGTTTGCGCCAGCACGCCACTCCCTCAGCCGCCACCTAATAGCCATCGGTCGAGCGGCTGTACGGAGTACGGCACAAAGCTTCACTGTAATGACTATTTGATCGTATGAAGCGAGGCTGTCAGATTGGAGCCTTGAATATCAAAAGGGATATCGATGCTCCACCTCCACATTTCGCCTCCCCATGGGTCTCTTTGCCCAGGTCTAAACCCGGTTCTTCGCCTCTACCCAAGTGTCTCTAGAAATCTACCGGCCACGTGCCTGTGTTGCGTGCTATACCAGACGCGGAAGGTCCATATGTTAATCTCATCTCTTTTACAGCATGAATCTCAGTCGTCTGGGTCCCGGTTGTTATCCCAAATTCGACCTGCCTCGTCACCACATTTTGGTCGACGCCCTAGGCAGGTATATGTTGGATGAAGACGAAATGCAATTTTGAATCCTGGTATGGACGAGGATTGATTTTGCCGGTAAGGAATATATGAGAAGCTCTTCTGCAATGAAATCGAGTCTGTAGTGTGCCGCAAATCGCATGCGTTCTATTCATTCCCCCTTGTGTCTGAGCCTCATTCTCGAACATGCACTCGTATAGCCTTCTTTCAGCCGCTTTCGTGACCCTCACGAGCCTTTCAAGTGCAACCCCCGTGCACCCACGGGGTCATCCTCCTCCGCCACCCGCTCCCCAGAAATCTTCATGGTTCCCAGGACCCCCATCCGCGCCTGGAAAGCCGGGACCAACAGTATCGACGTGGACAACGCAGCCTGCTTTCACGACTCTCACAGCACCAGGGTCAAGCTCAACAGCTCCTGCATCACCATCATGCTCAGGACATTTCGAGCCGCTGGCACCACCTTACCTCAATGACCTGGCTCGCTCTGCCGGAAAGTTATGGTTTGGGAGTGCCACAGACCAACCAGTGAGTTTAGCAAGGACAGTTCCTGCGATCACCAGGACTGACGTGATGACTAGGGGACGGGGGAAGACACCAACATTCTGTACCAGGAAATCCTGAATGACACCGACATCTTCGGCCAAATCACTCCGGCAAATTACATGAAATTCTTCGCCACCGAGCCAGAGCAAGGTGTGTTCAACTTCACAGGTGGTCAGATTGCAGTCGACATCGCCCAGGACCATGGTAAATACCTGCGATGCCATAACCTGGTCTGGAACTCGCAGCTCAGTGACTTTGTCGTGAACGGCACCTGGACCAAAGAAACCCTAACGGTTGTCATGAAAAACCACATTCAAACATTGATCACTCACTGGCAAGATGCCTGCTATTCCTGGGACGTGGTAAACGAAGCTCTGGCAGCCAACGGTAGCTTCTCCGAGAGTATCTGGGTAAGTACCAAAGAGTGCCCCCTTCTTGATGCTTTTTTGCTGTTTCATTTTGTTCAAAGGCGGACAGTCTGACGCCGTGTTGGCCCAACAGTACGACGTGATCGGTCCGGAGTACTTCTTCCTCGCATTCCAGTTTGCCCAGGAAGCCGTTGAGGCCACAGGGAAGGACATCAAGCTGTTCTATAACGACTACGGCATCGAGGATACAGGAAACAAGACCCAGGCGACGTACGCACTGATCAAAGAGGTTCAAGCTCGCGGCATCAAGATCGATGGAGTCGGCCTTGAATCCCACTTCGAGGTAGGCGGCACGCCGAGCCTCGAGGAGCAAATCGCTGCTAAGCAGGGATATGTGGCGCTGGGGTTGGAGGTGGCCATCACAGAGCTAGACGTCCGCTTCGTCGAGGCCAACGCGACCAACGCCACCGCGTTCGCGCTGCAAGCCCAGAACTACTATGACAGCGTGGCCAGCTGCGTCCAGGTCGACGGTTGTATCGGCATCACCGTCTGGGACTTTGATGACCAGTACTCCTGGATCCCTGGCACCTTCCCAGGCCAGGGCGCCGCAGATCTGTACAATGCAGATTTTACCCGGAAGCCTGCCTACTACGCGGTTGGAGAGGCCCTGCAGGGGGTCCCGTGCTCTGTCTGCTCCGCTTAAGTTGTGTCTGGAGATGGCCTCGAATGCTCTCAGGTGATTGATCGACTTGCATGCAAGCATGTCATGGGTCCTAGCACAAGAGATTGTCAAGCACCTTCGAAAGAGGGGTAGCTCGTAGGACGATAGGTCTCTCTCCCGTTCGATCTGGACTCTGGTTATAGCTACATTTAATGAAGCCTTTTCTGTCTCTCTTCTGTCCAGTATCAAAAGACCTTTCCCTGCTTCCAGCCCTTCACACATGGCGCGTGTTGTTGTGAAGCTGCTAAGTTCTCGTGACGTCCCAAAGAGCATTGGAGAGTGAATTTCTTGATTAAGAAACCTTGTCTGCTGATGATGAATGGGTTGTATGTTTCCCACCATCATGAGACTCCACAAACTACGAAGTCGTGTGGGTATTTGAGTCAGTGAATACTTTGTGAAGCTGCCGGTGTTCACCCGAGACGAAGGCACTGCCGTCGTTGCAGCTCATATGATCCGTTCTCTTTAGTCCATACACCACGTAAAGCCACAATGCTTAGAGGGAGTTCCTCACGGACCACAGTGCAGCTCGCGGGCAAGTCGACGGTCACTCCCAGCAGTGTGGTGATTTATCGGGTATGTCTGTCCTTTCTGAGCAGAGGAGACTTTACAGGGTAAGACTCAAGAGCATCGCAAGGGTCACAAAGTTTACACGTTGTCTGGCTGAGGACTCAGACTTTCTTCGTCCTGCTGTGGGTTGCCCTATGTGTCGAAAAAGGCGGACTCTGTTTAGAAGAGGCTGAAAGCCTCAAGCTGCCCTCATCTTACCAAGGGCCCCCGTCTTTGATTGAGGACCCAAGAAGCGATGGGGGCCAACAGTCAATTCAGCCGGAGAACCGAGGCTATTGGGCCTCGTACATACTGTTTTAGACTTTCTACCCCTTATTCAGCATCATCTGGACTATCGCATGATAGAGAACGAACGCCATGCAAGGAAATCGATAGATTCCGCGTCGCTACTTGCAGACGGCATGTCACGACGGCATTCAAAGGAACGGGACTGTAGCGTCCCTTAGACAATTGTGCTTTTTGGAGGCCCAAAGTATCCCTCCCTGATGCCCCCAGAGTTGAGTACAACTCTGGCACAGTGAGTCCTGGCTTTAGTAGCCAAAGACTCGGAGTATGTGCTCCAGATCACCAAGATCATGAGTTGCTGTATCGACCATAGAAGCATTGGCAATCATACCTCCCCACGTGTCAGTAAATGTCCAGAGATGAGCAAGTAGTTTCGGCTGAACGACCTGTGGAGCAGTGTCACGAATGATGACGGCGGACTTCATTGACGGGTCTGTCTCCATTGCAGTCCCAGCGTAGAGAGTTGGCTTAATGGCAAGTGACTGGGCAATTTGACACATTCGAAGAGACATGCTCTGGCTCAATCGATCCTGTACGGTCAGACTGTACGAAGCTATGGAACGATGAGGGCACTGAAGTTCTGTTAACATGTCTGCTGGTTTGTGACATACTGAAGCTGCCGTACGGGTAGGTATTATTGAAGTATTGTCCGCTAGGTATTGTGGTGGTAAAGACTTGCGGACACTGTAGAACCGTCCGGTGCCTGGCCCAGTCGACTGACACTGTTAGTCGCATATCAGTATTGTCGAGATTGGCTTGGAAAGAGCCAATTGACGACGTGACAACACAGTAAAGTTCACTAGAAACTTTGGACTTCAGAGCTTCTGCCACCCGAAGAATACTTCCATCCATTGCGAGGGTTCATACTGTCAAACAGAACAGAGGGCTATCCCGTTCTCACCAGGAGCATATCAAGTATTGATGCAATTTTTGAGAGCGGGCTGTTCGTTGTTCAGCGAGGAGCCACGATACTTGACCAAAGGAGAAAGCTGGAACTTAGTGTGGTTCGGCGCATAGACTGATGAATCAGGCATGGCAGCAACATCGGCTCACAAGCATCACGGCGACACGCCCATCTGCTCTGAAAAGTCGCAGATCCCATATATGGTTCCTGTTATTGTTATGACCTTCTCTAAGGACAAAGAAGAAGAGACGGAGTATCTAGAAGACAAATAAAGCAGACGTGCTTTCCGATCGTGGCAACTCTCCCGAGATCAATACGGCGAAGCTCGAGTTGAACGGGCCACACTATCACTCACTCAACGTTGTGGGCAAAATCATGGACGGCTCTTCGTACCTCGAGACACTCGTCGCCGCTCACAGGTACTGTCGGCAAGGGAGAGCCATCTGCTAGAAGCGAGGCATCTGGCTGGTCAAACGCGACTAATGGCTGCTGCGTCATGATTTCCTAGCAGAAGGACAACAAGTTACAAACAAATCAAGGATATTCAAAGGGTCATCTTCGGATGCCTGAAAATTGCATCGCACATTCACCTGCAATTTGCAAGAAACCACATTGAAGTTTTGCCACATACCAAAAAGCACCAAACCAGGACTGAACTCGACTTCTCAATGCATTCCTACGACGTGGGAATCAAGATGCCTCCCAGGGAGAGTTTTACTGTACAGTATGAATATCACTTTCATCCACGCAGAGTGGGCAATGAGTGTGCTGATCCCGAGTATGTTGTTCTTCGAGAGTCAAACTTTCACGCTAGGAAAACGCCAGTGTAGCCAACATTGTAACGGACAAGTCGACAAATTTAGCCGCGTCAGATGGTTTGTCGTCGAATGTACTCCGTACACACAGAATGAATGTGGAGACGAATCTGGAGAACACAAAGTGACCAAGTGGACATGTTTGGCCTGATTGTATAGATCAGTTCTGTTTACGGGAAATGAACTAATCTCTGGATTTGACAGCGAGCTCTCTGCCCATAGCGGTGAATTTAGCCTAAAGCATACAGCACGCCCCTCAAGTCGAACATCCAAGCACAGTTAAGGGACCTCGTACAGTTCTACCGGGATTTGATGTCCTGCTCTTTCAGTCAAGCACATTACGGGTCGACATTGACCAGCACATTTGGCCTCGACATGAGTCTGAATAGCCTGTAATGTGTCGGGCAGGTCGATGTTTGATACCCTGTTCCATGGTGACGTGAGCTCTCCTCTTCTCAGCCTGATAACGACGCTTGCATTTCCCTCCGCATTTTCCTGCCGACAGACAAGGTTGGCGAAGAGCCGCGGAGAAGGTCCTTCCAATCCCGGTATGGCAACTTAATTCGTGTCCTGGCCATAGAGGCGGATCTTGTTGCCAGACGCACGACAGAGAATCGATGATGGAAAGTCACTACGGATGGATGGAACTGAACCTGTGGGCGAAATACCGAGACGATATGATTGGGGTCGCCATGGTAATAGTAAGGACATTGTCTCTTCTCAGTGAAAGTTACTGCGGTTCTATCCCTTCCTCTTCCAGTTTCTGTTTGAATGCAGTCGGCTTCGAACAAACATGGCATCCCTCAGACGAATTGCACTGCCGCTGGTCCTGCTCGCCGTGGCTGCATGCCCTCATCCTCATGACGTCGAAGCAAGAGCTGGCGTGGCCGTGTCCAACTCACAGAGCTCGTTGACGTTCGTGTACCAAAACAATCTGAACGCTTCCGACGATGTCAATCATATCGGAGCTATCTTGCTCGACCCTACGACTGCGAGCTCGGCATCAGCAGCCTGTGGTGCTTTGAACGAAGCCTTGTTGACACAAGCGTCTATCCAAAACTATAGCTCCGACTTTGTCTCTGCGTTGTCGTATCTGGCTTTCGCGGGGAGAGTCGCGCCAAATCAAGCTTACCATATAGCAGGAAAGAACTTGCAAGTTTCTCAAAATTCGCAACTGTCGTTCCAGCCTACAGCGCAGGGCGATTCCGTCCTACCCGTGTTGTGTACACAAAGTAGTGGGGCCAGCGAACCACCTAACTCGACTGCGAGCAGACCCAACGAGATCAGCATTGCGGCAGCTGGAAACACTTACATTGGATACCGAAACCAGAAATCGTTTCGGTTCCTGGGTATCAGATACGCTAATCCACCCCAACGATTCCAGCACTCACAGAGGTATACGGTAACAGGAAAGGTTGTAAATGCTACTGCTTATGGGTCCCAATGCCTTCAATTGGGCGGAGGGAGTGAAGACTGTCTCTTCTTGAACATACAGACTCCATACCTTCCCAAGGCTGGCTCGACTAAAGGTCTACGTCCCGTCCTATTTTGGATTCACGGAGGCGGCTTTACTGGAGGCACTGGTGCAGACCCCCTGAGTGACGGTGGCAACCTTGCATCTAGAGAGGATATCGTTGTCGTCACTTTCAATTATCGACTCAGTACCCTAGGCTTTCTTGCCATTCCAGACACAGACATCAAAGGCAACTTTGGTATAGGCGACCAGATTGTGGCGCTCGAGTGGACGGTTCAGAACATTGCCAAATTCGGAGGCGATCCCAAGCAAATCACAATCATAGGCGAGTCTGCCGGTGCTGGCTCTGTTCGAACACTCCTTGGGAGTCCACTCGCCATCGGTATGTTTCAAGGAGCAGTTGCCATGTCCAACCTGGGCGGTGGGGTTGATCTCGGCCTGGAGGGGAACTATGGCACCACATACTCGTCTTACTACACGGTCAATGAGTCCTATACGGTTGCAGGCCCCCAGATCTTCAATGGGTCCAACTGTACCCAACCGTCATTGGAAGGCAAAATCGCATGCCTCAAGCAGGTTAATGCCACCGACATTGTCTCTCTGGACACCGTCGCTCGGTACGTCGTCCAGGATGGAACGATTGTCAACACCCCCGAACTTGACGTTGTCAATCGCAATGGCAGCGCGGCGAATGTGCCCATTATATTTGGCATCGCAGCAAATGACGGCGCATCGTTCTCGAACTTGTCGCCCACACCAATCACGAACGAGACTGCAGGTTTAATGTATGGGCTCGGTATCAACGAATTGTATGCCCGAGCGATCATCAAGTCTGGCCTGTTCCCGTACTATGACACTGGCAATGTGACCTTTGACTCGTTCAATGTCACACAGCGGGTGGCGACAGACAACACGTTCCGCTGTATCGACCAAGCCACCGTCTGGGCTGGAGCGAAGACTGGCGCGTTTCCTGCCGCATACTACTACCAATTCGAGCGGACGATCAATGGATATAATCCCGAAAACGTGTCGGGTGCGCCAGCTACTCCTGGCTATCCCAACGGGAACCCAAACTTGCCTTATTTCAAGCTCCACGGGGCAGACATGGCCTGGCTATTTGGCAACTTCTACGACCCTTTGCGAGACGCAAACGATCTCTACTCTGTCCAACTCGTTAGTGGATACTTTGCTGAGTTCGTCAAGAGTGGGCAGCCGAACCCCCCAGTTGATTACCTCAGGGCGAGGGCCTACACGAAGGCTTTGCAAGGCGTCCAGCAGTCGGGACCGTGGAAGAAGGTCAGCAGTGCCGCAGGCCCAATCAAGCATTTCAACTATCCGTCATACGATGGGACCTTTGTGGATTTGCCACAATGTGCTTGGTTGAACTATAGCATCAGCTATTACCTCGACCAGTGATGGACCACTCCTTGGGATCCAATGTTGAACGGGGAGCTGGGCACGCAGATGGATATTTGTCCGCAGGATGCCTATGCAGACGAGTAGCTATGGCCTGGGACCGTACCAGCGAACCTCGTAATAGCAAGAGCAAGGGCTATCATATATCTTCGAGACTAGCTTAGGTTCCATAGGTCGCCCAATCATCAGGATTGCACAATGTTGCGCCGTCAACCACGTGAAACCCAGAGTCTTTGGGGACGCCTATTTTCAGAACGATAGTATTTCCTCGCATGCTCCGTAGTCCTCACATGGCTCCCCAAGGAAAGGATGATGATACCGGCTAAAACAGACTGCACTCACAAGTAGCATCCAGGACCACCAATGCGTAGATGATATTTAGCCGAATTCTTACTCGACTTGGACTACAATACCGTGGTATGCGAGACGTTGGATTACCCACTGTGGTATTGTAGGTATATGGTAGCCTGTGGTAGATCCGGGTCCTGCTCTCTACCAGGTAAATAATGGCTGACATTGATAGGAAATAGCCTGAACGTGTCTGGCGCTACTTACACTCTATCATCCCTAACATCACTTCTCAAGCCGGTCTTTAAGGAGCCTGAGATGGGACAGTATAACATCAAGGATTCGCCTTGACATTAGGATTTCAGGCCGACACGATGAGATTCGCTCTGCATTTCGAGACTACAAGTCACTTATCAGAAGTCGGACCACCAGGCGAGCCGTCCACGCTCCCAACGAGTCCTCGAACCAGGGACATGAGATTTGCGTGTGGATCAAAGAGTCCGTATACTCGAGATCATTCACTACAGCCGAATGCCGGTGGTTCGAGAACCTGACATCCAAACGCCCTTAGCGAGACAACCTACCACTACTACTTTGCTTGCCGACTGGACCATGACACGTGGGACTATGGTACGGAGTCCATGCCGGCAGAACAAGAGTTGTATGTCGGGAAAGACTCTGTCCCTGTTATCGATCGATACTCCGAGCTACCAAGGTGCAAAACGAGGTGAACCACGATCTATCTTTGAGAGTCTATGCCATGCACCGATGCTCTGGGTTGTGAGGACACTTTGTTGGGGCACGGGTCTCTGAATCCAGCAGAGTACTCACCACTCGGTTCTGCTATCGGTGGCTAAGCTGATTCATCACGATGACATTCCGCTGAGTGATCACAAGAGCCGCGAACTATTGCTCTAAACTGTGGATGTCCCCTTCGACGAAATTTTGCAACCTAAAGGCAGGAGTAGAGAGCCCAGCGGCTCGGAAAAGGAGGACATACAAGCACATCAGGGTGACACTGGGAGGTCGAATCAGGTTCAAGGAATAGCATGGAGATTGTGGTATAACTGTGTTGGAACGAACAACTTGTCTTGTACGCAGACACGTTGCTCGGACAAAGAACGCCATCACCGAGGGTACCTCTGTCTCGACAGCCGCCGGTGAAGCCCAACAATGCCGACCTGGGCTAACATTCAATCACGAACTCCGGTAGCAATGGGTATATGCAGCAACCAAGCGAATCGGAAGAGCGCTTCAATGTTGGGAAATAGGAAGGTCGCAAATGTTGCAGGGAAGCGCAGTCAAGGATGCCACACCAAGCTCGACAAAGAAGATTCGCACCATCGGCAAAGATCATCGGATGAAACATGCTGCACATTCAGCCAGGCGCGGTACAGTCACTCGGTATATGTGTAGTCATCATGATGGAAAAGGAACACAGTGAACAAGGGAAGAAGGTCGCAGATTGGCCGGATCCTTGAGAGTGTGAAGCTCCATCAAGCGCTCAAGCGATGATTCTGGTGACCACTGACCAGCTTTCGGGACTCGACGAGAGTATGGCCACGGGTAATAAACCTAGTATGGCTAGACCCTACCTACCTATGTACCTAGTAGGTACAGTACTGAAGTTTCTTTTCATCTCCACAGACAGCTCAAACCTCCGCTTGGGTTATGCACATGGTCTGGGCATATCAAGGAACGAACCAAGACGGTGTGTTTGGATCAGACTGTCGATCTTCGAACACACAGAGAAGAGGAAAGGGGCAGTCAAGCAGGAAGACAAATGGAGAAGAGGTGGGTTGATGGTGGAAGAGAGATTGCCATGCCAAAATTTCAAGGGCTTACTATTTCCTTCGTGTCGGTTACCCAGGCCAGTGAGGAAATGGCCAGGCCTCGGTGTTGCCTACAGGCTATGGGCTACAGGCTACAGGCTACAGGCTACAGGCTACAGGCTACAGGCTACAGG